CTTCATCTGCCCAGCCTGTCTTGGACATGGACGGGAAAAGACGACGTGTTAAATGATGAACAAGTTACTATAAGCCAGAAGGTTTCACAAGGATTCGATGCCTGAGTTGGTGGACGCAGAAATTTCAATCAGAGATCGATCAATCCCCGCAGACCGAAGCCATTGATTTATAATCTATTAAAACGTATTTTATTTTAAAACCACCCAGCCTTAATTTGCAATTTCGCTAATTTATTCCTATTTTGTCGTTGAAGGTGATATCCGTCAGGTGCCAAGGTGTCTGGCGCTCGGCTCTGTGAGATTAATCTTGGACAGGGGTTCTAAGATTTTTGGCCCGGCTCCGTCATTTAACCGGGTGTGTTAATGTCGACCAACTAAGGTGGTCCCGTCCAACATACACCTGACCAGGTCAATACTACTAACCGTTGCCGTAAACCCATGCCGATATTGATGTGTCGTCACATTTTCAGGGGTTCTAAATTTTATATTAGCTTAAGAACCGTTGGCAATATTCTGTGTACGTGTGCGAATGGGAAATAAACGCAAAAGAATCACTAGAATGGACTAAAAGCCCATAAACAGAACTAGAATTGGCAACAAATGCTAGCATAGTACAAAAATTGGCTTAAATCCCATCGATAGCACCAAGCAGGTAGAAAACCTATAGCACCAAGCAGGTAAAAAACCTATAGCACTAAGCAGGTAGAAAACCTATAGCACCAAGCAGGTAGAAAACCTATAGCGCTAAGCAGGTAGAAACCTATAGCACTAAGCAGGTAGAAAACCTATAGCACCAAGCAAGTAGAAAACCTATAGCACCAAGAAGATGAAAAACCTATAGCACCAAGCAGGTAGAAAACCTATAGCACCAAGCAAGCAGGTAGAAAACCTATAGCACCAAGCAGGTAGAAAACCTATAGCACCAAGCAGGTAGAAAACCTATAGCACCAAGCAGGTAGAAAACCTATAGCACCAAGCAGGTAGAAAACCTATAGCACCAAGCAGGTAGAAAACCTATAGCACCAAGCAGGTAAAAAACCTATAGCACCAAGCAGGAAAAAAACCTATAGCACCAAGCAGGTAGAAAACCTATTGCACCAAGCAGGTAGAAACCTATAGCACCAAGCAGGTAGAAAACCTATAGCACCAAGCAGGTAGAAAACCTATAGCACCAGGCAGGTAGAAAACCTATAGCACCAAGCAGGTAGAAAACCTATAGCACCAAGCAGGTAGAAAACCTATTGCACCAAGCAGGTAGAAAACCTATAGCACCAAGCAGGTAGAAAACCTATACACAATACTTGAATCAGTCAAACTACTAGAGTAGACAACAACCACATCACTCTAATGAAAACCCTCTACACAGCATATCAACACTCGAGTGTTAAAGCCAGCCAGCCATTCAGCCAGCCAGCCAGCCATTCAGCCAGCCAGCCAGCCATTCGGCCAGCCAGTCAGTCAGCCAGCCAGCCATTCAGCCAGCCAGCCAGCCAGTCAGTCAGTCATTCAGTCAGTCAGCCAGCCAGTCAGTCAGTCAGCCAGTCAGTCAGCCAGCCAGCCAGCCAGCCAGCCAGCCAGCCAGCCAGCCAGTCATTCAGTCAGTCAGCCAGCCAGTCAGTCAGCCAGCCAGTCAGTCAGCCAGTCAGTCAGCCAGAGAACCCCACACCTCACCCCCACACCCTTATATCGCTTTACCTACCATCACAAGCTACACAATTTTCTGACTAAACCCGAAGTCCTTTTTTTTTTCAACCAACTCAGAGAACGGTGGTACATTAGCCTTGAAGTCATATTTATGATCAAACAAAATCGTGTACCATCGAGATGATTGATTGCTTTTTTTTTATTCATTAATTGATTAATTCCATTAACTTAGTCGGCCGTTGATAAACGGTAGAGGTCAGGGGTTTCAATTTTCTACCGTGTAAGGGGGTTAGCCAATACGAAACAACTCTACTAGTCACGTGGTATACACAGTGTGTGTGTAGTACGTCACCACAAAAAAACCAACATGGTTGTCGCAATGCAGCTCCGAGTAAATCAAGTACACATATTGATCGGAGAATTGAGGGTCCCTAAGACGGCGATTTATCGCCCCTAACTGCTAATCCTTGACTCCATTAAGCAGGGGCAGTAACTGGGGTGTCAATAACAGTACGAGTACTGGCAGGGGATCGATGGGCTGAGATTTGTCTATATTGATTTGTCATGACAATGGCTATTGTTTGTCTCGGCGTGGAGTCTTAGGGTTATTGGTTTATGGGTTAGTGTTTGTATCAGTGTAAAGTGTTAGGGTTATTGGTTTGTGGGTTAGTGTTTGTCTCAGTGTAAAGTGTTTGGGTTATTGGTTTGTGGTTTAGTGTTTGTCTCAGTGTAAAGTGTTTGGGTTATTGGTTTGTGGGTTAGTGTTTGTCTCAGTGTCAAGTGTTTGGGTTATTGGTTTATGGGTTAGTGTTTGTATCAGTGTAAAGTGTTAGGGTTATTGGTTTGTGGGTTAGTGTTTGTCTCAGTGTAAAGTGTTTGGGTTATTGGTTTGTGGTTTAGTGTTTGTCTCAGTGTAAAGTGTTTGGGTTATTGGTTTGTGGGTTAGTGTTTGTATCAGGGTGAAGTCTTAGGGTTATTGGTTTGTGGGTTAGTGTTTGTATCAGAGTGAAGTCTTAGGGTTATTGGTTTGTGGGTTAGTGTTTGTCTCAGTGTAAAGTGTTAGGGTTATTGGTTTGTGGGTTAGTGTTTGTATCAGTGTAAAGTGTTAGGGTTATTGGTTTGTGGGTTAGTGTTTGTCTCAGTGTAAAGTGTTTGGGTTATTGGTTTGTGGGTTAGTGTTTGTATCAGTGTGGAGTGTTTGGGTTATTGGTTTGTGGGTTAGTGTTTGTCTCAGTGTCAAGTGTTTGGGTTATTGGTTTATGGGTTAGTGTTTGTCTCAGTGTAAAGTGTTTGGGTTATTGGTTTGTGGGTTAGTGTTTGTATCAGTGTGGAGTGTTTGGGTTATTGGTTTGTGGGTTAGTGTTTGTCTCAGTGTAAAGTGTTAGGGTTATTGGTTTGTGGGTTAGTGTTTGTATCAGGGTGGAGTGTTTGTGTTATTGGTTTGTGGGTTAGTGTTTGTATCAGTGTAAAGTGTTAGGGTTATTGGTTTGTGGGTTAGTGTTTGTCTCAGTGTAAAGTGTTTGGGTTATTGGTTTGTGGGTTAGTGTTTGTATCAGTGTGGAGTGTTTGGGTTATTGGTTTGTGGGTTAGTGTTTGTATCAGTGTGGAGTGTTTGGGTTATTGGTTTGTGGGTTAGTGTTTGTCTCAGTGTCAAGTGTTTGGGTTATTGGTTTGTGGGTTAGTGTTTGTCTCAGTGTGGAGTTTTTGGGTTATTGGTTTGTGGGTTAGTGTTTGCATCAGGGTGAAGTGTTTGGGTTATTGGTTTGTGGGTTAGTGTTTGTCTCAGGGAGGACTGATGGGGTTTGTGGGTTTGTGTTTGTATCAGAGTTAGTGTTTGTATCAGGGTGGAGTGTTTGGGTTATTGGTTTGTGGGTAAGTTTTAAGTTTACTGAGTTGTCATCTTAGGTTTATAGTTTTAGGATTATGACCAGTGTTTCTTTCAGCCCCCCCCCCCCCCACACACACACACGGGTAAAAGCGATGTGTTATTATAGCCTTAGTGATGTATGTATTAAGAAGGTAGGGTTAAAGAAGTTAGGATCAAAGTTATGGTAACAATGTTAGGTCTAGAGAGTCAGTTAATAATTGAGTGTAAAAAAAAGTCCATTTCAGCCGTTGTATTAACATTCACTTTCAGCTTTCCCATGCCAGAGAGGAGATAATCGAACACAATTGGGTATACAGAGTCAAAAGGGAACTTTTTAAAAGCTATAAATACCCGTTCAATTCTCGGGTAGCGAGAAATTCGAAACTTGAAAACACTCAACCCTGAACTATAGACGTTTGTTGTTTTTTTTTATTTATAAAGCTATCCTGAAAGTTTTAAGTTCATATAATTGTGGAGGTAGGTATGGAGATATTGTGCGGAAATTGTTCAATTAAGTCACATCTTTGTTTACCTTTTTTTGGTAAGTAAATAAATAGACCAAGGCTGATGCCCTGCTGACTTTATAATTATTTAGCAGCCCTTCCAAGTTTCATGACAGTTTTAAAAAGCAATCATTACGGCTCTATGAGCTCATTGAACTATATGATCAAGCGCTGTGTGGGACACAATGGACCCTGAAATTATCAGGGGAGATAAACAGCGGGTGGACGCCGCAACCTGAAGCTTGTCTTTAACATGCGGAGTTGTAGGTCGTGATCTAAAACAAAAAGGCTGATGTAGTTTTTTTGTTTTTTTTCAGGATTAAGTTGGTAGGCGCCCTAATGGGATGGCGCAGGCCACTTCGCCAGATATTTTTGTTCAATTTGACAGGATCCCAGACGCCCTTCTCCTCCCTCCCCTGGGGGGGGGGAGAGAGATTAAACGACAAAACCTTACCATTTTAAACTGAGCTCTCACATGATTGTAAACTTGAGAAGAACCCGTTGTGACACATTACACATAATAATTTATCAAAAAAGAAATAAGCATAGGGCCTAGAAATAATAGTCTATATAGCTCCATAATCAGGTAGACCATTGGATGATTGCGCATTGGAAATCCAAGAAAAATTCATGGGCGGTAAGGTGTAAATGCCGTGATGTTGGGCACCTAAGGCGGTTATGTGGGCAGACAAAATCCCGAGTATATGCTATAGACAGGTGAAAAGTCCTGTATTTATACTATAGACAGATGAAAGTCCCGTGTTTATACTATAGACAGGTGAAAAGTCCCGTGTTTATACTATAGACAGGTGAAAAGTCCCGTGTTTATACTATAGACAAATGAAAAGCCCCGTGTTTATACTATAGACAGGTGAAAAGTCCCATGTTTATATATTAGACAGACGAAAGTCTCGTGTTTATACAACAGACACATCAAACAAAAGAATGGGATGGGTGTTAACAAACGTCAATATTTCATGGCTTACCTTATGGCGGCATTTCATCACCACACCGTAGGCACCTGGGGATGAGAACATACGGGAATCAACGGCTTTGCTGATTGCTAATTAAAAGGTGGTGTGGTCATTGGCTAATGCAATAATTATACGGTCTTGTTGTAATTAGTTAATGTTGTAGGAAGTTATGTTCCTCTTAAATTGCTGTACTTTACATTTCACGTGGCCATTTCAAATAAAAAGTGAAAATGTATTGTTGAAACACGAATTCTTAAAAAAATGTCAAGTTGTGAGTTTAACGTATAGGTGGTATACAACAGCGCCCTCAACACCTGATCAACCACATTTAGCCCTTCAACGCGATACTGTCTTTCATGTTGAACATAATTAAAATATTTAAAGAAATGACGGTGTGTGTCTGCGATGTTTTGCTGCTGTACTCAGTCTATATGAGCACAGGTGTTGTCAAGTTGACTGCCAGTGAACACAGAAACATTACACCACGTGAACTCGCGGGGAGGTAATCAGCTCTCTCACACGTCCCCTGTCATACAATGAGAAGACCTCCGACGGTCAGGTGCCCTATGATCAGTGGCGTAGCGAGGTCGGGTGTCACCCGGTGCGGCACTTAATGGTGTCACATCCCCCCCCCCGATGCGTTGCGACCCTTCCCGGGGACAAACTGTTTTCGATTTAACCCCCCCCCCCCCCTCAAACTTTCGATTTGCACCCCCCCCCCCTCAAACTTTCGATTTGCACTCCCCCCTCAAATTTTCGATTTGCACCCCCCCCCCCTCAAACTTTCGATTTGCACCCCCCCCCCCCTCAAGTTTTTCTCTATATATTTTGCTATTTTTGCCTTGGTGTCACCCCCTTAAATGGTGTCACCCGGTGCGATCCGCACCCCCCTCCCCCCCCCCCCCCGCTACGCCCCTGCCTATGATAACTTATATGGGTAGAGAAAAAGTGCCAGAATGTTGGAGAAAGGGGAATCTTCCCTCAAACAAATGATTTATCTAAATATCTTTGTATAGGTAACGACAACATCTAAACGCGTTTCACGGCGAACACCGCAAAACTCGCGCTCAATTAGCTGACTTCCCCAATGGATAGTCCCTTCATTACGCTGGTAGATGGAAACATATGTAGATACAAAAGTTACAAAGACGGGTCTGTGGTTGAAAAAAAGAATAGCGAAAACGGGAATGTGAATTCCTACTGATCGGGTAAAAATAGGAGCCACGGAAAACCCAGCATTAAACAAAGGAAAACGCAGCATTAAACCACGGAATAGGCAGCGTAAAACAACGATAGAAATCACGTTTTATGCCTACTGCCGTTATTAAGCTAATCGGCCTACTTCGTTAAAATGTTGTGTTTTTTTTGTTTTTTTTTTTTTGAGGTAAAGCAGATGGGTCGGATTAGTGTTATTGAAGATTACAAAAATATTCCTCACTGAATATTGACATTTCACTGAGTATTAATATGATAGACACTCCATTACATAGGCCCTATCGTTACACGGGTCTGAACTTCTGATACATTTCATGACTTCAGTTTTTGGACTAGTGGGATATTCAGTTATCACATTGGCCTAGGGAGGATTGTTAAAACTGTTGCTGAAGTGGCAACCTAAGACTATTGGCAAAGGAACCTATTCAGCTACACTAAATTATAATAAAACTACAGAAAAGAACAAAAAGTAGACAATAGAAAAATCACAAACATGCAGAAATAACTAAAACTTGAGAACCCTTAAAATGTCAATAAAGAAATATATGCTTAATAGATGAAATTGCTTGTGAGTAAATGGTAAGGCTACTGTATGAAATACATTTTCCACTAAATTATTCTTATAGGGAAATTACCCAAACTGCATCTTTTATAACATGGTACATGCAAGACTGTGGTAATATAATTTTGTGATGTGTTGATATAATTTTTTTAAACTGCTGCTAAGAGCTAAATAATAAAGAAAAATAAACTCTTAACATAGTAATAATGGTAGCTTACCTTCACCGACTATATCAATGACTTCGTACTTGTTCATTACATTGTCTAGTTTCATGTCAGCACACACTGATATCTACACTATCCAGGCTTAAACAAAAATGTAAACTTTTGCTTACAAAAATGGCGTCTCAACTTTTATCATTTACAACTAGCAGCCAAGAATCTTGAATTGACTATGGTGTTCTTCTGAGTGATGTAGTCATACTTAGGTAAGTTAGGAAATATCTGTTCAATATCTGTTACTGATGATTATTATTAAACATTCTGAATGATTTAATGAGTTTTTAAGTACCTGAATAGGAGAATTGATAGAAATAAATGTTAATATGGCCTACTAAATAAGTGTAAATGTAAAAAAAATAGCAATAATTTAAAAGTTGAATTGGTATACTGAGCTGCAGAATAACAGGCCAAAATCAATTTTTAATCAAAAATAAATTTTAGCTAGTCATATCTCAACAACTAAGGAATCGGGAACAGCTGAAAAAGAGGCAGGAGACTGTGGGGAGTAGCAAACTTTGCCAGAAGCCCTATGCTCCACAAGGCACGGAAAGGAAAAATAATGATGATCTCAACAACTATTTTTTGCCTAAACTTCAAGTCCTCCATTTATTAGCTTTTGTGACACAGTTAATTAGGTATTTGTTAAAACTACAGTAAGAATTTTTAGGGTTTTTTTTAACACAAGTATAGATCTATTTTAGTATATTTATTTTGAATAGTACCTATTTGTTGATAATTAATGTTGTTAATCTATTATATTTTTTAATCTCCCATGTCAAAATAGTAAATAGTGTTATAGGCAACTAATTATAGGCATCTGTAAGTTTGTAGGGGCCTAATGGAATGAAAGAAATAATCACTAAAAAATTATCCTATTTTAATTTATAATAAAGAGAAGATTATTAGTAATAACATTACTGTATATTGAATATTGTGCATTAGGCACATAGCCTACCTACACACTTGGGTTTAATTCATGTTAATTCTTAAAACATAGTTCTTGGGTCCGATTTATATAAGATAAGTAGTAATAAATAATGTATGATTGATAATGATGTGGGGCATACAATAGAAACTTACTAATTTTTAAATTTTGCAACTCAAAAATAGATTGTTATAGATTAGTTAGAATATAGTATAGATTTATATTATATATCTAGTTCTAGTAGTCTAGTAATATGTATTAGATCTATGTACTGTAGTGCTTTTCCTAGATCTAGTAGTAGTAGATCCATTAACTTTTTTTAAAAAGTAATAAATATTATTAGATCTATAATTTTTATATTAGACCTTAGTGCTTAGTTAATACGGTAATCTATCGTTTTGGGTACGTAAAATCGCCCGCGGCTATTTATGTACGAAAACGCTACCTCATTGTCAAGGCTTTAATAGAAGTATATTGTCATACTTTTGTGTCAAATATTATAGATAAATGAATAATAAACCTAAATCAATGGCTAAATATATCGATATAGGCCAGAAATTAACTTTAAACAGCAGTGTCTGAGAGCAAGATTTGCTATATAAACAGCAGCCATTTGTAAAATAGAGTGGCTTCCCCCTGAATCTGGCGCTAAAAGCTTATAAAAATAAAACTTAGACAAGATGGCTGCTATAGTAGATGAGCATGGTTGCATCTGTTGGAAACATCGCTAGTCTTCATTTATTACGGAATAGTTTTAATTCAATTGTTTAAAAACAGGTACATAAATGAATCAAGGAAACATTTTTGAATTTTTTAAAACATAAATCCTCCTCAAAATGTGAAATAATTATTAAAACTTAAGGAGTCACCTGTTTTTCACATTACAAATCGCGGGCGATTTTACGTACCCAAAACGATAGATTACCGTTAATACTAATACTCTAATAGTTAGTTAGTAATATTAGGCCTATATATATTTAATATTATTTATTAGGGCCTAGATCTACTTACTACTTAACTTACTTCATACTTCATACTTATACTTATTACTTAACTTTGAGTAAATAATATTATAATAAATAATTAAATATTAGGCCTAAATGAATAAATATTAAATTGTGTAGGCTAGGCCTAAATATTACTAAATAATAAATAATAAATAAATAAAATATAATCTAGATTCTAGATCTAATCTAGATTAAGAATATTAAATATAATTTTAAAAATACAGTTCATTGGTTACATACTTAGGACACATGGGTATAGTTTCTCAATAATGTCCGGTATTAAATTTTGTCCTTCGTGCTAGCTGAGGCAGAACAGGCCGTCAAGCTCCGTCTCTGCTGTAAACAATCCGCCATAATATTTTCCTTGCCAACATACCCACAATGCCACTGGACCTTATGCTCTTGGGGCCCTAGCGGGGATTCCAAGTTCCGAGAAAAGTCGGTCTTAATATAATAAGCTAAATAACTACAGCTTCATTGTCTACAGATTAAATCTATATATATATAGGCTAACAATTCAAACTAGAACATCGCAAAAATTATCAAATAAGTTTCAGAGCAAGCAGCTCAACAAGAAATGCATAGATGCTTTTAATGATACAGGCAGTAGCCCTGTAATTTTAAAGGAAATAACCGTGATTATATATCTAACATCCAATAATATATATTTCCTTTTGGGATTACGTCCCCTGACTAAATGTCTGAAAAGCAGCCTATAGTATACACGCGTCCTCTTTGGACGAACACCACTCCACCCCCACACACTAATCGTAGACTTACGACTTCCATAGAACTTCACCAAATTAATTACCACGAACATAGGCTACTAATTTAATAAATAGTAGTATTTCTTTTTCGGTATAAGAGTAATTGTCTTTTATTAAATATTTAAATTACAATCTAGACTATTGAGAAAAATAAATAAAATGTTTCAAAAGTGTAAATATAAAAACATGATGAGTGCTAAATTTATTTAAATGATTTTTCATATTATGAAAACAGTGTTTCTTCCAGACTTTTTTCCGGGGAAAGCATTTGATTTTTTCGGGTGAGGGGGGCGGACAACATTTTCCGGGGGGGGGGGGCGAACCAGTGGCGTAGCTACCGTAAAGCTAGCGTAAGCCCGAGGCATTTGGGGCCCCTTTCCCTCTTAAAAAAATTAAAACTTTTACATTGCAATTTCATTATTTGTTTTATATAAATAATTTTAAAAAGAAAATGAAAATCCAGTTTCTTAAAAAGTTTCTTTAAAAAGGTGCCTGAAAGAAACTCCGACTTGTCGGAAGGTTTCTGCCTTTAAAGTTTTATATTGTTTCAGTAAGGCGGTGCAGTTTGCCAACCATAGTCCCCCAGCGGCTATTTTTGCACTTGGGGTCCGTTGATTGGGTGTCCGGCACCCGTCGCTGGTGAAACCCTGTGCGTCCCGGGCTCCCCCATGAGTACTACGGCGCCTATTGTAATGAGCGCCATACACTAGGCTGGTTTCCTCCAGCGAATCAACAGTAGTAACGGGCGGGTGCCCCGAGTTCCCCAGCGGCTACCTAAGTACACGAGATCCGTAGATTGGGCATCCTGCAATGTACTACTTGATTCAATGCAACAGGGGCAGCTTTTGACGCCCTCGGCGTACGGATGACAATTTTTGGCACCAATTACACGAGTATTCTACATTCTACGGCTGACGAAGGGGCCCACTGATAATTTTTGCATAGGGGCCCAAAAATCCTAGCTAAGCTACTGGGGCAAACACTCCTAAAAGTATGTTTTCTATATAAATTCCATTTCGTTCGAGGGGGGGGGGGGGGGCGGTAGACTTTCTGCCCGAAGAGATACCTGGAAGAAACTCTGACCCGCTACAGTACTGAGGGTGTCACCCCAAACCCCCTCCAACAATTTTGCATTTTCGGTTTAGTGTCACCTTTCTCCTCCTACTTGTCATCGTCGTAACTGGACAAAAAATTGTTTTGACAGTAAATTTTACTATTTTTATATAGCGCTTTCCACTGTGGGCTGCACTCCCACCCCTGGGCCTTTTAAATATTAAATTAAATTTCTTTTTTTTTCCAGCATACTCAGTAAGGTTACCTTGGGTTAATGATACCTATTGGCGTTTCTTTCATTACTCGGTTAAGGACAGACGTAGGTCTACTCATTTAAAAAAAAAAGAAATATCATATATGTTCTATTTAATAACCCGCTGAGTTTGGTTGTTTTATTTAACTCACGAGAATTGCATTTTGGAAAATGTTTTAGCAATTCAGTACTTTGGTGTTACATTTAACACGTGAACACGAACCACAGCCACCACCGCCCTTCATAGACAATACGTATCAACCAAAGTCGACTTATTGTATTCGCTCATAAAAACAAGGTAATTAAAAAGTCTTGTGACAATTTAAGCGCAATTTCCTTATGTTATCTAAAAATAGCTCTGTCGTAGCGTAAATCAAGAGCAGGCCAGGGTTAGTAAAACCATTGGTTAGTTATTAAAACGTTTTTTATTAATTTTTTTTTCAGTATTTTACATGTTTTATTTACAATAGAGTTACATGACTAAAAACCATTGCGCGCCTAGCTACTGAACGTGATGACGCAGCCAGTGAACGTGATGGAGCAGCTATTGAACGTGATGACGCGTGTGGTGTGGTTGGAAAAAATGCCTACTAATTCGGTCCAAATTTTAATTAATTAAAAAAAAATGTTTGTGACCGAACGAAAGGATATTTTTGAAAACTTTCTTCGGCAATATTGTTCTAAATTATGGCAGGAATCGATTGGTATATGTTTCAAGTCGCTAAGTGGTCTGGTTGCCGAGATATGGGCCAAAAACTGAATTTTTTCGAGGTTTTTTGGCTTTTCCGGGAAATACATGAAAGAAACCCGCAATTTTTATGGCCTATGCTCATTCTCGTAACTTGCTTAACATAATTGCTTTTGGAACTAGTCATCGATATTGCTTCGTTGAGGAGGAGATACGACTTAAAGCCCGGACACACATTCATCCATACATTCATCCATCCATCCATTCCCAGAAATGACGAGTTAATAAACGCAATTCTCCAGAATGGAAATTGAAAAAATTGAGTACAAAGAATGCATCATTAAATGACCGTTTTAGTACCTAGATTATTATGTCGCTATGAAAATATGCCACACTTTATGTTAATATAGCTATACAAGTAGATTAACTATATTTTAATGTTTAATATCTAAAATAAATATTATTTTACAACTCTAGTTAGATCTACTTAACTAGTTAGCGAATCGACTGAGGTTTTTTTCAAACAACTAGACCTAGGATGAAAATTGTGTGTTTCGCTAATTAGTTTGTCCAGCTACTTTAGTTGGTCTGCTTCCGGTTAAAGGTTGATATCGACAACTTGTGTTTTATACATGATTTGAGAATAAAACATAATATACAAACACTTTAACTTTAACATCATTAAAATACAATGATTATTGAGCAAGTTGAAGCTCTGAAAACATGGTTGACGAATAAACTATCTCCAATGTAAGTACTGTTGTCCACCAAGCTGTTAGACCTTTTCAAGTCGGCTTCCAAGTGCCAACCACCACCAGGGACCACCATCTTCTAGAATTCTAGATCTAGATGAGAAAGATTCTAGATTTCTATTCTTCTTCACAGGCAGATCTAAATCTATTCTAGATCTAGATTCTAAGCTCATTTTCATTTTTAGAAATGACTTAAATGTTCATTTTGGGGAGTTTGCGGTATCTAGATTCTAGATCTAAATTTTTAATTAGTAGATCTAAATATCGAAAATTCCCATTTTCAGCAGTGAGACCTTTGTTAATCAAAATAATCAGTGGTCTTGGTAAAATATGAGGTAATCTATCGTTTTAGCGTAATCAATTCGGCTACAGTAGAAATGTGCGGGAGAGGTAACTGATGAATATATTTGTTTAAATAAGTATAATTTAAGGCGATACATACACCCGAAAACTGATTTTAACATTTTTTTAAATTTAAATTCAAAACATGCAATGTATAATAACAACAACCAAATAACAAATATAAAAAGCTGTATTATTTTTGAAAAAAATAATTTTTCTGACTTTTATTGAAGATTTTGGGTCGTTATGGTACAAATTTATAAATTCACAAAAAATGCAATATCACAAAACTTAGTTGACAAAACTCAATAAATTTAAGTAATTACATTGAACATAATGTACTGAATATAAATACATGTGCTCATGAGCCTGTGAGTAAAGGAAAATCAACAGTTGACAAAAAGATGAGGGTACCCCCCAAATTTTACCATTTTTTGGGGGTTTCCTGCACACAAACAGCCATAAAAATCTTAATATACAGCCCTAATACATTTCAACATGTAATTATGTAGACAAGACCACACTGAATCAGTATGCCAAATTTGAAGCCTCTAGTTGCAGAACTTTTACTTGTATTGCCCAAGTCCTGCCTGAAAAAAATTAAAACCGTCAAATTCAGAAAAATGCAAAAATAACACAGAACATCATTAAAAAAAAATTGAACATCATTAAAAAAAAATTCAGACCTAATTATAAGTTATTAGACAGAGTTTATATGTAGACATACAACATAGGCATATGAAAGTAGCACTCCCACTGAAAAAAAAATGCTATTACCTTACCCAAGTTCTTTTGAACTGACCCACCCCCCTTAAAAAAATATAAGAAAATTTACCTAATATTCATAAAACCTCAAAATCAACACTGTGTACCATCTTCTTTCACTGTGTAACATCTAATCCCCCTCCCTGTATTAACATAATTCATTCTTCTCTTGTTAATAGTTTAATTTATTTTACTTTTAGATTTTGAAAACCTAATGTTAGTGGCGTTTCGGCCAATTTGATGAACCTAAAACCGTCACAATCACTAACAATTCCCTTGTACCAAATCATTAACTTCACAATCTTTACAGTAACAACTGCCCCATCTCATGCAACCTTTATGATGCAGCCCTTCTGACTATTGTTTATTTTCCATAGCTAGGCCAATGCAAAAATTTAATTTCAGTAAAACAATAAAATAGTTACATATTTGGATAGGGGCTGTCAATCTGATTACAGATCAGTTTGAATTTTCAAAATCTGACCATAAACAAAAAAGTTATGAATTTTTTAGTCATTAAAAAGCAGCAGTTTTTTCAGACAACCGGGGTAGACCCTGAAAGAGGAAAAATACTGGGAGGGTATGGACCAAATTTTTAAGCGTTTTTCACTAAAAGTGGTATAAAAGCCAAAATACTTTATCAATTGATGTAATTTTAAGACATTTTATAGATTTTTGTATGCTGAATCCAATGATGCTATTTTAAAAAGTGTCCTTCGATTACTCAACCTACTAATCTCATAGATTATGTAATACCCCCCTTTCAACTTTTTTTAAAACATCTAATAATCAATGTGATAAGAAGTCATTCTTTAAATGTAACGCTATTTTAATCTATAATATGACATTTATATATGCTGAAGCTAATGGTAGATTTAAAATGGTCCAACATTGTTACATAACTATCAAATGTTAAGGTTATGTAATCCCACCCTTTGCTCAAAATATACCATGAATTTGTTTTAAAATCACTTTTGCTCATTGTCAGTTAACTTCAAGTTAATAGCCTACTAGAAGAAAATATAACTAATCAAGTTTTTCAATACAAAGAGAAGAATGCTATAGTAAATTTGTGATTATGTAATCTATGTGCAATACTAAAGGCCTACTCTGTTCCAAAATTTAGGCCTATCTCATTATAATTATATTTCTTGTTATTTTAAATATCTTAATCCTTTTTGCTATAGAATTAGTCTAGTTACAAATGTGTCTAATCAGAATCAGAGTGTGCTTTATGGTAATTACGTAATATTATTACCCATATTAAAGTTAATCATTTTTACAATGTCAATAAAATAAACTTTGGAGGAAAATTTTTTTTTTAAACTTGCACAAGATATAGTTAAGTTATAGATATATAACATAAATTTATATTTATGCCCAATGTTTATGCTAGTAGTAAGTAGGTTTATGTATTTTGTAAGCTTGCCAGTAGGCCTTTTACAATTAGCAACTTTCTTAAGAAAAAAGCACGTGTTTGAGTGCTTGACTGTGTAGATCTTGTAGACTCTAGAAATTGTGTAAGATTACCGTGTTTGCCTATACACAGACACGTGTACCACCACCAGCTTTTGCCTAGATTTAGTTCAATCAGACGTGGGTAACCAGGTCTTCTGACCAACCAATTTTATTGCCCTATTACGTAAACACGACCGCTGGTTAGGCTAGTCGGCCAACCCGATGAATGTGTCAGATGAATATTATGTAATCTCAGAGACAAAAGTCTGGCAAGATTTCCTGATCTATGCCCGAGGGTTAGTAACATCAACTCCACAAAGTGAAGGGGGAGGGAGGTGGGGTATGAAACCACCGTGTACCGTACGGGTGTTATACAACATCAAATGCGATGCTCGTCGGCTTGTCGCGTCTCGGACTAGTGGGGGCGGGTGAGGCTAAGGGTGTTACGTTGGGTGTTACATACCGTGTAGGATGGTCAGTGGCTACCCCCATCCACCCCACCCCATTTTGGTCGATTTGACAAGCTAGTAACCCCCACGTTGTTAGTGGTAATAAAATTTGTAGAAAAGAGCCCCGGATATAATTTAATTTATTTTTCAGCCATTTTTACGAAAATGTAATGTACACAATCACAATAATGAAACGTTACACGAATCACATCACAGCATTGTTTGATCGGGCCGAAGCTATTCGGATTAATTTCTAAAGAAGATTAATTTTGACGATTAGTCCTCTGCCGTAAATACTAACAAAACTTTTGTTTGACGTTTCAATGGGTTAAGACAAAGTTATGCAACATGTCTGTGTGCTTATAAATGTAAAATAGCAATAGCCGTCGAGTCAAACACGGGAACACATGTATCTATCTTTAGACATTGTTTATAGTCTCATCCAATCGGATCAAGCGCCTAGCGTCACGTGACCACACACTCGGCTGTGCCACACGATGTGTAGATCACCAATCAGTCGGACGGCGGCCGACGCGTTAATTTTTATTTTCGTTCGGTTTTAAAATGTATGGACGGCTTTATTACGAGGTGCTATAATACATGTCATACATTAAAATAAACGTCGAGATTTCGGGAATACAGCTCATGGTTCAAATGTAAAATATGTCCAATAATAGACCGGGAAACTTGGTTCAACTTTGCGATCCGATATCTCCAAAAGTATTTAACTTATTTTGACCACGAACCCTGAGCGTTATACGTCTACATTTAATGTATTCGTCTGCCAAATTTAACTGTTGTAGTACGTAAACTCGATACGTGTATACAAATTTTGTAACGCGTCATCAGGTTAAAAACGGCGATTCGAAGCACAGCAGGGCGGTTCAGTCAGTCAGCGGTCGGCGCGTCGTGTTTATATTTTCGGTCCACTTCAAAGTCTATAGACGTCCTTATTATAGGGCGTTATAGGACATATGATACATATTAATAAACGTCGAGATTTCAGGAATACAGCTCAGGGTTCAAATAACAAATCGGTCCATAAATAGCTCAAATAACTTAGTTTAACTTCGCGGTCTTATATCCCAGAAAGTATTTAACATATTTTAACCAAGAACCCTGAGCGTTATACGTGTACATTTAATCTATTCTTCTACAAAGTTTCACAGTTGTAGTACGAAAACTCACAGAGTCTATAGACTCCAAGTAACACCCCCCTTTTAAAAAGGTGAAAAAGCCTCCCCCCTAATCGGCACGTCGCCGCGGAGGGTAAAAAATGCGATTTAATCGGCGATTTCTTCAACGTGTGAAATAATACAGAAATCAAACTAATACAGTTAAAAAGGTTATTCAATTACGAACAGAATGATGTATAACATGTTAATATAAACACAATAAAAGCATGCAAAAAACAGAACTAAACATGCAGGGGGTAGGGAAAAGCCGATTTGTCCGATTTTCTCGGCAGCGGGATTGGCCTAGCTATTTTCCATTGAAAGGTAACGTCCTGACCAGTCCGTAACTGACGATATCAAATTATTATCCATGAAAATGTGTACAACTAAAATTTACCTATCAGATATTCCATTGCAGATTTGGCCCTTGTCAGGTGTTCTCATCTCTTGTTGCTAGCTGTTATTATGTGAATAAAATGAAACTTAGGTTAGCAAATGCATAGCATTCGGAAAAAAAATGTTAATTTGCCGAAACCTAAAATGCATGAAGAAACTGACCCATAACTACTAATCAATACTGTTATTATCAAATTCTTGTATGTATTTAATTTTAGGACCACTTACTGCTGCTTATTGCTAATTCTAATCAACAATATAATCTAATACTTTATTACTGTAATTTTCATTGTATAGGCCTGAACTTATTCTTACCAGAAGTATATTTTTAGGTATCCAAAAAACTTCGGTTGTCTTCTCCAACAACTAAATACTATTCCTTTTTTGTTTGGCATCTTCTGTCAGCTGCGTACTGTGCGTGTAGGTCCATCTGTAAAAAAAAAACAAGCTAAATGTATGTACTTTGTAAGATTGTAAGACTAAACTAGATCTAGATCTTGTATTATGAAATGTATTAGAATCTAGTATTATTGTCTAAATCAGAAAAAAAACTAGATTCTAGATCTAGATGACGCATATTTATTATTAATTTCAATGATTATATCTACAGTAGATAAATGATTAAATAACTAAATTGCCTCTATTAGTTAGTTTCTAGATCTAGATAGAATCTAGAATCTAGATCTAGACTTCTAGTTCTAGATCTAGATATCTAGATCTAGATCTAGCGTCTATGCCTAGATCTAGATTATCTAATTTGCGCTGATTGGTCTTTTTAAATACGCTTTAGCCGTATTCGTAACATAATTAGGACTGAAATAAGATTTCTAAAATAAATTTAACTTACCTAAGTCTGGTTTTGATATCCAAATGACAATAAACTTGCGAAATAGTTCAAGAATGTACAGTGATCGCATTAGCAAACAAAAGTTAGCTGCGTGTTTATCAGGCTAGGCGTCGCCGGAAGCGATGCATCGTGGGTCTCGGTTGATGACAAAATGTCAAATTTTAAACAAGCGGACCAATCAGGTTCGAGCCAAAACGAAACCAAACCTACTGACCAATCAAAAGACGTCTTCTTCAAATTTTAGTATGCTAATAGAGGTCATGTCCTTCTTAGGTTAATTTTAAACATGTAACCTTTGGCCGGGCGAGAGGCTAAGCTTTCGATTGATACCAAACATGGCGTAGTAGTTTAGTATTATACATCGGGTATCTAAGCACAAAGTAGCTCGATTTTCAGCTTTTCCCTAGAATTTTGAAGGACCCCACCCTAGTTTAATAATATTTTTAAATAGTTTAGAATTTTATTTTAAAGACAACATTAACAGAAAACGATTTATTAGATATTATTTTAATAGAATTTGCAAAAAACCCAACTACGATATAATTCATAAAAATATCGATATTGGGACCCGTGGAGTACCTTAAGTCAAATGTTACAAAACATAACAGATAATTGATTTAATATAACAATCACTGACCAAAACAATTTAAAATATCATGAAACTAACTTTAAACAAGGTGTTTGAGATAAATATTAGCAGATAAAAACAGCGGCCATCTTTCCAAATAAAATTTAGAGTAGTTTCCCTGTATACACATGTCTATTCGTATGTATATTGTGTTGATTTTGTTGTTGAATATACATAGCTGTCTTGTTTAATAAAAGTGGGACAGAGGGCCGTCTTCTTATCTTTAATTTCAATTGAAATTAAGGCTATGTATGTATGTACATCCAAGATCTCAAAGACTTTTGGGAGGTCCAACATTTATTAAACCCTTTTGTACTGATTAACTTGTCAATTATTAGGTCGTCCATATTCTTCATAAATGACGTTGGACTCAAAATATGGGACGGTGTAAAATATTTTTTCAAAAATGATGAAGAATATATTCGTGTTCGTTAGAAATTGTGATTAAGGGTTCGGGTATAGTAGAACTGCGATATGATGTTAAATCATCATCTTGCTTTTAGTAACTATTGGGTGAGAGGGAAATCGTCGGGAAAAGTATGAAGTCATTTATGGGCGATCCATTTAATTAAGCCTAGTTGTTTTTTTTTGTCTGTATTAAGATTATTGTGTTTTTTAAAATAGGTTCAAATTTTAATTAGTTACATTTGAATACCACATGGTTTGTTTTTTTTTTGGTTTTTTTTTTCCTTCTGCTATCATCAGTTTTTTTATTTCTTCAGTAGTCAATGTTTACCCCTCCCCACCACACATTATTACAACAACGAAAAACCACCCACTATATATGTCATAGCGTAGATATATAGAATTAGACTAGACGAGTAGAGGTTACCATAGGACGGTACGAACTTGACAGTAGACGATTTGGTGCGAGAGTATTGTGCGCGTGTTCAATAAAATTTGTGTGGCGTGAGTGTGACGTGAGCATGGTGCGAAAATGTACCGATGACGTAAGACGCAGCAGTGAAGTTAGTTGGGGGTTAGATATAGTAGAAGACGGACGTATTTTTTGATATTGTACAAATGATCTATAAGTGTGTGTTAATAAAGTTCATGTTATTTCATAAACATAGTTGTTGACATTGTTAATTAGTGTCTGCGGAACATAAGAGTGATTCCCGTCCTCCTCACGAGTATAATGGTTGCCGTAAGAATAGTAGTAGATCAGAATATATTGAGATTATATATAAATCCCCCCCCCCATCACAATATAGTGATATCTCCCTCTAGAAAAAAAAAAACTAGATGAACCTATAGTTCGTAGGAAAATTAGAATCTATCACTTAAAAAAAAAAGAAATACGTCATTTTTCTAAACCACGCCGTTTCATCCCCCAATAAGCACAACGTCACAAAGTTCGCGGCGCGTGTGACGTCATTTGTCATTAGGCTAATGTTTAAGAAAGAGATACCGCGTAATTAAAAAAAAATCAAAACAGGCACTAAATGACTATGACGATGAGACTAGCGACATTTAGCCTGACGAATAGATCTAAATTACTTTAGTTCGGTGAATTATATTGGTGTTTAATTTATTACAGTGGCATGATGTTCTCCCTCTACTATACAAATTCACGTGCTTTTAATTTCTGCAACATGCTGCCCTGAGATGTTCGGCTCTAAAATGCCCGTGACACAGCGGCTTCGGTAAATGCATTTAGGCTCCCGGTCCCACCTATAAACGTCTGTCCATTAAGCTCCACGCAAAACGTGTGATTAATATGTGGACATAAGCGGCGCTAGTGGTGGTGTCAACAGGGGCCAAGCTCAGGTCTTAAGCTAAAGGTGCTCCGCACTTCATAAAAGACAAAATTGATGTTCAGATATCGTCGGACTCTGGCGTTTTGCCGACGGCCGTACTCCTAATGCACAGTCTTAGAGGCTGTCCACTGCTAACACTATTTTATGTTAAATTTAAGCCAATACTGAGCTGTGGCTTTACATTAGCTCAGTGGCGTAGCGAGGTCGAGTGTCACCTGGTGCGGCACTTAATGGTGTCTTGGACTCTTGTCGAATATTGTTGACAGGAGCTACTTGGTTTGAGCCTTATTGTCAGAAGTTATTTCATTTGGAGTCAATATAGTGCGGCTTATTTTCGTCGGTAGGCATTTAGTGGCAGGCCCTTTTTGGCGGGGATGATGTGCTCAGGTTGTTAAACACCGCTTAGGACAACAGGCATGCAATAGTTATGATCATTCGTTATGAACAAATGTATGCATGAAAACGAACGCTTTATGTTCCTCAATTTCATTGAGCACAGCTTTAAAGAAGATTCCAAAATAGACGTCACGCATCACCCCCCCCCCCCCCCCCCCCCCCCCCCCCCCCGGACCACCCTGCGTAAGTTGACGGCACATTAGCATAGCATATGTGACATCGTTTATGGATAACACCATATAACTCATTTTGGGTATTTGGTATCAACATTTTGACAACAAAGGTTATTCAAAATGTATATAGGACTTGACATCTACCATAAATGACATCGCACACTTAAGGGGTGGAGTAACTGGTTTTGAGACGACGTTTTACGCGGGAAATGGGAGGGGTAAGAAACGTGAAACGTTATGTATTTCGCCAAATACAAAAATGCTGAATATATCGTTTTCATTAGAATTATGGCTTGACTTTTTAACAGGCAGGGCAAAAAGGTAATTTTCGACATTACGACTATTTCGTAACGGCGAAAATGAGGGGGGGGGGGGGTTAAGGTGAAGAAAGGTCAAAAAAAGGGACGTCATTTATGATTAAATCACTAATTAAAGGAAAAAAGCATGAAAATATTACATGAAAATAGCAAACAAACAAAAACACAAACAATAAGAATTAACTCAAACTAATATTTAAATAAACATTAGATATGTAGTGGTAGCTCTATAAAAATAGGGAGTATTTTAATGTGTAAAAATTGCATCTCATAATAATAATTCTAGAACTGATGTTTATTGTCAGTCAATTAAATTGTTTAAAGGGCAGAATTAAAAAAAAAAAACGCATGCTTTGTATTTAAACACAAGACTAACGTATTTAATAGCAAACATCAATACATTTCCATACAAATAGAAATTAAAGGGAAATGACTCAAAATAATATTTTCTTAAGATGGCCGCTGTTTTTAATAGCAAATTTAGTATCTGGAACATCGATTTTAAACCTTAATTTCATGACATTTTTATTGATTTAAACCTTAAATGTGGTTTAATATTCAATTATCTTTAGTAATTTAGTAAAATATGCAAAAATATATTCACATCTAAGCCATATTTGATAGTTACCTTATCCCTACATTACTAGTGACGGCCGAATTGATTACGCTAAAGCGATAGATTACCAAATATGAAGTGCAGGAAATACCAGCGGGATTATGGGTAAATAGTGAGACCTAATTCGCAAGACTCAAGACATTTTGGGTAGGCTAAAACTCCATTCTATCGTATTTTATTCCCCGCTTATCATCCTTAACGAGCTACTGATAGTGGCAGCGTTGGTACTGTCAAATTCACAAATTATGAGTTACTGAAAAGTAGAAAATAAAACAATTAAATAGCTGCGTATGATACGCCGCGGGTCGGCTCGTTATATTATAAAGGCCCTTTTTCAAACATTTTGCACACAAACACAAAACAACCAAATACAAAATAATGAGAATATACGATTATTTAGTTAATTAAGCTGAAAAATAAATGGAAATATTATCTGTACGAGGTAAGGAAGGACTGTTCAGGGTAAGGAATAAAGTGTAAACTCTTTTTTGAAGTAAGATATTAAATAGTTATAATGCGATAAATAAAAAGTGAATAGGCCTACATATTCTTATTTTCCACTGGCTGAATAGTGCAAGTTTTCCTTTTCAATGTCAAATAATAACGAAACTAGGTGCTGTTAAGAGTAAACTAGTGTAAAGGTGTTTAAGGTTGGAAAATTACTCTACATCTAAATGGAATATTAGATAATTATTTATTTTATTCTTTTGTGCTAAAAAGCAAAAACTGGTAACTGTATTTTTAAAATTAAGTTTACCGTACAGTTGATGGGGGTCATCTATAAATGACACAACACTCCTAAGAGTTAAGATGGAGGAGAGGGGGGTAGATTTTGTTGAGGGGGGGCATGGGTGTTCAGGAAGTAAAGTACTTTAAAAAAATTATTTTGCATTTTGCAAATAGTAATTAAAATGTTTCACTTTATTCAAAATATTACCTTCTGTTTATGTTTTTCAACATAAGTTTACTAATTTCAATGAAATTTTTTAGCTGTGATGCTGAACCAAGTGCTTTGGCAAAATATGTTTGTGCTTTAGTAAAGAAAGACAAACCTGAACAAGACTTACGTGATATTTGTGTTGATCAGCTGGATGTTTTTCTTCAGCAGAGTAAGTATTGTATTGGGGGGGGGTACAATTTACTCTATCTTTAAACCTTTAAGATTTTTGCTGTTTGTTTGCTTTTTGTTCTTTTTTTTTCAAAATGGATTACATTTACATTAAAATTTTGATGTACTGTGGATAATTTCAGATACAAAACCATTTGTTGATGAGCTGTTTGAGGTTCTCAAATCTAAACAGTACATTCCACCTGCCTCTGAAAAGACTCGGCCTGTTGTAGTAGCTGCACCTATCAAACCAGAAAATAAGCCAGACATTAAAACTCCTCATCTTTTACCAGGAAAGGATAAAGAAGATGCACCAAAGAGGAAGTTCTCAGAAGTGAGACCTATTATATATAAAGACATTTGTTTTAGAAACTATTGTTCTGTTACTTAATCTGATTTTTTATTTCTGTATTAATCTTAGAACTGTTAATACCCTATTTATTGTGATAGAAGTCAAATTTACTTTCCACTTCAAAAACGTCTATCTCTTAATTATAGATTTCCTCTACAACTGATGATAAGGAAAATAAAGAAAGTTCTGCTGTTATATCACTGACTGGTACAAAAGAACCTTCTAGTGATTTTAAGGAATCAAAAGATATCTCAAGAGAACCTCGAGCAACTTCTCGTGATGCTCGTGATAGAGACCCTGAAGGCTCTAGGGATCGCAGGGACTCTTGGAGAGATGAGAAAAATAAAGAGGGTATCAGGGATGCTCGAGATATCATTAGAGAAAATAGAGAGAGAGTTGACAGATTGGATCCGCGTGCTGACACCAGGGAAGTCAGGGAACCTCGGGACCGTGACCACAGAGACAGAGAACGCGACTTTAGAAGGAGGCGGACACGGAGCCGCAGTATAAGTCCTAGAAGAAGAGAATAGTAAGCTCATTTTATCCAGTTATATAAACCATGGTCTTCACTAAAAGTTCAGATATTTACAATGAAAAATTTCTTATGCATTTTACTTTAGTAGTTACTCAGTAGGTCATTAAAATTGTATTAAAATAATTACTCTGATATTCTTTGTTCACTTTAATAATCTTCTTATTTTTAGTGATGACAGAAGAAAAAGATATGATGAAAGGCCTAGATATTCGCCAGATAGGAGATGGGGGCGTAGAAGGAGTTGGTCTCGTAGTCCAAGGAGAGTTCGCTCTCCCATTGATAGAAATTTAAGGGCCCGGTCAAGGAGCCCCAGACTCAGATCAAGAAGTCCAAGATATCGGCCCTTCAGATCTAGAACAAGGTCACGGTCACCTAGGCCCAGATCGTGGAGCAGACTTGGCAGCCCTGCTAGGCTAAGGACTAGGTCACCATCCAATGGTGGGTGCAAAAACATTTACTCATATTTTAAAATTCTTAGTTTGGATTGCTCTTTTATTAACCGTATTTTTTATTTTATTTTTTTATTCCTATCTTTAATGACAGGTTAGCTATAAATTTTATAATAATGTTAGAATGAACAATAACTAATACTTTTTCATAAAGGTAGTAACTCTAACTTAAATACCTAACATACATATATATTTAAGCCCACAGTTTTAGTATTACTGTTTACTTACTATATAAATAATAACAATTTTATGGGTTTTTGATTTTCTGGTTTCACTTTACAGTTCTGTTTGCTTTTCAAATATCATGCATGCTTTTTTTTTTCTCTGTATACTATATTCATTTTGTTTAAGTAAAAACTTGAACATTTGATTGCTACTCCAGATGTGTATACAAAAGCTTTCCCTCAAAAAAATGTGTGCCAAGTTAAATTTTCTTACAAATATAATATTGTTTAAGTTAAAATCAAAGCAATTTAAAAAGTAATATGTTCATTTAACTTGTATAAAAAGAATTTATTTTTATATTTGTGATTGCAAAAGAATGAGATAATACTGACAAAACTATGAAAATTCAGTCATTAAAATTCAATTTTTTGCTGCTATTATGGTCCCAGATGTAGCTCCAATAACTTAACAAGTATTTTCTTATTAAAAAATCTGATCTTTTTTTTTTTTAATAATCCTATTGAGCTTACTTATACTTATTCGAATTTTTCTGATTTTATTATTAACCAATAATACGACAGAAATAATTTAAAAATATAATTATCAATATATTTGGATAGTACGACAACCAGACAGTCGAGGTTCCACCCCTCTTCAAGACAATGATTATATCTCTTCATCAACCAATGATTTACCTGCAGTTACTAGCACTGTAGGATTTCGTGCTGGTGAAGAACGTAGTGATAATAGAATACCTACAAATTTGGATGTTCCTCCACCTGTATTCCCCACTAATGCAAGACTTCGTTGCCAAAACTTTGAAGGTAAACCCAAAAGTATTCATTGCACTCCCAGTCTTTTATTCTTTAAAAGAAACTTCTTTAGGGGTAAAAGCAATAAAATTCTCAAAATGTTTGTCCCATGACATCTGTAGGTCTCCAAAAATCCTTGTCGTAATGCTTGGTTTAACTGCTAAACCACATCACCATTTACCTGCAAACATCCCTGTAATGATGCTTGGTTTAACTGTCAAACCTCATCACAATTTACCTCAATATTTCCTGCAAACATCCCTTTAGTGATGCTTGGTTTAACTGTTAAACCTCATCACAATGTACCTCACCATTACTTTCAAACATCCCTGTAGTAGTGCTTGGTTTAACTGTTAGATATCATCACCAGAAACATTGTAGTGATGCTTGGTTTAACTGTTTACCATGATTCAAAAGCTCTGCTCTGTTAAACAGCATCAGTTTCATTTTTGAGGTATGGGAGAAAGAAAAGATTACAAATATGCAATACAAGGCTAATGGAGACTTGACACCACCCCCCTACCTGTAGTTGTATTACTTGCAAAAATATCTTGCTATTAATTTATTAATTGTGTATAGATACTTCATACTATTATTTATAACAAAACTAGGTTGTATTTTCAGATATATTTTGCCACTGTTGTATCTAGGGATAGTTGAGTATCCCAATGAAAACAATGTTGGGAATAATCAAATTATTTAGCCAATGATTTGTTTATCAAGCAAAATTATTTACTTCTACATAATTTAAACACTGTGTGGTATCTCATGCCATTATAAAGATAACTGAAATTGTGTATTATTTTACAATATTAATGCTTGCAATATTCAAAGGGTTGCATTTTATTTTTTCCCTATATGTTGTGTCTACAATTTTTAAGTTGCTATTTCCTCTTTAAAGTGTTGCACTTGCGATGCAGCACTGAGCTATCCAGTATATTAACATTGAGAACTAATTTAATCATTTTCATTCCTTTTTTTTTATTTATTCATCCCTAATATGGTACCTTCTCAAAAGAATTTAGAACTAAAAAATATTTAATAGAAAAATTGATTGGGTTTTTTTTTTGTAAACTATGTATTTGTGGGTTGATTTTTTTTCTCTATTGTGTGTGGGGGGAAGGGGGGGGGGGGGGGGGGTGGTTGTGCAATACTTTTAACTCAAACTCTTTTATCAAGGTCACTTGTACCATAACCCACCAGTTTCTCTTCTCATGGGCCTTTACCAAATAAGATTTCAACTATGGGCTCATTGACATGCTAGATAAACTCTGACTAATAATACACCTTCAGCTGCCAACTTGAGGTGCTGAATGCTGCACCAGGAACACCTGTAGCAACATAACAAATGTAACACCTGTGTTGTCACCTTTGTGTCCACCATTAAATTCATTGTATTTCTCCAGAAAAGGGGTTTTGTATGCTGGGTGATGTATGTCCATATGACCATGGCTCAGATCCTGTAGTGGTGGAGGATGTCTCAATACCCAGTGTTCTACCTGGATCTAATGGCCCAAGTAAGTTCAACCCTGGGGTAGTATCTTTTTTTCCTGCATGGTTTCTAACTGTATTGGTGGATGGGGCTTACATGTGATGGGGCTTAATTTTTTATCACCTTATGTTATTTACTTTTACCATTCAGGTTTTCTTTGTTTTAAAATGGCACCAGCTATTGCTATGATTATAAATGCTGAAAAGTTTCATGAATTATCTAAATTTAAAAAAGCATGCTATTAATGTAAATGTAACTTTGTACTGCATAATTGCTTTGTGGTGTACTTCAGGCATAGCAGCTGCATCATCTGTTGGGTTTATCCCCCCTGATCTTCGTGTTCCCCCACCTGGTCATATAGGGATGCGTATTAACTTGAATCGGCCTCCACCAACACATGGTAAAATAACAGCTTTTTTGCATTATAATATGTGGTGGTTATGGTACAGAAATCTGTAGTCAATAGATGACCTATGAATGCATTGGAGTTACTTCATTAAAAAAAAAAATGTGTTAAAAGATATATTATTAAGTTTACTAAAAACCAAATTGAATAACTTGTAACAGTTTAAACACCTACTGAGATTATTTTCCAAACAGTTGAGCCATATTTACCTGAAGCCCCCAGGCTTCAAGGTCCACCTCGAGTACCTTTCATCAGAGGGCCACCAGATTTGAGACAGCCACCTCCTGGTATGATCTTAAACAGACCACCCCATCCAGATCAATACTACCCACCACGCAGAGAAATTATCATGAACAGACCTCTTTTATCTGACGATGCAGGTTTGTCTCTTGGTACTTTTAGATGTGTACTTGTAGTCAGATTTCTGTGTGAAGAATGTCACAAACATGTCATTCGGTTTAAAAATACAAGTGTGTTGTTTGAAACATTTCTTTGTAGGATACTTTACAAACATGACATGTTAGAAAAATACAAGTGTTCTGTTTGACAGATTTTTTTATATATCACTAACATGAACTTATGTTTAAAACTTGTGTCCACCACAGCTGATAATCTGCAAGAATCTTCTAGAATAGTCATTCCAGCAAAGAGACCTTACATTGGCATAGACAGTGATCCAAATCTTGTGACTGGGCCACCTCCCCCTAGGATGGCCTATGTCAACCAGCATCACAGTATGTTTGGTGTCCCACCACAGCAGCCACTGATACCACCACAGCTACAACCACCACAGCGCCGGGGATTTGATTACAGCAGGCTTGGAAGTATGGTCATTTTAGCACTCTTTCGTTGAAGAAAATTTGTTTTGGTTATTTACTTTCTGCTATTATAAATCTTCCTCAGTTTTGACTCTTGTAATACAACTACATTTGTGTACTTGTATTTCTCTTATAGATAGAGGAAGCATCAGACCACAAGTTCCTCGTCTACCTTATAAAACTGGAAATTTAACTTTAGAAGTTCGCAAGATTCCTCCAGAGTTCAACAATATTGCCAAGCTCAATGAACACTTTGGAAAATTTGGAAATCTCACTAATATTCAGGCATGTGATTAATATTTTTCAAGATAATTAGTACATTTAGAGTTTAATAAGATTGTTTCAAGCTGATATAATAAAATCTTTTTATAAATTGTCTTTGTTAGGTCAAATATCAAAATGACCAGGGAGCTGCATTAATCTCATTCTCCAATAATGGGGAAGCAACAGCTGCTTATCGCAGTCCTGAGCCTGTGTTCAACAACAGATTTATCAAACTTTTCTGGCACAACCCAGAAAAGCAGGTGGACATGGATGGTGAGACAGAAAGCCCTGTTGTTACTATGAGGGAGGATGGTAAAGATGTCAATTTACCATCAGCAGTTACAGGTGGAAGGGTTGGAGATGGGGTAAGTACACTTACACATTTTTAAAATGCATATATATATATGTAAATGAGTGACCAGTTGGAGAACAAAATGTGTGTATATTTAACAAAGCAATTTGGCTTTATTTTCGTTTAGATTGATCACCCTTCATTGGTACTACCTGTACGCCCAAACATACCCCCAGCCCATAAACTGCAGCTAGACAACACAAAACCAAAAGTAGGAGCCCCGGAGCCTGTAGAAGCTACTCCTGGTAATGAACCAGTTGAAAAGGTAGGTACAGCAGAATAAACACTTACAAAGTAGGATATTGTAATCACTTAAAATTAATAGTTATAGGCCTAATAGTTAATTGATTTCTTTATTTAAAACTATGAAGTATCTTGTGATTTGTTTAAAGCTGTGAGTATGACAGAGACAAATGTTCCACCTGTGTTCACTGCCTCTGTTAGATAATACTGATGAAAATATAAAAATTTTTTTTTTGTTTCAGTCTATTGTGTATACATCATCTGTGGGCAATTTAAAAAAGACAGTATTTAACCCATCTGCCACTGTGCCGCCTACAACCACAGTCAAACCAAAAGGTGCGGTACCTTTCACTAGTCCCACTGCTGTTAAAACAGCTGATTATGTCTCAAGGATGGAAGCAATCAAAAGACAGGAAGAAGACAAAAAGGTAACTTGTTCTTTTACTGCTAACTAAAAGGATTTGTGATAAATTGTTTGAATGTGAAGGAAAATTGTTTCATTATTAACCAACAACTTTTTTTTCCAGCTTGCTACAGTCAAGCAAGCAGAACTTGAAGTGAAGAAACAAGAATTACTGTCAAAACAAATAGAACAGCAAAAGGTTTGTTTAGTATTTATTTTTTTCTCTTGTTAGTACTTGTTCATTGTACTTTGATAGAAAAGAAAACAGTTGAAATTCTTATGGTTTAAAAAAAAAAAAAATTATTGATGCTGTAGACTAGGTACTAATGTGGGTGGCAGAAGTAGTGGGGCATTAAGGACCATGTATTTCAAGATAAAGTATAAATTTTTCTCTCTGCTCAAAAGCACCTTTAAGATTATATTCAGAAAGGTGTATTCTTCTCATTACCAGATTCTCATTGAGACATTAGAGAAGAAGAGGAATGTGTTAAGTGAGGAAGAGAAAAAAAGTCTCTTACAGGTAATGTCAACATCATAGTCAAGTAGTTTTTTGTGATGTTTTATTTCCGTGTTATTGCTTGACTACATATTTTTGTAGAAACATTATTTTAATTTAGATAATAATTTACGCTATATAATTTAATGGGTGCTAAACTTTTATTTAATTATACTTTTTTTGTTCAAAATTTTGACTTTTTTAATACGTTTATTTAGGCTTTGCGTACAATATCTGATGCTATTGATAAAGTGAAGTATGGAACAGGAGCAAAAAAGCCACCTGCTACGGGTGCTTTTCCAACTCCACCTCATGCTCAGTTTAAATATGTTAGCAGCCAAGAACATGTGGTAAAGATTTTGTTTGCTTACTGTATAAATATTTGACACAAGTATTGAGTATATATTTTTTCATTTTGGGTTAAATTACAATTGTCCCATACTTACTTAGATGAAAAATCATTTAATTTTACAGCAGCAACCAGCGCCAATTCCTGCACAACCAATGTATGGAAGAGGCAGGGGCTGGTCTGGTGGTAGAGGTGCTTGGATTCCTAGAGGGCGTGGTAGAGGCTTAGTACAGTTTGGAGGTCGCACCCATCTTGACAATCGTCCAAAGACAGTGGAAGTTAAAGGGTTTGACCTGGCAGAACTTGAAGAAATCAAAGCTCATTTTTTGGTCAGTTTTAATTGTCCATTGTATTGTTTTTTGTCAGACTGATATAAAACAATTCTTGTTAAAATGTATGTAAACCTGAAATTAATCTCTTCATAGTAGTAAGTATAAAAATAGTATATATGCATCACTTATGTACATCAAGGCAAATCTATTTCTACTATACCATTACTATACTATATTCATTTCATTTTTTCCTCCACAAATTTACCACATAAAACTTCAGTTTCTTTTTAATTGTTTGGATTTCCATTTTTTTTTTCACATGAGGAATTCTTTCTCTCCCTCAGAAATTTGGTGAAATTGACAAAGAGGAAATAGTTGAGGAAATCCCTAGTGCATTTTTTACATTTTCTTTGAGACATTCAGCTGAAATGGTATGTGTTACAAATTTTTTTAAGTTATACATTCCAGCTCTATTGGGTTGTGTATTTTTTTACTTTTATTGTTGACAACTTTACTATAAAGGCTCTCAACCCTGTCTTTCTTTCATTTATTAAAAAAATTTTACTTAAATTATTCTTTCTCCAAGGCTGTGGCCCAAGGTGCCAAGTTTAAAAAGAAGATACTTGTCGTCAGATGGAACCAGATCACACCAAAGATAAGTAGAGCAGAATCAACACAAAGTTCAGAAGTTGATGAAGATGTAAGCAATGTTTTGATTCTCTTTTAAAGTTATAAACATTTTCTTCCTGTTTTTAAGATTCTTTTTATCAAATAGATTTAGATCTTTGGTGGCACATTTTATTTTTAAATAATTAGTTTAAAATTATTAATGTCAGTGAGTTGAGTGAGTATAAATTAAATATAAAGTACATTAGAGCAGTGGTTATTTGTATAACTGATTTCTTTTAGCTGTCTGTCAACCTGGAATCATTGGACGATGATATTTTACTAGAGATGAGTGGAGAGGAGAAGCTTGAGAACTCTAACACTGACTCTTTGTCAAGTGCTGTGCCGAATCAATCTCTAGAGCCTAGCAGTGCTGCATCTGAGGTACAGGAAATGGAAGAGGATTCTCGCACATTTGTAGACAGTGTGAAAGAAGACAAACCATTGGTGGTTGAGAGTAAGTCAGTCATCTATGAGCGCAGCCTTAGTGAGGATTTACTAGCAGGAGATGAAGAGCATTTTAAGGCTAGTTACACAGATGAAGAGGATGATGAAGATCATATCACTGTAACACTGTCCAGCACTGCCTCCACTACTCCAACCATATACACCAGTGGTGCTAGCTATAACGCTGCAGTTAGCATGGAACAGGAGACTCGTGATATCATAGAAGAAGAGGACATGAATACAAATCTAGATTACAATGAAGAAGGCTCGTGGAACTGATGCTAATTCGTTGTTAGATTTTTATTGTGTCAATTTTTATTTTTTTTGTTAATTAAGGGCTACTTGAAGCAGATTTTATTTAGATATCATTATATGCCTATTTTAAATGTTTCTTTCTGTTTGAAATGTAAATGCATGTAATTGAAATCTTTTGTTAATTACAATATTGTCAGAGGTTTAATTTTTATTAAATAAAATGTCTTGAGCTTCTAAAATTAAATAAAAAATCAGAATTTTTTACTTTTAAGACTATTTGTTAAGTTAAAATTTAAATGAAAGATTAGCATTTAGAGATAGCAGCAAATAAGATTGTTCAGTAAGGTTTCTATTCATTCATGTTTTTATGTACTGTAGTTGTTTTTCCATAAATATGCTGTTGGCATTCTGCTCATCATTTTATTTTATGACTCCAAGGGTTATTGATTAAATGGCTGCATTTATGTTTCATAAAGATACTGCATTTAAGATTGTCTTGAGGTTTTATTTTTAAATAGTTACAGGTACAAGTTACTTATTCATTTACATTAATTTCTAAAAGTTGATGCATTTTTTTTCAATTATACATTCTCATTACATTGTAAAATAAATTGTTTTATATTATTTTTGTGGTTTTTTTATTTGGCTTTCAGACAAGTTTAGAATGTCTTCAATTTATAGTGATCTATTATTTGTATGTATTTTTGTAAATGTGTGAATTTCCACCAATCTGACATGATGCAAAAATTGTACATGTACAGTATCAATAATGCGTACACGTTAATTGGTTTTTTTGTGAAAGGAGAAAAGTATTTTGTAATCTAAATGCTTTGAAATTTCAGATATTTTTGTTTAATAGTTGGAAAACTATTAGTCAGATATGTTTACAGTATTTTTCACCCATAAATCATGTTTTCTTAGTAAATATTAAGTCTTTACCCCTATTCACTATGTTCTAAAATGTTCAATGTTTACCATCTCACTAAGTTTTTTTTTAAAAGCTGTTTTAAAACAATGTAAATTGACCCGAATGACCCTCAACAAGTGTTAGTGAAATTCTTCCCTATGAAATCTAAATGTGAATATATGAAAACTCACCCTGGTAATTTTGCACTGCATCAGATGTGATTCATGATTTTGTCATAGACAGAAAGTTGTTTTCATTTGAATTAATTTATTACCTCATGTAGTATCTCTATAGGCCATTTTAAATGAAGTTTGTTGTATTATCCATGAGCTTCTATTATGTTAAATGTTTATTTTTAACTTGTTTGAATTCCTAAGTTACCATTTAGGTTAAAATTATTTGATTGACCATTTCTTTTTGCTTTAATCTGTCAATAAATCTGCAAATCTCATATCATGTTATTTACATTATTTAATGTTGGGTTTTTTGTTATGTTTATTTGGCCAAAAAAATATTGAAAAAAAAAATGAAAAAAAGAAGATAAAAAAAAAGATTTATGAGAAAAATTTCATGAATTCCATTAAAAAAAAAGACCAAAAAAAAGGAAAAAAAACATGGAAAAAAATTGACAATTATTGTCTTCATGCTATTATTATAAACTTGTTTCTAGTTTTTCTTATATAGCTTTTGCTGGTTACCAGAATCAAATAGTGTATTGCTTTGTTTTTATAATTGTTAGTCTGCTGTGGATGATTAAATTATATTTTGTTATACTCAAAAGTAGGTTGAAGACTTACTTACTTACTTACTTAGTCCTCTTTGCTCCTTATGGAGCATAGGGCCTCCACCATTTCCTTCCATTTCTTCCTATCCTCGGCTATTAATTTTGACATCTCCCAAGACATCCCTATTGGCTTCAGTTCTTCAAGAAGACTCCGCCTCCAGGTCTGTCTTGGGCGCCCTCTCTTCCGCTTTCCCTGGGGGTTCCACTCAAGCGCTTGGCATGTAACATTTGTGTGAGCCTTTCGCAGTGTGTGACCCACCCAGCGCCACTTCCTCCTAGGTTGAAGACAGCTGGGCATAAGTGCATCCCTACACTTATCTCTTACTATTGATTCTATGGAATATTCTCTCTTCACAAAGTTGTGATTACAAAATCTGTTTTACTGATCGTTTTTAACTTCCATGTTAAGAGTGATTTTATTTTAAATACTACACCCAAAAGAGATGTTCTACTTATGTGTAGAAATTCTTTGATTGGTAAACTGTTGGTCCAAGATGTCTAAAACAATTTCAGTAGTGTTATTCCATGAAGGCAGATGGTAGGTTTGTAGTTGTGTGTCACAATTAACACACTATACATTTTTTAGCTGAATAGACAATGATTCATTGGTATGGAAAACCTGAATTCTTGAACTAAAATCAATAGTGGGTCATGTCTGAGACTGGACTGTTGAAAAGGTTTGTAACAGACATTGCAATAGAAAATATACTGAAATTAATTACCATTTTCAAATCACATTTTATTCCAAATCATACTTTTTTGCAATGCTAAAGAAACATTAGATGGGGAAAACCAAAATATAATATTTAGAAAATGAAAAGATAAAATTGTATACAAAGTAAGGACAAGGCTTTTGTTAAATTGTACAGTTGGCAACTCTGGGAAAAAAATTAACTAATTGATTATGGTAGTTAAATATTTTCAAATTCTACATTGGAATTGAAAAGGGGTTGTCGGTGTTCTCTAATATAATATCTTTGTATTTTTCCACTCCAGGTGAAGCTGACTCAAGTAATTGTAGCTTAATAGTTGCCCCTTCACCTTCCTCATTTGATGTGGTATTTGCCAGCAGGTCATTTCCTTTGGAAACTGTTATTCGAATTTTGCTTCCATTATCAATGAGTTGTCTTTCGTGAGCCATGGCAAGCTGAGTGATCACCCTTCTTTCTACCTGCAACATAATTTACACAAGCACAGGTTGGTTTTTAGTTAAGATCAGTGAATTTGTTCTTATTATTAATGTGCACTGATTTTTTTGTCTTTATTCTTTCAGATAAATGGTTAGACTGACTGTATTGCCATGTAGTTATTTAAATATAAAATACATAATTAATGTAAATAAAACAAGCACAATATGGTGTACAGAAAACAGTTAAAAATGAGCTAACAAAAATTATTTCTGAACCAAAAATTAATAGGTTTATTACACTGCTATGCATTTAATAAGCAAACTATCATTCTAACATTTTTTTTTAGAGATTATCCCAAACCTTGCCTAGACTAGGAATTTTATTTTTAAGAATTAAATCAAAATTTTAAAACAGAATTAAAGGCTTTAATCCAGATGTTAAACATGTAATATAATACTTATTTAACTGCCAGGTAACAAAATAGATCAAGTTTGATTTATTACCTCATATTTGATTGACCTTGCTCCATAATGAGTGTCGAATCCTTCAGCTAATGTGTCAATAACTCGATGATCCCAAAGCAGTTCAATATTGTGCTTACTTTTTGCCTGTAATCAATTTTTTAAATTATTTAAATTTGTCAAGCTTTTACATTTTACAGATGCTTTCAAACTCAAGTTGAGGTGCCTTAAGGAACTACAGTAATTTTATTTTCAGCACACTGTAATTGGCTGATATCAAGATGACCTGTGGCAAATCACTCATATAGGCCTACTTTAATATATAAGATTACAATAGTGACTTTTTAATCTTAATCACCCAAAAAAATTACAATTGCTCCAATACTTCCCACTGAATATTATAACAGAAAATGCTGTAGGATTTATCACATACCCTCTGTGACCAAAACTCAAGTTCTTTGGAAACAAGCTTTGATAGTTCTGACTGAGAAAATGGCAGAAAGTAAACTATTTCATTGATTCTACCAAGAAATTCATCACGTCGAAACTTGCGCTGAAATGTCATAAAACTATTTTAAATTTAAGAAAAAAATAGTTATAGAAAGCATGATGGATAAGGATATATAATTACTGCATGAAGTGATAGGCATGAACTTTTTACAAATGTTTTTGGAACTGTGATGGAAATAGATTAACTTACAAACATCAATTTTTAAAATGAAAATCTTATTTTAAAGATATTTTAATGTATTTATAAAATTCCCTATAAATCAGCTGTACTGATAACTCTACCTTTAGTATAGGTCTGACAACCTGATCTTTAAAATTTCTTGAAATAGTGACTTTTTCAGCTTGCTCAAGATCCTCTATAAATCAGTAGATAAAATGATACTAAGTGACAATTATTTATGTTTGTAATGGTCATTTGATTTTCACATAAAATGTTATGTACAAAAAACAGTATACAATAAATACAGTCTACAAACAAGCAACTAAAGATTAACTGTAGATACAAACCTATACTGGTAGTGCCTCTCATCCTAGACATATCAGCTGCCTCTTGTCTAAGCTGAATTGCATGCTCAGCAATCTCTTCACTGGCAAGATTGGAAGTCATGATAAATATTGCATCTTTACACTCAACTAGTTTTCCCTTCCCATCAGTCAGACGGCCCTGCCAGAAAAAAAGTCTTTCATGGGAACCAAGATTGGATTATCCTCCATTTTTGTCATATAAATTTTTGGTACAAAAATTAACTGTGGAGTGCTTATAAATTATACAAATCATTTCTTTTTTAGATAATTTTTCAATGTGAATCCCAACATCCCAGACCAGCATAGTACAACAGAACTAACTTTTCCTTATTTAATGTTAAACAAAAGTAGTTAAAGGGATTTAAGCTTAAGCAAGAAATCTTTTACACAATTAACGTTTTTTTTTTTTTTGGCCTGATTTTATTTTGCTAACATAAATTTTCAAAAATTGATGACAATTTGGTCAAACTTTTGATCAAAATGTTTAACACTCATGATACTGAAGAAGGAACAAACATTTTAAATTTAAGTTTCTTATCTCCAGCTGTTTAACATGCCTCATGTGTACATTTTAAATTATCCTTTATCTTTAAAAAAAATCAGAGTACAAGAGAAAATCATTTTAAAAGATAAATTATTTTTCTTTCCTGTCATCTGCCGATTATAATTTATAGCACAAGACTTCAAGTTTCCTATAAATTTATAAATATAGCAGTTACCTCATCAAAAAGCTGTAACATGATAGTCAATACATCTGGATGGGCTTTATCCACCTCATCAAATAGCACAACTGCATTAGAGCATTTACTTAGAGCCTTGGTAAGTTGTCCCCCTTCATCATGCCCAACATAACCAGGTGGAGATCCAATAAATTTAGCAACCTATCAATATTTGAAGGACAGGGTCATAGCTCCATGCACAAATAAAGTAAAATTTTGTGGCTACCAATCTTTCACATGCACAAAAATTTTTGTTGAAGTTAAAGGTTTTACTTAATTAAATAGGTTTTTAAAATGAAATATAGGTAGTTCTATAAGGTAGCTAAAGATTTAGTTAAATGTGGATGAAAAAACAAATAGTTACAAACCTCATGTTTTTCTTGGTATTCTGACATGTCTATTCTTATAAAAGCCTGTGAAAATTACAAAATGATGAGTATTGTATTTAAAATTCATATATTATTTTTTGTGAAAACAGCTTAGAACATAATTCATTTGTATTTTCTAATGCTGGTTACATTAACAACACTAATACTACTATATATTATGTTACATTTGATACCTCTTTTTTATCTTTGTGAAGATAATGGGATACCTGCTTGGCCAATTCTGTTTTACCTGACATTGGTTAAAAATAAACGTTTCAATCATTTTCTAGTAGTACCAGGTCTAGTAATAATCAAGTTCTTTAGTAGAAATAATTATGTTAAAAGAGTAAACTTGTTTTATTACAAAATTGCAGTAAAGAAAAATTTAACAAAACTATAATTTAAAGTGACATTATTATATGTATAACATACCAGGCTTGATTTATAGAATGGTTACTTACATAACAAATCATTCATTTAAAAGTTGCCAAATGTGCTTTACAATCAAATGCTGCTGCAGATCAATACAATAATAGAGGAAAATAATTACCAATGCCAGAGGATCCCAAAAAAAGAAACACCAAAGGATGATCTTCGTCATACCAGCCATTTTGTTTCCGCCTCACAGCTAAGGAGTATTAATTTGTAGTTGTTTTTTTTTTACTATTGAAGATAATTAACATGTTACATTTGATCCTAGTGTTTCAAAATAATTGGGATTATGTCCAATCTGAATCCTAGAGTTCCAGGAAACTGGTTGAACAAATAAAGAACTTTAAGAACTCAAAAAACAGAAATGTCAATACAACTGTTGATTGATTCTCCTGTTTAGAGTTAGAGTATTTTTGATAACACATAGGCTTATGGTTATCATATGTACATTTTTAGAGAATTATTATTGCAACAAATTTCTACTGTACACAGAAGGTTTTGTTAAGTTTATTTCAATCTATCCAAAGGGAGTTTTTGAAGCTAATGGTTAAATATTTACTGTTTTTATTAAACAGAATGAATATACAATTAAACATTAATCTCAAATAATACAATCACCCTGTATATCAACTGTTAAAAAAAATATATGTGTACATCGTTAAAGTTAATGTGGGCTAAAATTTTCATTTGCAGATTTTACATTGCTAAGAGTTAAAACAAACAACAAAACTTAAATATTATTCAGAAAGCCATCTTAATTCAAAATAGTAACCTCAGGTGAATTAGATGTTAGTTTGAATAAACTTAATTGAAGGTACCGTATTTTTAAAAAATTACCTGCAGCTACAGTGTTTATAGCAGCCTCTTGGCCAATGATGTGCTCCTGCAGTCTTTTCTCAAGAGGAAATCGTCTTCTTTCTTCAGCTTCTTCTGCGGCTTTTTTTTCTACAAACTTTCAGAGAAAAAAATATTTCTCATACAGATTCTTAAACTACTTTAACAATGTGATCTTCAAACAGCTAAATGCTTGACACCCTCAAAGCTACTGAAACCATCAGACCATAGAAGAGTTATAGTCTGTTTCCCAAATTGAAAAAAAAAAATATTTTGAGCAATTTATATACCACCAGTATACAAGAATTATAAAGTTCCAAGCATTTTCTTAGTAATCTTAATTAATATATCTTAGTTTAAGCCTCAAGTTGCAAGGTATTTATAATAGCCTAAATTTCACTTTGTGCACTTTTCTGTGACCTTTGTGCATTTGTTTTTGTGTTTATATTTCCATTGCACAATTTTCTAGAAACCATATGAAATGCGCCATCTGAATTTTTTTTAAATGATGATGTAATTTAAAGTAATAACAAGAAATTACACTTTGAAGCATTTATTTGAAAAGTTAATGTAATTGAGTCTAACTGTAATGAGTTGTCAAGGTTTAAGAAAAGAGTTAATCATCCATATGGTCATCTAAGTCTTTATGTTAGGGAAAAAATCTCTTGGCTGATTTTTTTTTCAAATATTCTAAATGTTATTGCTTCTTATATATTATAGTATATTTTCTTGTCTTAATTTTCAGAGAAAATCTTAATCAGGCTGCATAATTTTAAAGTCTAAATTTTATGAAAATGTTCTTTTAAATGTTTAATTCATTTTAAAATTGCATTACCTTCTTAGTGTACGTTTCAATTAGTTTTTGGGCTTCACTATCTCGAGAATACTCAATGGCTCGGTGTCCCAATGCATTTTCTATAGTAGGGTCAGCTCCTTTCATAAATAGAAATATTTTATCAAAGTTTGACAACAAACTAAATCTTCTGTATTACAGTTGATAATAATATGGAAATTTTAAGAAATTGCATTATAAAAAAACTATTAGCTACATTTATTTCCCACTTATTACCAGCCTCTAATAGATGCTTAACACTTGCAACATCATTGACAAGCACAGCATAGTGTAGAGGAGTGCAGTTTTGAAAGTTTGCACGGTTACTCAGTCTATCAGAAAACTCCTCCTCTCTTGTCAGTAGTACTGGAACAAATATTTTCAAAATTGTCTTAATCACAAAGTTAGTAACAGAAAATTATGTTCTAAAATAAAACAGTTTCAGTAGACAATGAATGCTCTTAGAAACAAATAAAGAAACGAACTGGTACTCATAGAATCTACGTGTTTATGATGATATGACAGAAAACATCAGTGTGTTTCATTCACATAATGTAAAAAATAATATTTAAAAATTCATCTTTATAAATAACAAGCTTTTGTATATGCGCTAAAAAGAAGAAACAAAAAGTTTTCATTAACTATATAATAAAGCACCCCTATTTAAATAAGTTTTGAATACTGTAGCGCCTGCAGCTTATCAGCCAAGTACTGATTCACCCAGCCAGACTCCAATGTGAAAAGACATAACAAAATTCAGTTCTGGACGTTATTTCAAACTTTAGATCAGACTTCCTATCACTGTGATGACCTAGACAAAACTCCTTATCATTCCTCTCTAACACAGATCTAATCTAGCGTTCCTCTCTCTTTAATTAAACACCTAGAAGGAACTAAATTTTCTCCGCCTAGCAAAACAATTATACATCAAACATCACTATCTTCCATACATTCATTATTAATGTGCACCAATATTCATTCGCACTCAACTACTTTTATACTAATACTAATACTAAAACTACACACTTTATAACAAATACCCTTACTAAAATGTTAAAATTAACCCATGCTTTTTGTTATAACGGAGTCCATTGTTGATGCTAGGTATTTTAATAGTGGTGCATTATTATTTATTTGTCAAAGAAAATCATTTATTTTCTTCTTTTTAGTAATTTTAGTCAATACATAATAGAAGCTTGTTATAAAAAATTATTTTTTAAATACTTTAAAATTTTTAAGTAAAAAGCATTCAGTATTAGGAAGCCAGTTAAAAAAAAGATTGTAAAAATGAATGCCTCTCACTCTCTCAACTCTCTGTGTAGTGTAACTTAAATTTTTTTTAAACATGCTCACCGTGCAAACTATTTAGTTGTTTCTCTTTGGCCTTTAGTGCAACAGTTGTAAATTCATCCAAACAATTAGGATCTGCTCCTGATTGTAAAAGCAAGGCTACAATTCTGGAAAAAAACAGTTCAAATTAACTTACACCTACACAATTTTTTTAAATAGCATACAGTGTAATTTGTGAGCACAAAAACATATGATTGAAGAAATGATAAATGCTTTGTGTTCTCAAATAAATATAACGAGCCGACCCGCGGTGTATCATACGCCGCTATTGAGTTGTTGTTTATTCTACTTTTCAGTAATTCATAATTTGTGAATTCGACAGTACGAATGCTGCCACTGAAAATATTTGCTTTAAAACACTAAACCCCTCCCCCCCCCCCCCCCCCACGTGAAAGCAGCCTCCTCTTATTTACCTCCTGTAAGTTTAAAATCGTTTCAAACTAAATTATCTGCCCCTAATAGCCGTCACTAAACCCGGCTCTACGATTTGTAAATATTTAGCGTGACCACAGCTCACCAGACCATGTGGGGGTGGTAGTGATAGTGATAGAGAGAAAGAGAGGGGACTGCAAGGAGGCGCTTGCAGCTTGTTTTCTAACGTCTCCCAGAAGAGAATTATATATATAGATAGATATAAACAGGCCTTGAACTTGAAAGTTTAAAGATATTTTTTTCATTAAAGATGAGTGGTATCAATTGGGCATAGACATACTCTGATTTTTTGTTAACTGCAGCAACATGGAGAGGTGTCCATCCCAGTTCATGACATTTGTTGACTTCAGCTCCAAGTTTCAGTAATCTACGCACACAAAAATATACAATGAAAACTCTTTAGTATTCTTTATCTTTAGGGCTACAAAAAAGATGAATGTTGAAAAATGAAAAGCAATTATGTGGTGTAATTTTACTTACTAGCATGACTTTACTACATTAGAGTATATGAACTATTTTTCAAAGTCTTGTATAATCAATTTCTCTGATATTTCCATTTATAATATTCACTAGTAAGTTTTTCATTTAGGCCTACATTAGCTTTCATTAGTAAATGTATCCTTTTATTAAAAGATATCCTTAAACTTATTAATACCTACTTAGCAACTTCCGAAACTCTCCCAAGCCTGCACGCTGTTAATAAGGCATCATCTGTTTTCAAATAGATTGGTTGCATAATGTTATGTAACATTAAATAGTGCATCACAAAAATATACTAATGCACCTAAGCATAAGTTGGACTTACAAAAATTATGCCAGACTTGCAGTTATTTTTAATGGTTTATATTTTTATTTAGTTATATCCCTTTCTAAAAGGGAAACAACTCAATATGTTAGAAACATTGCATATTGATTGAAAAAAAGCATGTTTTTATTTTTTCAGGGGGGGGGGATGACTTAAGTGCCTGTCGTGTGATTTCTTCATCTGGCAAAATAATTATGAATTAATAATAATTAATATAACCTAGACTCTATGACTATGAGATAGTTTCCAAAACCAAAAATCATGTTCAAACATTTCAGCTAAACATTAATTTATTTTTATGGCATTTGAATTCATTTATTGTTTGCATCCAAATAAATAAAAACATAGTTTATAGTTATAGATCTAGTAGTTTATAGGCTAAACTAAACTTAATCTAGATCTATGGATTCTATGTAGAACTACCTAATGAAAGATTTGAAGACGACAAGTCAACGGGTGTTACACCATTTCCAAAAACTGATACATTGAGCCTCATTACTCCAGATCCAAATAATCCCAATGACGTTAGTAAAGAAACAACTGCGCTTGACCAAATTTTTGACGAACGTTTCGAAATAGTAGTTTGCGTATAACGCGAGATGTTGAAAAGGTATTTATACACATTACTTGACCCATGAAATTCAACTGTTTTATGATTTAGGTGATGTTTAGGCAAAAAAATGTGTTTTTTCACTACTTTGTAAAGCTGTCTACTTATGTTAACGGCCATGTTGTAGTAGATCTAGATTTCTATATTATAGACTCTAGACTGTAAACATTACCGTAACTGTATTGCATCGCATTTTATAGTTTCGTAAAATTAGTAGTAAATAGTTAATTAATATTACTTTCATTTTCATGATATATTTTTATAAACTTCAATAATCGTTTTAGTAGTATTTTGAGTTTTTAGAGAAGAAAAATTAGATTAAGATTCTCTAGATCTAGATCTAGAGGTCTAATCGAGTACATGAGTACACAAATCAAAGGTAGATCTAGTCTAGATTATTCTAGAATCGGGCTTAATCGTTTATATAGATTTAATACTAGATCTAGATCTAATGGTGATACTTTGATAGTCATGAAATATAGTCACATGGTGTTACTAATACTAGAGTCTAGTTAAGGCAGTTTGAGTTAGGCCTACTAGCCTAGTCTAGATCTAGATGTAAATCTAGCTACTTTTTGTGATGTCAAGTTTTAGACGTAGTGTACTGAGACTGAGTGTGTGTGTGGTATTCCAGATAATATAATTATATTTTTTTAAACATGTGTTGATGTTTCAATGTAAACTTTCATTACTAAGCTAGTATCTATAATTTATATGTATAGAACGTTGGCCTAAGCCTACATGAGTTTTTAAATTTGTTGGGAACTAACTGCCAGATAATGCCAGAAGTTTTCGGCATAAAAACATTTTTGTAGCAAGCCTGTCTAAGTGTGTTGTGGTTCAGAAGTGGGGGGGGGGTTCCTATAAAAAGGCATATTAATTATTATAGGAGTATGAGTGTTTGGTTTAATGGGAAAGGCGTAGATCTACTAGAAAAAGTTTAGTTTTGAAAAATATCAGCAAAAAAGTCATTCTTTGTTTTGTTGTGGGGTTGTTTTTTTTGGGGGGAGGGGGGTTATGGTGATTATTTAGTCTCATTATTTACAATGTTTGTTTCAAAAACAAATTAAATACATTATTTCTCTAAATGTAAAATCTAATCAAATTTAAAGATGGCTAGGCCTTAGTGCGTTTGGTTTAAATTTTTATAAAAAATTAATATGGCAACCTTGTTGCCAAGTCTTGACCTTAGTCTTGACCTTATGACCTCTGTGTCTAAATTAAGTTGTCACATGATCACGTGAATATTTGATCAAGAAGTAAACAAGACATGTTTAGTGCTAACTCCCGTACAGTTGAGTTAGATAGCCTAGTGTTCTATTCCCTTGTCCTTCTTATCTTATCAGTATCAGGTCTTGGTCTCAAGCTAAGAGGGTTAAAGTTCTCGAGTGAACTTTAAAGAAGTAGAGAGAGCATTCTATACTAGATTCTAGCGTTCTAGTAAGTAAAGTTTGAAGTTAAAGTAAAGTTGAAAGACATAATATTAATAATATTATAAAAGTAGTTGTAAGTACTAAGTAATAAGTAAGTAGTAAGTAAGTAGATCTGGTTAATTTAATTTCTGTCCTTTATATTTTATATATTTATTTAGCCATTGGTTTTTGTTTATTATTCAGTTATCTATAATATTTGACACAAATATATCACAATTTACTTCTATTAAAGTCTTAAAATGAGGCAACTTTTTTTCACATTACTAGCTTTGGCCAATTTGATGCACCTAGATCTGTAATCTAACCTAATATAAATAGAAATTGTGGATGGGGCGTTGTAATTTTGCATGCAACACCTTGCATAAACAAACAGAAAAGAGAAGAAAAAAAATTAAGCAGAATCTAGCACTTTTTTGGATTATGCTTATGTGCACTAAATACATTCAGTTCAGGCATTTAGATTTATATTTGGAGATCTAACAGACCCAAAGTATTTATATATGGCATATTTTTGCATTTCTTTTGATTAAACAGGCTAAGGTCCAGAGAGAGGGATAATGCTGCATGGTCAAACCATGTCTCTTTCTCTAATTCCTTGATGCACACCCCTCGGAATACTATTCTCTAGCTGCATATAGATACCTACATGAAAATAAATGAACTAAGTTTTTACTGATATATTAGAAATTAACTTCACATTTTTATGAGCAGCAATTGCTATGTTTTTCAAGCGTTGCTTAATTTGTTTTTAGGTTAAACTGTGCTGCCCAAAATGAGGCTCGTAATTCATGATAATTATGATCAGGTGTCTGAGTGGGCAGCAAAATATGTTAGAAGGAGAATCATCTCTTTTAACCCTGGCCCAGACAAGTATTTTACTATTGGTCTTCCAACAGGTAAATGTAGTTTGATTATAATTATTATAATGCTGGTTGATTGTATCAGCATTAGAATGTGTTGTAATGTATAGCATGATTAAAGCCTCGAAACATTTGAATCTCTGTATATAACACACATGCATTCTGTCCAGCTGTATAGGACATAGATTTATACTGTCCAGCTATGTAAGACATACATGCATGCTGTCCAGCTTTATGAATTTGTTCTATTTATATTTCACAGCGTAATATCTATTACCTGTTGTGAGAAATTTGAATTAAATCACAAATATTATTTTAAAACTCATACAGGAAGTACCCCTCTAGGAATGTATCGCAAACTTATTGAATTCCACAAAGCTGGCAAATTGTCATTTAAGTATGTTAAAACTTTCAACATGGATGAGTATGTAGGTAAGTTTGTCAAAATAATAGAGAAATTGTTTAAAATACTATTGAAATGCAGGTACCAAACATATGTAGGAAAGTGCATGAATAGCATTCTAGTGTTTTTTGTTTGTTTTTTTACTTTAACTTATAATGTGTACACATCAATAAAGCAATTATTTTCTAAGTTATAGGCTGGAGCTTACAACTGTTTTTTCTTGGTATTATACACCAAACCATTGTGGTCAAGTCCATACACTTTTTCATTAATTTACTAGTCCGATATAAACAACAGACACATAGATAACCACAATGGCTTCTCTGTGCGATGAAATTATGAAGTATTATCTGTGATGTCTTATTGACCAATTATTCTTTTGAAATTCAGCTTTGCCAAGGGAACACCCAGAGAGCTATCACTCCTTTATGTGGGAAAACTTTTTCAAACACATTGATATACAACCAGAAAATGCACACCTTCTTGATGGTAATGCTGCAGATTTGGAAAAAGAATGTGTTGACTATGAAATTAAAATCACAGAGGCTGGAGGAATCAGGCTGTTTATTGGAGGTATTTAGGACAAAAGCTTTGCAAGATTATATTTTTAAACAGATAGTTTCTATTTTGTGACTAAATGTCCCCAACAAATAGCCCCAGTCAAATTGAACCTAATATATAGGCTCCCAAAAAAAGAACTCCCCTCAATAAGACTACAGACAAATAGGCTCCCAAATAAGCTTTAATCATTAGGCTCCCGACACTTTGGCTCCCCACAAAAGGGCTGCAGTCATTAAGACTCAGGGCAAATGGACCTCTGTCAGTACAGTGCCAGTAGAATGCGTTTCAGTGTTAGCTTAACCAAACCCTTAAATATAATACAACAATTGTAGCTTATTTTTACATTATATCTAGTATAAGAAATGGTATGTTTTTAAGTTTTAGTGTCATCTAATTTTATGATGTCCATCTAATGAGTTAGTTTTGGGGTTTTGTGCTGTTCTAACTCATTGCGTGGGGAGAGAGGTCCACACAGTACAGTTATCATCAGTATGCTTGTAGGTCATCAAAACAAAATGTAATTTATCTTGTGAACATCATGTAGATCATACATTTAAACTTTTATGCATGCTTGCAACAGGTCTTCACTGGGGTTAATAAAACATTTTCAAAATTTTAAAATTACTGGTACATTGCTGTTTAGATCTCAGCGATTTGCTTATTAATTGTTGTTGGTTTATGAAGTTTTTTATTCAGCTATTTAAAAAAGGTGAAGGTGGTAGCACAGATACCCTACATATTGTTGGTGGGTTAGATAAAATGATTGCATCTATGCCAAAAGTGGTCATGCAATTTTTTTTGTCTGGAGCCATTTTGTCTGGAGTTATTTTGTGGGAAGTTAAATATATTGTGACCCCATTAGCCAAGATCCAATATGTCATGAGCCCATTTGTTGGGAGCCAATATGTTGGGAGTCCATTTGTCAGGAGCCTTTATCTCAGGGCCCTTTTGTCGAGGCTGTTTTGACAGTGCACCAAAAAAAGTATATGGTCACATTTTGTGCACAAAATATTTTAACCTTTAAAGGTCATTTTTATCTCAACATTTTATTTAAAAATGTATTTTGGTAAAAGTTTATGCAATTTCATTTTAAAGGCATTGGACCTGATGGCCACATTGCTTTCAATGAGCCAGGCTCAAGCTTAGTATCTCGCACACGAGTTAAAACTCTGGCTCAAGAAACTATACAGGCCAATGCACGATTCTTTGGCAATGATCTTTCTAAGGTCCCCAAACAAGCTCTCACTGTTGGAGTAGGAACTGTCATGGATGCTGATGAGGTAAGGTTTTTAGTCTAAAATATTAAAATTACTTTAAACAGAGAGGATCAAACACCAGCCAAACAGGATAGGGGCCTGGGTCCACGTGGATATCCAGACATTTAATATAACATTCTGAATGCTTATAAGTTATTATATAGCCCTTACATTTAAATTTCAAATTTTAGTCTTTGTAACAACATGAATTCTTTGTTGTTGTGGGTTAGTTTTCACACAGGAATACAAGCAATAGTGGCAACTTCAAATGATGACTTTATTTACACTATATACAGTGAGAATGATAAATCCATAGTTATTCATGGTAAATCCATATTAGAAGATACTCAACAAGTACAGTCACAGTCACGACTCCAAGTCATGGAGACATCTTACATTCACTGCCACAGTTCAAGTCCCAAGTCCTAGCACACAACACCCGTTCACCTTTTGCTCTCCCTTTTATACGGTCCATTCTCTCCCCTTACGTACATGAGCGATCTCACCCAAAAACATGAAAAAACACATGACGATCGCTCAGACAGTCCTTCCGCTAGCCAGGTACTCTTCATTCATGCAAAACACAATATAATAAAGATACATAATAATACAGTCTGTGACACGTCCCCCCTTCGAATAAAATTTTGTGTAACAAAATTAATAAATACAATATTAGTAGGGCAGGATCATGTGCCAGACAACAAAATTTATAAATACAGTATTGGTAGGGCAGGATCATGTGCCAGACAACAAAAAATTGTGTACAATTCAAAGTAGAGTAAAATATATTCATTTTAGACTAAGCACTTGTAGTCATAAATTTATAGTGCATACAAATACAACAGTATGTAGTGACTATATCAGTGATAATTAAAATATGTCAGTGTTTTGAACAAAAACTTTAAATGTACAAGCATTATATGTAATATTTAATGCATCAATATACATTCACATAGGAGAAAAAAAACATTTCAATTACCCAGTAACTGTAGTATAAAAGAACTACATCAGTTGGGATAAATAATATACCAAACTAATTTGGTACAGGACTTAATTTCAAAACATAACACATAGTTAAAATACTTAAAGACTTAACTCAACTCATGAATTAAATAATTATATCCTATGTAGTAAAAAACAACCTTATCATCATGGCATGTTATTACCACGCATGAGTAATATACTTTGTCTCCCCTAGTTGACCCATTTCAGACATCTAGGTCACAACACAATCACATTCCTGCCTTCCACAGGTAATGACTAATACACAATTCATCATTGAGACTTCCGTCTTATTGTTATGCGGAATAAATAGTCTCTAACTTTTACTTTATACATTATTCCCTGTTAATTAATAGTATAGAATAGGTTTAACATAATACAGTTTACATTCTTTAGATATAGTACACAATTTATGTTTACTCAAACACATTATTTGATATTTATATATTACAGTTACAGACTGTATAATATTAATAAACTGTCAATTGATAATTTATCTTAGCATCCTCTATAGCATGAGTAATCGTTCTCGTGCAGTTGACGATGACCTGTATGCCATCTCTCCTTCAAATTGTAGCTTTTAGCTGTGCTACCATAATCATTTCCTAGATTTCGTGTAACTTGTGTTACTTCATTTGTTTTAATATTCTCCTCTGGTTTCTGAACAACGTCAGTGGTTATCTTGCTTTGTGTATGTTGGTTTGGTTCATCAACCAACTCAATATAAATATTATGGCATTGCTTTGGCCTTTCATAATACATCTTGCTTCGGTATCTTTCATTAGAACATGATATATTCTTTCTTAAATTACTATATTTCCCACATGACTTTCTTTGTACATAATTGTTTCTTCTCTGATTTGCCAACCTATGCCAACATTGGTTTTGGTAATGACCTGTTTTTCCGCAGTAAAAACATCTAGATTTTGGCTTCTTATAAACATGGTGACTGTATTCATAGTTTGCTAAATTTCTTTTTCTTTCATTCTGTGCATTAATGACATTAATGACATTCTTATTAACATGTTGACTGTATTCATAGTTTGCTACATTTCTTTTACTTTCATTCTGTGCATCTTTATTAACATGGTGACCGTATTCATAGTTTGATACGTTTCTTTTACTGTCAGTTTGTAATTTATTGACATTGTAGTTTGTAGATATTTTTTCATCTTTCTTAACTTCCTTGTGCTTCTTTATTGATTCTAGTTCACACATAAATTTCTGGGTTAATTTCTTCATTTCTTTGTTAAATTTATTCTTGAGTTCTAGTATATCTTCTTTATAGTTTGACTCCAATTTTTTAAGTAACTCCTCAATAGGTACATTCTCTTCATTATGGCTTATTAAGTTCACTGATTCATTAATCATCATTAGTTTATCATGATTCCTGCCATTCTCCGATGGACTTATTAAATCATCACTGCCATTCACTGATGGGCTTATTAAATCATTTTGACTACCATTCTCTGATGGACTTGTTTCTTGTTGACTGCCATTCTCTGATGGACTTGTTTCTTGTTGACTGCCATTCTCTGATGGACTTACGATACAACTTTCAATAATATTCTCGTGTACCTGCATATCATTCAATAAAGAGTCAATCTTAAGACATACTAATGTATCTGTCACCTTTAAATCATTATTAAGTTCAACCTCTGTTTTTTCCTTGAGTTGCAATTCTTCCTGGACTATGTTACTCTGTTCTTCATTCCAAAGGTTGCCAATATTTACTTCTTCAAGTTCTGCTTTAAATTCTGTCTGTTCACTTTCTAATTTTGGTTCATTTGTGTCTGTTATAGCTTTCATTTCTAATAGTTCTTGTTTATATACTAGTTCATGTAGGCCAACTTGTTTTTCCAAAGTTTCAGCCCTTTTATCTGCTCCCTGTTTTCTGTTTCTTTTTTTTCGCTTTCCTTTTAGTTGTACAGTCTCCTCTGCTTTATCTACTTCTGAAATGTCTTCTTCTTTTTGCATGTCTGTAATAGCTCTTGATCTATTACACACTATTTCTATCACATCATCTAATTCTCTCATTGCTTTTCCATGAGCTAGTCGGGGTCGTCCTGTTTCTTCGTCCCATGCTTCTAATGCTTTTTCTATGTCTCTGTCAAATCGAGTGTTTGCCCAGGCTATCTGCTTCTTCATCTTCTTAATGCCTTGCGCCCTCGCTAGTGCTAGATATTCTTCAAAACATAACATTTTGATATATTTTCTATTTATGACATAAAATATAAATTCATTAGTTAACAATAGGTAAGTGTTAATTAATTTACCAATACCCTTTCTTGTATTCTGGCTTTGTTCAGTTGATTACAGACATCTGGTAATCCAAGAAAAGTTCATAGTACATATATACGTCCAAAAATAGTTCACTTTGTTGATTCCAAAAAGTTGAAAAAATTCAAAATAGTTCTAGTAGCCTGTTACAGAGTAGAAATTTGTCCAGTTTTAGATAAGACATCTTTAGGAACAGTTTACAATTAATAAACTAGATCTGCTCATCCACAGTAGAAGAACTTGAACAGCTAATCCATATAGAAAAAACTTGAACAGTTGATATACCAGCGTTGTTCACTGGCAAACAGTGGAAGACCACTTCAAAAATGTTGAAAACTGCTTACAATAATAATGTGACAATTCTTTGATCACTTGTGGTAACACTGTAACTTCGTTGAAGATTTCTGACTTCAATCTAATCCATCAATGTAACAACATCAGTGTAACAACTTGAGTATACGTCCACTTCAGCCAACAAAAAAGTAACAAATGTTGACCATTTCTGACAATAATGTATCAGCTACTTGAATCACTTCTGATAATAATGTAACAGCACGTCTTCAATTGCTTCTGACAACGTAACAGTAGATCCCACTTCTGACACCATATGTAACAACATGAATTCTTTGTTGTTGTGGGTTAGTTTTCACACAGGAATACAAGCAATAGTGGCAACTTCAAATGATGACTTTATTTACACTATATACAGTGAGAATGATAAATCCATAGTTATTCATGGTAAATCCATATTAGAAGATACTCAACAAGTACAGTCACAGTCACAACTCCAAGTCATGGAGACATCTTACATTCACTGCCACAGTTCAAGTCCCAAGTCCTAGCACACAACACCCGTTCACCTTTTGCTCTCCCTTTTATACGGTCCATTCTCTCCCCTTACGTACATGAGCGATCTCACCCAAAAACATGAAAAAACACATGACGATCGCTCAGACAGTCCTTCCGCTAGCCAGGTACTCTTCATTCATGCAAAACACAATATAATAAAGATACATAATAATACAGTCTGTGACAGTCTTCATATTTTTTTAAACAACCCTAAACATATTGAAATATGGTATTATTTTCATAAATTAGTCAAATTAAGAAAAATTCAAATTATAAAAACGTGGACAAGTGATGTGATGACAGTGAAGGAATTTTTTTTTAGTTAGCGTCATTAATGTAAAACCCACACAATTTATTTAGTTTATAATCTATAGTTTTTTGGGAGGTTTTACATTAATCAATTAAATTTTACTTGTTTCACTCAGCAAGATAGACTGACACAGAGTTTACACTTGCAACATGTCTATATATATATAATTCTCTTCTGGGAGACGCTAGAAAACAAGCTGTAAACGCGCTCCCTACCATCCCCACCCCTACATGGTCTTAGTGAGCTGTGGTTCACGCTATGTTTACCTTCGTGGAGTCGGGTTTAGTGACGGCTATTAGGGGCAGATAATTTAGTTTGAAACGATTTTAAACGTGGGGGGGGGGGGGGGAGGAAGGGGGGGGGGTTATGGTCCTTAACGAGCTACTTATAGTGTTTTAAAGAAATATTTTCAGTGTCAGCGTTGGTACTGTCGAATTCACAAATTATGAATTACTGAAAAGTAGAAAAAACAACAACTAAATAGCGGCGTATGTTATGCCGCGGGCCGGCTCATATACTATACATGTCTAGAAAAATGTATTATATAAAAACATTTTTCCCCACTGAACATGTATATTTGCAAGTTTTTTCTCGACATGTATAATATACACGTCACCAGTGTAAACACAGTGTAAGACTAATGTGATATTATTTTTATTAGATTATTTTACATTCCTCAATAAACAGCATACTACACTTGATACACCTTTTTTCCAAACATTTTGTTACAATTTTAAGCCATTTTTATTTTACCTTTATAAAACTCATGTTCAAGTAGGGCCTGCTAATCAAATATAATTTAGAAATCTTAACTTTTTCAGGTTATGATTTTGATAACTGGTGCCCATAAAGCTTTTGCTCTGCACAAAGCAATAGAGGAAGGTGTCAACCATATGTGGACAGTCTCAGCCTTCCAGCAACATCCAAGGGCCATTTTTCTTTGTGATGAGGACGCCACCATGGAGTTGAGAGTCAGGACGGTAAAATATTTCAAAGGTTTAATGCAGATTCATAACAAGCTGGTAGAAGAACCTGGAGTTGTAAAGGTTGATTAATCTCAAGAAATGCACTCTTGCCTACCAAAACCTATTTTATAAAACATTGAACAGGCTGCATCACAATACTGTAATTTAAAGCAAGCCTCTTTGTAACAGGGAAAGAATATTTATGTCCCAATATATCTTTTTTTATGAATTGTAATTTGTATGGCTGTGAATGTAGACAGAAATATAGACTGCAAATTACAGACAAAAATTTATATTAAGTAGGGAAAAAACGTTTAACATGAAATTTATTTTTTTAAATTACAGCATAATTAATAGTTGCAGTAAAATATTGGTAATTAACTAAGCAGTTTCGTAATTATTATATTAAATGTTTAACATTTGAAAGTATACAAGGTTAACGTATTAAGCCTTAATAACAGATTTTAACATTCCATAAAAAAAGTATGTGAGATGTGTAAATATTTAGCTTACTGCACTGTCTCCGGAATACTAAAACCAGATGTATTAGGTTTTTAACTATTTAAAGCTTATATATTAAAATATTAAAAATATATTACACTCTATCACATACAAAAGATCGTTTATGGCGATTCTTCATGAACTTGTTGGTAATCAGTAAAGACTTTCTAAAGTGATATAATCTTGCACTCTACTTTTTACTGCCACAAACTAGATCTATATACAACTTGGTATAAATACTATTCCCTCCCTAGTTGTTTATATTATTAAAAAAGTAGTTTTTGTAACCAAAGCTGCATAATTTTATAAAATTGCATTTATTAGATATTTTTATATGTTTAACTCCACAAAGTAATTTTTTGCTCTAAAATCCACCAACCTCAATACTCTATTCTAATCTATTCTAGCTAGTTTTCTTTTATTCATTGCAGCATGTAGTGCTGACAATATCTTATTTAGTTTACATTTTTTTCCTGAATTGTATAGTCTGTAGAGTTAAAGTAACAGTTATTCATAAAATAGATCTGCAACATCTAGCAGTTGTTTTTTTTTTAAATGGATCAGTCATTTCTCTTTTTCTTGTGCATTTTTTATCATGTATTTTCAATGTCATATATATCACATGTCATGAATCAAGTTGATTTTGAATATTAATACATGTAGTTTTTGCTAGAAGAAAATTGTATTATTATTATTATTATTTACTTACAGTAAAATATTTGGGCATAATAATGGATGGTGCACATATTGAAATTTGACAGTTTTTACTAAAGCCCTACCTCATATAAAACATGTTTCCTTGGACCATAACCCCTCTAGTTAACATTTTAAACAACTACCCTTCCCCAAAGTCATGACTATTTGGTAGTCCTACTACACAAACTAATGCTTAGAATTATGGAAATCAGATCATTGGTTATATGTGCACATCCCTAATATGGCAGTGTTAGTGATATTTCAACTAAAGTTGTTGACTCCATGTAATCAGCCTTACATTCTCTATTTTCTTTTAATTTGAAAACAATAAAAAAAACTATTTTTCATTTGCTACTTGTTAATCATTTATAATTTGTGTGCATTAAATACTTTAGCAACTAGGAAAAAGACCAGTCATGGGTCAAACCAGTTTCTTTCAGGCAACTCTTTATGCTCCCCCGACCCCAAAGAGCAGCACCTCCCCAGTCCCAGGGGAAATAAAATAAATATAAAATCTATATACTTTAATCAGCTGCTTCCACACACACCCCACCTGGAGTCCAACTGTACTAGCTCTGATGGGTATAGTACTGGCCAGAGTCCCCTATATACTGAGGTCACAGAAACATTAACTCTACTTCATCTGCCCCATGTGTCTTAGGCACGAATGGGAAAAGATACAGCACTAATTGTGTTGCTTGTCAGCTCTATGTTGGCAGAGTTCAGTCAAGATTTTGGAAAAATATCGATGTTTTAAGACGTCATTTTAGGGGGGGGGGGGGGGTTCTGGCTTTTTGTGACGGAGTGGAGAGGGGAAGTAAAAATCGACAAAAGCGTGACGTCATTTATTGATGACCTTTAATCAGCCAGATTGTTTAACTACTGCCTGTATAAGGCAGTTTTTAGAATCGCCACTTTGGGGTCATCCATAAATGACGTCATGCTTGTTTTGACGATTTTTACCTCCTCTCCTTCGTCACAAAAAGCCAGACACCCCCCCCCCCTAAAATGACCCCCCCCCCCACCCTCAAAATTCTTGAGACATCGATATTTTTTTTCCAAAATGTTTTCTAAACTCTGTCAGCATAGAGTATTTTAATCAATTTCTATGACAGTTTGTCAAAACAGTTTTGTTAAAACGAGAAATGGCTAAAATTCGTTTTCTAACATTGCTTTTTTTGATATTGCAAAAGTGTGACGTCACACCATCTGAACTCCCCTCCTCCCCTCATCACAGACCATAAAATTACGAATAACACGTCATGTATGGACCCCTTTTCATTGCACTTATATTTGGTTCGTGTTGGAACCAAAGAACCATAATATAATATAATCTACTTAATATGGCTAAAGTGTGATTTCATTGGGGGTGGGGCGTTGTGTATGATTTTTTTTCTGACGATGCATAAATCATAATGTATATTGTATAACGTTATTTTGCCATATAGATATTAGTGGACGGTCTTATGGCATTTATACTTTCTTTCAGCAGTTGTTTCATTGTAGTTCTATACATATTCATACAACTGAATAGATTATTTTATTTTATAATATGTTAAGTACTGTTAAGCCTAAAAGGTAAAAGAAAAAAATACGCGGCTTGCTTTTACATTTTCCCTTTCAAAGGCGATCCGCAGACGGTAAAAGGTTGGACCGATTCGCCCTATGCTCTATGGCAGGGGTCTCCTAGCTACGGCTCGCGATGTCATCTCATCAGGCCCGCGGAGATCTTTTGTCCACGGAAAAAAATGTTTGTTGGAGGAGGTTGAAAAACTTTGCTAGAACAGTGAAAACGATTTGAAAATGTGAAAACAATTTGAAATGCAAACACCATTGTCTGCCGTATTGCAGACATTGGTGAAAACAGTTTTACTCAAATAGCGAAAAATGCTAGCAAGTTTCGCCATTTTTCAATTGCAATGGATGAGTTGCTGGACAGCTGTTCCACCTCTCAACGGCTTGTGTTTGTTAGAGGTGTGGATGAAGACACGAACATAACACAAGAGATGGCTTCCCTACATAGAATGTATGGCACTTTTACCGGAGAGGATATATTCAATGAGTTAAAAAACATTTGCTGATTATAACTTGGACTGGACAAACCTCAGTTACCTGACTGTTGATGGAGGAAAGTGGCATAAAGAAAGGCTTGGTTGGATAAGCGAATGAGAAAAACATTCTACAACCAATGTCCCTGCACTGTATTATACACCAGCAAGCTTTATTTGCTAAATATATGGACATTAGCATTGTACTGAATCCTGGGGTGAAGATGGTGAATTTAATACGGTCACATGGGCTCAACCATAGACAGTTCAGAGATACAGACACATAATCGCAAGATTTCCCATATTACACAGCAGTAAGATGGCTAAGGTGTGAGAAAGTTCTGAGCAGAGTATTTAAGTTAAGAAAGGAAATAATTTACTTCCTGGATAGTAAAGGCAAGCCACATAGCCATTAATTACTCACGAAGAGTGGGTATATAAATTTGCCTCTGTTGCAGACATAACAAGTCATTTTAATTTTCTGAACCTAAAACTATAATAGAGGGAAATCTAGTTTCTGATCTATACACCTTCCTTAATTAGAACACGTACAGTTCAACAACTTGACGCACTTTCAGCAGTGCAAGGTCTTCATGGCTGAAGCAACAGCTGATTGTCCCGCATCATTTGCATGCGAGATCATCAAAGACCTTCATCTGCAGTTTCAGCAGTGGTTTTCTGACTTGGATTCAAATGTAGAAGTTAGTGAGATTGTTTCAAAACCCATTTGAAGCAAATGTGGACAGTTGCCAAGAGGAACTATGGCTGGAGGTCATTGAATTGCAAGCAAATGACCTTCTTATAGACAAGTTCACAGAAGAGCGGGTGTGTTTTTATAAGGAAGACTTTCCTAATAAAAAAAAAGAACTTTTCAAATTTTGGAACAACATACCTGTGTGACAAACATTTTCAAGAATGAAATACGTGAAGAACCATTTAAGGCTAAACTTGGACCTCGAGTGTGTTGTCGGTCCCCGACAGTGTTTCTTTCAGATTTTTTTCTCTGGGGGGGGGGCTTGAAATTTGTATATATTTCTATATAAATTATATTTCATGGGGGGGAGCGGTAGGAGATGCCTAGAAGAAACTGGGCCCCAAACTGATATTTAATAGGTAATGCGGCCCTCGGGCTAAAAAGTTTGGAGACCCCTGCTCTGTGGCATTGAACCTTGCCTAATCCACTTCCGGAAGTAAACAGCGATTGGTTAAACTGACTGTAGCGCTTTGATTCAAGTGCGTCTCTAGCAGCCCATTTTTCTCTTAATGCATCCTAAATCTAAATCTATTTTGTTTTAAAATGGCTTTTCCGAGAGCCCGCATCAAAAGGTTTAACGAGACTAGTGGTAAGACAATAATTGCCTCTACTAAATACTAGTATGTAGATATAGATCTAGATCTATCCTAGATCTAGATTCTACCTGCCTCTGTGTGTCTTTGAGTATTTCCACTATCACTATATAGTACTTTGACTTACACTTTAGTTAGACTTTAGTCACATTCACATGATTGTAGTTTGTAGTCATAGTGGTCGTCCATAAATGACGTCACACTCGTAGGGAGGAAAGGGGGGGTCGGTAATTGCGTGAAGAGTGGGGGGGGGGGGGGGGGGGTTCAGATGGTGCGAGTCACACTTTTGCTTTATAGAAGTAAGTAAAGTTACTAAACTATAACTATTGAGTAGATAAGAAATGTTAGAAAACGAATTTTAGACGTTATTTAGTTAGCATATTAGAAAACAGTTTTAATAAATTATAATAGGAATTGATTAAAATACTCTATTTTGACATATTTCAGACAAGATTTTGGAAAAATATCGATGTTTAAACAAAAATTCAACTGCAATTTTGAGGGGGGGGGGTTGTAGGCTGAGGTGTGACGTCATTTTAGGGGAGGGTCTGGCTTTTTGTGACGACTTTATGACGGAGGGGAGGGGGGGAGTTAAAAATCGTCAAAAAAAGCGTGACGTCATTTATGGATGACCCTATAGTAACTAGCTAGTCAGACTAGTATCTTGTCTTGTACTATTATTTCCTAGATTCTAGATCTATTTACGGATGATTATAGATACCGATAATATCATTATAGATACCGGTGTCCGATAATAGACTCTTTCCATAAAATAGGTGTGTTGGGTTGTTAGTTGTAATGTTAGTAGTAGGCCTATTATTGTAATCTCAACTAATTTTAGGGTTAGAAGTTTAGGGTTAGGCGTATGTAGGACCAGGGTTAGGGTTAGGGACAGGGTTAGCATTGACATTAGCCAGCCATGTGTGTATTATTTAGTTAACTACCAGTAACATAACATCCCTTTTTTAAAGAAGATTCCATTATCGGACACCGGTGGTGTTAAATTTCTCGTGTCAATTCTTAAACAATTTGGTTATAGATCTAATTTCTAATTGTTAAAAAAAGGCTAACCCTAAATTTGAACATGGGTCTGTATAGCCATGCCCCTCTTTTTCCACTATTCTGACCCAACTTACAGTTAGTTTTAGTTACACATTACCAGAATCACAAGTTAAATATTTTATTCATTCTGACTGTTGGTTGTTGTGACATGTTTGTGATCTCTAGCTAGAACACAGTAAATTTAGTTCTCTACATTTCTTTTCAGATAACACTCCGGGGGTTGGGGCCTACAATTTAGCTGTGGAGCAGCATGGCCAGTTGAAAGGTTGTTTTTTCTTATTGAGGTTGGGTACACACAAGACAAAAAAATCACATTTTTACCCCTCCATACATTAATATTACACTTTCCTCCTACACCGTTGCTCTACCCTATTTTTGTCTACAACAAACTGATACCATTCAGGGAGAGGGGGTGTTTTAAAAAAACAACTGTATATTTAAATGCCTACAGATTTTGATTTTATTACATTCAAAATTTTGAAATAGAGTGCCACATGAGCACAAATAGCTGTTATTTAGGGGATATCACAACACTGACCCTATTTTTCATTCTACATATGCCAAACATTGATTATTATTGCATTACAGAATATGTTTTACAATATATGTTATGTAGGTCAAGAACAATACTAAATTTATTATATGCAGTGTCATTTTGTTTAGTTTGAAAACTGAAGTATATAATAGATGAAATTATAAAATATAATAATTTTTTATTTTTAGATCTTGATCGAACCAGGTCGCTAACCAGACTAGATCATACAAGTAAACATTTTAGAGATAAAGGTTAGTTTTCAACTGAAATATGTGATTAAATTATTTCCTTTAAATTATGCCTGTTGAATTTATATATAACTTTTTTTTTATGTTAAAAAGGTTACATTTTAAATCTGATGATTTTCATAAGCTTGATCCTGCTGAGTGAAAGGATCTAACCTTTTTTTTAAATCTCTTTTTCCCCCAACTGTATTTTTTTTTAGTTCATTAAATTTTAATATTTATTTACTATTACATGTCGTAGGGCTTGTCGCATCAGCCAAAGGTGAGCTTCCCAAACATGTTGAAGAACTTCACAAAAAGCTAAAATGTGCTGAAGAAAAAGTGATTGACTTAGAAATTTTGAAAATAGGGGCAGATAAAGGTAGGGAAATGTTACAGAAAGAATGTGATTTGATGCTGGCAAAACTCAAAAAGTTACAGGCTGACATCAAGGAACTTGAAAGTGAAAAGGCAAACCTAATCAGTGCTAAAGTCCTGCTGGAGAAAGACCTTAGGGCATTAGAACATGATAAGGATGAGCTAACTGTTGAGAAAAATAATTTGTCAGCTAAACTAAAACTGGTAGAAGTTGATATTTGCAACTTAAAGCAAGAAGTCATGACATCAAGAATGAGTTTACAGGCACTAGAGCTGTCCAAACAAGCACTTGAGAAGGAAATGGCTTCAATTGAAGAAGAAAAGTTAACACTATTAAAGGAGAAAGACCAACTGACACATGCACTGGATGAAGCAAAATCTCTATCCGAACCATTACAGATTAAAGTTAGTGTTTTAGAAAAAGAATTAGAAGTTGTGAAACAGGAATTAGGAAAAGTCAATGATGAAAAGTTCAACATAGTTTCAAATCTCCAGCAGACATCATTGATGCTTGATGAGAGTCAGCTTGAGGTGTCCACACTTCAAGAGAGAGTTGAATGCTTAAATAACAGTAATCAAATTTTAGAGATAGGCTTAAAAAATATTCAGTCTGAAAAAGATGAGTTAGTGAGTCAGCGAGATGGCTTGATTTTAAACTTGAATTCATTAACCTTTAGTGTAAAGGAACTGGAGCAGAAAGTCAATTGTGTTGAAGATGCCAAGAGAATCTGTGAGTGTGAACTTGAAAGGTTAAAAAGTGAGATTTACAGTTTAAAGGAAACAAATAAAAAATATGAAAATTTGTTTGAAGAGAAGGAAACACTCCTGTTGAAGCACATTGAAACAATTAAACATTTGGAAACAAATATTACTGAACTATCACAAAAAGCATCTAATTTAGAAAATCTGAAAGAAGAAAGAGAGAATGAATTAAAATCACTCAGGCTTGAATTAGATGTGAAAATTGTGTTGATAAATGAACTCACTCAAAAAGAAGAAGTGTTAGAAAAACTTCTGGCAGCTGAGCAAGAACTGCGAGGAGAAAATCTACAACTGTTAGATAGAGTGCAAGTTTTAGAAAATGAAAACCTCCATTTTGAGATAAGGCAACAAGAACTTTACAATGAGAAGATGCAGTTGCAAGAAGAATGTTCAACAGTTGAGGATGGCTTAAGATGTGAAATATCAGCACTGTTGGAAAAGATCAGTCTGTTAGAAATTTATAAAGAAAAATTAGAATCAAAATTAGAGGAATTTAACATTGAAAAGACTAATCTTCTTCAAATTCATTTAAATTCAGAAAATACTTTAAAATCTTTAAATTCTGAGTTGCTCAATAAAGTAGACACTTTGGAAAATACATTAACTGTGTTTCAGATAAGGCAGCAAGAGCTTTGTAATGAAAAAGAGCTCTTAGTAGAAAAACATTTAGCTATTGAAGCTGACTTGAAGGTAGAAAATAAAACATTAAAAGAGAGGGCAGCATGCCTTGAAGAACAAACTAATGAGTTAAAATTAGAACAAGAAAAGCTTTTTTCTGAAAAACATATTTTGCTGGAAAAAACTTTAACTGTTGAAACTGAATTAAAAACTGAAAATAGAGAATTGGCGAAAAAGATTCAGGAATTGGTGAAAGAAAGACTAGTTTTCCAAGAGCTTAATTTTGAGAAAATTCGGGAACTTGAAAATTGCTTAGCTATTGAAAAAAAAATGCAATGTGAAAATGCTGAATTGTTGGAGAGAGTCCAGTCACTGGAGAAGCACAACACAGAGTTTGAAGCAAAGCAGCTGGAGCTTTACAATGAGAAGGTTGCATTTCTTGAGAGTGAGAAGGCTAGATTTCGCACTGAACAGCAAGAGATTTATAAGAAAGAACTGGCATATTTCAAAGCCCAGCAGAATAAAATTTTTGAGGAGCAGGTACAACAGCTAGAAGATTCTAAGAATCACTTCAGGCTTCAACAAGAAGAAATGTACTTAAGTAGGCTCTCTTCAGCAAGGAAGGAATTTGAAGAAGACATCAAGAACCAAAAAGAAAATTTTGATAAATTACTGCATCAAATGTTAGCTGAAAAGAAAGAATTTGAAGCAGAAGTCCAGCAGAAGTATGAGTTGAAGTTTAATGAAATGAAAGAAAAGGAAATTCAGCTTCTTGAACGGGAAAAGAAAGAATTTGAAGCAGAAGTCCAACAGAAGTATGAGTTGAAGCTTAAGGAAATGGAAGAAAAGAAACTGGAGCTTCTTGAACAAGAAAAGAAAGAATTTGAAGAAAAGATTTTTGAATTGAAGCAACACACAGATGAATCTTACAAAAAATATGAGAAAATTATTGGAGATCTGGAACTAGAAAAATCCAAAGTCAATGACATCAGGAAGAGTGATCAAGCTAAAGCTATAAATGAACTGCAAAGATTAGAGAAAGAAATAAAGTTGAAAGATGCTAAAATTACTGATATAGAAGAGAAACAGTTGAAGTTGACATTGGACAATGAAAAACTCCTCGACATGTCTAATATTTTACAAGATCAAATAAAAAGGTAAGTTGATTTAAAAATGTATTTAAACATTTTGTTTTAAGAATCATCACTATATTTTTCTGTGAACAGTTTGTTAAATCACTGTACACCCACAAATTCAGCATATGAAAATTTGTATATGGCTTTTGACTCATAGCTTCTCACTTTACTGCAACTGCTTTTTCTAATACCTGTTAGATGTACCTGGCAGCTTCTTTAGCCACAGTGTGACATGTCTGATTTCAGAATTTATTTCTGAGAGTATTTTTACAATTCTTCCTATTAAGGTACAGTTTATTCTGTATTTTTTTATAGTTAATCAAAGCAATCACTAGTGACTATTGTATCCACAGTGTTACAGCAGAGTTTGACAAGTATAAAGAGGAAAAAGAAACTCAGTTTCAGGAACTAGTAGAGATTGAAGAAAGAAATAAAGAATGTCTCAATACCATCATCACTGAAATGTCGGACAAGATACAGCAGATGGAAGAGGATAGTGCCATGCTATTAACTTCAGAATCAGAAAAGTATGTGATGCCCTATTTTCACTTTTTTTTTTACATTATCAAATATAAAACATATTCATTTTAAAATACTCCACTTTTATGATATGTATGTTCGCTTAATTCATCTTTTTGATAATATTTTCCTCTTTACAACCTAATGTTATACAGTTAAAGTTTTTTCTCCTTATTAGCTGGAGGTTGAAGTTTGAAGAATTAGAAAAAAAGATGGAACCGTTTAAGGAGATTTTGGACAGTTATGAGTTGGAACGCAAGCTTATACAAGGTAAAGAAGTAGAAGATGCTGGAATGTTTACATGATTAAAGTCTGTCAGCTTTTTTATTCCTTACATTGTCCAGAACATATAATTCGTTTTATACAGAATAACAATAGTTACAACTTTTTTTTTTTAGATTCCCAGTAATGGATTATTTTAAAATCAGTTTTGTTTTATAGAAATTTAAGGAAAAATTGTTCATTTTAAAAACTGAATCTTTTTGTCATTAAAATTTGCTTTATCTTTTAATAGATAGAGACAAGTACACAAATGAACAGATTGAAAAATTGACTAAAGAAGCAATTAAGAATATGGGCCACCAAAATCACAAGCAAAAAGTGAAATATGTTGACAATCTGAAACAAGAAAACATCTCTCTCCACAAAGTGAGTATCATCATCATTATCTGCTACATGTTATATTTCAAAATAGTTTTGTAAACTAATTTAAAATTGCTATTTTACTTGTAGAAATTTCGTGAAGCACAAGAAGAGCTGTACAGACAGAATGCTCTGGTGAAAAAGTATAAAGAAAAACTGGATAAGTTTGAATGTTCCAAAGAGCAAGGCTTTAAAACTCCAGCTAAGCCTAAGGTTCCACTAAAGGAAGGTAAGATTTAAGGTTTTAAAAAACAATTTAGAAAATTAATTTAGATTTAGGCCTATAGGATTGTCTATATATTAAAAAAAATTTAACCTTGTTTTCAGGAAACAGATAGAAGTCCATCGCAGTGCCCTATGTTTAAGTTTGTTATTGCCAACCTTAAATTATTGTATGCCATTCTGTTGAGTTTTATCTTGTTTTGAAATATGCCATTGTTACACATTGCCTTTTAAAATGTCTACTTGATAATCTTATCTGTTATGTCATCTTTAACATATCTTTTCTCAACTAAGATAATTATAAATATGTCATTTTATATTATTTTAACATGTAAGTCTTGCCATTTTTATTGTAAAACTGCCATCCATTTGTTTTGAGCTTAAGTGGCTTAAAAAGTTTTTTTACGTAAACAGCATTTGAGATGTTCAATGAAGAAATAACCATTGTAGGCCTTTTTTTTTTACTTTTAAGATATTATTTTACCCTTAACATGTCTAAGCAACTTAACTTTCTAGGTTAACTATATAACAAAAATGCAGGTATGTAATCCAAATGTTGTATTATCAGATGTACATTTTCTTGAGGAAATAATTTCATTTTACTGTACTTTTTAAAGAATGGCATTTCATTTATTTTGGTAGTTAAGCAGTTCAATAATAATTTTTATTCTGACCTCTTATACAATTAACTGTATTGTTGTTTTATTGTAAGTTAAAAATGCTGAGAGATATTTTATATTTATTCTTGTAAATCATTGTATTTTCAAATATTTATTTCAATAAATGGATTTTTAAATAGATCATGCTTGTTAATTTATTTCAAATTCAAAGTGTGCCCCACTTCATAGTGTAAAAAAGAACTTTCTTACCACACAACACAAAACTTATTCCTTGGCTGCTTACTAAATACTATACAGCAGGGCATGGCCACTGGGGAGAATTAGGGCTATCTAGGGTATCCAGTTTTCTGTAATTGAAACATTTTCTTAAATTTTACTATTAGTTTTGTAGAAAACTGCAGATACACCAAAGTATTCTATCACTATACTTTTTATACATCTGGATATATTTATTAATTATACATGACGGAACTCAAATTATGTTCAGAATTTATTTACAATAAAATATGTACAATTTTGCATTACAATTTATAATTCTGAAAATGTTAACTTTTGGAGGATTAACTACACTAATAACCCTCCACCATCTAAAAGCTTAGAATATAGCTATCTCAAACCTAAAAATATGTATTAGAAGCAAAAAGTGTTAGCAACTCTTTGCTTCCCTCACATTTCAGAATACTACTTCAAATGCTGCATCTGTTACTCAAAGAAAATAATTTTAAAAAAAAACAATTTAATAAAAGTAGCCTACCTAAAATGAGGCAAATAGAATACATAAAATTTTATCAAAACTGGAATATATTTGAGCATGTAAAAGGAATGCAATTACTGTAAGTTCAAAATATACCTGGACCTAGATTTTTCGCTTTACCAGTTTTCGTTGCCAATGCACCATTTAAAGATGATGGGGAAAAATTGCTTATCATGGAAATTTATTGAATGACTAAGATAAATGATACACTTTACAAGGATTTATTTTAAAAAAATAGAGTAATAAAACAACCTAAATTAGGCTAAAGTCAATGTTGGGGTTTTACCATTAAATTTATTAAAATCTTGATGGGAAAACAATTTTTTTTACTTGTGTTCTGTTATTTGCAAGGTTGTGATTACAAAATATTAGCAATTAACAACCTGACTTATAATGTTTTCCAAGTTATAAAATTTAATAAACATTCTGTTACAAATATATGAAAAGTGCAATTTTAGTCAACAAAATTCATTAAGACATTTTTACAATTCAAAAATTCATATACCATAAACATTTACTCAAAATGCACAATTGTATTTTTATCCAAAATCATTCTATATTTTTACAATGATCAAATGAGTTTAAGTAATACATTTGTTACATGACAATATTTGCTTTTTTATTATTAATTCTGAACTCTAAAATTTAAGTGAATTAAATGCAATTCCTGCTCAACTTGAATTGTTAGACTGACAGAAGTTACAATAATCTGATTACCAATTTATGTACAATTCTAAAACATTTGTTGAACACCTAATGAATAATGAATACTTTTTAATTTAAGCATTCCTATTTCTTTATAATAATTAATTGTAGAGGCATATTCAAACAACATAGAAAACATAAATCAATGCAGAAAAACAAACATTTAAAAAGACATTTAAAACAAAAGTTATGTTTTCAAGGTCACTTTCCTCATTCATTATTTAAAACATAAGTATATCCATTAACATAAGATTTATTTATAAATATTAAATTACTGCATTTGTGTTACTTAATAATGTTCTCTTTCTCCGTTTTCTACCCTGACTTGTGTTGATATCAGCGTCTTCAGAGTCTTCTCCGGAGCGCCGCTTTAAAAAGCTAGGTGACACCTTGACCACATCCTCATCACTGTCTTTCGCAACAGCTTTGACTGGGGCTTTCTTGGAATTTTTAAGTCTTAGTTTGCCCCTGGTTGCTTTAGGTTGCATTTCCTCTTCATCATTAAACACTGCATTTTCTTGAGAACTGTTACTGTCACTTTCCTCTTTCTTGCTACCAGATCTAGTGGGACGTTTTGGCACCACAGCAGGAGGTGGCGGCAGAGTTTCCTGCACCTCGTCTACAACAAATGTACTGTTCAGTGTAGAACTTGTGGATTCCAACTAAAATGTAGGGGAAAGTTTAAGTTAATACAAATTTTTTTAAAATGTAACTATGCTTCTTTTGTGTATAAGGTAATAATTACTGCATTAAAAAATTATTATTATAGAGCACATACTACCCTATATACAAAAGAAACTAAAGATACCTTTGGCTTAGGATTTAAGAAAGGTGATGAGTGGGAGTCTAAGTCTGGCATAAGTCTGAATGTCTTGTTTTGGTACATCATGCTTGTCATTTTCTAAAAAAAAAATAGATAAGACAATGAAGCATAAAACACTAGCAACTTTACAGGCCATCTTTTCAAGAAGCAAATGATGCTTGGAAGACCTACACTTTTTAAATATTTTTTTTACCTGCTTCATTGTTTCACATTCTTTATCCTTTTCCTTCAACTGCTCTTCAATTGCATTGAACCTTTCAAGTTTTGCTTCCTGAAGTTATAGATTGGAATCAACATTTATACTTCATTAACATTATTAGTTTACTTATTGATTTATGTGCTCATAAAAATAATGTGAAATTTAACTTTGTAAATAAAATAAATATTTTACCAAAATTCGAATCTTTTCTTTGGTCTTTGCATCTGCTGCTTTACCAGGGCCTGGACGTGTGCCTTGATCAGCATTTAATAGGAAAAGAGTCTGTGAAAATAAACATTTTAGTTGTTATAGAAATATAACTGAGCTTGCTTTTTTAATTTATAATTGTACTTCAATTAATATTTCATATTCATGGTAAAATAATTGACAGTAGTTACCTTTTCCTCATATTCTTTTCGTAGCAAATCTATTTCACGTTCATATTTACTTTTTAGTCTGCTCATTTCACTTTTGAGTTCTTTTACAGCCTCTTCTTCTTCCTTTTCTTTGTCTTGTACATTTCTCAACTCACCACTAGCCTTTACACTGTCTGCCTTGGCATTTATTGCCTTAAAAAAAAATTTCAATTTGCACAATATAGGCTTACATTTTATGAATTTTATTTTATTAGTCCAGCTTGTTACAATTCTAGTTGTAGAACTGCTCTCAGATGACTTAAAATGTATTTTTAAAATGGATAAACCTACTTGTTCTAGAAGAAATTTCAGTGCACATTTAGCTTCATTCATAGTGTGAAGACTTTGCCAGGTTGACTTTCCTTTAGATTCTTTAAATAGAAAGTTAGTTCAAGTTTTGGTTTTATTGTTTTTTATTATATTGCAAGTACAAATGAGATTGAAATGAAGTTAATACATCTTCAGCAAATGCATAGATTAATCACAAGCTATATCATTTATCTACAAAATAGTGATGCAGCTTAAAGCAGGGATGTGACCAGACCAGGAAAAAAAATTAGGAAATTTTCTTAGGATAATAACTCAATATGTTTTATCTACTTTTTATCGCGGTTAAGCAGCTTCATACTGTTACTGTACTAATTAATTGTTTAATGAAGTTAATATTTTAAATACAAGAAGTTTATGTTACTCTAAAATAACATTGAAAGTCTTGTCTAATTGCAATTTAATGTTTACCTTATAAACAACTTTTTAAAAATTACAATGTAACAAAAGTAGCAATTAAGTTTTATTTTACCATTAAGCTAATTTAAACTGTACTAATCTAGTGTAGATTCTAGATGTACTCCTGTTTTCAATTTTTAAATAGGGCCTAATGCCTAATATATATTCTTTTAAAGATTGGATTGGTAAAAATATGTGTCTTCAACTGTATAGACCCTAGATTAAAATTAGTTACAATTTGAAAGTTTTAGGTTCATGTGATGGAAAAATGAAATAGACCAGGTTAGCTAAAATTAGAAAGGGTCTGGCGTGTGAACCAAAGTTAATCATAATGATAACCAAGCCACATCGATATTTATGTTTTTTTGGAATAGCTGTAAATTGTTAGGGGTCATCCACGTTTTTTTTTTACGATATTTACCTCCCCTCTCTCCTACAAAAGCCAAACTCCCCCACAGTCTGAACGTATTTTTTCTTCCACAAACAAGACACGGTCGTAGTCACGTTGAGTTTAGTAAAAAAAATTTAATCGGTAGGCCTACACAGCATACGTATTGCGGGAACAGCTATTTGAAATTGACTGTGACGTCATTTTTTTTCCCCACAAGCAGTACCGAAAACGTACTTGGGGTCAAGGTGAGGTCACAAGAGCCACCGTTGCTACGAGGTGGGGCGGGTTAGTCTAGTCCTCATAGTCACCTTTTGCAAGGATTTCAATATTAATTTGAGATTGCGAAATAAAATAGAATCAGAGAGAAACTCTAGATTTAGGCGGGTTAAAATACCGATAGGTAAATTAGGCTATATCGATAGCTAGATTACCAGGCTTAAGAGATGTAAGTTTTAATTGAATAACTGCATTATTTTAGATTACCTTTTTCGTGTATTTGATAAATAGTTAACTGAAAATATCAGCGGAAAAATTTGGACTAAAAAAGTGTGCTTTGAAAAATTCGAAAGTCCGCCGAAATTCCGAATCTTAACCTACATTTAATCTTGATCTAGCACCGTCAGACCTAGCGCAATCAACCAATCGAAAAGAAAAGCGCATATTCGCGTGTCCGTTTGACCTCAGTACAGTAGTTGTCGATTTAAATTTAAATACGAATAAGCGGAATGAGCATGTCGGCCCTTTCCGTAGAAGACATTTCCGTTTTTTTCCCCTAATTTTTAAACCTTCGTAAAAAACCGACAAAAATTGAAACTCTGCGGAAAAATTCGGCGAAAATTAAATCAGCGGAGGAAAATCGCAACTGAAACGGAAAAATCGGATTTCCGCTAAAATTCGGAAAAGTCACATCCCTGTTAAAGGAATCTGGTACAAATTTCTTACCTTGGTCAGCATCTACAATTTTCTGTTGAAGCTCTTGGATGTGTGCATTTCTAAAATAAAAATGGATAAAAGCAAAATTTATTTATTTATTAAAAAAATAGGAAGCTAAAATTTTATCACTATTCTATGCACATCAAAACTATTAACAAAATAGTTCATTTTATTAACCTAGAAAGTAGCCAGTTACTATATTTAATTGCCAGAAAAAGTGAAAACATTTGAGAACTGAAATTTCATACACTCACTGGCATGTGTTTCAATCCATTTTCATTTATTTTGATTAATAGTAAATTGTAAGAAAATTTTTACTTATAGTTTGACAAAAGTGGTTTATTTTCCTAAATGGTACTTTTGGTGAAAACATGCTAAAGTTCATCTAGTGAACTGTTGGAATTTAGTGGCAAAATAAGTGATTTTAAGAAGAAAAAAATTTAAAATTAAAAAAAAAAGAAGCCTGGTGATTGGGTAAAAGAGAGTAAGTTGATTGCTTTAAACAAAATAAATGCCTTTTTCTTATGAAAAATATAGTCATTGTTAATTAAAACCTTACTATTCCTGACTAATAACGTATGTTTAAAATTAGTTGGATAATTTGTAAAAAAAAAAGTTATTAATTATTTTAAAGTAATTATTTTGAATTAAACTAATGCATTACCATGGTTCTTTTTAAAAAGTCAATAACAAAAATGTTTAAAGTTATGTTGTAGAAAATGTTAATAAAAGGTTAATTAAATTCAACATGCAAAAAAAAAAAGGATGCCGTTCTACTAAATAGGGGGTGATACATATTAAAAATAATTAAAAATGAAGTAACAGGATCAAAATAATGTTATCCAAGTCTTACATTAATTCAATATCAAGCTCAATGGATGTCATTTGCTTTTTGATTTCCCTTTCTTCAAAGCTAATTTCTTCTTTATCTCCATTCTCCCCAAGCCAAGAGAATTTCTGCAACAATTTACAATTACACTTTTACAAATTAAATCATATGCAACATATTACAAATAATGTTCTAAAAAATAAAATGCAGGAAAAGAATTTTATTTGAAAGTTAAAATAAAATGAAGGGGCAAATTACCTTGGAAATTGGACCATCTTCAAGCTGGTCTTGCAGATGCTGGAGTGTCTCAGTCAAGTTTTTCCTGTCTTGCATTAGCTGATTGAGATGATACTGTGCTTCACGAATACTAACTTTCACCTCTAGTTCATGACTCAGCCATTTCTGTTTGCATCATACAGAGAAAATATATAGATGACCTCATGCATCAATGTTATCCATAAATATATTTTTTTTAAATGTGTACTCACCCTTACTCTGTTACCAATACTTGTCGAGTCATATTTTTCTAGTTTACCAGTCCTCTCTGACTCAACTTCTTTTTGTTTTGCCAGAGCTTCACGCAGTCTCTTATTAGCAGCAATAGCCTGATGAAAACATTCAATTACAATTGCTTTTAAACTAGTAGCTATTTCATTGTTGATTCTATAAAACTTTCAATACTTTACAAAGTAATATAAGAAATTGGGTAGTAAAAAACAAACCTCAGCTGTTTTTCTCTTTTGGACAGACTGTTGTTTCTCAAAGTCTTTTTTCATTCTCTGGACTTCAAACTCACGTTTACGATCCTGTAAACATAAAAGTTTTTGAAAACTGGTGGCTATAAAAATATCTTTTTAAGCGGATTCATTAAATAAAATTTTTCTTATAGTACCTTCTGTTGCAGCTGCATCACCTCCTTATCTTTCTCTTTCTTCCATTTCTGGAAATTGGAAGTTTCTTCTTTCATTTGTTTCACTAGCTTTACACGCTGATGTTTTAAAGCCTAGAAAGAACAATTTTCACATACAAATATCAAACACAATTTTGTTTACAAGCAGAATTTTTTTTTTCATATAGCTTTACAAATGATGATACTAGTAAAAAAAAAGCCAGACAACTCATTTAAAAAAAATTTTGCTGGTGAAACTCTAGAAATCCATTCGACACTGCATTGCCTTAACTGCAATGCAAGAATACTAACAAGAGCCCAAATTTTATATCATTATTAAAATCATTTTAAATACCTGTATTTCAACATTCAGCCTAGACACCTGCTTGTCAGTGGTCTCTTTCATTTTCACAACCTTACTTTGTTCTGTAATCTTCTTTTTAAGGACCCCCATTTGCTGCTCTAACTCTTTTAACCTTTGTCTTCTCTGTTCTGCAACTCTGCAAAACACAGGCAATATAAACAGTCTCAGTCATACAACAATCATAATTTCAACATCCTAAAGTACAAGCATTTTAATTAATGAGAAAGAATTAGCAGTTTTTAATGATCCATGTTAAAACAACCAAAGTATAAGTACTTGTTGGCATTAGCATTCACTTGAGCATCATGAAGTGTCATTGTCAGCTCATTTCTTTCTCTTTCTAACTGCTCTGTTTTAGCTTTCCATTCTTGCACCATTTCTTCATACTGTCGCCGCATTGCCTCAATCTGCTCATCAGCTTTGTTCATTTTTTCTGCCAAGGCTTGTTTATTGATCAGGATTCTATTGATTTCATTTAATTCTCTGTGAAGTTCTGCTTGTCTCAATGCATGTTTCTGAGTTATGGCCCTAGAGTCTGGTGTGGACATGAGCTCTTCAGTTCTTTGATTTTCCTAGAGTCACAGAGTTTTGAACATTAGAGTTTAAAACATGTAATGTATAAACAAGCAAACAGTGTTAACATTAATAGAGAGCAGTATACATACCTCATCACTTGCTGAATCATTTTCTTTATTTTCTTCTTCATCCTCCATTTCAACCTGAATAGAACAAAAATTGTTTTCAGGTTTTTAATTCATTAGATACGATACCTCAAAAGTTAGACAACAGATGTAAATTAATAGATTATAGGAATGTATACCTCTGCCTCATCTGAATAATTTTTGACAGACTGTGTGAGTTTCTGTAATTTTTCCAGCTCTGCTTTGGCTAGAGGGTTGTTTTCCACATCAATACTTGAGCTCAATAAATCTAGGTCTATTCTGTAATGTAAAAATTAACATTCTTACCACAGACTAGCAATCTACTGGGCAGGTGAAGTAGAGTTCATGTTTACTACACACAGGTTAAAACATGTTTAAAAAAAATCACTGATATTCCAACAGTTATAATAATTCAATACTTACCCCACATAATCTTTAACTTGATTAATTCTGAGCTTCAGTCGCTCATTGCTAGACTCAAGTTTCATGACTTGATCCAACATCTTTGTGCTCTGCTGGACAGAATGTTGGAGTTCTCTGGTCAGTTGGAAATTTTCAGATTCTAAATCTTTGATGCGTGAATTCAACTTGTTTATTTCATCCACACTGTTATCTAAGGTAGTTGTAACTGTACTGCACATACTTGTGCTTGTGCTGTGAATAAATATTTTTCCATAAACATACATGATAAATTTTTCCAATGTATAAAGTCTTACATTTTATTATAATAATGATATAGTTTAAGAGCGAGCCTTCAAGTACATAAAAATATTTTGTTTTGTTTTCTATACCTTAAAATTAACTAGATATTCTAATAATGAAACTTCTGTTTCTATTTATGAAATATTCTGACTGATGGTTACTCCAATTCTTGATAAAAAATTTCTTACTCTGATTTTATAGTACAAAGGCTTAGTCCGCCTTGCAATAGCTGACCTTGCAACTGTTGAACCTAGTTAAAAAAAATTAAATAAGTAGCAATCATTTAAAACAAATTTACTCTAATTTAGTTATAAAAAAAAACTTAAAGACATACTCAAACAAAAACAAGAAATGCAATGTCTGTGAAATCTTTCACCAAACTAATAAAATAAAGAAATATATATGGGTGTACCAGTGTTTTTAGCCTCATTATTTCTGCGGCTTGTGGATCTCTGTTAATAATGGGTTTGTTTTTAATCTTTCGGGCACGATCTGCATAACGTAAAGTATTTAACGTTTCCTCTATATTTGAGTCAGCTGGGCTAACACAGGCAATCATAAGGGTGTGACTGTTCCCTCCTAATGAATCTAAAGAAAATATTAAACATTAACTTTAAAAGATAAATATTTTAATTGACCGTATTGTTCATTAATTTTTTCAGCAATAAATCCAAATTAACCAGCAATTTCACAATTATACATTTTGAGAAGATATAAAAATGCAGCATACCTTGTAAAATACGAGTCAGTTTAGAGTCTCTGTAAGGAATGTGGCTTCTCTTGTGACCCTCCTCACCCAAGGCACTGATTACATTACCCAAGGCAAGCAGTCCTCGATTTATATTCACACCTATACAACAATTATTTAAACATTGATTATATCCAGTATGGATATTATATTAAAACACTTCACAGATCTCTGTCAATAAATCTTAATTTCAGATCAGTTGTCTTTACCTTCTTTAAACCTTTCACCTTCTGCTTGTGTTCTTTTACATCTTTCAGAGCCAGCAAGATCAACCAAATGAAACTTAACCTTGCAAAGGTCATTCCTATAATATTTTTAAAAACATTTATTCTTGTTGAAATTAAGGACAAAATATATGTAATAAGATGTGCATTTTTAATTAAAAGATGACTATTTTGTAAAAAGCTTTACATGTCCTCTTTTTTTCTTTGGTCTATGTTAAGGGTGAAGATTGCATGAGATCGACTGGATGTGTTGTTCATTGCTGTGGCTCCTGTGGTGCGACTTTGTGACCCTTCACTAAGACGCTTCATTGTCTCTTCAAAACTTCTCACTTCAACTTCTCTTAACCCATGAATCTGTGTTAATACAAAAAAGTTGTTGGCTAATTGAATCTTTTCTAAGCTCGTCAAACATATATTTATGCATACATCTTTTAAAATAGCATTCATCCAAACTTATCAGGAATAGAAAACATTAAATTTAGGGATTTGCTTCTGTGAAAAAAAAGAAAAAACTATATACCAATTGGGCTTCTTTATAAACATACTAAAATGTTGCAGCAATAAATACTGCTTTAATGGGGGTCATGTATGATTATCTAACCAAAAAACTTTTAAAAACTCACTTTGATGCCACCATTGCTTTCTTCTCGAATAGTTAACGGTTCTCTTTGAGCAGTTGGACATAGTAAATCATTCAGGTCTTCATTGTAGATCTAAGTAATCAAATGGAAGTTAATTAATGGTACAAGTTACACCCAAGACAAACATTTAAAATAAGATCAGCTGCCTCTCTTTAATGCTTAGTATCTGTCACAGCCCTTTTGTATGACTGGGTTCATGGCACAAACTAAAGGTAAATACAAACCACATTATTGGTGATTTTACAGTCTTTTATTGATATCAGATAATATAGCAGCTACACTACTAGAACCACGACTTCAGTTTCGTCATCTCCTCGCGCTCTCTCTACCTCTCTCTGCTTCCTTTCCTTAGCGCATGCGCACACCCATCCTATATTTTATATTCATATCGCCTTTTTAAGATACATACTCGAAACATACATTCATCTACATTTAACTGTTACAGTATCAATAGTTTACAAAAACAAAAACATTTTTAACTATGATTCATACCTCCATGTAAGAAACACTAACTGTAAACTCTATATTGTTTTTATCTTTAATGTGTTCAAAGATGTCTCTCAACACTCTAGGAATCACTCCCATATCATCTTCATCTCCTTCTAAAGAGGATTCATAACAGCCTCCCATGGTGAAGGTTTTCCCACTTCCCGTCTGTCCATATGCCAGAATTGTGGCATTGTAACCTAGAATTCACAATAAACAGTTTAGGAAATTTTTTAAAATCTCAAATTATGTATATATGTGTGTATGTGTATATATAAAATTTACAAAAATCAGTCAATGCCTGATACGTGCAAAGATTTTACTATTCATTGTAATGAAAATGATTAATTTTTTGATAACCAGTACCTTTAAATATACTTGCAATTAAACGTTTGCATGCTTTTGAGTATACTTCTACTTGAGGATCAGTGGGTCCAAAAGCAAAGTCATAAGTAAATGCTCTGTCTTTTCCCAACAGAACCTGTGGCTCTCCAGGAATAGTTTGTAGACAAGGTTGGCACCCTTCTTTAATTTCCTTTTCAATAAGCGGTCTGCATCTAAGTGCCACAAGAACTGGGATCGTTTTGGCCTTTTCATCAGGCATATCTGGTAAATAAAACCATGACTTAACAAATGTACAATATTTCATTATTATGTGTACTAAACAGACCATTGTAACAAAAAAATGTAAAGTTCCTCTATAGACCCAGCGATCCATTTGACAGATGAAGTAGACTTCATGTTTCTTGACCTCTGAATATAAAGGGATGGGTGGTCAGAAACTTAAGTCAGGTACCCGTTAGAGTTGAGTGGACTCAGGGACACCCTACAGTTATAGTCCATACCAAGATCCAAACTCAAGACCTTTGGGATAGCAGCCAAACACTTTACCATTTGACTACAACATCCCATACCATTGTAACATCCAGCTCCCCTAATGTTTGTGCAACTCCTCTCAATATTTTTTATGAAACAAGGACATCGTTCAATCAACTTAGGAAACAGAAGCATATAATTGCATAAAGTTTGTAAGCAATGTATAGTAGCAGTTCGTTCCCCTCTTACAGAATCATGTTACATGGTGTCGAACCAAATGAATGTGTTAATTTATAATGAGAAACACTCCCAAGTGGATTAAACAAATGCCAGGAAAAAATTATTTAATTAAGAAAATGAAGTGGTGGCTGATAAGGTAGAACCGCAGAAAAAATACAAGGGGCTGTAATGGAATCTATATGGAAAAAATATTATGGTATTAGACCTGTTTTTGTTGGTTGATTTAATAGCTTTATAAGATATAATAGTCAATAGACCTATTTTGAAAACATTTTTAGCATACATATTAGTACTAGATGATCACCAGCAAAGCAAGTTACATGGTTCTAGTTCTAGGTGTTTTTCATTAAACTGATTTTGATTAGGCTGGATCTATTTTTTTTAAAACTGCACCAAATTATGAAAGCAATAATAGTTAAGTAGGTAGACCAGTAATAATTTTAATAAAAATATTGCACTATTATTAATAGTGCAATATTTTTATTAAAATTATTACTGGTCTACCTACTTATAATCCTATTAATGGAACAGCATAGCCTAGTGGTAGAGAGCTAGGCTGCTTACCAGAAAGTATCGAGTTCAAATCCAGGTTCAATTCACTGTCAGTAAAATCAAATGTCCACCCAGCTCGACTAACGATAGGGAAAACAAAGGCAGCTGGGCATAGTGCTGACCACACTATCCTTTTATTTATAAGTTCATAATCAAACTTCATAATCATATACATTATTATACCAAAAGTTGAGACAGAGGTTTTTGAATTGAAGCAGATGATCATGAAGGTGCTACAACAGTAACACTTTGACTTAGTAACAGTGTGTGTAAAGTTAGTACTAGATCTGGAGATCTAGATAAGATTGTAGTAGGCAGAAGTATCAATATAAGACTGGATCTAGAAATCTATATCTAGAATCTATTTATTATCATCAGTATCAGTCAGGACTCAGATCATCTCATCATGCTCGCCAGTCAGTCAGGCGGCATAGAAAACTTTTTTAAAAAAATAACTTGATAGCCTAATAATACTGAAGGTATAAATCTAGATCTAATTGGCATGAACTTATTTACTTTTTATTGAACTTCACTTCTTCGATATGAAAATTAACTTGAAAACATAATCCTTTAGATTATTGCTGATTATTCAATTAAACTAGAGTCTGTGTTGATACTTAGCCACTATGATCATTCGAAAATACCGCATCCGCCACACTAAACAAAATCAACCAATGAAAAACTAAGTAACTTCAAAAGTATTCGCTCTTTTCTGTTTTCATTTATTTATTTATTTATTTTATTGTTCAGCTCGCCTATACTGATAGATCTATGTAAATTGTCATACGATAAAAATATATAACTTCTTTTTTTTTAAAATAACATATATCGATCTAAGTGCTGTTACAGATTCATAGTAAAAGTATTTATCTCATTATCCATTATTATTATGTTTTTAAAGACGATCTTGGGTATCTAAAACTAAAAATAGGACTCATTTTAAAATATTTTCCTTGGAACCCTATGTAGTGAATTCTTTGTTTGATTGTTATACTTTGCGTATAATATATAATTTAATGTAGATATATCATTGGTAAGGGAGTTGCCTGTAGATGAGAATAGCAGGAAGATAAATATAGAATTTTCTGTTAAGGACTACGACAGAGGCGTAGCGACCCTTCCCGGCGCCCGGGGACAAACTTTCTATTTGCACCCCCCCTCAAAATATTTATAATTTGTTTTTCCAACCCATTTTTGCGCCCCCTAAGGTCGGCGCCCGGGGACATATCAAAATATTTATTAAAAGATTTTTGTGACTTTATTTCTGTGGCTTTTTTCCCAAAAAAAATTTCCTTTGTGACTTTTTTCTGTGGCTTTTTCTTTTCTAGCAAAAACGGACTTTTTCTCTGTTTTTTTTTTTTTCCTGTGACTTTTTCCCGTTTACCGTCTAGAGAGTCGACGGGGCAGGGCCTGACTCGCGATCCTTTGATATCGGGGACTAATAGCCATTTTTGCGGCAATAACAGTTTGTTATTTCATTCTCGTTGAAAGGGAATTAATTTTTTTGAAAAAAATTACCCTATTTTGGTTATATTCCCTTAAAAAAAAACAACAGAAAAATGTGAGTACGGCGACTGTGTGATAGTAGAGACCGGGGTAGAAATCGGAGGGGGGGGGAGGGAACGTGACGCCATTTATGGACGGGCTTAGTAGTATTAATTATTATAATTGTTATTACTATGGATGTGGAAAAAATAGGAGTTGAATGGGGGTATAACGCCAGCTAATCGTTTCAGCGAGAACCTATCGTAAAGACCACCTTTGTACATGAACTCAACAATAGATTATATGAAACAGAAAACGTCCAGTAACAACTAACAAAACATGAAAGATATTTAGCCTACAAGAAAGCAAGCAACACATGTATTAGGGTACAGATAGTAACAAAGACAAGATTGAATTGATGCCTCTGGGAACTTCATTGAAAAGATATCATAAATCAAGCTAAAACAGACCAGCCCCAAAAAGAGGCTACTTTACAGTATTACAGACATAGTGTAAAGTGTTACACGAAGAAATGACAAAACGATCTATTTTGAACAGGAAATAATAGTATAATAGTAGCTATTTAAAAGACCAATCGCAACAAGTCTCTAGGAGATGGTACTTCTAGAATCACCGTAGAAATGCTCAAAGCAAATCCAACCGTGTGTGCACGATGACGAGGTGTTTTTAATAAAATATGGGGTGAAGCCTAAGAAGGAAGAAAAAAAAAGGTTATTGAAAAAATGTATCACTGTTAAAATAGTTGAAAAGTTGACATAGGGGTCATCCATAAAAGACGTCACGCTTTTTTGACGATTTTTATCTCCCGTCCGTTACACATCGTCACAAAAAGCCACCCCCCCCCTAAAATGACGTCACATTTAAGCCTACAACCCCCTTCAAAATTGCAGTTGCATTTTTCTGAAAACATCTATATTTTTAAAAAATCTTGTCTGAACTCTTTCAAAATAGAGTATTTTAATCATTTCCTATTGCAATTTATTAAAACAGTTTTCTCAAACGCGAAAAAAACCCGTATAAAATTCGTTTTCCAACATTGCTTTTTTATAACGCAAAAGTGTGACGTCACACCATCTGAACCCACCCACCTCATCAGATATAGAAATATAAGAAAGAAGCTAAATCCTAGTTGTAGAAATTTATGGACGACCCCCAACATAGAGTAGTTTTAATCAATTAGTATAACAATTTATTAAAGCAGTTTTCTAAAACGCAAAATAACGGCTAATATTCGTTTTCTAACATTGCTTGTTTATAATGCAAAAGTGTGATGTCACAACATCTGAATCCCCCATCCCTCCCCTCATCACACAATGTCACAAAATTACGGACCCCCCTCCCCCCTATGAGTGTGGCGTCATTTATAGACGACCCCCATTAACCTTCGCATAAAATTTAATACTTGTATACCTATCTATATATATAATTCTCTTCGTGGAGGGACCATGCGGGACACTACCACGTAAGCACGCCGATCTCACCCTCCCTCGCTCTCTAGGCATGCTCAACAGACCATATCGCTACCACACCCACCCACCAGTCTCGTGAGCTGTTTACAATCGTAGAGCCGGGTCGAAATATTGGCGGCGATTAGGTGCAGATAATTTAGTTTTAAACGATTTGAAACTAAGAGGAGGTAATAAGAAGTTATGCTTGCTATTTTCATTGTAGTCTGTAAACTGTCGTCACTGACGGCTGCTTTCACGGGGGTGGGGGAAGGATGAGTGGAAAGTGAGGGTGAGGATTATCGCCCTTCACGAGCTACTGATAGTGTTTTAAAGCAAAATATTTTCAGTCGCAGCATTGGTCGTGTCAAATTCACAAATTATGAGTTACTGAAAAAGAGAAAATAAAACAGCTAAATGGCGGCGTATGCTACGTCGCAGGTCAGCTCGTATTTAAAATTTCGTTTACCTAACTTAAAAGGTGCTCAAGTTCCGGAAATCGCTCAAAAGTTGATTGAAAACTACAAATTTGATATATGCCTAATACTTATAGATTTATATAAAATGTCTTCATCCTAATAGAAACGGTACTCAGTTATCGTGTTTACATACACATAGAAACGGACAGATAGAGACGGACAGGATTCAAAAATCAAATATTTCTAGTAAAGTTTTTTAAAATCTCGATTTAGATTGGTGTACAAATACAATACCTTATCCATACTCTGTATACGAGAAAGTAAAAAGACCTAGACGAAGATTCACCAAAGAATACGATTTGCTTCTACTTGTTTTTTAAAGTTCAACGCATAAATTTTAATATACAGTTTTCCCATCTCTCTATTAAACCCTGCTCTCCGCGCGATTTTTAACGTTTACCTGTGAAATTCTCCCCTGATCTAGTGCCACCCCCCTCAAACTTTCAATTTGTTTTTCCAACCCATTTTGGCGCCCCCCTACGGACAGCGCCCTAGGGCCTAGGCGACCGCCTAGTTCGCCTTATAGGTAGCGCCGGCCCTGACCATATCTATGTTTACAATAGTAGTCCCCATATAAAATATACTCAATGTTTGGTGTTTCTTCACCATGCTTTAGAATTACGCACTGGCTTTAGCAGGTTAAATGACGTTTAGTTATAGTCGATTTAACCTTAACATTATACCGTTACACGTAGAAATAAAGTCAGAACCACCACCCCCTCCCAAATGACGTACAACGAGCTAAATAGGCCTATAGCCTCCCAAGTAATAAAAAAGAAATGTAAAATGGCTTTCATGCACTTTTTCTTTAAAATATTGGCCAAAAGGCATTAACATTCAGTTTCCTATCAAGTGGTATATTTTTTTAGTCATAGTTGCCATTTTCGAGTGTCATTCCCCCTCCCCAATAACGTCACTAAACTTTTTGTAACGTTGTGCTACGAGCAGTGTTTCTATCAGTGAGAGAACTACGACGTCACACATTTTCTCTGCAGCCCCCCCCCCCCCCCCCCCGATAAAAAAATGTCCCACTACGAGGAACGGTGGTATGTGACATAAAAGAATGATTTTTAAAAGGTTGTTCATAAATGAAGTCACACTTCTAGAGAGGAGTGGTTCGGGACTTAATTTAAGTGACTATTTGACGGTTCAGAAAAATGTGATATCATTCTTTTTACTCAGCATTTTAGTGAATTTTTGACGAAAACTTTACAGTGTATTTTTTCACTGATATTTTGCAGTAAGTACTTTAGAAAGATCATAGTTTAAAAAATTGCCATTCTGAGTTAGGAAAGTTTAGACTGATGTGACATAATTTTAAGGAGATGGATGGGGACTGAGTCTAATATTTGTGACAATGGGGGAACTTGTAAAATTTGGACGACACAAATGTTTTAATTTTGTATATGACAGAAGGGTGCCTACTAAATGTTAAAAAAGGGCGTGGTCTATTGAATAGTACTATATGAGATGGCATGGTGGGTTAAATGCTTTACTTTTGTATTATATAATATACCAACATATAATAGCTATTTATAAGATTATTTTTAGGTTAGTAAGCTATGCTTGATTTCTTTAATGTGAATTCATTAAATGCTGAGTTTTCTCCAATACAATAGCAAAACTTCGGAGACAAAATAGCTTTTACAAAAATGGATGGGTTGAACTGAGTGGCAAAGATAGAATTTTAGTTTACAATTTACCAAAAAAGACATTTAATTATAGTAGCCAGACAAGATGGAAACAAACACATTTAAAGAATATAAACTAAAACAAGAATTATTTTGTTTCAATGCTTTATGCAAACCAAGGATTGAGTCTAGACAAGAACTGTAACTCCACCCAATTTATATTCTCACCAAATGCACATACACACTTGTTAATGATCATGTCTAACATAAAAAAAAATTAAAAATTTGGCAGCAACATAATGTATGTTCTGCAGTGTTGTTTCTAGTGACAGAGGATAACTTCAGATGCTGATGATATTAAATTGCATGTTTTTACAACTATTTATTTAGTACAGGATTGTTTTTTTGACAGTCAAGAATCAGCTAGCAAGCTTGATGACACACTGCTTGGTTGTGTTGGTTGGAAGCCCAATGTAACAAAATAAATTTCTCTTTGCTTGCTGTTACATTACAATGTTGAAATATTTATTCGTTCAGTAATTTCTCAAGGGCATCAAGCATCAACTGAACATTTAAATAATAGTAGAAAGAGTTATTTTTATGCTTACTTTTGTGATATTTAAAAAAAATTCCCTTTTGAAATAGCTAGCTATATACTTTTGGCCAGAAATACTTTTTAATTATGAAATTTTTTAAATGAACCTTCCTTTCCATTAAAACAATCCTAAAAGCAATATAAATAGCTTGCAAAGGAGAAAATACATGTGACAGTGTTACTGAAAGATACATGAAACTAACAAAAACAATTGTCTAGATTAATTGCGCATAAGAGTTAAAGATCAAGCCTAATCCCTATTTTACATACAGCATCACTGGTTAAAAATAGCAAGTACTTTTATACATTTATAAAGAACAATTTTGAGTGAATTAAACATGGATTGATTTGATGGGGTTACAATAAAAAAATGTACAAATATAATTCAATAAGTGTATGAAATAACCATAAATGTTAATATTTAGCATGTTTGGCTTCACTTCCACCACCAGCACCACTAGAAGGCTTTCTCTTGTCTATGATTCTCTGTATTTGCTGTAACTCTCTATCAAGCTTCTGTTTTTCATCCTTTGGACCTGTTCTTCGTGTACGTCGCCCATCTGACATTTTGACACCATACTGAAAAGCAGCCCTAAGAAATAAAAAAAAAAACCGTTATAAATGTTCAATACTATAACTAACAGCAACATGGATACTTAAGTCCTTGACATGTAGACTCTCCTGATTTTGTACATGGTTGTCCCTTGATAATCAAGAGAACTTAAGAGTTGATTTATTATGAGGTCATTACATTAATCTGCATTGGAAATAAATTCTATATACATAAATCTAAAAAAAAACCCAATAAATAAATAAAATTTACTTAGGAAGAGCCTCTCTGTTTGACATATAGTCAGAATATTCTTCAGCTGTGTCAAAATCCCATCGACCAACTGGGCCTTTCTTGTTTCCCTGATCCATTTTTGTAAAGTCAACTTCTTCATCTGAATCATCAATAGCATCTGCTGACTCCATCATGCTGTGGTTATTTAAAACAAGAATTTCATTAAAAGAGAAAAATAGCTATTCAGTTTTAATTTAAAGTGGATCGACAATGCAAGCAATAGTTTTAAAATGAAACAGTAGGCCTAATAAAAAAGAAAAATATGGATTTGGACATACCCTGGGTAGCACTCAGCATAACTGTCAATATCTGTTTTTGCTTTTAGTTTCATCAATCTATTCTTTTCTGCCTCTATTTTAACTCTAAAAAAATGTGGGTCCAAGATAAATTATTTAGTGAGTACTAAATATGAATAAAATTTAAAAAATGTCTAATGCAATTTTCATTATTATAGTTAGTGATAATACTTCACCAAAACACTTATTAAAAAAAAAATAAAACTTACTTTTCTTTTTCTTCTTCTAACTCAGCATATCCCTAAATAAAATTATAAATGTGTAAAATATATCAATATAATTACAATTATTAGATTTTTTCAAACCTATTTTAAAAAGAGATCAACAAACATTTAAAAATATACTATCACAACCTTTATAAATAGGAAACAATATATTGAAAAAGTTGTTAAACGGTTGATAATGCTTTTCTTTTAGTTTATTTTTAATGAAGGCCAAGTTTATGATTTGAATAGTTTTAAGCATAATCCAAATACATTGTAAAGTTATCATACCTTAAACTTGTCATTAATGGATTTCACTAACTCTGAAGCTGTTTGTTTTTTATCTTTTACTTCATCCTGTATGGTTTAAAGATAAACAATGTTTATACAAATACAATTATTATTGACAAAATTTTTACAAATTCATAATACAACTTTATAGAAAAACAATTAACTATAATTTAAAAATAATTACCTCCTCCACAGGTTTTTCAAAGTAAGACCGTTTTTGTGCCCTTTCTTTTTCAACATCTCTATATCTGTCTACTTTTTCTTTCTCCCTTTCTTTCTCTCTCTCTCTTTCCCTGTCTCTATCTCTACGATCCCGTTCTCTTTCACGGTCTCTGTCTCTTTCCCTAGCCCTGGCTCTACAAGTGGTCAATTACAACATTAAATCCTATTTAATAAAAATGAGATCATCTAAAAATCATACAATTATTTTTTTTTAAATCTGTTAGAAATAACCATATCTAGCACTAAAAGAAACAGCACTTAATAGATTTACCTGTCACCCCTTTCTCTATCACGATCTCTACCCCTATCCCGATCTCTGTCTGTCTCTCTGTCTCTTTCTTTTCTATCCTTATCTTTCTTATCTTTGGGTTTGTTGAATGATGGTTCATAATCTCCAATTTCTCCATAAATGCTACAGAAGTGAAGTTTTAATTTTAACTGAACTTGAAATAGCATCATGATGCTACAATATATCAGGTAGTTAAAGAAATAATCAAAAATGTTTTATTGGTTTCATTACCTGTCATCCATGGCTGTAATTCGTGCTTTTTCTTCTTCTTTAAGTTTTCCTAATAAAAAAAAAAACCCCATAAAATAAATATGTGAATGTTTAATAAACAACTGATTTATTTCCTTTAAATGAGCAGCCATACTTAGACTTCAGCCACAATAAACATAAAAATATACCTTTTTCTTTCTTTTTTAACTTTTTAGCTTCTCGTTTGCCTTGCCGCAAATAGGAAAGGATCTGAGTCAGTTTGTTGATGACAATATCATTTGTTGTTAAGGTAGTTGTAGCCTGTTGAGAAAACCATTAAATGTATTGGCAGCCACAGTAAAAATGTAGATGTAGAAAAAACAAAAATGAAACAAAAACAACACTTACAGCTAAAGTAGGACAATCTGCTTTACTTCTTATAAGAGTTGCAGGTACATCAGATTCTGCAAAGTCATCTTCCAGGTCAATAACATAGGCCATCCTTCTTGGTAGAAATAACTCATTTCTAACAGGTGGCTTGTTTTTGAAAAGTGTTCTATAAATGTTGCGCCCTGTCAAATATGATGAAACCAAGGATCTTTTAAACAAACTTACAGTAAATTATTGAAAAAAGGAATACTTATTCTCTTGATAATAATTTAAGGGAAAGATTATTAAATATATATTACTCATATAAGCTTTAAAAAAAAAAAAAAAATAAAGAAGTCAACATATCTTGTGTGAAATACTTCTTATTTTACTGAATACTCACCTAATTTTGTCTTAAATGTTATCTTCTCTTCAGGATCCTCTTCTTCTCTAAAATTAATTTACAGGATTAGTATTCTTAAAAGAATTATGCCTTCTTACAGATAAAAATGCAAACAAATCAGTACAGATACAAATAGCTCAAACATTCATCAATAAGTGCACAATGAATAGGCATACTTAAAAAAAAAAAGTTTTTTAAGGTAAACTATTGCCCCACATATACATAAGCTACGTAGACAACACATTCAGAAAATCTGTATTACTTTGGTTGTGAGACTGCAGCTTCCATTAGATCTTCCTCTTCTTTTTCTTTGCATTGTATTTCAGCTCTTACCTAGAAAAATAGATTTGTTTAATATTCTATTTTCACTTAGCTATAGTAAAAAAAAAAGTTAAAAATGTTTTTACCTTCTCCAGAAGTGCAAAATCTAGACCTTTCACTAAATGAGTATGCTCCATGTCACCACCTAAATACTTTGAGGCTTGGATAACTTGCTTTCTCCTTTCTGCATAGTTTTCAATCCTGAGGAAAAATAACTTTTACTAAGCAAATACCTCTGGGATAATTCTATCCATTAAATCTTTCATAGATTGGGGCTTTTTATTTAACAAAAAATTCAAACTAATGAATAGATGATAATATTATCATCTAGCTGTTGTTAAAATACATGGCAAGATGGAAAAGATAAATTAACAAGGTATAATTGTAAAGGTTTTTAGAATGAAAGATAGGACAACATGATATTCTTTGAGTAGCTGTCTGAGAGATTGAAGTATTTTTGGTCATTGTCTGAGCTAATATAAGAAAGAAGCTAAATCCTAGTTGTAGAAATTTTCTGGCACTTACGCCTTGGCATCTGGTGCCACAGCTCTATAATCAGCTGTTGTACTGATTACCTCAGTTTCAACATAGTCCTTGTTTTGACCTTCTCTGCGCTCTCTTGCCTAAATACAAATACAATTTCAAACACTTATTAAACAACCTTTAAATGTAAAACAGATGTGATTTATTTATTTTTTAAAACTACCTTCAAAATAGCATGTATTAAAATAATTTGTTAATGATACATTAACAAACATTTTAAAATACAGAAAAGCTTAGATTTTCTTTTTAATTTTAAGCCTTTCCTAATTAAAAAAAAATTAGTAAAATATAAGAATTAGCTTTAAAACTACTTATTAAGAATTGTGTTTAATTAGGTGTGATTTTTGTGCAACTTTTTATGTGCCCTAAACATAAGTTCTAAATACATACCTATAAAAAACATACTGCTGGTTAAATATAAACAAAAATATAAAAATGTTTACCCTGTCTCTATACTTTGACTCTAATTCTTTTTGTCTTTCTTCTTCATCTCTCTTAAGTTTGGCATAGTAACTGTAATTATCATTTTAATATTAAATACTTTGACAAAAAACATTTAAAATCAAAACATTAATTTAGCAGAGAATTATCTCATAGATTTATTTAACATGACTTATTACACACAAAAGCCTTACCTTTTCTTCTTCTTTCTTCTAGTAGCAGCATCTTCTTCTTCCACCTCATCTTCCTTGACTGGGGCTCTGTCACTAAAAAATAATATTTAAAAAAGTTATAATGCAGATAATTATTATGGAACATATATAGAAAAAGCAAAAAGGTAATAAAAGATAAACTCACTCTTTTCTTGCATGTCTCACTGTTTCTGAATAAGATGATGATGATGGTTTAGGAGTCATAAGCATCTTGCGGAAATCCTCATTTGTAAGAGGATGTCTAAAGTAGGAAAAAATAAGGTAAGGAACCATTTCAATCTTGTTTTTATTTAAAAATTATACTACTGTACAGGGAGAGGAAAAAAGAAAAGATCCTAAAAACATACTCATCATCATTTCCATCTTCTCCATGGACTCTATGTCCCGAAGGAGGTAAGGGATTAGAAAAAGCCTCTGTATCACCTGAAAACAAACAAGAGTAGAGTAGCACTTAGTAAATAACTGATCTAGACTCTTAGAGTCTAGGTGTAAAATTACTTTAAGAAATTGTGGTAAGCCTGTGGTGGTTGTTAATGTTGGCTATTGCTACCTTTTTAAAAATAAATTTTAAATAATATTAGATTTATTAGGGGTTATTAGCCAATATTTAATATTTAGATCTAGAAATACTGGCCTATACTGTTATAGAGCCAAATTTTTTTAAAAATAACATTTTGGATTTAAAAGGCTTAGGCGTAAAATCTAAATGATTAGGCCCTAAGCCTAATTTAAATAACACAGGAGTGATCACCCCTAAACTACAGGAGATGGCAACTCGGGATATAGAATTATAGACATATTTTAAAAATCAATTTTTATATACTTAAACTTTTTGAAATACAATGGAATCTCGAAGAAAAAAGAATTGCGCACCAAGTGAACAGCAAAAAATGTGTGTATAATAGTGCAGAACATTAGTACTTTATAAATTCATATGCATTTTTTGTGAAATCTGAAATAGCGTAAAGTACTACTTCTAGTCACTGGAAATTACTCAAAATTTGAAAGAAAACAGATAATTGGATCTTTTACTTAAATGTGAAACTTTGTCTATCTATCAGAAACTCAGAAACAGTACTCAAGTTAGATCTATAGGCTTTTGAAAAACCAAAAGTAGAATAAGTTCCGTTAACAGAACTACAATTTGATATAATACTTATGACTTAATGTTTCCCTTTCAAACCTGACGGTCTATGGGGCAAGTGAAGTAGAGTTCACTTGTTTCTGTGACCTCGGCATATGAAGAGATAGTGTGGTTATCACTATGCCCAGCTGCCTTTACTTTCCCTAATGAGAGTTAGGTACCCATCAGAGTTGGGTGGACTCAGGGACGGTCTACTGACTTGAACCGTGTGTGTACTGAGTACTGAGTGTACTACATATGTAGTCAAGTGTGAAGTGTAGTGTGTGTCTGTGAAGTTGTGAACACAAGCACTGTTGTTGCAGTCAGTTGTTACAGTGTTACAGCCCATTGTTACAGTAAGGTTGGTAAAATCACGATATAGCGTCGGAAATTATTGGGTAATGTTCGTTGAGTTTCGGTAACATTCGTTACTGTAAACCATAGTTTATTTGACCGGTGAAAGAAAAATAAAGTCAAGTGCATTAAATTAATGTTTTAACTTAATTTAATGTTTAACTGACAAAAAATTAGCAACAATTAGTAAATCTAAATATTATTAATAAAGTCGAGTGTAGTAATTAATGTTTTTTTTTTAAGAAACAAAAAATCTGCAGAAGATTTGCGACAACCAGCTCTAGTTCTGTTAGTAAATAAGACGATTAGGGCCTAGATTTACTAAAGTTAAAAGTAGTAAGAATAACTAGAATAATGTTTAGTAGCAGCAATAATTAGCACATACACTTAAAATAATTAGAAATACAAAATAATTAGCAAAACAGTATTTAAAACGCAACTAAAATCAATCCTTGCACATTTTTAAACATTATGTACTAAAAATAATATGGCGGCAAATAAATGATGGTTTACAGTATTTTCGGTGGTTTCAAGAACGGCTCGACAGACTACGCCATGGTTTTACTGTTTTTTACTGCTGTACAGTTCCGGAATAATAACCGACGCTATATCGTGATTTTACCGTAAGGTTTATGAAATTTCATATAGGCCCTAAATATATAGGCCTAAGTCATAAGTTAGCTGGACTGCTAACCCGTAAGTCTCGAGTTCGAATCCTCGTTATACAAACGAGAAAGTCAGAAAGTTAAAAAAAACTCGATAATTGGTTGTCATTTTTTAAAGTGTTGGTGTCATTTTAAAAACAACAAGATAATCGAGATTTGTACTAATTTAGAGTTTGTTATGTTGATATAATTTAGGTCTAGATCAAAATGTGTATAGGGATTTCCATTAATTTAAAAAAATAAATTGAAATATAGACAGACTACTTACGTTCAGGCATTGTTGAATTTCATAGGTTGTCGTCTCATAAAAGCTGTTTGTTTTTCCTTTAAAATATCCAGATTTTTATTCCAACCTAGTTAAATGCGATGCGTTTAAATTAAAGCGATTTATACTATGTTGTAATATATTACATCTTGTCAAATTAACCTGTATAATTATATTAATTACGCCTAAACACCCTCTTTTATTTGTTAAAGAAAATATAAAGATCTAAATGTAATATTTAATACATTTGTATAGTCGACAACGGTGTATACAACAGCTAAATTAGGACAAATTTAAGAACTTTACTGCTATTATTATCAACGTATGGGATTGCTTCCGGTTTTGTGGACGTGTCAACATTTGCAGACTCACTACAGCAACACAAGTTATTTTTTACTTAAACATTACTTATTGTACATAGACCTCTGTATTCAACAGATAACCCGCTAAAATGCCAAAGGAATCTTTACGCGAAAAACTAGACGGAAACGAGCTTGATTTGAGTTTAAGCAATCTTGACGCAGTACCGGTTAAAGAATTGGTATGCTTTAAAAAAACATTTAATTAATAAAAAAGCTTAAAAAGCAAATTTCAAAATAAAATTAAATACTTTTTGGGAGAATGCTTACACCGGTGTCTGATAATGGAAGCTTCTTTAAAAAAAGGGGTGTTAGGTTACTGGTAGTTAACTAAATACACACATGGCTGGCTAATGTCAATGCTAACCCTGTCCCTAACCCTAACCCCAACCCTGGTCCAACCATATGCCTAACCCTAATTTCTAACTATAAAATTAGTCGAGATTACAATACTACTAATAACCCAACACCCCTTTTTTACAGAAGATTCCATTATCGGACACTGGTATCTATAATCATCCCACATTTTTTTTCACTTGAGTTTGTCAGATCTTGCATGCATCCTACTCCCCCTTCCCTTTCTCATAACCACACTACATCCTGAGCAATCTAGGCAGTCGGTTACTTGGTAGTAAGTTGGTAGTATAAACTTCAAAAGTATTGGTGTGATCGGTTACATTACCGTTACATGTCCTATGCAATAGATGGACTCTTCCAAATTCGAACCCTCAAGCTTATTAGGCTCGTCAGTTAGAGACAGCAACCCATCAACTCCTAAATCAATGAAATGAGTAGTGGAGCTCTTAGAGACTTAGAAAAGCTTACCAACTCTGTTTCCTTTCAGTAGCTCTTGCAACGCTCTTGATTCCAATTGGCATAGAGTATAGTATATACTATAGAGGCAATGTCCTGTACCTTGAGTCCATTAGCTGTGTAGAGAGAGGGGGTCTGATAGTACTGATACATAGGCAGCATCTGACTTTTGTCATCTTACCACCTGGTATTGTGCTTGTATTTCCAATGGTCTATTGGATTATGGAGCCATTATTTTCATATAGTATTGAAATCAGTATAATCATGTTTATTTTACTTGATTTTAGGACAATTTAGGGAAAACTCTTCTGAGGTCCTAATTTTTAATAAAAACAAATATAAAAAAACCTTATAGCAACAAGCTTTTATATGCACTGAAAATAAGAAAATAAAGTATATTTGTTTCAATAGTAAAAGCTTTTGTCTCTACCATATGTAAAAGATCTCACGAGCGACCAAAGCTTTTACTAAACAAAGCAAGTACACTTTATTTTCTTATTTTCAGCTTGTTGTTAAAAAGGTTTTTTTTTTTTATGTTAGTTTTATTTTCTACTTTTTAGTGATTCCTAATTAATGAAGTCGACACGACTAAAATATTTCGCTATATCCAAAAGATTATTATCTGACCTGTGAAAAGCAGCAGTACTTAACCATAATTTACAGATAACAGCAAGCCGATGAAGGGAAGGATAGTTCTTAATCCCCTTAGTTTCAAATAGTTTAAAAACATTATTATCTGTCCCTAATAGCCTACAATTGTAAACATTCGGCGTGAATCACATCTCACCAGACTGGTCAGTTCATAGCGTCTAACAGTTTAGCCAGTTATCTCCCCTTCTGTTATTGAATATAGTCATCTATCAAAAGGTTTAATTTTGTTATCTCCCTTAGTGTCAAAACAGTTTAATTAATTCTAATGCATAATTAAACATCTAATTAAATTTTAAAAAAAGATTTGTATTGTCATCGAAGTGGAAGTATCTGGAAAGTTTGAACAAAATTGCTGCATTAGAAGTTAATTAGGGCTGGATAGGGATTAGTTAGGACTTTGGTTTCGGTTAGGGATAGGATTAGTAAATTATGTAACCTAACACCCCTTTTTCAATTAATGTGCATTATCTGACACTGATGCAACACATATCTCTGAAGGTTAATTTATAAAGTGACTTTTTGCTTATAGGATAAAGTGATATGTAAGGCACCATTATGCCCATTTTTTAAAAAATCAATTAAAAATAATAATTTTGCCTAATTAAAACCTAAAAAAACATTGAAACTAAATGAAGACCAGAAAAGCACAATAAAAAAAAGAGGCTTTTGCCAGATGAAGTTTATTGGTTGGTTTGCCAGTGGGTAAAAAAACTTGATTTTAATTCCATGAATTGAACCACTGACTTTTTAAAAAAATGAATTATTTCAGTCCTAAATCAGTAGAGGATTAAATTTGGTGTTCAGTAAAAGTATTTTTAAAATTACTATTGAATGACCATGTTTTTTTTAAATTTTAAAACAGGCAGCACTTCCAAAAGCAACACACTTGGACTTGTCATGTAATCAACTTTTAATTCTTCCAGTAAGCCCTAATGATTAATCAATCTTTATATTAATATAAGATTTTTAAAAAAATACAATATAATCTTTAATAAGCTCATTTAGAAAGAAAAGCTAGAGCAGTAAAAAAGGAAACAATGAAAGATTACCATTATATATTATTTTTATGTCATTAACTTACCTTTTAAAATTCTCTTTTGCTTCAGGACAACTTTTGCACCTTGACTCACATCATCAAATTAGATTTAAGCAAAAATGCTCTTACTGAGCTCCCTAAAGATTTTGGTCAACTGGAAAACTTGCAGCACCTGGACCTTCTTGGGAATCAACTAAAAACATTACCTAGGTCTTTCCACCAGCTAAAAAAATTAAAATGGCTGGACTTAAAAGATAATCCTTTGGAAGATGGATTAAAAAAGAATGCAGGAGACTGTCTAAATGAAGATCAATGCAGGAAATGTGCTACACGAGTAAGGCTTTTCATGTTGAACTTAGTTCATGATAGCATTTCTGATCTTCTTTTATTAATGTTTAAGTATTATAAAAAAAAATAATTTATCAAAACCTTACTTAATCGTAATTTTAAAAAAATATGCTTCAGCACCTAACAGTATGATGAAAATATTTAACAATTTCTGTAAGTGCTTTTGATAGATTTAATTGTTTTTGAGCTTTTACACCCCTTATTCTAATGTTACATATTCTGATTGTTTTTAAAACCAAAGATTTTGATGTATATGACGGATTTAAATGACCAGCTGGATAAGCAGTGGCAAGCTAAAAAGAAAAAACAGGAAGGTGAGTATTCTTCAACTCATTTCAGTTGTAATATCTAAAGCTGATAGTCCATTAAAACAAAAAATTGTTTTTTTTATTCAGTTTTAAAATATGCTTAAACATTCAGAGGCTGAAGCAAAGCAAAAAGAGAAGGAAGAGAAAGAAGTGCAACGTAAAAGACAGGAGAAAAAAGCAGAGAAAGAAAGGAGAAGGAGAGAACATGAAGCAAGAAGAGCTCAGGAACTACTTTCACAGAATGGTGACACTTCAGATGAAGAATTAAATGCAGCTAGAGGTATACATTTGATTTTTTTTCCAAGCTTCTTTTTTTTTTTTGGAAATTTTTAAGGCATGTTATTAAAAATACACTTGATTTTATTGTCACTTATTAAATTGTTTTAATTACCATTGACTCGATGTTAAAATTTGGCGAATATTTTTATATATCGCAAATGACATTATTACTTGGATTCTGATTCTAAAACTTGATGGAAACTATTTTAATTGGTTTAAAGGTTATAAAATGATAAAGATAAACACAACATAGGAATGTTTTAGTTTTGTTACATTTAAAATTTTATTATTTACAGAAAAACTGAAGTTTAATGAAAGTCTTAGAATGAAAAAAGGAAAAGGTTTGTTAAAAATGTTCTTATTAATGTTGCAGCAATATTTTATTTACCTAACTTTTAGAAGTGAAATAATTAGAACTTGTCAAACTTGATTATGTCAACAGCCGAGTTTGCCATGTTTTTGAAGATTTAAAATTTTTGTATATATATTTGCTTATCATCTACTTAAAGAAATAATTTGTGTTATTAAATGTAGTCTTCATAGATCTACATGTTTGCTAACAACTAAGCCTTTGTTACAAAAGGCAAATGTGCACCAGCCACAGAAGATATATACCAACACACTATATCCAAAAATGTATGACTGCATCAGCATAAGAGTCAGATTCATGACTCTAATAGCTTTAATATCTAACTTAATCACAATACTCCATTATTATGTGATTAGTAATGTGTATGCAACCATTCATAGTGTTTCCTCGCTACTTTGTGGTGTATTAACACATATTCACTGGCTTTGAATTTTTTTCCGATGAAATTTATCGGTCTGCAGTTCGTAAAGCTGTAATGCTGGCAAGAATATAATATCAAGTTAAAGTGTGAATAGTGTAGATGCACTTTTTGGACTAAAGTAATGGGATAGAAATATGAAAAACCTAATTGTCTATTGATAGCATTTTTATTTTCTTGGTCAAAATATGTAATATTACAAAACAATTATTTTTTCAGGAAAAAGCAATAGAAACTGTTTTCTGCTGGTACTGTTTTCATTCTTGGCACTGTTGTTAGCCCTGCTGGTTGCAATAGATTTCCACTGTATTTCAAGTCAAAAAGATAACTTGTGTAAAGCATATTGGCAGCCAGTGCGCACTAAATTTTTACAAGTTTGTGAACAATATACTTATGCTATTATAGAATTTTACCATAAGCACATTGAAAAATATTTTATTTCAGAATCATGATTTATGAATAGCAATAGATAATGGATGTATGAATGGATGGGTATTGAGGTGTACATGTCAATTCAACATTTATTAAATTAATTCTTCAGTCATAAGTTCAATTTGTTTCAAACAATATTTATTTTTTACAAAATTAGAACCCACCTTAACTACAAAATTTCCACTTCTCTTTGAACCAGTTTGAATACATGTCCATATTAAAATATAACTATTTTCAAAGTAAATTTTACTAAAACAAGCAGTCTTACTATATGTTGTTTAATTACATTTATATTTTAACTTCCAGACTGTATACCATTTCAAAATTTCAAAATGTTTAAATAATATTGTACATTTGTGAGATTTTAATTTCTCAATATTTTTTTTACTTTAGTCAGTTATGTGTTTATGTTAGAAAAACTGGAAACATCTTTTAAAATCAAAACTTGTATCTAGAAAATATAATCTTGCCTTGGACTAAATTAAGTCTTCACTATGCATAAACAGTTAACAGCAAGCTGAAAATCAATTATATTATAGCATGAAGTTTAAGTTAACATTTTAAGAAAATGCTGCTTAAAGTGGATAATATACTAGGCATATCTAATGTTAGTAGCCTGTGATAATTTATAGATTATTTTTTTTTGTATGTGAAGTAAGTAATGGTGATAGAATTTGTTTTTGATTTCTGATTGTTACATGATTCTACTTTGTATATAAAATAGCATTGATAATGTTCCAGCAATGTATAGTAATTTTTATTGATTTCACTCAAAATAAATTTCATTTACAACATAACCATTTAATGTGATGGAGTATTTTTTCTCAACCAGCTTATGAAAATGTTCATACAAAGTTCACTAAGTAGGAACAGATTAACAAACATGGGTTATCATGACAGAAACATAAGACATGCTCAATTCCAATATTTAACAAACTCAAGGATGATTTTGAAGTTTGATTTAATTTACCTACAACATTTTAACATAACTGTCAAAAAGATACAGTTCAATCCAACTCTAACGAAAGAACAGTTTTAAAAATCTATAACATCTAAATAAAAATGGTAGCAAGCCATAACTTTAAAAAGCATATTTATAATACATAGTATTGATCCAAGCTATTGTATAGTTTGTACTGAAATGCTGCAAAAATGAAATGATCAAAGAGCCTAAATTTTAAAATATAATAAGGTTAGAGCTAAGAAAATCAGCAAGATCCAAACATTTCGATAATCTTCACTAAAAAACCAAAGTTTAAAATTGTAACTAAGTGACACAAGCCAGTTGTCAATCGACAGTTCATCATAACTTTCTTACCTCGAAGAATAATTTGTAATACTTTGGATAATTATTATTTTATTTCAAGCACACAATACTAGGGTAAGCTTCTCTTTACTCTCAATAAAGAAATGTTAAAGTGCTCAAGTGAGTTAATTGAAACTAAATTTTTATTTTAAAATGCAGAAATAAAACTGCAACTTGTTTTACTCAAGTTATATTCTACTTTTGTGTCCAAGTTAAGATTTGTACACTAATAATCTAAAACATCAAAATCAAACTAGACCAAAAGTTCTGATTTATCACACTGCTACATTCAAGTGGAATGGAATACAGTCACAGCAAATGTAAAACAGGTTAAAAAAAAAAAAGTGAATTAATTAATCAGCTGGTTTCTAAGGTAAAATTAATACAAGGTTATAGTAAGTACACCTCTTCACAAGTAAATAAAAGTAACATAACATGAAACATCAATAGTAAAACACAGCTTTAACAGCTGTAGTAACAAATAAAATCTTTTATAACTAAACATTAACACTGCATATACTTCATCATATAAAACAACAGGATCTAGAGTAGCATAAATTAATGCAGAAAAAAATCTATTTTAGAGTACAACAAAGGAAAAAAATGTGTCAATAATTTTACATGGTAATTCATTATTTATTTATTAAGTTACAGATTAACAGTAAACAATGATTCCCTAAGTGTGTTATGTACCTAGCATTTTGATTCTCTTTAAATGAGTTATGATCATAAGATTCCAGCTAGTGAACACATGAAAACACAATAAAATAAGACTATTACATATCTGATATTTGAGTTTTATGTAACAATGAGTATTTAATAACACTTCTAATTGTACCTAATTTGATTTGTTTAATGTAAAATAAATGGCTAATCCAGATGCTGTAAGAATTCCTAATGCTAAAATAATATAACTTTTATATTTGCTTACAAATGCTTCTTCAACAACTTCTTCCTTATGCTTTCTTGGCTTTTTCTTACGCCCTTTCATCATTCTCTCAAACTCCAAAAGTTCTGCTTCCTGCTTTTTACGTTCCTCTTCTTCTTTAAGTTTGGATGTTTCATCAACAGTCTAAATAATATCAAAGATTTGCCTCAAGTAAAATTTGGCAAAATACAGTTATCTGATTTTACAACTATTGACAGCTGTATATAAAACTTAAAGAAATTAATTACGGTACCATTAATTTTAGAAGGGAATAACATTTTCAGTGTATAGATTAAATATGTAAGTTGATTTCCCATGTTATTAAGAAAACATACCATGCTTTTATTTTTGCAGCTGGTGTCACATTCAGGCTTTGGAACAACTGCCTTATCTTTGCATAGAATCTCTTTTTTTATCTTCTTACATCTACACTTGAGAACAACTTTCTTGTCACAACTGTTAATATTAGGACAAGCTCCACTGTGGCAGATAGCTCCACAAGGATGACCACAAGGCATCTTAAATTGAAAAATAAATATTTGAAACATTAATACTCCTAATTGGAAAATACAAATTAATTTTAGACAATATTGAAACATCCCATTATACAGAAGAAGAAAAATAAATATCCAAACCTCTTTTGGACAGGGCTGTTCACAGCACTTGAGAACATCTTGTTGAGATTTTGATACAGATATCCATCTTGAACACTCAATATGCTTGACAAGTGTTTGACAGTGGCAACGCATGCGTATCATCATATGACAAGGAGGGCAGGGTGGTGGGTGGCAAGGCTTGACACATGGGTGAGTACACCCCTCTGGTCTTTTAGCCTCACATCCAGCTTCACAATGCTGACACTCCTTGCCAGCCTGATGTTTTCAGTAGGTAAATATTTTAAACTCAGTTATACATGACAGTTATAAAAAAAAATTTGTTTTTTTTAAATTTATAGCCGATTAAAGTGCGTTCATGTTAACGTGCCAATTTATTTTGTCAACCCTAATGCACTGCATCATATTTTAATGTAATTGGTTATATTACATTACTAAATACAATAGCTGCAAATAGGCAAAACAATATATACACCTTTTAATAAATGTACTTTAAAAGAAATACTTGTTTAAAAGCTTATTAAATACTAACCAGAGAATCATCATCAGCACTTGTCACCACATGACAGGGCAACTGACAAACATGGTTTCCACAAGCTAAGTTACGTCCACATTTCCGACCACAAGAGTACGGTTTAACATTGAAGCATGGCAAGTCACTAGTCTGGATAAAATAAATTATATCATTTGAAAAAAGAAGTCTGAGAAATGCATTACTAAAACAGTTCTTGAAATATTTTTTGTTATGTGACACAATTATAGTTCAATGCCTTGAAAACATGAGGTAACAATTATTTCTTTAAAAACTAAAGTGGAGATTGAAGGCAGATTAAAGAATAGCTACCTCATGTTTTCCAAGGCATTGAACTGTAATAGGAACTTGGCATGGTGGACAAGGCTTGGCAACTTTCTCTATGCGGGTTGGCTTTGCTTCCCAGGGCCCTGCTTTTGCACTCTGAAATTGAAACAAAACTTTTTGATAACTACATTAAACTATCTTTCTAATGTTTATAGCAGGAAATTCTGTGTGCTGTAATCTTCCTTTCTTATTTTAAAAACACAATGTACAAAATTTTTGTGGACATGATAGCAAAAAATGTCTTTACTTTATCTTCTATCTTGATTTTAACAGCATCGTGGCACAAGACTGGGCAGTTATGATTGCACCCATTAAACTTTATTCCACATATAAAATTGCAGGGTGGACAATCAGCAAAATGACATCTATGTTTCTGTCTGTTGGGATGGTGGCATTCTGGTGGAGCTCTACAAATTAAAAACAAATTAAATTTGAAATGTTTACTGAGATAAGGTAAGCAGATAACTACAGCTAATACAAACACTTACTGGCAAGGTAGATTACACCTTGGAGGTTTTGTTTCCCTTTCTTTTCCACAAGGTACTGCAATTTGACTTTTCTTACAGTTGCAAGTGACACTCACAGTAAGTGGGCATGGATAGCAAGGACCTGATGATATATGGAATAATAAGTATGTTAGTGAAAAAAATTATTTTAATTAGCATTTACCCTAAAGTTATCAACTCATAAACATCAAAAGACAAAATGACCCTCCTGGAATGCATACTCATTCAAGCTATAAGTGGCATAAAACAAAAAATAAGCACCATAAGATTAAGTTACCTTTATGGCATCTGCTTGCACATTTATGATTGCGACACCTCAAAGTTTTGCCACATATATGCTCACAGCCAGGACAATTACCATCGCAGCACTAAAATAAATGTAAGCCTTTTTTAAAAATCTCATACAAATTTAAGTGTTTTTTTTACTGTTAAAAACTGGATATGGTTAACTGTAGCTTGAACTAAGTGAGAAGCAACTGTTACCTTACGATTACATTTGTGGACACCACAACTTCTCATGTTGTTGCACTTTTTCTCACACTGAAATTCTTTAGCACAAGGTACTTCTTTTTGCCGCTGACCACAGCGACACTTTTTAAATGACATTTGCATACACTGTTGAGGTTCAAGTACAATTAACACAATATAAATTTAACACACACCATGACTAGCTTAGAGTAATGAATACAATATAACTTGAGTTATCAAGCTGATTATGTTATTAAAGTGAGACATTAAATTACCTGCCCACATTCACCTGTGTGACATCTGTGGGTGCAAAAATGCTGGCCACAGGTTAGTGGTTTACCACAAGTATCACCACATGTTGGAATGTCTTCTGTACAAGGTAGTTGAAATTCTGCAATAGGATCAACAAAAAAAAAACACTGCATTAATAAATACAAAACACAAACTTTGTATGTCAATTCCTTAACAAGGTGAATTAAGTTACCTGTTTTTCCACATGGGCATTTTCTTAGTCCTAAACGTGGACAGCTACCACAGGGCCCTGAATGACATTTCACCTCACATAAATGATTACCACAGTTCAAAACTTTTCCACAGATCTAAAAATATAAATGTTCACCATGTAAATAAACATTAAAAGAACATATACCAACAGATTTATACATTCAGTAGCATAATTTAAAACTAATAAAAGTTGAATCATTTAGGGCTTAAAGTTTTAAAAATAACCACTTGTGTTAAAATAATAAAAGCAATATACACAAAACTGGGCCAAAGTTTAATATGCATGAGGTTAAATAGCTAAATAATTTACAAATAATTAATGTGCAAAAAAAAAAAAAAAAACAACTACTATAATAAACGCACCATACAAAGTGTGGGGACAGCACGCGCATAGGCCTGTAATGGGTTAATAATAAAGATAAACTGAAATATATCCTAAAATGTTTTATTTTTAAATACAAAATTCTTTTTTAATACCACCAGTAAGGAAACTATCACAATTACCTGATCACACTTCCAGGAAACACTATCACAAGGGCGTTCCATTTTCTTCTTTCCACAACAACAACTTTGTATGCTTGTTTGCGTACATGTAAGGCACTCGCCTGGTTAACAGCATAGGGAAACACATTTTTAAAAAAATTTTATTAATGAAATTTATTACGAGGCATTTAAAAAAATAGTGTTTTTTTATACAAAAATAATAATTTCTCTTACCTGAGTGACACCTGTCAGCACATTTGTGATGTTTGCAAGAAAGAGTGCGTCCGCAAATACTCCCACAAGTCCAAGATCTAGCACTACACCGCACAGTTTTTGGGGCACTCTTTCCACAGTAGCAAGAAGACTTAACAATTGATGGACAAGGAGGGCATGCCCCTGTAGAATAGTAGTCATTGATAAAAATGCTACAAGTGCAATTATTTTATAAACTTAACTGCTCTACCCTTTAAAACTGAAATGGTTATTTGTATACCAGAATTATACACCTTAATAAAATACAATTGTTTCCTTTACTACATTTATGTCAGTTTAAAACAAAATAAATTTAACAAAAAAAAAATGTGTTAAAACATGGTACCTGGATGACAAAGCAAGAGACATGAATGCCCACAATTAGGTTTCAGCTTGCGACCACAAACACCACCACATGAATGTGGTACAAGCCAGGGGTCAAATTTGGGGTTCTCCTCTTTTCCACAAAAACAGTAGTATTTTGTTGGACTTTCACGCTGTGAGTATTCATGACGGCATTTCGGACTGAAAATGTGTTGAATTTTAAAATTAAATGAATAATTATTTTGATCATGTAATAGAAGTTTTAATTATTAAAAAAATATCAATGAATATTCTCCTACCCCAGTTTATTCACTTACCAGTACCAAGGAATGTTATCAGTTGGTTTATCAGTGACAAAGTCTCCAGAGGAATATTGTTTCTGATATACTCCTTCTCTTACCCACTTTTGTATGCATGTTATGTGAAACATGCAAAAACAGCCAGAACAACTCCAAATCTGTGTTTTTTAATTACAAAGAAAATCATGTCACATGGATAACATTATTTCAGAAGCACTTCAATATAGTGTAGGAAAGAAAACTTACTGGTTCCTCTTTTTTGATAGTCTCTATACAAACAAGACATGCTGAAGTTCCAGATCTGAAAGAGTGAAGAAGCTTTTCCTGTGCTGAGTGTACTTCATCAGTATCACCAGTGTCTGAAATTTGTTAATATGCGCTTACTCATATATTCATTAAACCTGGTGTTCTAAGCAATTTCAAGATAAAAATAAATGTCATAGAATTAGAACCTTTCAGAATAATCAACTATTATAGCATTTATTCAAAATATACAAGTAAGCTTTTATAACAAGCACTGAAAAAAACCACTGTAAAAATTAACCTTACCAAATGTTTTAGCATATGACTTAAACACTCCGCTGAGAACCAAGCTACCAATATCATCTTCCTCATCATCAGAGTCACTCAAAATATTTTCTGTTTTAGATAAATGTCGTTGGGCAGACACTGAATGCTCATTTCTTGCCTTGGCAAATAAATCTTCAACTGACTTCATAGCTTGATAGAAATACAATTTTAAAATTGTGATTACAATTATTAAAAAAAAAAAATTTCACTAGCTGCAAAAATAAAATAAATCTAGACATCCTAATAACTGTAACACCAGATCTAATCCTTATAAAGTTTACAATTCTTACAAGCTTCTAATCTCTCACTTTCAACTCTTGGACTCTGAGGGCCAGAGATATTCAAACCATTATCAGCCCAACGGTTAGCTTGGTTTAAGTAGCCAGGCCTTTGCTGTGTTCCATTAGAACTTTGTGAGTTTCTTTGTTGTGGTGAGGCTGGTGTGACAAACTGATTACCACGTCCTCTCCCCCTCCCACGAAAAAAGGAGTTTTGCTGATCCATATTTCAACAATATGCAGTTTCAACTCCTGAAACAATAAAAAAGTAAAGACTAGGTGATTTATTTAGTTTATTTTTCTAAGGTTCTAATTTAGTTAGTATTTCACTCATCTTACTCTATAATCTAAAGCGCACTAAGCCCATGACTTCAGACTTAGCTAACTCCCACACATAACTATCTATTCTATAACTGACAGAGATACTCTATTCTTAGTATTCTATAACTATACTCCATACATACTAATAAAACTAGAAATAGCTCTCAGAAGGCTATTCGTAGTTCTCTATTTTTAGCCGACCAATCAAATTTATTTTAAAATTTAATGTCCTGCACATGCATGCAGATATTTTTTTCAAGTGGTTGCGTATCTGTTAGTTTGTCTTTGTCGTGTGTGATCTATTCCTTTTGGCTCAGAGTTTTTATTTTGCTTCTTTTTCTATTTTACTTTAGGGTTTAGCATTAAGGATTAGGTGTTAGGGATAAGGGTGTGGGGTTAGGCATTAAGGGTTAGTCATAAATACCCAAAAGAATCTAGATCTAGAATCTAGTTAGTTTTCTCATACATTTCATAAATTCATAGTGACATCCGACATATTAAAAAAATGTAGATCTACTGCCTGGCTATCCCCTATTTTTATATATTGATCTAGACTATATCTAGAATTTAAATCAAGATTCATGCGGTACACAATAATGTTTGTTTAATGTTTAGTAGTAATAAAGGTTGTTTTGTGTAAAATACATTTATCAAGCTGATGTCGTGGACTAGACTAATTGCCAGCTTTTATTGTTTTTTAGTGCGTTGTTTAATGAAGATTGTTGTTGAAATCTATGTATACATTATACTACAGTATAGACTTAGATCTATTAAATATTTCACCGATAATTTTCTTGCATAATACATACAACTTGATAATTTTTTAAAATGCAAACTTATTGGATAGTTACATGATATTTTAAAAAAATAAATTTAATTTCTACAATTTGACCAGCTACTTATAAAATTCAAACAGGCAATGTTGCAATAGTTTGTAGACTTTGTGTTTTTAATTTCCTAAAGCGTCTATAGATGCATAACACTTCCGGTATAAGTTCAAACATATTCACTTAGTTATTCTTATACTTATCATCTTATGTCTATGTCAATTGTCATTCTGGTCTTGCGGAGTCCAACATTGTAATTAAAATACACTAGTCTAGTATATTTTAAACATTAATTACTACATAAGTAAGTTGTTGCTAGAAATGGCTTGTCCCAGGCTCCATTAATCAGACTAATCACTTGATTATAATTATATAAAAAATATATAATTATAATATAATGATAATAATCATCATTATTAAATTCAAATAAATTTAAAAGGTAATCTATCGTTTTGGGTACGTAAAATCGCCCGCGACTTGTAATGTGAAAAACAGGTGACTCCTTAAATCTTAATAATTATTTCACATTTTGAGGAGGATTTATGTTTTTTAAAATACTATCTTATTTCCTTGTTTCATTTATGTACCTGTTTTTAAACAATTGAATTAAAACTTTTCAGTAATAAATGAAGACTAGCGATGTTTCTAACAGATGCAACCATGCTCATTTACTATAGCAGCCATCTTGTTTAAGTTTTATTTGTAAAGAGATTCAGGGGAAGCCACTCTATTTTACAAATGGCTGCTGTTTATATTAGCAAATCTGCTCGCAGACAGTGCTGTTTAAAGTTAATTTCTGGCCTATATTGATATATTTAGCCATTGATTTAGGTTTATTAATCATTTATCTATAATATTTGACACAAACATATCACAATATACTTCTATTAAAGCCTTGACAAAGAGGTAACATTTTCGTACATTAATAGCGGCGGGCGATTTTACGTACCCAAAACAATAGATTACCACATCAACGTATACAAATGATTCAATAGGATGATATTATTTAATTTTACTGTTATTGCACTATAAAAAATATAAAGGACAACTTGAACGAACAATACTAAGCCTTGACTACATTACAACCTCATCCTAACACAACAAGAACAAGACTACTTTAAACTTCTTCCCTGGCAACAACGATCCTACACTCAAATGTCACAATCTTGCGTACAGCATCACCATTCAATGCTTTCATTATCTTTGGCACTAATATTTGTTCACACCGAAATTACCTGTTTAAACACACATCATTACAACTTTAGTTTATAATTATATTAGCTGCATTACACCACACTAACTGCCTTGTCCTACCCTATTCCACAGCTTCTTAACTCATTAAGTCCTCTCCCCCCCCCCCCCCCCCCACTTGACTTACCTACTAAACCAATTAACACATACTGTCAAAATTAGTCATAGTTAGTATTTCATTGTTTAAAAATGTTTTTCTATTAATAAAAGTATTCCTTGTTTAATTTAGTATTTAGCTGTTTTCTATATATATAATGTTGAAGTAGTTGGTTTATTATTATTAGAAAGTAATAGTCATCAGTTATTAACACAGTTTTGCATTCCTAGCCCTGTAATATCTAAGCATTTATTCTATTATGCCACATAACCATTTCAAACATGGAAGGCATTTTTAACTGCAGCAGGCATAGTTTAAATATTAAAAATCATTTAAATGTTCTTCTTCTTAATATTGTCATTCCATACAATCATTGTGATAATTTCAAAGCCAATATTTTTTTTTATTGTGGACTATTATATTAAATATAAGAAACTAATACTATGTATTGATAATGACATAATTTTATCATACTATTATGTTCATTGTTTTTTATTAGGTTAACCTGTAATGGCTACTGGTGATATAAAAAATAATATTAAACAGTTACAACATGAGCTTAAAGCTTCAAAATTTTCTGAAAATCTTGATGTAGATGGGTAAGTTAGTATTTGTAATATTTTTTTCATTAAACAGGAAAAATGACAGTTGGAGTTGTTTCTTATGCTTATAATTATAATAGGTTATATACTGTGGTTAAAATTCAACTGTAGAAGTTTGTCAAGGGAGTGCACAGCAATGATTATTGCGACCCTGCTAAGCCATTTTAAGTAGACTGCAATATGAAAATCTTTATTTCAAGAAGTATTGTAAAAGATATATTTATACCAAAAAGCTTGTAATAATTAAATTTCTTATTCTATTGTAAAATATTTTCTTCTTATTTCTTTAGGTTGGTAAGCGGCTCACCAAAAACATACTTGAGTATATACCATTACCTGTTCACATCTTACAGTACTAAATTTAATAAGGACATTGCCAACTCCAACAATGAGCTGTATGGGAAATCAGACATGAGATTTATGGAAGCAGTTTACAAGGTGGGACATTTTATGTTCTTTTGAAAAATGTTTATTTAAGCAATAAAGTTTACTTACAAATATTTATACTAATTGTTGCTTAACCATAATCTGTATACTATGATGATTAACCTTCATGTCAATTTACATACTAATTTAAGATTTTTCAACTTCAGATCTTAAGAGATATGTTTGATTACAAGCCTCAGATTCACCGTGAACAATTTTTTTCTCCTGGTTTTGCTGAGCGAAAGATTATAATGGCCACTGATATTTTAAAGCTAATCAAAAACCGTTATAAACCAGTCAAAAGCTCAACTTTTAAAGTTGCAAGTATTAAAGATGAAAGCACCCCAAAATCTGAAAAGGTAGACTTTTTAAAAGAATTTATTCTAAGAGTATAACATTTAAGAAACTTTTTGGAAAAACAATAATGCTTTCACTTAAATATAAAAAATGTTATTAATTACTGTAATTTTTTTTAATGATAAATATTTTACTTTTTTTAAATAGATCCTGCAAGAGCCCCATGGTATGTTATAAGGTTTTTAATACTGTAATAAAAATAGCTTACTTATTCTACTTCTGTAGACACTTTTTTGGAATCTTAAGTAATTGCTTTTCAATTTCTAGAGCGCACCCGTAAAATTGCAAGCAAATCATCTACAAGCATTGCTGGGGCTGTCATTTTGCCTGTCAGAATGTCTAGTGGATTTTTGAAAGTTTCAAAGTCTGCATATGCTGATCTTAGAATTTCTGAGGGAGCAGGCTTTGATGATGAAGAAATTGAAATAACAAAAAACAATAACAAACAAGCTAGAAGTAAGAAAACATTTTTTTTGCTGATAAATTTTATTTCCAAAAAAACTAACGTATTTTTTTTAAATATACAAAAACCTCTTAAATTAACTACCTTTAAATAAAGTTTCTTAACTTTTCAAGGGGTGTATCCAACTGATGAAATTAGTTTTAGTGAAATAAAAGATACAGCTGCTCAGCAAGCAGGAAAAGATGTTATTATTCAGAGTAAGCAAGTTATAGATCCTGAATTGCTAAATGCAGAAGTAAGACGGAAAGTAGTAGACTTGATATCACCAGCACTTTTAAAGATTAATGAACAGATTGGAAAGTTAAGCATTTCTTTGAAGGTATGTTAAGTTTCAAGGTTTGAAAACCTGTTTTAAATACATAGTCAATTTTCAGGTGCAGTCTCATATTTGTAGTAGGCATATTTTCATCTGATTATAAAATTTGAATTCATATTTTTGGTGTAAAAAGAAGAGATATTAGCTTTTGTTATTTGTATTTACTTAGAATTTAGAACTGAAGCAGACACCAAAACCAACAGAAGAACCACAATCATCTACAGCTCTTACAGCTGGAATAGCTAAGCAAATGAATGATGTAATATTTAAACTTGACACACTTACATCCAGAGTTGTCCTTATTGAAAACAGACTAACTATACTTGAATCAAAAGTGAGTTGATCATAATCCATATATATAAAAAGCAATGTATGTCTGTTTGTTTCTTTGTATGTTTTTCTGTCTTTTATGCATTACTACACCTTTCATCCGATCGCCATGAAACTTTGGGATGTGGTTAAGAATACTCCTAGGGAGGTTTTTGTAGAAATTATTTTTCAAATTCACAGGGCTAGCACCCTGTCAGGGCGCAATCCAATTCTTTTCTATGTATGGTATATAAGAATAAAAGTCAATTAAAGACACTGTTCATCCGATCGCCATCAAACTTTGGATAGTTGATTAGAACACTCCAAGAAAGGTTTCTGCAAAAAAATCTTTTAATTTTGTGAGGGTAGCGCCCTGGGAGGGTGCGATTTTTCTCAATTTGGCGCCCTGGGCTATCCCGCGAGCGATATGATGCCTATGTTCATTTTAAACAGTGCAAAAGACTGCATAATATCAGGCGCATTCTGCGGCACACCGGCAGGGTTCGCTTTGGCACCCAGCACCATCCTATGAGCACTATGGTGCCTGCGTTAGTTTTAAGGAACACCCTACAATATTGACAAGGCGGCACACGAAATTTGATGGTTAAACCGAGCCAGGGGCGTACGCAGCGCAGTAGTGTAATATAGGGGGCTCACAAGAGTGCCCTCTATGTCCCTGACACTTAAGTGGTGAGTGATTAACGGTGCTATTACGGTGAGTGATTAACGTACACTCAAAGCGTGCTGGGTGGTTGTGTAGGTTAACCCGTGCCCCGATAAATATGATCCAAGTGCGGGCATTTTTTACATTAAAATAACTCAGTTTTAGAAAACAAGGCCAAGCATCTAAGAATATAGGATTGGTAAAGCATTGATGAAACCTTCATAATATATTTCATCAGATTTTATTTGTGTTTTATGCATTGCTACACCTTTCATTAGATGGTCATGAAACTTTGGGAAGTTGTTGAGAATACTCCTGGGGCGGTTTGAAACGGTTTCTAAGGAAAAAAATTACATTTTCGAATGTGCGGCGCCCCGACAGAATGCAATTGGGCACCCCGGGTTATCCCATGAGTGCTATGGTGCCTACGTTCGTTTTAAACAGTGCAATACACTATGGATACAACGGGGCATTATAGTTGTTTATTAAACTGAGTCAGATGTGTCAGTTGACACCTATGTTAGTTTTAATGAGCCAGGTGTTGTATGCGGCGTCCCTGCGGTAGTGTAATCAGGGGCTCCTGAGAGTGCCCCTCTATGTCCCTGACACCTGGGCGGTCACCAAAGTGTGTTCTTCCTCACTATAAGGGTGAGTGATTAACGTACACTCAAAGCTTTCATGCGACTCAGTTTTAGAAAACAAGGCCACACGTCTAAGAATATAGAATTGGTAACGCATAAATTTTTGTGGGTGAATGATGATAAATTTTTGTTGAATGATTATAAATTTTTATGGAATGTTTTGTCCTTCAAGTAGCTATAATCTTCATGTAAAAATAGTGCTTTTTAAAAAAAAAGATTACATTAACACAGCAGTTAAAAAATAAGTGAATTCTCTTATGGACTTTTAAAATTGTGTATGTTTTATGTTATAATTTTTATAGTTTATATTTTTATTTACTCAGGTTGAAAATGATCAAAGTTCTCAGCAAAAGTTTGGTTTCAATTCAAGCTCTCAACTTTCACACAAACATTTAGTGGGACATAATAGAGAAAAGACTGCTCTTAAATTTGATATTACCAACAGTGTTAAGATTAGAAGTGAAGACAAAGATGAACAAGATTCTGAAGATGAAGTTGAAAACAGTTGTGTTGAAGGCAAAGTTGAAGATGTAAACTTTAAAGTGGTTAGGGAAAGTCACATAGAGAAGGATCCAAAAATTATTCCTGGGTTAATCAAATCTTTAGTAGGCACATTTGGTATGTGTTAATTTCAAATAATAATCGTATTTGCAGTAATTGTTTAGTATTAATGTGCCCCAATCATATTGGTTACATAAATCCATAGATCCATGTTTTGTTTTATTTTTCTATTGCTAACCTTTCTTCTTACAATTATTCTTTGTTGTTCCTTTTTTTAAATGACTGTACCCCTTTAAGTATAATGTATTATGTTTTTTTGTTGTTTTTTTAAATCTCAGCTTCAGATCCTGATTGTGATATTGATGTCAAAGGATCAAATTCAAAGGTTGAAGATAAAAGTAACTGTGAGAATACACCATTGAAACCTTCAGCTTCATCAGTAGGATCAGGCAAACCCAGCTCAGTATTACAGTTTGTTGAACTCTTCTCTCCCATTCAAGCTTACAAGGAAAACCAAGACTACAGGCAACAACAAGATGACTCATCTTTTGCCCCTCCATATTCACCTTATAATATGGATAATAATGAAAAGAGAAGATCAAGCACACCTACTCAATTAAACTTAGATACATCAACACTTGATAGAGTTACACGTATTACTCAAATGATGGAAGAAACAAAACAGCTTCTTCATTAATAGTACCCATAATTATTTTTTTTTTAAAGCAAACAGTTATTTTTCTGTTCAACTTGATTTACTGTGCCAATTCATTTTCCTAATATGCTTTCCTTAAGTGTAAAGAATATGTTACCAAAATATTTTATTCATATTGTAAGTCTCATGCTGTCACCAGAATCTTTGTTTATTTTGTGTTGTCTTTTTATGTACATTTTTTTACTGTTCACATTTTAACACATTTTCAAACAAAATTTCTTCACAAAGCAAATGGCAGTTTTCATAAGTAACAATGTAAACAAAAAAATTCATTAAAAAAAACAACTAACAGCTATGATTTTAATGTTTGTGGTTTATAGAACATTTGCTTTCTGTCTTTTATATTTGTATACTCAGGGTATAAGTTTTATTAAAAATAATATTAATTTTATGTAACTATATTTACAGTTTAAAACAGCTATTAAGTTAATGAACTGGCTGAACCTAGAAAGAAAATAATAAGGTATATTTAGTGAAATACATATATGACTGACTTTATTAAATATTTAATACATTTATAGAGCATAAAATATTAAAATTACTTATTCTTTCTGTTTCTTGTTTGTTTTATTTATTAAAAACATAAGATGCTGTGTAATTTACACTTAATAATAAAAAGGATATTAAAGCTTGTCTTATCTTTTTACTACCACAGGCTTTTCTATGTCAGTTGAAGAAAATAAAAGTACACCAAGTCAATCTAACTAGAATTATCCAGAATAGATGCTTTGAACTATTAACATGTTTTGGGGTGTGGTAAATGTTAGATTTGTGTTATTTGGTGATTTGTTGTTTTTTTTAAATTTAATCTGTAGCCCTAAATAGTTTCTAATTAGACTGAAATTATCAGTAAAACCATTTTTAAAAAAAAAGTTTTCTTTGATTATCTTCTGATGCATATTCTTGAAATTTAGGCTAATAAACAAATGGCTGATTCTAGCCAGTAGAAGATGCATATTTAGTACAAACAGCACTACTGTGACCTGGTTTTTCTTGTCTTCTAAATGTTCGCTGTTCAGGCCATTCAGTTGTCCTGATGGGATTAACATGTTAAAAACTTAAATAGTATATTTAAATAGGCTATTAAAAATACTTTTTTAAAAGGTGTTATACTTTACTTACAGACTAGATGGGTAGATCCCTTTACTTTCCTAGTCCTAGATATACTAGATTCTATTGCATGATGTGAAAAATGTACACCATTGTCAAAACTATGAATATCCATTGAAATAACAAGAAAATAAAAATAGATGCAGCATTAATATTTAATAATTATAATGAATTTTTAAAATAAAATTTAAAAAACCCAATAAATAAAACCTCAATTAACCAAAGCATAATTGATAACATAATTAAACTCATCTTCCTTGTACCTAAGTTAAATATAAGTGTATTAATGAATTTTAACGTTTACCAACTACATTCAGTGTATTTAGATCTGTAGACAATATTACAATTTAAAGAGTTTTTTCTTGATAGCTTTTAATAGCCTACATTAAATTATGGTGAACTGAATAGTATTTTTGGCAAGTTTTCTTGCTTTTTTGGAAAACCTGGCTAACAATAACATTACACTATTATACTTCCGTGTAATCATGGCTGCCGGAGAAGAACTTTTATCACTGATAGACAGGGAAATCCCTGATGGAAGAAAAAGTCTCCAAGAAAGCTATATGAATTTAGAAAATGTTGCAAAATATTGTGAAGATAACTACCTTAAAGCTCTTAAGGTGATTTATGCTAACATGTCCATACAATATCTTAGAAAAATAAAAGACCATGACGTCTGACGATGTTGATCGAATTTTAATCGACTGACGGGTGGTATTCTAAATACTAAATTCTTACTAGATCTACAATTCTTAGAATTTCTAATAGAAATCTGTCGTTTTAGTTAAAATCGGCCGACGATAGATCTAGATCTAGTACTGTGGAAAAAAAAAGGTCACTCATGAAATTAGTGTGGGCCTATGAACTATGATTTTTAATGAGGATTTAGATCTAGATTCTAGATCTATGTAGGCCGTTCGATTCACAGCTTCCGGGTTTGTTGTTTTGAAGCCATCTCACGGCTCATGCGCTTACCAAAAATGGCGACCAGTTTCGCTTTCACTAATGGGTAGAGGGATAAAACTAATGATTACGAAGCCATCGTTAATTTTAGAAATCGGAACTATCCGTTTCTATTTAAGTCTATTAATTAAGAATTGTCGGATCTACTTTTGGCCTAATTTCTTTGTTTGTCTCGCAAGCGGCGCCTTAGTGAAAGTAGCTCTATATAATTCTCATCTTTCGAATCAAATAACTCTAAAATACCCCGTGTATAATAAACCAAACTATGTGTATATGAAACTTGAAAGTATCAATTTTACACACATTACAATTAACTGGTAATAACTTATGGTCGGAATGAGATGTGGTCCGTTCAAGTAATAATGCCATTTTATTATAATCTTTTTTGGTGAACACGAGGCGCGGGAAAATGTGTGCCGCGCAAGAATCCAATCATTTGGCTAGGTTTATGACTGTTTTTTTATGTCACACCTAAAAATAGAATGTTTACGCTTTCTTCATTGGTGATCGTTTTTATTATTTTTTAAACTGAAAGTATGAATTATTAGTTAGATTTTAGGTTTTGTAGCTTGGTATACTTACCCTTTATCAATTTTAAAAGCATAGCATGCTGATTGTGAACAAATAGTCATAAGACACAGAAATAAAAAGTTACATGCGATGTGCCACACCCGGGTCACACCCCCTCAAGAAAACACGCGTTTATTAAGCTGTTTATCTCACTTTACAACAGTAATTAAAATTAATTGTCAAATTTTTATTACTTATTGGGTAATATTAAGCACATGTTTACTAATAGTTAAAAAGAAACATAAGTAAATTCTGTTTTAATGGAGGTCACGGGTCAAGTTTTTTTTCCTTCTTTCAAGTTCAGTGGAGGGTGCCACAGGCTGACCTGACTTTGGAATTTTTTTCAGTAATAATGACTTTGCACAGAAAGTTAAAATATGCTAAATTAGCTTAGTTTACTAGTATTCTAGCTATTATTAATACATTTTTAATAAAAAAAATCATTCTGTAATTCTCATCAAAAAGCCTAATCTATGTTTTGTAAGTTACAAAATTTAAAATGTTACAAGTTTCAAAATTTCATTCATGTAGGCCTAACTGTTTTTAAACAATTGTATAGTATTAGGTAGGTACTAGGATAGAATTTTAAAAAATGGTTTGATTGCAGTAAGATGACTGCAGGTAAAAGGGTAAAAAAACGAAGTGATTACTCTGAAGATTTATCTCCCCAACGTCTCCACTTAGTCGGCAAAAGATACCTCTGCGCATTGGCAGTGACCTATGGCTAGGGTTAGAGCTAGAATTAGGGATAGGATTTGGGCTAGTGTTAGGGATAGGATTAGGGTTGGTGTTAGGGTTCTGCAGTTGTAAACACACGCATGCGCAGTACTATCAAAAACATCCCCGCGATGGCAAGTCGTAGTTCTCTCCATTATGTATGCGTATCTTATTCCGGCTAGCATCGGTCTAAAAAAAATAGGGTAAAATCACGATACAGCATCGGTTATTATTCCGGGATTGTATGGCGGTAAAAAACAGACAGTAAAACCATGGCGAGCTGTTCCGGAAACCACCAGAAATACTGTAAAACATTATTTATTTGCCGCCATATTATTTAAATATATAGGCCTCTAATGTTTAAAAGACTTTATTTTTATTTCAACAGTCAAATTAACTATGGTTAATAGTAACGAATTTTACAGAAACTCAACAAACATTACCAGATAATTTCCGACGCTAAATTTTGAGATTACCAAAAATAGAATCACAGAACAGTTTTCCTTTTTGATGTAGCTCCAATGTTTAAAAAGTTGTTTTTTTCCTATTAAAAAGGTGCATTTTTCAACACATGATTTTTTAAATTTCTGTGATAGTTTTTTTTTTAGTGTGCACTAAAATGATCATAGCCTGTAAACTACATGGTATAATTTGTTTAAACTTTCCAGTATCTTTTTTTACCATATGGAAGCATAATAAACCATAAAATAAGATATTTTTGGGTAGAATTTTTGAAAAACAAAAGTGGAACATGGGGACCCCCCCTCATTTTTTTTTTTTGAACACGCAGTGCTTTCATACAACTACTACAGTTTAAATTTTAACTATTTGAAATATTAAGCTCAAAATAACTCAGAATGAGTAACTATGGGTGTATCAATGAATAATCCAAAATATTGATCATAGCATGAAAGATTTTTGTATATCATGATGCAAAGCTGATAAATCATGCGATTCTACAAAACTGAAGTCTGGTTTATGTGAAATACAAAATTATGACAAATTTAAACTACTGAGCATTTAAGTTTCAAACTTTGCTTAACTTTAGATAACTCTATATTACAAAAGAAATAATCAAAATATTGGTTGTGACTTCATCTGTTTGCCAGAAATATATGGTTGAAGAAGGTACCCCCCTTTTAAAAAAACCAACACTTTTAGCACAATCTGAATTCAAAATTTGACTAAAATTTGTTCCATAACAATTCTACTTATTAAAGCCCAAATCTCTCAGAACATTGACCCTATGTTACCAGTTATTTTAGCAGTCATTTGCTGAAAGTTAAATGTTCATGTTTATTGTTTAGTCCTCTTTACTCCTTATGGAACATAGGGCCTCCACCATTTCCTTCCATTTCTTCCGATCCCCAGCTATTAATTTTGTCATCTCCCAAGACATCCCTGTTGGCTTCAGATCTTCAAGAAGACTCCATCTACAGGTCTGTCTTGGGCGCCCTCTCTTCCGCTTTCCCTGGGGGTTCCACTCAAGCGCTTGGCGTGTAACATTTGGGTGAGCCTTTCGCAGTGTGTGACCCACCCAGCGCCACTTCCTCCTTCTTATTTGCACACCCATAGGCTCCTGCCTAGCTTTCCTCCATAGTTCTATGTTCGGCACTTTGTCCTGCCATCTCAGTTTCAATATCTGTCTAAGGCATCTATTCATGAAGGTCTGTATCTTTGCTAAATGTTCATGTAATCAAGTTTTAATGTTTCCTTTTTCATTTGTCACTAGATCTTTTCTAACTTAGATAATTCCCTTCTTAAAATACATCTTTCAAAAAAATTTTAAATGAAATGTACAGTGCTTCTCAAAAACATTTCATTATTTAACTTCTTAAGAACATTGTTACTACAAACTTTAAATTTAAAAATTCTAACTTTTGATTTTATCAAAATATAGCTAAATCATCACCTGTGTCCCAAAATTTCATTAAATATTTATGGTTTACTTCACACCAGTAAGCCTGTATGAAAATCATCACCATAAATATGTCTCTGACAGCACCACATGAAATATTTTGGAGTCTAATAATGCATTCTGGAGACACCAAAAAAATAGAGCTGTTGTTTAAGAGATAATTCATCTGGGGTGAAAACATATAAACATTTAATCTACTATGGTTATAATGTGATTATGCTTTAAAAAAATATTTCTCACTGTTGGCTTGTGTACAAACATACATGTTAATTAAGGTTTACATTCATGTGAATTATAAAACTTTCATTTTGTTCAGTTGAACTTGAATTACATGGTTAAAATTTTTTTATCTCTTTAGACAAATCCTAATGCTACTGCTCAAGCTCTGCAGGACACCAAAAATTATACAACACATTCACTAGCCAGTGTGGCATATCAAATAAACAACCTGGCCACAAATTTCTTGAAGCTGTTAGATTTACAGCAGAGTCAGCTCACTGACATGGAATCTAGTGTCAATCATCTAAATCAGGTAACCACAGCAGTAAAAAAATGTATTAACTTGGTAATTTGTGCTTTTTATAGGCTTTTATTTAATTCATACATCAGAGCAGTCTGTCTTTCTGTTTGTGGCAAATCTTGTAACTATAACTCAATTTTGACCCATTCTTTGTGCAACAATTTTATTCAAACTTTCCAGAAGTATCATTCTCTGATAAATATCTATTTTAAAATCAAATAAATCATTAAAAATTAATTTAAAGATTTCTAAATTCAATAATAAAAGGGCAATAACAGGATAAATGATAAACAGACACCTGATTAGCCTGATTATGATAGTGAACTGTTGGTCATGGTACTTGGTTTTTTTCCAAGAAGGGCAGAAAATTGTCTTTTAAAGATTCAAGCTACTGATTTGGATTTTAATGCAAACATATTTCGTCATGTGGTGTTGATTTGATTAAGTACAATTGAGTAAAAAGTAAAGTTGAAAAAATAACTTTGCATTGGTCGCTCATCAAATCTCTTTCACATTTAGTGCTTTTTACTAAAGAAACAAAGCTTGTTTTATTTTTTTAAAATACCAGTGTATTTAAAAGCTATTTTTTATTCAGGTTTTTAATATTTGTTTTATTTAATTTCTGTAGATTTTTAATATATTAAAAATGTATTTGCATATGGCAGGAAACAGATTCAACCCTCAAGCATCTACTTTTAGGGTCAATTTTCGCCAATTTTCAAAGTAACAAATATTGACATATTATATATCAATTTTGTTGCTTAACAATCGAGGAATTCAAAAATATAAAAATTAATAGCACTAGACATTTACATCACGTTCAAAATGTAGATTAACCACACTCACTCAACTGAGATTTTTTTTTACATCTAAATGTAATGAGGTCCAAAAATCCACGAAATTCACAAAATTAACGATATAATTACACAGAAATGTCACTTAGGCATACATTTATTTGTAATTATGTCAAACTTTACAAAATATACCAGTTTATAGCTTATTTCTATAATTATTCTTGAGAAAAAAAACGACCGCCCTCCCCTTTAAAATTCTGGCTTTTAGAAACACTCTGGGGAAGAAAAAAAATAACAGAGTTAAATATAGAAGGTCTATATAAAGAACATAATTAATAAAATATGTCTATATGCCAATTTTTAATATAGTTGCAGCATTTACATGGCTAATTATAATTGTTTAGTACTTTGAACATTAATTTAAAGTTACGACTGTCTGTGGCGTCATTCAAGTGTAGTGTCAGTGTAGGTGAACAGGGTGTTAGGGCCTGATACGATTTCATTAATGAACAGAATGTATAATTAGAACTGGCATATAAAAACAATGTTGATAATAGATGCAGTTGTTTTAATGCTACTTATAATAGATCAAAACGACAAACATAATTAAAACCTAAGAATCTGGAAGCGGTGACCTCATTTTACTGACACGGTTGTCAAATAGTTAAGTAAGTGAATAGATCTAGATTTAGAATCTACGTAATTTTGAAAATACGCTAGTTCTAGAAGCAAAATCACTTTTAAAAACTGAAGTTAGTGATTAGATCTATAATGAAATTGAAATCAACAACTGATATGTAAGTATCTTTTGATTTAAAAAAAAAAAAATACGCTTAGTTCTAAGAACAAAAAATTCTATGGTGTACTCGATCCCTATCCCAAAACGTGCCAGCCATATCGCATGCGTAGTCAGCTACTCAGCTGCTTATCAAATCGATGAATTTTAAAATTATATAATAAAAGTAGGTCACCCTAAAAAAAAGAGTAAAATGGCTCCCGTTTTCACGACAGCCGTCACTCGATTCATAATTTACAGAGTTATAAAGTTCTACTTTCTTTTGGCTATAGATTTAAAGAGATATTAATTTGTTATTTCTCATGCGTTCCAACAATTGTACCTAATTTTAATAAACATTAGATTAGTAAGGACTCGATTCTTTTTAGAATTAGCCCTCGACACTATACAGACTATTGCGAAGAAACAGACTCGCGCGAATGTCGTGCGTAGGCTGGTTCAGTGGCGAAGGTTAGAAGCCAATTTGCGACGGAAAATTTTTACTTTGAAATAATTACATTATCAATTAATTTCGATTTAAAACAAATGGCTTAAAGTCAAAAGTAAACTAAAATTGAAAAACTTTGTTATTCGCAGTGTACTCAAGATTCTCGTGTTTTAAAGATAAGTCTAGTTTTACTACGCGTGCGTGCATGGTGCGAATACCGATTTTCCGCGACAGAAAATCATTAAAAATATAAAAAAAAGTATCTACGGCAAAATAATAATTATATTTTACAGAATTAAATAGATTTAACTTAACTGTTATTTAAATACATGCTTCGGAGTAAAAAAATACAATTTTATATCCGTAAAAAATTAACTGAAATTCCCGCTTTCAGCGACGCCGATGTGTCGTAATTTTCGGCAGTCATTTTGTTCAAATTAAAGTAAAAAACGCATTCAAATATACTTTTTTTTTACTTTCATAATTTACAGCAATCATTTCTAATGAAAAATCCATAAAAAAATAATAGTTATTTTTACAAAATATTATTTCTTACCTCATTAGTGCAGTACACGTACTTTCCAAGTAGATCCATTCCGTCTAGATTTGCATACTTCGCATCCTTCGCCGCGGCACAAAATGTCATAAAAAACGAATTCCACAAAAATGTTGCTAACGAAGCTTGTAAAAACCTTGCTCTATTTATCAGTATAAACAAAATCCCCGAACGATGTCTGGTTAGAAAGTTTATGAACGGCGAAGACCGAATATGCATTTTGCGGTACCAATCTGTTTCCTGCCTTATACACTTATTTTCATAATATTTTTAAAATTTGTAATCAAGTACTCCATAAGTAATTGTTTCCAATTAAAATGCATTAATTTATTTACAGTTTGCAATTTTTACTTTTATTTTAAGTGTCTTTTAGTGATTTAAGTGTTTGTTATTATTGATGGTGAAATTGAATTCAAAAGTGGCCAGTGCTTTGAGTTTAGAAACATAAATCATTTTTAAAAGGGATTTTCAGATTCTGATATAAAGTGAAAAAGAATTTTAATTCCTAAGTATGAACATAACCATATGATAACATTTAATTAATGGCACCTTTAGTTTGAGTGCAATTTAAATGTTTGAAGACAAAATGATTTATCTTATAAAATTGAACAGATTGTCATGATTCACAAAGAAAAAGTAGCCAGAAGAGAAATAGGTGTACTCACAGCAGGTAGAAATGTTCCGAGGCCAATTGGAATGAAAAACGGAATAATATACCCAGAACAAACAGAGCGGCCAATCAAATATACAAGAAAATCCATTGATTATACAATACTTGATGATGTTGGACATGGTGTAAGGGTAAGTCTTTTTATTTCACTTATTCTTAAATAATGCTTGCATTGCTGTCTCATTTTTATGTGTTATTTACGTATTCAGTGTCTCATAAACCTTTCAAAATGTAAGAGCTGCATTAAATCATAGTTCTTTAGAGTTTTAAATAAATATATAGGCCTACATATTTATATATTAAGAAAGAGATGAATCAGCTGATAGAGATAAATGGATTTATAATTATAGAGATACATTGAGATTTTTATACCTTTTTAAATAAACCTTTCTTATGCAATTGAAAATATTAAATGTCTTGTTTTCTTGAACACATTTGAGTTATGATTTGTATGTTTCTTTGTATTTTCAGCAGCAAGCTAATACACCAAGAACAGCTAGGAGTCCCTCTGTTAGTAGTACCCACAGTAATAGCAGTGCTAGTAACAATAACCAAGCTCCAACAACCAAACCTCCAACACCCCCTGTATACAGGGCAGGTACAATAGGTAGAGCAGCAGGTGCCCAGCAAACTAGACCAGTTGCTCCTCCAATGGCACCACCACAACCTATTCCATCTCAGGGTAATTTTCCACCTTACCCCCAATCAGGCAGATCATCTGTATCTGCGGGAAGCTCATATTCCCCTTCTAATACGATGGTAATGGGTCAGCTTCACTCACCTTCCATGGGTCAATCTGTGCCGCCTGGACTAGCCTATAACCCATCACCTAATACTCTTCATAACATGACTCGCTCTGCCAATCCTTCTCTAATGCATCCTGAGGCAAAGGGTAAATTAGCTTACTATTTACTTAGGCTTTGACCAGATTGTTTTTTTGTTTTACACACATTTTGAGAGTTTTTATATATGGGGTTGTATTGTTAATTTGTGTACATGGGGAATATGTAATGGAATTTCAATTTAAGCATCCAAATTTGATTAAGTAAAGAAAGCAAAAACTGGTCAAAGTTTATAATAATGGTTTTAAAAAAAATGCAGTTAAAAAAAAATTCTGACAGATTTTTTAATCACAAGGAATATAAAATATTCTTGGTTTTTAAAAAAGTTATTGTAACTGCATTTTCTTAACCAGTCTTAGATATTATAGTTAGTTGCTTTAATTTAACAGTTTATTTTTATCTTTAACACAAAAATATATAGTTATGCTTAACTCTTGTAAGAGATTTGTAATTAAAATTAATCATTTTAATATTGTATAGAAAATGTTTCAATTATTGTTTGATTTATTGTGGTACATACTTCACAGCAACTTTTGGTTTTTCTTAGAATAATATTTTGGCAGTAACCTACAGTGTTGAAATCACTTTTATCAGTTTTTTCTTGATTATATCACTGTTCGTGCCAGGGTCATAGTACCTGAACTTCATACCAGCAAAAATAATATCTTTGGTACACTGCCTTTTTTTCATAGAAGTACCCAACTTTCTTACTTTTAAAAGTTTTTAAAAATTCTCTAAAGATATCTGATATCTTTAAAAGTTAAATATTGGCTTAGTAACATGTTTTTAATAACCAGTTAGAGTATTTTATTTCCTTTACACATATTTTCTTTAGATACAATAACTTCTTTAATAATTTATAAATTAACCGTATTAATACAAATTTCATTTCTATATTATGTAAATGAATATTAACAAAAAATTCAATAAATTTAGAAGTTAAAAACAAATATTAAAACTTAAACATTTGTGCTTGTCTTTAGTAATCAAATGCTGAAAAATCAATCTTAATTTTCTTTAAATTTTTTTAAATTTTTGTAAGGATGGTTGTGGATAAATAATTTCAGCATACAATTTAAAACAATCATAGTTAACACATCTCTTTAAACTACAGATTAAAAACTAACAAGCTTATTATGCAAATATTGCTAAACTGAATATTAACAGTTTCAAGCTATTCTGTAAAAATGAATCTGATTAAAGTTTATACATTTAGGGCAGAAAAATTATTGCCATTTTTCCTGCATCTTGCTTATGTTGTATTATTCACACTTCTCTCTTATTTGAAAATCTTTACTTACAGCAATAACAAAAAATCCATATGTTTTTACACTTTATTTATTTAACTAATTTTAAAAATGTCAGCTATTTAAGCAAAAAAAAATTATTTTCAATAAATACTTTGTGATAAGCCATTTCAAATTTCTTGGAAATAAATCTGGATTATCTAGTCACATTATTTACTGTTAAAAAAACAACTTATATATATATATATATATATATATATATATATATATATATATATATATATATATATATATATATATATATATATATATATATATATATATATATATATATATATATATATATATATATATATATATGTAGGCTTCAAACATTTTACCTTTATTTTACTTTATTTTTCTTTGCACTTTAGGTGTGAAAACTGCCAAACAATTTATTACCTAATTATTTTTTTCTGAGCACCCATTTTCTTTTACATTTTATAGCATTAGCACTTTTTTTCTACTTTTGTTTTTTGATTCAGCAGCAACTTATGCACGTAGTAATTCTAACCGTGGACAAAGCTGGATTGGTAAGATTATTAACTTATATATATTTTTGTATAAAACTGAAATATCTTGTAACGGTAAATTAAGATACTTTCGTCAAAGGAGAATTCTCTGATATCTGTTGCCAGTATTGTCTTGAGTTTTAAAAAGCTATTTTCTCTTTATGAGACTTTGGCTTAACAGCTTTTCGGAGTTATAATCAGTTAATCTGCTTTGACATATTTATGTCAGTGTTATGAAAACTCATTTGCATGCTGCTTGTTTGTTTCTTAAGTTATGTTAATATTGATGTATGATTAAATTTAAATAAAGTATTTTCATTAGTTAAATAAAAACTGATATAGATTTACAGAAATAAATTTCATGAACCAGTTTAATCATCTTTCGAAAATACACAAGTAAAAAAGCTTTTTAGATATAATAGTTTATATTCCTTGTCTTTTTCTAATATTATATTTTTGTTGTTTTTTTTCTTTTGCATGTAAGTAATGTTAGTAATTGTGATCAATATGTATTCTAAAGCAAACACATAAATTGCAAAATCAGAAGAGCATCACACTGTTTAGTCAAATAATTACTTTCATAACTGTAATAATAATAATGTTTCGTAGAGTCACAATTGCTATTCATTTGGCACTTTCATTTGTCACACATTTACACAAATATTAATTTTTCTAATATTGTTCCATGTTCATTTTTTTCTTTTAAATTATGAGCATAACTACATAGTAAAATGATCTTTTCGTCTTAAATATTTTAAAGTTACTACCCAATTACAACACAATTTATTTTGTTTGCTGCTTAAAATGTGTGTTGTAGCCTTTAAACAAAGTGATTATGTTTTTAAATTACCATCAAACTAAAAAGTAGTAAAGATATTAGCACAACTAAAAAAAAATCATCTTACAAAAAAATGTTCAAATGCTACAGCGGTGTTGGTTGTTTTTTTTGTTTTTGGGGTTTTTAAAATTTGTGGTCACTGTTGTGAGTTGATCATTGTTGTCTTGGCTTTTTGTTTTTCACAGACACATCCACCACTTCCTTGCCCCCACCTCCACCAGATGATGATTTCCCTGAGCCATTTATGGGGTTTGAAGGTGTGATATTTGATTAGTATTAGTAACATTAAAAATGTAATTGATCATTACTTCATTTAGCAAGCTGTTTCTAATGAAAAAAACTGATATCCAGGTTTGTATCAATTGCATAGTTGGATCGCCATTGTGTAAAATGACTCAAAGGATATGCACTAAAAAGCTTTGTGAAACACTGCTTAAAACTTTTATTACTATAAAATATACTAACAAAATAACATAATATCATGAATACCTGAATACATTTTACAATATTCACATAATCTTTGTAATATTAACTTGTGTGTTTTAATTTTTACCCACTATGTATTATGGCCAGATTAGAATAACGATGACATTTGAATAAAGATGAGTACGCCTAATCTCTGTGAACTATAAGAAAATATTAACAGTAATGATTGAAAATCATATTTATACTGCTTTGTTTGGATGCTTATGTTTTTAAGTACTGAACATGTTTGCTTCTGGCTTATAAATTTTGTTTGTAGTTTACTATAATTTGTGCATGTTACATTTTAATGTTACATTTCTAGATTTTAGTTTAATGATGTATATATCAATAAAATTATTGCGGCTTCCATTTTCATGTTACCATTGAACTTAGCTGCTCCTTTCTAACATGATTATTTGAACTTGAGTTTTAAATGTGTGAATAACCAATTATATCATAGTAGAATTTAAAATCAGGAATAACAAAAGAATAATAGTATTAATAGTAAGTTCCCTATTAACAACATGCTTATATATATATATATATATATATATATATATATATATATATATATATATATATATATATATATATATATATATATATATATATATATATAGTGACTGAATCATTATGTAGTATCAGTATGTCAGGTATTTGAAAACTAAAACTGTTAATTTGCTAATGTTTGTTTTCTTAGGTTTTAGTAAGTCATACATCAGTTGCGATCATTTCTATCAGTATAGTATAATGGTAGAAAATTGTAGTAATTTACTTAAGAGCTAATATAATATATTACTGTAAAAAGTTTGCCTTGTTTTGAAAATATGCATAATTTTATTCAGTCAAGTGTTTTAAGAATTAAAGGTTCAGGTTAAAAAAATTTCTTTCTAATTCTAATTTTTTTTTTAAGTTTATGAACTAAGATGAGATAAAAATATTGTACAAAGTATTTTTTTTATTGTTTAAAAATTAACATAAATTGATATAGCTATGAACTACTTATGTAAATGTTCAGAAATTAGAAATAAGTTTTTGTCTATTCAGCTCAATCACCTTTGCCTGCTCCTCCATCAAATGAGCATTTTGACTATCCTGCACCTCCACCGCAAGACTTCAGCGATGTGCGAGAGGGTCCACCTAGCTCGAGGCCGGGGAGATTGATTGGAAGTGAACCTGAAGATACTTACGCAGCGACACAGGCAATGGATGACCCGTATGCTGCAACAGGGCCACAGCTATTGTCTCAACAGTCATGGATTCCTAAGCATTACTTAGAAAAAGGTCAGTTTGATCTCTTTCTCATCTATAAAATTAAAATGAGGCAATGCTTATTGGTAAGTTGCTTTTTGTTTCAGAAAATATAATACACACACTACTTTAATGAATTTCTAATTTCAGTTGTAGCCATTTATGATTATTCTGCCACCAAATCAGATGAGTTGTCCTTTGCTGAGAATGCAGTTATCTATGTTATACACAAGAATGATGATGGATGGTGGGAAGGAGTTATGGATGGACAAACTGGCCTTTTCCCATATAATTATGTTGAACCATGCATGTAAAACAAATTATTTCCGATTTTTAACACTAAACTATTTTCTCAAAATTCCCTTATGTGCTAATAACATGACTTAGTTTACAATCATTATCCATGCTGTTTCTTAGTCTAGTACCTTGAAAAATAACTTATCTTTTCATCTTTTATCTTACACAAAAAAGTTATTTGCTACTCCATCTATGTGGGTTATTTTCTATCAATTTTTTGTTAATTTAGTCATACACTAACAAACATGAAAATATTAATGGAAAATTTTTTTAATCAATTTTTAAAAAATAATTTAACATAAGAATTTTGTCGCTAAATAGAGGAATTTTCTCTTAATATTGCACTGCATGTTTAAGGCGAATGTTGTATAAAAATAATAGTGCTTCCAATGCAATTTCTAGTCGTCTTACAAATTTCTCTTGACTAATAGCTGTAAAATATATTAAAATATGAAATAAGCAGCTAGTTATGTGAATCTTCTGTACATATTAAAACTTTTTTGTTTTATTTAGTCTATGTTGTTCAAGTCAATAAAGATTCTCTTCTGTACCAAAAGTTTTAAAATGTTTCCATTTTATGTTTTTATGTATATAACAGAATTTTAAGATCCCAAATTTTAAAAATTAATGCATGTTTAATTGGAAATGATATTACTGAAAATTAATACCACTAGATATGAATAACGAGAATGATAGTTTTTCCAACCTCAGATCTGCAAACTTATATTTAGTATAGAATATACTGCAAAAATTTTTCATATTGGTTAGATGACCAAATACTTATAATGAAGGATATTTGATATGGCACATGTATAAAGCAACGGAAGCACACTACTTTTGGCAAATATAATGTCTTGCATTATAGAACTTTGGGGTTTTGACAATAGTTAATGCCATCTTGTTAGATAATCTGTACTTAGTTCATAAATTTGCAAGTCTATAATTTGTAGGCCATTCTCTACTAATCCAAATTTGTGGTTGCATCTTTGAAAAAGGTTAGGTGTCTTTAAAACAAAACAAAAATCAGTTTAATATATATTTATTAATGATTGTGTAAAAGTATTATATACATGACTTTCCATGTCTACAAGTTTTGGAGTTAATAAAATATTCATTTTGCTTACTGCTGTGAACAGGCTTTTTCCCCATTTTCACTTATTTCTTGGTAATGTAAAAAGTTTTTATCTTTATAATAGTAAACTGCTTGTAAATTATTGATTACTGTACTAACATTATTAATGTACCGTTTTCAGTATGATCATTAAAGAAGTAGGATGTAAATTATGTAGTGTTTTTCTTATGTTCTATTCTAACAATGTATTGTTCTACCCTAATATTAATGTAGCACAAATACCATCATCATGTTTGATTTGCATAATTGTTTAGTTATAAAACAATTTGTTACCAAATTGCATGTGCTTCAAACCACTATTACATTAAAATGTTTTCACAACAGTTTTAAGTATTACTTTATATGTATCATATCTATGTATATATTACATACAAAATTTGGCTCTGGTTATTTGTAAGCATACCGACACACCGATGTTGTTTTTCTCAATAAAATGTTACCCATAAAAAGTTATTTTTTTTAAAAAATGTATTAAATTGTAGTAAATTATTAATTAAATTGTGCCATATTGCGTGCCCAGTGTATTACAATACTCCTTTAGAAAATGGCATACAAATCTTTCTACCACACTAAAAATCAATGTGTAGTTAAGAAAAATATAGTTACAATAGTAGCTCTTGAACACTAGCAGCCCATAAAGCAATATAACAAAATGATAAACTAGACTTCTACCTCTTTCACTTAAATTTCAAAATTTTTGGAAAAAAAAGGAGACATTTCATGTCAAAATATTTTATTTGTAACAGCAAAACAAAATATCAGGAATAAACAACAAAATATTACTCTCCTCTTTGACTAATTTGCACTTGAGCAAATTTCACAATAAAATTTCACCATTTTAATAATACATAGCTAAGAAGCAAATAATCAACTTCAATAAATAAAAAAACTATACAGATTAAACATTAATCTATATAAATTTGACAGCTTGATTAAAACAATGAACTGTCATATTCATGGGACATGCAATATCTTAGAGAAAACAATTTGAAAAGTATGATAAATTCTGTACCTACTTCTTATTTTAAGTCAAAAGGCAATTTAATAACAGTTACCACTGTTATAATTGAAACTTGCTTGTACAATAAGAAATAACTTAGGTAATAAGATTGATAGGATCATTGACAGCACAGACTAAAAGCATAGGTTTGCTTACATGTACAGAAATGAATAAAATAACTGTTACATAGAAAATAATGATATGAAAAACTACTAGAAAAATGCATTAATGGCAATTCTTGGCAACATTTTCTTAGTTCATAATCCTGTAATTTTAACTTAGTATTCACAAGATATTTACAATTAACAGAAAATACCATAATTAATGTACCTATTTCAGCCAGGAGAACTTTCTTTTTCTTAACTGTTGATGAGCTGCAAAAAAAAAATTTCAAAATTTAAAATAAAAGTACAAATTGTGCAGTATTAATTGCAAGAATTAAGTTCTTTCTTCTGAAATTAATGTCCTCGCATTTAAGGAACCAAAAGCTTTTGTGCATGGTGCTCATTAACTGGTGTAACAACTTTTACAAGTGTATTTGTATTTCCATATAGCTAAGAGGAAAGATTGGTAAGAAGCTTTAACGTTGTTAGATTTATACAATGCTATCAACAACTAGAGGATTCTTGCCAATTCATCATTAGTCCTCTTTCTTTAACCAAAATCCATGTATTTTTTGAAAAAAAAAAAAAAGAAATAATTTTCATGGTTAATTTAAATATTAAGACAAATGTAAATAATACTCTACCTATCATTTTCTTGGTCATGTATACTTGATAAATGTCATTCATGATAGACAATGTAATTAAGATTGTTCTTCTTAACAAAACAAATCTTAGCAACGGTGGTTGAGTAAATCCACTTTTGCAAATTTTTGCCCACTGTGCTCGAGCTTTTCTGACTATTTCTTTGCCTATTTTAGTTTTTTCATTATCATCACTATTAAGCTTCAGTTCTGTTGTAAGCCCCATTAAAACATTCAGTGCTGGAAACATGCTTACTTTCACTGAAATAAGCATTAAGATAAGAGAAAAATTGTATGCTTCAAATATAACAAGATGCATTTGGAAATGCATAACAAATTATTGTAACAATCTAGAAAGGCAATCTTGGTACAAATAAACAAAAATAGTTTATTAGTGTTATGATGATGTTATTGCTATTATTTACCTTCCATTTTTAAAGTATTATCTTTAACTACATTTTTACGAGACAACCAATCAGCATAAACCTCTTCTGCCATCTGGGGATAAACATAACGTTGGTTTTCAGTAACATACTCCTTTCCATCTACAAACTTATTACCATGTGATATATTATTAAAGATAACTAATTGTATACTATTACTCACTATGTAGTTTTTGAAAATAGTTTTCATTAAGTTCAATCTGTGAATTGCATAGACAACTTGACAGTTCTGAGTTGTAAAAAAAAAACAAAATATTATGATTGTGACTTGTATGGGCTAATAATTTTAAAATTTTTATATGATTTTACTTTGATCATCTTTATCTATCTATATTAAAAAATGAAAGTATGTCTGTGTGTGTCTTTGTCTTATATGTACTACTTCACCTTTCATCCAAGACAATTCCTGGGAAGGTTTCTGCTAAATGAAATAAATTAATTTCTAACCCATAATATTAATAAGGAATATTAGTGAATTTTGAACAATCAGATGAATTAACTATGCTTATATTATTTATCAAAAGGTTATAAATTTGGCAACTACATTTAATTTAAAGAGCACAATACAATATGGACACAGTGGTACATGACATTCGATGATTAAACCGAACCAGGGGACCTACCCTGCACCCCTGCGGTAGTGTAACCACTGGCTCCCTAGAGCGCCCTACGATGCCCTTGACAAATGGGCTGTTGCCAAAGGGAGTCTACCTCACTACAAATGGGGTGTCTGGTCAGTAGCATGGACAAACCAGCAGGATAAAAACTAAGATCCAAGATATATAGCATCTGCTTTCTTTACATTTAAATAAGTTCTAGAAAGCAAGGTCATGCATCTAAATATACACAATTGGTAACACATACATGTAATCCTCTTAAAGTATTGCATCAGCCTGCAACAACGCGCAGGACAGGATCACTAGAATAGTACATTTACTATACATCAAGTAATGTGGTTTTGCAGAAAAAAATGGGTAAAATATAACTGAAAAATATATTTACTATATACTCAAATCATAGTCAATAAAATTAGAAGTAGATCTAAATTCATTCAAATTTTCTTCTTAATGTGCACTCACGCCAATAGCTATTCCATGAGCAAAAATATATGGTATTGTCATTGTATCAGAATTTAATCTTCTTTGTAGCTCCTCTTTGTAGTCCAGATTTTTTAAAGCGACATCTCTTTCTTCATAGGCAACACAATAACGTTGCAATATTAAACGAGCTAGAAGGCAACGGAAGTTAGTTAGTTCATCAGTTTCTTCACTTGTTGTATACAATATGACCATCCATCTTTCAGATCCACCTTTTGATTTCTGCAGATTTTTTAAAAATAGTTGTTTCTCTTTAGAAAATGTTCAACAGAGGTGATCATTAGCCAATAAACCTCAGCCAATAATTAAGATGATAATTTTTTAGATACTTAAGTTTTATATTTTAATTTAGAATTATTTTAGCATGAATTTAGTTTTGGTGGAGATTTATTTAGTAAAAACATTGAAAAAATTGTCCTAGATTATATATTAAAAGGTTTAATTTTACATTTACCATCAAAATACAAAGATAAAATATAATTTTATAGCAGATTTCATAAGAACTATTTTATTTTTCCACTGACAAATAGAATTTGGTAAGTCTCTTTTTGATGCATATTTTATGTGTGTGTGCATCATTGATGAATGAAGGAACTTTAAAATGTATTAAAAACCAGTTACTAGCAATTTAATAAATTTTTTTATTTTTTTCTTGATATATTTCTGTTCTTCAGACCATTTCAAAAACAAACTATCTATTGTAATTTTGAATGTTCTTAATCTTAAGTAATACCAGCCAATATAATTTTTAAAATAAGGCATGAAAATTTAAAAATTAAACAAATACAAAAAGTCTTATAAACAAGCTTTTAAATGCACTAAAAGTAAAACAATAAACACAAACTATCTTTAGTTATATATAATAGCAAAAAATGATGATGAAATCTTTAAGTGCATTTAAAAGATTCCTGTTATGAAGGTTTTTATACTTTTTAGTATTTAGAAATAGGTCAAAACTGAGTTGCAAAATTTGTCCACAAACTACAAACAAACATCCTGACATTGTAACCTTGAAAAAAAACTTGTAAAACAACTGTAATAAACACTTACTTTTACATCATGTTGTTGAGTTTTAACGAATTTCTCTAGGGTTTTAACATAACTTAGTGTGAAACTCCAATCTGTTTCTAATTCATTTTTTACAAGTGTTGAGACTTCTGTCAATTGATTTATAAAATCAGTATCGCTCCTTTCTTCCAAATTTAATTCCTTTTGAGGTATTTTTGGCGCAACCTTTAAGTCAACCGAATACCTTGAATAACTAGAATTATATTTTGCCTTCTGTGGTTCTAGCTGTACAGACATCCTCCTTTTATCAGATTCTTTTACAAGATGGGATAAGAGGTATGGTGTGTAATCTCTTCCTGTTCGATTACACTTAAGCAAAGCTTCACCTTTCTCATCAGCTACATCACGGCCTATTGCTATGCAACCACTTAATCTAGACTTTAACATAGAGTTAATTTCTACCATATTAGCCTCTTCTTTAAGATTTTTTTTGCTTTTTTTACTGGCAGGAGTCCCTCTTCTAAAATTTGTATTGAGAATTGCTATTTCAGGTTCCGGTAAATTCTCTGTAGCTGGGGATAATTTACGATGATTTTGCATGGTTATAGATGCATCAGATTTTCTAGGCGGTTGAGTTAGGGTCCCTGCTTCTGCATACCCAGCAACTTTTTTCTTTGGCATATATTGTATAACTACTTGACCTGTATTTGAAAACCGACGTGCACCTTCTACTAAAAATGCATGCATCTCTCTTTTCTTTACCTCCTGACTTTTGCATAAACACTTAAAGCAACAGCAACAGTTATTCAAACAAAATGAATCACTAGGAATGGATACACTAGAATCACTATCTTTGCTGGAAAGAGACGAAGATGAGCTCACTTTTTTACTGGACACATTTTTTGATTTCTTGGAATGTGATTTTGATTTTTTTTCAGAATTTGACATGAGTTTTAGAAAGAAAATATAATATCTGCTGAAATTTGCTATTAGCAGAACAGTAATGCACGTTGCATTTACTATTGTATTGCCATTGTCATTTACAGTTTGAGAAAAAAGTCTTAATTTTTTACGACTCCTAAACAGTATTTTGACGTTTGAAGCTGTCCTGATACAGGTCATCAGTCTTTGACTTTCTTGGTCGATCTTTAAAATGAATACAATTTCATCATTAAAACAGAGTTGATAAATCTACTGTTTAATCTATTTTAAAATTTTCTATCTATAGCTGAGTTCATCTCCAATTTTTATCAAAATTATGTTATTCTTTATTAATCAGAACATATTTTAATCATTTTTTTCATGGAATTCTTCTTTTCTGTATTATTATAATAAATGAACCAGTTTACCCTAAGGTAAATCAATACATATAATCAACCACAACAAAAAATATTTCAACCAGTATTTAATACAGACAAAACTAAGAATGAGACTAAAACAATTATATTGGTTTAATTATTTATATGCAGCTCTATTTAACTCATGATGAATAAGACTTAGAAGCAATGAAATAGAATATTGTGTTCTACACTGCTATTAATTCAGGAACTTGTGAGCTTTCATTCAGCTAACAATTATTACTTTCAGTTTACAAAAGTAAGTAGAATCCATAATCTCTTTGGGCATTAGTGTCATCCATACATGTATATGGTCATCCATACATGCTGGGTTAGGTTCCACCCGCCCTCTAACTAAAATAACCATAATTCTAATAAAAATTAGAAAGTTTTACATTATTAAGAAATAGCCTACAAAATATGTGCTGTCAGATTTATTTTAAAATCCTTCTATCTCAGTAGAACAAGCAAAAAATATCTGAACTCCCCATTCACTCCACTCCACAACCTAGGTGTGTGACTTCATTTTGAACTATCCTTTATACTTACATTCCCTTCGACGTTTTATTTGAAGTCTCCTGTCATCATCCTTACTTCTGCGTGGTGAAACCAGTCTGCACAATTGTGATGCCTTCAAATACAAGACTTAAATTAAGTTATTTATGTATTCTAGTGACAACTTTAGTAGGCCAAACTTTTTCGTGTGGCGACCCCATTTTTAAAAAAATAAGTGACCCGCTACCCCCATAGAATTAAAAAGTCAAAATTAGTGGGGAAATTAATATGCACTAAAATATGATTTTTCTGGTAGACTTTCAATATTAATTATTGTTGATAACTTGTTTCAATGGGTGAAATTGAATGCCTATCACTGGCCTCAACATTCGCTGTCATTTTCAGCATCTAATTTATTATTTGTTTTGTTTTTAATTGGAGAAGACACAAAAGGAACTAAAACTCGAAAGGCAATCGATCTCACGTTTGGTTTTGAACGCAGAGTTTCTTCCAGGCATCTCTTCGGGGGATGGAATTTATATAGTAAACATACACTTTTACTAGTGTCCCCCATCCCCTCCCCCCGAAGAAAAAAGTCTGGAAGAAACACTGTTTGAACGATGCATACTGCACCAAATTATTTGCGCAGTTTTTCATTTAATTTAATATGTGACGCGGAATCATTCTGCAAATTTAAGAATTCCTCTTGTAATTCATTGGTAATGCTGGCAACATCAAGGGAAGCAGAGAATGAGTCTTTGCAGATCAATGCAGATTCTTCTTCTTTCAGCTCAAGGAAAGTAACTCCGCAGCTCGCTTTTGAGAAATTCAAGATGCCCAGAATCCTCTTTCAATTTTTTTAAAGTTTATCTCACAATTAGATTAATCTACCACACTGCAGAATTTCTCAAACATGGCAATCTTTTCAATATTTTATTTTCTTCGCCAATTTTGCAGCTTTTATAAAAAAAACCAAGAGATTATCATGAAAAGAGATAATATACGTTCATTTTCCCTGAAGCTTCAGGTTAAGCTTATGTTGATATTCGAATATATCTGCTAGGTATGATATTCTCTACAACCACTCTTTGTCGTTAAAAAAATATCAAAAGGTCTTGTTTCCATTGCACTTCCAAGAACAACTTGATTACATCGTTCAATTCAAAAACACGATTCACACCATTTCCTTTTGACAGCCAGCGTACTGTAGTGTAGATCTTTGTAATCTTTATTCACATCTTTTCACAGTTCTTTAAACAGACGAATGTTTAGGGCTCCAGATTTAATTTAATTTACAACTTTTATTAGCAATGAAGTCGAAAGAATCTTGCTGGCAAGGGCATACCGGTAAATCATGCAGTGGATTCCCCTTCATTAGGACATACATCTTTTACATTTTTTTGAAAGCCTGATTTTGACCCAAACATGATGCACCATCCGTACAAACCCCACAGCCGTTTTCCCATTTTAATCATCCAGTTTCAAAAAACGTATTTATTTTCACCATGATATCTTTGAAAAATATCAACTCTTCTTTGCTATCATCCGAATTAATGTATTTCACAAAGACAAGCAACTGGTAACACGAACTCGCTTATGTTGATTCATCAACTTGAAAATAAAACAATAGTGAAAGTTTGATTGCATTTAAAATCTGTTCTTTAACATCTACGGACATGTCTAATATATGCCGCTGAATAGTATTATTAGACAGAGATATTTGTTGCATCTTTACTGCACTGGAATCCCTAAGAATTAAGTTCACCATTTTCAACATGCAGGGTTTGATGAGATTTTCTCCTATTGTGTGAGGTTTTTTTGCTTGGCAATTTCTAATGGGACTCCTATGACGCTTTTCACTAATGCTGTGTTTTCTTGGTGCAAACTTCCTGTTCGATCAAGTCTCTGACGTTTGCAACTAGTTTCATGCCGACAAAAGAACTTCTTATCTTTGTAGGTGTGTTCCGAATGACTCGTCTCAAATGATGTTTTAGTTTTGAAGATTTCATAGACTTAACACAGTACGCATTGTTTCTTTTCTATTCCATTTCCAGTGATGTTAGTAAAGCCGACTTTCAGATATTTTTCTAAATATGTATGTGTTTTTTTTCATTGCTAGGGTTTAGTTGGCGACCCCCCCAGGAAGCCCTTCGCAACCCCCAGTTAGGAAACCCATGTTTTAGACTCTAGAAACTCTTTGTTTTATTGCTAATTTTTTAATAAAGCAGTTGTTACATATTATTTTTTAATTAGATCTAGATCTAGATTAGTACATAATAGTAAATACTAGATCTTGAGTACTTTACAGTTTGCGGACACACCGCGAAAAAACGGAACTTAAAACTTCCATGCGCTCTCATCGCTTAACATAGAAAACATAAAAAGTATCATATCTATTTCTACTTTAATAACGTGTGTGTCATTTTGTATTCATCCGCATAGAACTTTAGCTATTCTTGTTATAGTGACTGGGGGGTCTTAACATGTGTCCGAACACATGTAATAAAATTTTACATGTGTTCGGACACCTTTACTTTGTTCATTTTGTTCATTTAGAATAATTTAAAGTCAATTTAATGAATAAAATCATATATTATATGCATTTATATTGTGTTATTGATTGTTTGTGAGGTAATTTTAATAGTATAAAACCTTTTTCCCACACTCCCAAAGTTCATCCCATTCAGCCATTGCGGCTCGCGCAGTTCGCTGCTAAGCCAGCCAGGTCACATGATTTCCTCTCCTCTATTGCCTTCCACTTCCTTTTTGACCTTATTTTGACCCTTTCCCTTCAATAACCAGCCCCTTTTATGCTCTAAATTCTTATTTAATAATATTTTTGTGTTGCTGTCCGCTCCCATGTAAGGCCAAAAAAGTTAGCGAACACCACTTTTTTATTGTTCAAGCACAAAAAAACCCATTAACCTTGACATTTACGATGTTCCATACATATATAGAAGCTATTTATAGTGTAACCTTTTAGCTAAGCGTTGATTGGTTCAAGTTTTGCCCCTAAATCCAACCCTAGGTCACTTCATTCCGGCTGGTGTAAAAATAGAAATGTGCGTACCATGCAACGTTAAAACATTTCTAAAAATAATTCTTGAGAGAGGAAACGGAAGTACTTGACACGGAAGTGTTTATAAATGAACAGTTTACGTGCAGGCGCCGTGGTTTCGCATGAGACATGCTAATTATTAAAGTTTCTATGAGCCAAAAACCAACGAATTGTTCGCTCCTACGTAGTGTTCAGTGTTCGGGGACCGTAAGGCAGTGCAGTAAGGTGCTCTAGACTCTAGATCTAGATTTAAATTATTATTTAATATTTAGATATAGATCTACATAGATTCTACTATAGATCTATCTAATTTCTAATAGTCTAACTAATTATTAATTAATTATTAATAAATAATTTATAGGCCTAATTATTATTCAATTTTTTATTTATTAATATTTAATATAGATCTAATATTTATTAAATAATAAATTAAATAAATTAATATTAAATTAATAATTAATAATTATTATTAGGTTGAATTATGGATTTTTTTAAATAAAATATTCTGTTATTTCAAATACACCATTAACTTCCTTACCCCTTAAGAGAACATTTGACACCACATTTAAATATCTAGCTTACTCGGTTGACGAGAAAAGAGAGAATTTGAAAATTTTCCGATATTGGAAAATGAAAGACAAAACCGCATTTTATCCCCTCGACCGGCATAACATTACGTCGTGGACTTGTGTCCACGAGCTTTTAATTCCCGCCATGGTAATTGCGTCAGCTTAGGTTATTTACTCACCGGAAAATAACAAAAAGCAACTGGTTGATAATAAAACTAGATCTAGTTATTTTATTATTTATTAAATTCTACTCTACATGTTATTCATACCATTTTATGAAGTAATGAACACCTGCATAAATCAAATGACCATAATAAATATTTTTATTTCAAATAATAAATATGCATAAAATAATATGATAGTAATTGCTAAGATAGTTTATAAATACAAATACATTTTACACTCAATCACATTATATTGAGTCAACAGTGTGGCAGCTGAGGTTCATACATGGTATTAGTGTCCCCCTTTTTTTTACATTACATTTTTTTCATCTTGAAAACATGACGTATGTGATTTTTTTTTTAAATAAAATCTCCAAACATCGTCACTCGCGTGATTGCTTGCTTATGTTTACTATCCTGTGGATGAAAAATCCCACCACGGTCGCGGGGTCACCGTGACCTATAGTACACGTCATAGAATGAACACGCGTACACGAGATGGTCGGTGTCTTCACTTCTCTCTCTCTCTTCCCCCCCCCCCCCCCCCTTCTTCAAGCAAATTGAATAACAGACCTACTTCCCTACTTCTGGTCATTTTTTTTTTTAAAGTTCGGTCATTTTTTTTAAAGTTCACATATCAGGCATGCTAGACAGCCAGCTGTATAAAAAAAAAAATTAACTAGATCTACGTCTAGCTTAAAAAAATAAATAAATAAACGCGTAAAATGCCCGTAAACAGATTATTTAGCGCCAAAAAAAAAAGGCAGCTGAACGAGCATTTTTTTAAAAATATGCAGCAATGAAAAGGGCTAACGGCCGATCAATTAAGTCTAAAAATCGCCCGTAATTAGGCCTAGCTCTGAAAAAGGCCACTGAACGAGCATCACTGATTATATAAACGAATAGGCCACGCAGCTTTGACGAGGTTAACCACCGGTCACGAATGCAGCAACTGTCGGCCCACACTGGCCCACAGTGAAGAAAAAATCAATATACTAATACAATTACTAATACAACAATAATGTCCATAATTTTACTTTTTCCACACATGCTACAATTGAATTATAATTAAAATACTAGACTTAACAGTTCATTCCGTAAAAAACAAAAACTAGTTGTTTCAGTCTGGCAACTAGCGTAGCAATGACGTCATGATACTAAAAATAGCGGATAGAAATGTCAGCGTGGGTACCTCATTTTGGGATAAGATTTTGGAAACCAGAATCAATAATAATGTAAATATACAAGGTAAATATCTCAATTATATATTAATTTAGAGGAGGTCGGGCCGTTTTCCCCGGAGGTCGGTCGTTTTTAGCGGCGGTTCAGTTTTTACGGAGAGCGCTCCACTAGAAATCCTCTCATTATTTACAACAACAAATCTCTCGATTTTTTCTGGCATTTTAAGGCATATTATCCATTTTATTAGCATTCTGCATTAAAATAATGATGAGAATTTGCGAGATTAACAGTTTTTTCATTTGTCGTGGATGGGACCCCTAAAATAAACGTAAAAAACCGTCTAAAAACGACGCGTGACGTTTCAGGGTCAGAGGTCAATCCAGCCATCTAAGCAACGCGCCAGACTAAAATTATTATTATTAAATTATTAATTATTCCCACCTCATCATCGTCATCGTCTCCTTTAAAAATTCTCCAAAGAGTTACAGCCAAAAGCGAACCCGCAGATAATATCAATATACCAACGCCAATTCTGTAATGATTCATATCTCCATAAGATTAATGTTGGTATTTAAGTTGAAATAGTTAATATCGTTAGTATCATGCTTTTTTGAAAAGTCTACCTCCATCGTACTTCGCATGACGTCACCTTATAAAATAAAATTTAAGAACGAAATGTGAGTACTGGTACCTATGATTTAAGAAATAGCAAAACAATTTTTTTTTTTTTAAATTACATTAAATTTTTATAAACACAGTATTAGAATCTTTATAAATGATGTAGGCTAGTCCCTAAGCGGAATATATTTGTGTAGCAGGATTTTTTTTTGTGGTTGGTGAGGGAGGGGATTTCCATTTTTTTTCCATTCGTGACGTTCAAAGCGCATAGTCTATGCCTAGATCCAGATCTAGATCAGGGATCTCCAAACTACGGCCCGCGGGCCGCATGCGAGGTCTTCTCGTCCGGCTCGCGGAGATCTTTTTGTCCACGAAAATAAATGTTTGTTGGAGGTGGCTGAGGAACTTTGCCCAGAAAATTTAAAACAATTAGAAAATGTAGCTATGGGTGCAAATGCCATTGCCCTCCATGTTGCAGACATTGGTGAAAACATTGTGACTCAAATAGCGAAAAATGCAGGCAAGTTTCGCCATTTTTCAATTGCAATTAATGAGTCGCTGGACAGCTGTTCTACCTCTCAACTGCTTGTGTTCATTAGAGGTGTGGATGAAGACATGAACATAACATAAGAGCTGGCTTCCCTACAAAAAAAACATTCTGCAACCAATATTCCTACACTATTATTTACCAGCAAGCTTTGCTGTGTATTGAATCCTGTGGTGAAGATGGTGAATTTAATAAGGTCAGATGGGCTCAACTATAGATAGTTCAGAGACATGTTGAAAGATACAAACACAGAATCGCAAGATTTACCCTATTACACAACAGTAAGATGGCTAAGTTGTGAGAAAGTTCAGAGCAGAGTATTTTAGTAAAAAAAGGAAATAGGTGACTTCCTGGAAAGTAAAGGCAAGCCACAGCCATTAATGTCTGATGATGATTGGGTATGGAAATTTGCCATGCTACAGACATAGCTAGCTAGTCATTTTAATTTTCTGAACCTAAAACTACAAGAGAGGGAAATCTAGCTTCTGATCTTTACACACATCTTCGGGCTTTCAGATCCAAAGTTGTCATGTTTTTAACAAATACAGACCAACAACTTGATGCACTTTCAGCAGTGCGAGGTCTTAGGCTGAGGCAACAGCTACGTCCCACGGGTCATTTGTATGCGAAATCATCAAAGCTGCAGTTTCAGTAGCAATTTTCTGACTTGGATTCGAAAGCAAAAGAAGTGAGACTGTTTCAAAGCCCATTTTTAGCAGATGTGGCCAGTTGCCCATATGAACTGCAGCTGAAGGTCGTTGAAATGCAAGCAATTTTGCCCTGGGAAGACTTTCCTAATATTAAAACTTTTGCATCAAAGTACCATTCAAATTTTGGAACAATATACCTGTGTGAACAAACATTTCCAAGAATGAAATACGTGAAGAAAAATTTGAGACAGAAGAGCCAAAAGTTACAATTTACAAAATTTCCAAGTTTTTAAAGAGCCGCCAACATTTTAAAACTATTATTATTAATATTATGCTCAGTGTTTCTTCCAGATTTTTTCTCCGGGGGGGGGGGGGGGGGGGGCACTTGAAATTTTCAGGGGGGCGGTAAACTTTCTTCTGGGGGGGGGGGGGGACAAAGCCCCCCCCCCCGAAGAGATGCTTGGAAGAAACTCTGATTATGCTCTTTGTGTGTGTGTCTGTTTTTCTTTTATGCTTTACTACACCTTTCATCCGATCGCCATGAAACTTGGGAAAATTGTTGAAAATACTCCTAAGGAGGTTTTAGTGCAAACATTTTTTTAAGTTGCGCAAAGGCGGCGCCCCAGGGGGTAGAGGTAGGCCTACTTGGCATCTGTTAATCTGGCGTTCTGCATAGCGGGTAAGGGGTACTACTATATTCCAGAGGCGTAGCGAGGGGGGGGGGCGGGGGGGGGACATATGTCCCCGGGCGCCGACCTTAGGGGGGCGCCAAATTGAAAGTTTGAGGGGGGGGGGTGCAAATGAAAAGTTCGAGGGGGGGGGGGTGCAAATCGAAAGTTTGAGGGGGGGTGCAAATGAAAAGTTCGAGGGGGGGGGGTGCAAATCGAAAATTTGCTCCCGAGGGGGGCGCCAAATTGAAAGTATGTCCCCGGGCGCCGGGAAGGGTCGCTACGCCTCTGCTATATTCAGCGGCAAAACTGCAACAGACGCAACCGCCAGCGCCTCGTCCATTAGGCGACCCTGCGAGCACTATAACACCTATATTGTTTTGTTTTTTTGGCTGTACACTATAGACACGATAGGCAACAATACGTTAATTTTAAACAGCGCGATAGGCTATGGATACAATAGGTTGTTATAGTCGCTCACTAAATTGAATTAGGCGCGTCCTCCGGCGTAACTGCAGGGTGCGATTCGGCGCCCAGGGCTATCCCGTGAGTACTAAGCGCCTACCTTAGTTTTAAGGAGCACCCTACAATACCACATTCGATAATTAAACCGAGCTAGGGGCTACGCAACGCCCCGGCGGTAGTGTTATCGGATTCACTAGAGCGCCACTTACCGTCGGTGAGTGATTAACGGTGATATTACGGTGAGTGATTGACTTACACTCAGGGCTTTCACACAGCACGCCATGGTGGTTGGGCGCTAGTGCCTCAATAAATATGATCCAAACACAGGCATTCTTTATATTTAAATAACTCAGTTTTAGGAAACAAGGAAGTAGGTCTACATTGAAATATCGAGTCACTAAATATTCTAATAGATTAGCGAGTGTTTACTGTTTATATTTATTATTATATCGTTCATTACTGAGTGTTGCAGACTAATACTTTTATGAGCTTTAAAAATGAAATAAAAAAATTAATTATATATGTGCATTAAGCTGAAGAGCCGCATCTTGACATCAAAAGAGCCGCAGGTTGCCGACCCCTGACCTAACTGAAAATTGACCACTTCAGAAATTTTTTGTCAAAACAACTAGTCATCAGATATTAATCATGTTAACACATCTGTTTAAGTTTAAGTGTTTAGTTGAAAAATCTAATTTACAAGACAAGGAAGGTAAGATTAGTTTTTAATTTTTTTACATTTTAATTTTTTTTTGTAAAGTAGTAGTTATTAATAGTCTATTAAACATATTAAAATATATAAAGTTTGGGATAAAATTTGCGAACTCAAGTAAAAAAATCGACAAAAAAATATATCTAGGCTGTGTCAGTTTAGAATGTAATGATTGATTTCCTGTTTAGCCTGAACTGGGGGGGGGGGGGGGGGGGGGGGGGGCAAAAGAGAGGAAAGGAACCTATTTTATTTGACATGTAAGTTCAAGTTCTGTAAAAAATATTTTTAACACCCATGTGTGTGAGGTATTACTGTAAAGGTGAGCTACGTGGAATGGAGGTTTAAGGAATGTGACATCGAATAAATTTTTTATTCATGTGAAAATATTAGCAAAACATACACATTTGTTGCAGTAAAGTGTGTGGAGAGAAAAATTTTGTTATCATTTATTGACCTCTAGTGAGTCAACAAGTTGTTCAATTCATTGTAGTCACTGCAACCTTTCAGTTGGTGTCACCCTCAGCCCTTCTGCATAAGAGAAGAACTAAGAATAACAAAGTGCTTCTCTCTTATTTTGTTATTTATCTAACTCAATCAAGGATGAATTTAACAGAAGAAAATACTAATATTTTAATACTATGCAGGAACACACACAGATCCTGCAAAAGAAATACAATTACAACAATCTAGAAATTATCACATAATTTTTAATATCTTTATTCCAGAATGTTTTAGCAACAAAGATAACTTAAATTGATTTATAATTAACATTTTTTGCCACATTTTACAAGTACAAGCATTTTAATTTATGCAGCAATATTCAATATAAAACTGAATTGAGAAACTATTATCTGTTACACAGTGGTTATTCTGCTTAAAAGCTGATTATTTTTTAAAATTCTGTTAAATCCAAACAGCCAATGTATACAAATATTCCATTAAATTTATCAACATATATGTATTATTATGATAATTTATAATTTTAACACCAGTAAATACAATGAAGGGTGATGTATTGTAAGAAAGTATTGATTAATCAATCTATCCAGACTGACAACTAGTGATTGTTAATACTATCTCTTAGTTGATTAAAGCTGTAATAAATCAATCATAAGAGGTACTGATAATTGATAAAATAAAAATAATTCTTCAAAAATAATCATGGAGAATGTTATGATAAGCATTTAATAATGATGTATAGATTGGTTTATGTATACAAATGATGTCTGATTTTTACATATCCAGTCATTCAACAAAATTACACCCATGCTTTGTTCTTTTACACACACAAAAATGCATAAACTCTCCAGCAAAAAAATACTTAAAAAAAAAAAAAAAAAAAAAACCCCAGTTAATCACTCTTCTTTTCTGACTCTGTTTTTTCTTCATCTTCTGTATCACTGTATTCTGTGGGTTGTTCTCCTGGTTTTAAGAGCTTCCCCACATACACATATTTCTCTGAAAGGATTACATTTATTGTAATGGTGCATATAAAAAAATATATAACATTTTTTATATATTATACAGCATTCATTTTTAAGACTTAATAGGGATCTGTCAGAGGTTGACAAATATGGAACTGCAGTGGAGAATTTCATTTAGACAAGCTATTTTGTGAGTTAAAGGCAAGGTTTCATCATACTAAAGAATAATTCCCATACTAAAGAATAATCCTATTATTAAAGTAAACGTAATTAGTTGATGTACAAATATTTCATAAACATATCTTCTTACTTTGTAGCTTGGTATATTTAGTTATGTGGTGTTAGTGCATTAAACGAATTTAAGTGCCAACTTTTAATTATTTTTATAACATTAAATAAGTATAATTTAATTAAGATATCTAAAACTTTATATTTATAACATCTTTTTTTTTCAGAATACCTAGTTTTCTCATATTTTCATATAAAGTTTGAAAGAAATATGGCTAGGGGGTTTGAAAATGTAAAACAAATTTAATATCAACCAAACATTTACCTTGGAACTGCATTTCCCATTCTCTGATGCTTTCCATCTGTAATGTGTTCAGATCACTGAGATCATCATACTCATTCTTCAAGGCATCTTCTCCAAGGGAGAAAGTGGCTAAGGCTCTGGAGGCATCATGCCCAGCAAATAAACCATAAGGACCACCTGAAATATTGCAAAACATAATATAACTTTAAAATTTATGATTGGAATATTCCCTTATAGTTTTAAGAAACTGTGTGATCAAATGGTAAGAAGTTCAACTGCTAACTCAAAAGTCTCAAGTTTAGATCCCGGACTTGAGTCTTTATTACATCCCTGAGTCCAGCAGCTCTGATAGGTACCCGACTCACATTAGGGAAATGCGGCTGGACATAGTACTAACAACACTATCCCTTGATATATTATAAAGCAGTCAGTGAAACAAGATAAATCTACTTCACCTGCACCACAGACAAAGGATAAAAAGCCAGGGTACTAGATAAAACATTTTAATACCTTAAAATTATATAACTTTCATCACAGTTTAGCAACCACTTGATATAATTCTTTAAACAAGTACTCCAGTGTTTACACTTTACAATTAAAATTAAATGATAACAACACTTTAGCCATTAATAAAATAATATTTTTTAAAAATGTGTAAGTTTTGTAAATCCCTAATCCTGCAGCGAAACATTATTGTCTTTGTTGGCTGAAAATGTGTACTAGCAGCCAGAGAAAAGATTGGATTGTCGTATACAATTTTCCCATTGACTGTGAGATGGGACTGTAAAAAAAAAACGCTGTATCTTAGCAAGTGGGTTAGCTGATTCAGCTGTAAGGTGTACAATCTTGAACAGCAGAAAAATCCTCTTTTCATTGCTCAGGGCAAGACCCGCAAATAAAATGGCAGCATTGACATGCAGATTTACAACAGCTAGTGGAATATTTTTTCCCCGCCATTTGTGGAAGTCATAGTAACCAACTAGCTGCTCTATTCTGTCACAACCATCCATACTTTGATTTGATCTATTTATTACTATATAAATTCATAGACCTAACTGCTGACTTTTCAACTATCTAACTAACTAGGCGTTAATTATACAAATCTTAATCTTTTCTACTTTATAGATCTAAATTAGTAGTATTAGACTAATAAGCAATTACTTAATTAGAGTAGAGTAACTAAGTACTTGGGTCTTGGTAAAATGTGAGATGCAAAACTGCAAGATGGGTGAGAAAACAATATGTCACTTGACTTTTATTGTCTCACATTTTTCTTCTAACCGATTAGTAGGGTAAATTGTCCCATTATATATATCGAAAAATTTTACTGAATCGGAATACAACATACAGATGATTTACAAAAACTCTGATGCAGAATTAAACACCATATTTATAAGTACAGATGATTTACAAAAACTCTGATGCAGAATTAAACACCATATTTAAGTTGGAATTGTTATAAATTTTATAATGTAGATACTCTCCACAAATGTATTTAAGTCCAATGAACAGGCTTACCCCTGGCAACCAAAATTAGGGACAGTCATCGTCGCCTGTAAATGGCTGCTTTCACTGGGCGGGGCGGTGGCAGGGGGTGGGGTAGTGTCGAATTAACAAATTATGACTTGTTGATAAGTAGAAAATAAAACAAATAGATAGCAGTATATGCTACGTCACGGGTCAGCTTGTTGATTATATTATTCCTGCTTTGCTGTATTTTAGGCTATATGAACAACAAATGCTGAAGGCTTCGTATATAATATAAAATAGAAGTTAAGACCTTGATCTACCTAGTAAAAATCCTTGTTACTTATTGCTTTTTCTTAGTGGTTAGTTATACAACTTGAAGATAGATATGAATTCTGTATCTAGATCTAGAAATTAGCATGTTAGTCATGGTTCTATTGTATTTTTCTCCCTACATGTTATTTAAGGCATAAATCTACAATTCAATTGCAAATACTAAAAAGAACGTTTAGAAGCTAGATTGTCCACATTATCTATTACTATTAGTAGATCTAGTATTAGATAATACTTGTAAATATTGTAAGTAAACAAGGAAATGAAGGGAGATAATCGCTTAACCCTGCTCTATTTTTTCAATCTGATTTCTTAATTTTATTTTAAAAAGCGGAACAAACTTCGACAAAAACTGTATGGCAGAACAGGACACGATTTTATGTAAAAAAAAAACGGAACGATTCCAGTTTTCGCAGGACGGTAGGCATGTCTGCCCAAGCTAAATGTGAATGCACAATGACCCCAAGTACATTTTTCTTATTGTTCGCTTTGAAGAAAAAAGGGTTGCTCTCTCAAGTACGTTTTTCATATTAGGGCCTACTTGGCTCAGAGAAAAACTTGATGTTGACTATTCAGATAGCAGTAATTATAGTATGATGTATGCTATAAGCCAAATCTGAACGCACATTGAACCCTAGAATGAGACAGGATTTTTCTTCCGCTGACAAGCAAACGCCAGCAGACAATCATAGAAGCAACAATGTTTAGAACTGGCATAATTTTTTAATATTAAAAAAAATATACCTTGATCAAGAAAAAATATAAAACACTCATAATAGATTAGATCATTAGTTTATAACTTTTCTCGCACATCTCAAAAAAAAAAGTATGAAACAAAAAAGTGTCTCGCTAATTGTGCTCACTAGTTTCCTCTGATTCCTGTGTTACATGTCTATGTCTTGCTTTTCTTCTTGCGTATTACCGCCTTGACATTTAGCATTTTACCAAGACCCTAAATAGTAAATAGGCCTGCATTTGCGCGGTTCGCTCCTTGTTATGCGTAAGGCCGCCTTAACGGAGTTCGCTCCGCGTTACACTTAATCTTTACCCTAGGTGGCACGCGCTCTAAAAAAAAACAACAGATATCAGGACTGCCCGATATTTTTTTTTGTGGTAACAATTTAATGTTGACATAGGGTCAGATGATAGTCCTAGATCTAGCTAAAACAAACTGTCCTTTAACTTTAACCTTTAGGCCTAGCTATCTAGCATGCGTGATAGTAGATCTATGTCTATATTATTTTTACCCTATGTGAACTTAAAAAAATATTTCAATTTGCCTGGGGGGGGGGGGGGGGGGGGGGGGACGATCTCGCGAACCTGTGTTCATTCTATGATGTATGCTTTAGGCCTGCTGAACTCACAGTGACCTCGCCGACCGTGGGACGTGGTGGGATTAACTATTAACTACAGGTCTAACTACGGGTCTATTAACTACAGTCTACAGCTGGCACACTGTTGACTCGACCACACCGGATGTGAGAATTATGCAAAAAGTAAGCGATTTCAATTACAAGATGGCAAATCCAACCTGCGAGGTGCGTAGTCTATTCCTTAGGGGCCACGCTCTGCGAGACACGTAGTCACTTTGTAGTAAATAAGGCCTCAAAACTAAAAGTAGTACTTAGATCTTCTTAGATCTAATAGTGCCAATTAGGCCCACTTAAGTCGACTTAAGAAAACTTAGCTAGATTATTAATTAGGCCGATTCTAGCCACGAAAAGATATGCAAGCGCAATGGAGAGAAACTACCGCCTTCATTCGCAGCGATGTTAATAATATTGAATATTGATGGTACTGCGCATGTGTGTATTACAAACAAACAGCAGAATCATAACCCAGCTATTAAAAAAATTAATTAAGGTCACTGCTCATGAACCATTGAATTTCGTATTTTCTACCTAAAATCTTTTTCTGAGTAGTCACTTCGTAATGGACACCAGCGAGTTGACGAGATTCCTTCCGTAATGTTGTTGACATGGAATAAAAATGTGCTTTTTTAGATTTAGGACCATAAAACTAATAAAAGATAAAATTTTATTAAAAACTTAAGCCTAAAATTAATTCAGAAATGTAATATTTTTAGAATCAATGCTATACAAGTTGCAGATCCAGAGAACTTGAAAATAATTTGTTGAGTTTAAGGCTACATTTCTATTTATTTTCATCAAGCCTAAGTTTTAACCCGATGTTTCACTTTCGTAAGACAAACATTGATTGGCTGTAAAGGAACTCCCTGATCGATTTCTGACAGCCCCACTTCATAGTTATTTTGTTTACAAAACTTTGCAGATCAAGTTTTTAAATAACTATGCAAATTTAAACACCATGACCTATTTTTTCTATTTTTAGCTTACAATGTGTACAATAAAATGTACGGCTGCCATTGTTTATGTCGCCATTACACGTGAAAACCAAATTGTTTTTGCTTTTTTTTAAATTTTTATTTAGTTACCGAAAATATTAAAAACATCAAATACATCCAATCTTTAGTAAAGTCCGAAAAAAACCAGACAGACAGGATTTTATAACCATATTAATTGTAACTACGCCGTGCAAGATTTTTAAATGAATTTATACACCTCTCAAATACCTACGAGACTTTTCTCGCTGGTGTCCATTTTATTAATTAATTAGGCCTAGGCCCACTAATTAAAATAATTAGTAGTCGATCTCCTTACCAAAACCGGAAGTCAGAACCTGACCCTGAAACGTCATGCTCTTTTAGTTTTCGCATTTTAAGTGTTTTTGGGGGGTCCTATATACAAAAAATGAAAAAACTGCTAATCTAGCAATATCTCATCACTATTTTAATGCGAAATGCTAAGGAAATGGATACTATTTACTTAAATGCCAGAAACATTTGCGAGATATGTAGTAATAATTAATACAAGCATTTCTTATGGAGCACTCTCATTAGGAACTGAACTGCAACGAAAAACGACCGACCTCCGGGCATCAGCGCTCGACAGCTCCTAGATAAATATATATTTGAGATATTTACCATGATTAATTACAATGAAGCTGCTTCCCTTCTTCCAAAATCCAATTCCCCATAGAAATACCATGCCGCTGCTATTTTTAGCAACGTTACGCCATTGTTACGCTAGTTGTCAGATAGAAACAACTAATTTTTGTTTTTTGCGGAATGCACTGTTAAGTCTAGTATTTTAATTATAATTCAGTTTTAGCATGTGCAGAAATTGTGGGCATTATTATTGTATTAAAGTATTAGTAATTTTATAAGTATAGGCCCTATTGATTTTTTTTCTTCACTGCAAGCCAAGTAGGCCGACTGCACTGTTAGTTTCATTGAACATAATTCGTGACCGGTCATTAACCTTGTTAATATTAATACTTCGTGGCCTACCCGACTGTATAATTTATATGAAATTATATGTAGTTTTTAATTAGGCCTTAGTATTGTATTTTAAACAATGCTCATTCCGAGCCTTTTTGTGCTAGATCTAATTAGGCCTACTGGCAATTTTTTTTATTTTTAGACTTGGTCAACCTCGTTAATGCTGTTGTGTTAGTTAAAAATATAGGAATTGTGTGTAAAATTTACGCAGTTACTCAGTTACTACGTAGAATGATATCAATAAATGAAGTAGTAATTATTTCCTTTTAGTTTTAGAAATCTTTTGATACAAAATGTCTAATATTTTATTTTCCAATACATCGTGGTGTGTGGCAGAGTAAACAGAACGGTGCGGTAGGTGACCTAGAATCTCCGAGTTCGAATCCGACGTAAATCAGTTGTGCTTTATTTTATTGTTTCACATGGGAAATGCCACGAGCGGTTTTATTTTCTTTCTTTTTCAAAAAAAATTTTTTTGAACAAAATAATATTTTATAAAATAATTATTCAAAATTTTCCAAACATCGTCGCTCGCATCGCTCGCGAGATCGACTGCTTACATTTTTTTTGTCTGCGGGAGAAAAATGTTGACACGGTCGAGGTTCACCGTGAGTTCAGCAGGCCTACCATACATACGTCACAGCATTAACTATTGCTGTTAGAGATCGTCGGTGGGCAATCCCACCCCTCCCCTCATAAACCAAGCAAATTGTAAATCAACTTAGGGTCATTTTAAGTTCACGCAAGCTTACAGGACTGTAGATTTACTACGCATAGCTGGTAAAAAAAAAAATAAAAAAAAAAAAAAAAACTTCGCCTAACCTAATGCTACTACAGAAGAGAATATTAATTATAGAGTATTTAATTTTAAAGTTAAAAAAAAGTTCATTTATCATCTTACCTAATAATACTGTATTGTCGTTACAGTTAGAAGGACTAGATCTAGATTTCTGTCAGATCTATTTTTAGTTTTGGATATTAATTTTATTGTCATCTTCATGGGTATTGATTGTTCAATTCATCATGGAATGCCTAATGTCTTAAATTGTACATTGTACATAGAATTTATAATAAATATGTCTGATATTTCCTTAATAAACATAATGAATATAAAGTTTTATTTCTAACAAAATGTTTTGGTTTTTTTTGGTAACTAAAATACCCAATGTTGTCGTAATTGCTATGACATCATGTTACGAATGGAAAACACAAACCAACGTAACTTTTTGATATTTTTTGATGGCGAAAAAGAGTTTCGCATTTTAAGATGTTAATAGGTCATTTTGTTTTTGTTTGTTTTCTCGGCCCCTAATTAAGCTAGACCATTAAATTTGGTCTCAAATTAACCAGTAAGTGATATGGTTTGTAATGATATATGATAAGTGACAGAAAATTTTAATTAAAAAATTGTAATAAGACAACCTAATAATTAGTAGACAGACCTCGTGAATTATTCATTATTTCTTCCATGATTAGCACGACATTTAAGAAAGACTCATTATATTACCTGGGCCGTAGAATCTCTTTCCTCGAGTGACATCGAAAACTTTCCCATTTACGGCAATGAGTACTCTCCCATCACCACCTTTTCCATCATATTCCCGCAGTTGTTCCAATGTGAAGTCTTGTTTTTTTTAGCGGGGGAAGTTCTGGTTCTCGTGTGGGTGTGGAGTCTGTGGAGCGCCGACTGGAAATAATTTTATAAATCAGAAATCCACAAATTCCTAACAATGCTAAATTTAATGGACTTCCAAACAGTTCGGAAACAATCCTAAGAATGAGTCCGCTTTCAGACTTTTCCTCGCCAGACACACTATCCGCCATTTTGAAATATTGTAACGTGACGTGTGACTACAAAAACAAAGGCCAAGGACACGATTCTAATCCCGCTTTTGACTTCGAACGAATATTATAAAAGTTGTAAACGATTGAAAATACTACTATCTCTATAGATTCTGAATCTAGATCTACAAAAATCATTTAACAAGCTTTTTTGAAGAACACTGTATTTAACTACATAGGCCAAATGGAAACAGTGTGGTTGTAAAGCCAGAAAAGTAAATGATTCTCATTCTGGTAAAACCACAGCGTTAGGCCTAAAGGGTCAGTCATAAATGACGTCACGCTTTTTTGGACGATTTTTACCCCCCCCCCCTCCCCCTCCGTCACACGTTGTCCCCCCCCCCCCCCCCCTAAAGTGACGGCACACCTCAGCCTACAACCCCCCCCCCCCTAAAAACTGCAGTTGGATTTTTTTTAAAACATCGATATTTTTATAACATCTTGTCTGAACTCTGTCAAATAGAGTATTTTAATCAATTCCTATTACAATTTATTAAAACAGTTTTCTAAAACGCGGAATAACGTCTAAAATTCGTTTTCTAACATTGCGTTTTTATAATGCAAAAGTGTGACGTCGCACCATCTGAACCCCCCTCCCCCTCATCACACACCGTAACAAAATTTACGGACCCCTCCCTCCCCTCTACGAGACGTCATTTATGGATGACCCCTAACCTTAATCTATAAAAAAAAAGCCTATAGGAATAAGTAAAACAAAAATGAACAACTCAACGTTATCTCTCTCTCTCTCTCTCTCTCTCTCTCTCTCTCTCTCTCTCTATATATATATATATATATATATATATATATATATATATATATATATATATATATATATATATTTATACATATACAGTGGCGTAGCAAGGTAGGGTGTCACCCGGTGCGGCACTTAATGGTGTCACCCCTTAGAGTGTCCCGGGGACAAAATTTCAAATTTTCGATGTGCACCCCCCCCCCCTTCAAACTTTCGATTTTCACCCCCCCCCCTTCAAGTTTTTCTCTCTATATTTTGCTATTTTTTGCCTTGGTGTCACCCCCCTAAATGGTGACACTCGGTGCGGTCCGCACCCCCCGCCCCCCTCGCTACGCCTCTGTATATATATATATATATATATATATATATATATATATATATATATATATATATATATATATATATATATATATATATATATCACTAAATCATGTAGGTCTAGTCTACTTGTAAAACCACATCTAGGTTCTCTGTATTAAAAATAAGTAAAAATAGGACCATGCGCTGCTCAATAGCGTAGAGGTATAAGGGGAAGGGGGGCACGAGCGTTGCCGCGGAGATAGAATAAAATATGACATAATAATTTAACTTTTATATACCGTATATAGAGAAGCATTGCACCCTCCCGGGGCGCAGCCTTTCTGAAATTAAAAGAGATTTTTTTTCTTCAAAAATCTCCTCGAATCTGGAGTGTTATGTAATCAACTCCCCAAAGTTTGATGGCGATCGAATGAACGGTGTCAAACTGCAATCGACTTTAAATATTTATATACCACCACTGCGAATTTCAATTTATATAGAAATTATACACTTAGGGCCCTATACCAGTCTGTATGATTTGTTCACATATTTATAAATAACTAAAGCACCACTAAGTAAATGGGATATTGGGGATAAGCACGTTTTTCAAAACTCTAAGTACTAAAGTGACTAAAGTAGCGAATATTTAACAAGTACAAGTACTTATGCACATTTTAAAAATCGAATACTTTAGACTTTAGAGGTATGTGTAGCTTGTTTTCGGTAATTAGGTGTACAAAAATAAAACAATAATACTTTAAATAGTTAATAGTAAATTAATAGTAGTGATGATTTAGTAGACTAAAATCTATCCCAACTTACTAGACTATTACTTAATTACTATGCAATTGTGATTGTGATGTTTTCATTTCGCGGCAGAAAAAACGTAAAACTATGGTTTGTTATAGTTTACTTGCATTTAAGTTTTGCACAAGAAAAGATTGCTTCAAAACAGCAATCAGAAGTTATTCAAAGAAGGTAGGCCCTAGCCGGTAATCTATCGTCCCTACGTAAAATCGCCCGCGACTAGATCTAGATCTAGTAATGTGAAAAACAGGTGACTCCTTAAATTTTAATAATTATTTCACATTTTGTGGAGGATTTATGTTTTGAAAAATACAAAAAAGTTTCCTTGTTTCATTTATGTATATTGTAGGGCCTACCTGTTTTTAAAGTACAATTGAATTAAAACTTTTCAGTAATAAATGAAGACTAGCGATGTTTCCAACAGATGCAACCATGCTCATTTACTATAACAGCCATCTTGTTTTTTTTTTATTGTAAACTTACAGCGCAAGATTCAGGGGGAGGCACTCTAACTTACAGATAGTCGCTTTTTATATAGCAAATCCTGCTTGCAAACACTGCTGTTTAAAGATAATTTCTTATATTGATATATTTAGCCATTGATTTAGGTGTATCATTCATTTATCTATAATATTTGACACAAATATATCACAATAAACTTCTATTAAAGCCTTGACAATGAGGTAACGTTTTCGTACATTACTAGCAGCGGGCGATTTTACGTACCTAAAACGATAGATTACCCCCTAGCCCTAGTAGTAGTATTATAGTAAGTAGTAAGTTAGTAATATAGTAACCAACCAACCACTGAAAAATTATTTTTTTTTAAAAATGGTAGAATATAGATCTAGTCATCTATCTAGTGTAGATCTCTCTCTAGACTTTAAGCATAAATCCAAATATTAATAATGACCAAAAGTAAAAGTCACTAATTTCACTAAAGGAGTAGGCGTAATCTAATCTTAAGGTTAACGGTTAATGGCTTCGCTAATGACTCAATGAGTTTAATAATTAATTAATTAATTAGGCCCAATAAATAATATTAACTAGACTACCTTTAGTCCTTTACTCTTGAATAAACGTGGGTTTCAGGAGTCATCCATAAATAGTATTCATATACTAAATAAATAGCATCACATTTGTTTTAAGATTTTTATCTTCCCCTTCCTTTCCCACTGTAACACATCATCACAAAAAGTTACACCCCACATTCAAAAAGTTTTTTCGTTTTTGAGAAAACAATGTATTTATTGTGAACTTTTATAATTATTTAATTAAAGTGGTGTTTCTACCAATAAATTAATTAACGTCTTTAAATAATTTGTGTTTAACAGTTTGATTAAATAGAAGACTATTCTCTACATAAATACATATTTTACAGTTCTACACATAGTGCAGATGCTCTCATGTAACCAAAGGGACAAACAAAAAATAAATATATAAACTTGTAAACAAACTTGAATTTTTGTAGTATACTAGACAACCCGTTGTTCTTGAATAACCATGTGTTTCGGGGGTCATCTGCAAATGACGCCATGTTTATTTGATGATTTTTATCTTTCCCCTTCCCTTCCCACTGTCACACATCTTCGCTAAAAGTCAGACCCCACATTTAAAAAGACGTCACACCTCATGCAACATGTTATTGTCTTTTAAAAACACCTATTTTGGCTGAGCACACTACCCTTTTATATGATGAGAACACAGAAACAGGTGAACTTTACCTCACCTGCCCCGTGCCCCGCCAAGTCAACTTTATCATTCACATCTTTAAAGAACATTATTCTTTACCTAAATACATATTTCACAGCTCTACACATTGTACAGATTCTCTCCTGTAACCAACCAAACAGACAAACAAATATATATACAAACTTGAGTTTTAGGTAGTATATAGATAGATAGATTTACTAAATTAAGTATCAAAAATTATAAAGCTTAATTAGTAAATAGGTACACTCTGGTACACAAAACATGTTACTGAAATAGTAAATTGGTAGTAAGATTTGAGAGGTCAATCAAATTGTCGTGGATGTCCACAAAGGGGGGGGGGGGGGTGTCTGTCGAAAGTTGACATGTGTGGGCGGAGAGGGGAGGGGGTATCTGCGAGAAAAATCAATCCGTTTCTATATTCTCATCAACTCCCCAGTTTTCATGAACAGTGTCATATATATATATATATATATATATATATATATAAATGAAAGTATATGTGTGTGTTTTAGATTTTTATGGATTACTACACCTTTCATTGGATCGCCATGAATACTCTTGGGGAGGTTTTAAATATCGCAAGGGCGGCCTCCCAGCAGGGTGTGATGCAATTCTCCTTTATGTACGTTATTTAAAAATAAAAATCGGATGCGGTTTGACACTGTTCATCCGAGTGCCATGAAACTTTGGGGAATTGATGAAAATACCCCTGGGAATGTTTCTGCAAAAGAAAAATTCTTGGGGGTGCGAAGTTTCTTACTAAATGGTTTGGCGCCTGGAGTTCCAGAGCGGCTATCTTAGCAGTTGGTATTCTTTGATTACGCATCCTGCATAGCGGGTCTTGGGTACTACTTGATTTAGCATTAAAACTGCACCAGGCGCTTCCACTGGAGCACCGGCGATTGAGTTACCCAAAGTGCCTGGGCTCCCCTGTGAGCACTATGGCGCTAAGTTTGTTTTTAAAAAAGGCTGTGCACTAAGGACACAATGGGCTACAATAATCATTGATTAAATCAAATTGAGAGCTTCTGCCCGCACCCCGGCAGGTTGTAATTTGCTACCCAGGCTATCCTGTGATTACTATGGCAGCTACGTCCGTTTTAAAGATCACCCTACAATATTGACACAGTCGCACACAAATTCAATGATTAAAGTTATTAAAATTCTGTTGATTATTATTTTATTAAAGTTTTGAAAATCAGTAAATGAATGTTCACAAATGATGCCAAAAACATTCAAATTGATTGTGAAGACTCTATAAGATGAACGTATTTACAACTGAAGTAACCTATAGATTATATCACATCAGTCTTTGTTTTAGACAAAAAGCTGAAGGTGGACTAATAGTTTACATAAAACAAATAAATCATGTTGGAAATTATGTCTGTGCCCAAGTCATATTTACTAAATAGAATATAGGGCTATAGTTTGTAAATAACTATTAATTGAAATACATTATGTAGTCAAATTTATTCATATTAAAGTTTTGTCTGAGTCAAAGCAAAATATATTTTTCAGATGTCCATATAAGCTGAGGAAACTTTGGCAAACTGACATCAGCTCATTTCCCTTTGCTGCTAATCCACTAGTGACAGACGTTGATGGAGATGGTGGTTTAGATATAGTTACAGCACCCTTTTGTGAAACGTTTGCTGTAATTGAAGGAGAAACAGGAAAGCATTTACATGACACTGGCTGGCCTCAACATAATTTAGACAAATCAGTTCATTCATCACCATTACAGGTAAATAAATCTGAACATTCGTCACCTAATCAGCATCAGCTTTTCTCGTTCATGAGCAAGACACATAGGGCACATAAAGTTCCCCTATTTCAATAACCTTGGCATAGGAAGAGATAGTGTGGTCAGTGCTATGCTTAGCCACAGTGTTAGGTGAGGTACCCATCAGAGATGGGTGGACCTACCCATCAGAGATGGGTGGACCTACCCATCAGAGGTGGGTGAACCCAGGGATGTCCTACAGAACTGAAGACTTTTTGTTAGAAGCCATAAGCTCTACCATGCAACTATGACTTCCCCATCACCTATTGGTATATTGTTAAAAAAATCTTTTTAAGATGCCTAGTGAGAGCTCTCAAGGTCTTTCTTTGATAATAAACCATGACTAAATTTCTTGTCATTTTTATTTTTATAAATAGCTAATGGCATTATTGATTGATTTTCAAGTGATATTAAACCTGTCCATGTGCAAGCTGTTGTTTGCTAATTTAGAAAATAATTAGAGAGCTTTAATTACTTAGTTATATATTTAAAAAACATAATCAAATAAGCTAATGTTAGGATATTTTGGAAATTTTGGTAAAATATTGAAGAGCAAATTCAACAACACAATGTGTTTTGCAGTCCAGATAAAATATATTTGATCTGTTTAAAGGCATCATTAAAAGAACTATCTGTTTACTTGACAAGGCTTGTGTACCCCATGTTCCTGAGCTAAACAAACTCTTCCTTCCATGCCCCACTTTAAACCTGTTAACTGTTAGCCAACATTTTGTTTTACTCTAACAACCAAAAGCTCCAAATTTTTATTAATCTTCCTTGGATTTTTTATAAGAGTTGATAGAAGTTTCAGAATGTATTGGCTTATTGTGAATTGAAAGGCAGTCATTTATTACACCAAAGCAATTTTAAAAAACAACAAAAAAACGATGAAAATTTTTATGCTTTGACCACTATTTAATCCTTTTGTCTTCTGCTGATGTTTAGTATGACATTGATAGTGATGGCATGTTGGACCTTTTATTCCTCACATCTCAAGGAGAGGGTCTGTTTTATAACACTCGTGGACATTCTCTCCAGAAGTACACTTTTCAGGCCAGCTTTTTTTCATTATTAATAACCATTTACTTACTAAATTTATTGAAAATATAAGCATATGTTAATTTTGCAAGATAATTTTTTATTGTGCATAAAAAGAGTGGTTATTTATTTTCATAAATATTTTTTTTTTAAATTTTAAATGATTTTAAATCTCCTTAACTTATTAAGTAGACTGAAATTTTGCTATTTTTCTTTAAACTTTTGGCATATAAATTTTAATTATTTAAAATTAATTACACTATAAGTAATAATAATATAATGGTGTTAATTTTTCTCTGTACTATTTCATTACAAAAAATTTAAGTAGTAGTTTCATTAAATATCAAGGCATCAGTATTTATTTGTTTTTATCACTTTTTAGATTCAAGCCGCCTATATTCATTCCTCTTGGTATAAAGAAGGAACCACAGTAACTCATCTGAATATACATCAATATGTTTCTACTAAAGAAGTGAGTCTTTGTATTATATAGTGGGGAAAATAACAAATAGATTTTGGTTCTTTTGTTTTTTAAAAATAAAGTGACACTTTTGCTGTATGGTTGATAAAATTAAGTAAATATTTTATACACCTGTTTTAAAGTTATAGATCTATACATTATATAGCTCAGAGTTAACTTGACTACTGAAACTTATAACAACACATTGGAACTAAAGCAAGTTGTAGCTGCATTGATTTCACCTTGTGACTCTGACTGATCTGATATTTATCTTAACATTAATCTCTAACATTATTTATATGTTCTGTGAATATATTACTAATTGTTTAAACAAAACCTTCCTAACTCACACTGAAATAGCTGATATATTTAGCCCTGACCTTTCAGGTGTCTCACCACATTCCAGTTGACCCACACATACTTGGTACAGCTGTACTCTATAACATGAGGTTCCTGGTCATCCCTATTTCATTTTTCTACAGTGATGATGACTATGAGTCAGTGGCAAGCATTTATTTTCAAAACACTATTAGTTAAAAAACTTCCATCTTGTCTGTCTCAATGACAGACATTTTTTTACAAACTTACATGTGCTCATAATGAATAATAAATTATTTATAAATCAATTTTAAAAATACTTGTATTAAATGCTAATACAGTATCATTGTGTTAACTTATTTTTGTTACTCCTAACATTAAAAATATTGTCATCAAGATTTTAGAGATGTTACTTTCGTGTTGTTAAATTACAAATATTTAAATGCCTACCTTTTTATGTTAATGTATACTTCAATACTACTGTTTACTTATTATTAAAGGTATAATATACTTAACATCCAAAAGGTTTATTCACATCTCTTAAACTATGTAATTTTAAATGACCTAGTCATGATTTTTGTTGCAGAGACCCAAGTTTTATTGGACCCTGGGGAAGTGCTGATGTGAAGGACAAGTTTTTTCTAGCTGCAGTTGCTGTTTTAGACTTGCAAGGATTACAGGCTTACAAAAACAAAAACTCTAACAAAAAAAGCTCAGAAGATTATATACAATTTTTTTTTCTGGAACTATCTCAGGTGATTTAGATTTTGTTCTTTCGCATACAATTATTTACATATTTTCATATCTTGTGATTGATGTTCCTTGTTTACAAAATGTTCAACAAATTATGAAATAGCTGGACTTGTTTGTTGCACTTTTCTGTTCTTGTCAGTCTCATGGGAATACAATTAACTAATTAGCCAGCTATTGCCATCTGTCAGTCTCATGGGAATACAATTAACTAATTAGCTAGCTAGTGCCATCTGTCAGTCTCATGGGAATACAATTAACTAATTAGCTAGCTAGTGCCATCTGTCAGTCTCATGGGAATACAATTAACTAATTAGCTAGCTTGTGCCATCTGTCAGTCTCATGGGAATACAATTAACTAATTAGCTAGCTTGTGCCATCTGTCAGTCTCATGGGAAATGAATTAACCAATTAGCTAGCTCGTGCCATCTGTCAGTCTCATGGGAATACAATTAACCAATTAGCTAGCTTGTGCCATCTGTCAGTTAATGATTACCAGTGGATCATCTTCTCTCAATTTATTTAAAATTTCCATTGAAGGGTTTTTGACAAACTCTTTGGCCCTATCACATTGGGCCTTTTCTCATGTGTTATTACTCAAAGACACACGTAGAAAAAAGCTCCTGGCCAAGATAATTTAAGTTTGATGAATGCTTTTAGTGCAGTAGAGGGATAACATAACTAAAATGAAAGATTCTTTGAATAATTTTATTAGGATAAATAAGCATTGTTGTCTGTTGCAACTTGCAGAGCCCAATTTTTAATTTATTCACTCCAACTGTTGTGGACTTGGATGGAACTTTTGGTCCCCCTGAAATTATTACTGGCCTGACCTCTGGAAGCTTGTATGTCTTGTCATTACAAGGAGAGCACAGAGCCAAGTTTCCTATCCAGTTAAAACCTATTTCAGGCAGGGTAAGCTTTTAAGTTGTGATTTTTTAAAATACTTGTGCTTCATAATTTTTTTATTTTTTTTTAATTAGTACACTCTCAGACCTTGCATGTCATGTGAATCAGAACACAACTAGTTCTTTGAACTCAGCATTTGAAGGGATTTAGTAGTCAGGACTATGCGAAGCCACCTTAACGTTTTAAGTTTGTACTTATACAGTAGCTGGGTAGACTAAACAACACATATCTGGATCATACCTAGGAAATAAACTGTTATTTCACTGTTTCACTGGTCAAGTGATCTACTATTTGACAATTTTTATGCAAAATACTCTTAATACAAAGGAAAATGAGCTAAAAAAATTTGAGTTTAAACAGTGGACTTAATCATATGCAGGTGGCAGCTGCTGATCTGGATGGCAGGTTAGGGCTAGAGCTTGTAGTTGCAGACACTAGTGGTTATGTAACTTGTATAAGCTCCAGCTCTGGTCAAGCCTTGTGGTCAGTAGAGGTTGGAGGATCATCTTTTGCTGGCAGCCAGATTGTCGACCTAGATCTGGATGGTCAGCTGGACATAGTTATAGCAACTGACATAGGGTAAGATATCTCTTGATGATTTTTGCTCTAAGTTTTAGAACTAATACTTCAAAATCTTAAAACTATTTTATTAATATCTATCACTTATTCCTTTGCTTTATTAAGTCTGCTTTCTGATTGGTGAGGTTTTTGTTGTTGTTGAATATTTCAATATTGAGAGTTTATATAATCTGACCTCAGTATATCATCCATTTTGTGAAATTATATTGTAGAAAAGTGTTTGCCTTAAATGGTATGAATGGAACTGTTTTGCCCAAATATCCATACAAAGCTGGACGTAGAATAGCAGGGCATGTACTGGTAACAAAGTTCAATCCTATACGAGGACCATATGACTTAGTAAGTCTAACAGTTATGCTTTTTATTTTTTAGAATTAAGAGGAATAGAACTATATGATGTAAATGTAAGAGATTTTATGTTATGAAATTGATTTTTTTCCCCAGGTTTTTTTATCAGATGATGGGATTCTTCACATTTTAGCTGGAGATCAGAGCTGCTTGTTTCAAATGGCACTTGCTGATACATCTTTTATTGACATTGTAACCCAAAATGTTGTACTATTAAGTCGTGGGATGGAGTTTATTGTGGCAACATCAGATGGTAGCTTAATATGCTTAGGTTCAGGCAGTGAGAGCCCTGTTGAAGAAATCATTGAGAATGAATTTAGGATTCTTCATCACAGACTGGCTCATCCTTCAGACTCAGTTGGCCAGAACAATTTTGTATTCAGCATGAATAAGGTAAATTGTTTGTTATCTGCCTGCTTACTCTATTTATAATAGCTCTTATAGGATTATTGCTGGTATACTTTTTTTACTACCAAGCTTTACTACTTAATCCAATTTTAATAGCATATTCTTGGGTGTGAGTTTAATCTAGTATTTGGTTCTGAAGTTTTTTTGCTGTGGTAGAAAATGTTTAACTTTCTGTTTTAAATTCATATATTCATTACTAATTCTCTTAGCATGTTTTGACTTTAGCTTTTGTTTATTGATTTTACCACAATTTTAGCCAGTTATCCTTATCGATGAGAGGACAAGATATTTGAGGGAAGTGACTGGCAGTTCCTTTGATCTGTACTTTTCCATTCATGGAGCAGAAAGAGGCTACAGATTCAAATTATGTGTAAGCTGTAAATTATAAATAGATTTAAATTCATTGACCAGCAGAGATGTACTATTATGCTTTTACAGTTTGAAATAATAAGTAAAAGTGAAACACAATTTTTGACAGGTTTACATGGGTAGTGATGTAGTTTATGAAGAGAACATTATTTCCAATGAAGTTACACCTGAACCAATTAAAATACAAACACCTGAACAACCTGGGGAGGCACAGGTGACAATTGTCATTGCGGACCAATTTGGTTTCACGTATAGTGATGCTGTTTTTCTTAAGTAAGTCTTGAATTTTATACAATTTTTAATGTTATCTTTTCTAAAAAGATTTCATTTAATTTGCTAAATCCAAATTTTTATGACTATTAGTTGTTATGTCAAAAATGTTACAGTTTAGATTGATTATCCATGGACACTGTAGAAATGGCTGTTCTAATGTTAAGTTTATAGTTTTAAAAGGGGTGCTGAACCAATGCAAACTTTACCACTTATGACAACAGTAATATAAGTTGAAAAACTAAGACAGAGATACATTTTTTCAGATTTTTAAAACAAATTAGCTTTCCTTATTAGAAGAAAATTGTCTGCTGACAAAATTGAGATTTTTCTTTAGGCAGACTTTTTTTTTAAAAATCAAAAGGCATTTTCACCAATAATTTTATTCTATTTTAAAAATAAAGGTTAATTTATCTGTTGGCATATTTTGTGAATTGAGATTTGACAATACATGCACAGTTATCATTATATTACTTAAATTTTACTTAATCTCTCCCTCTTCCCATTGTCTCACTGAAGGTGAAACTAGGGGAAGAGGGAGGGATTGGTTAATATGTTTCATATGTTCAGAGGTGTCAAGGCAAAGGGGATTATTAAAAGACTAATATAGTGTAAGATGGTTAACAAAATAAAATGTTTGACTACCACAGTTTATTAGGGCCCAATTGTATTTAAAGCTGGTTCAATTATTCTAAAATTTCCCTAATCCCTTTTGACCATGTGTACACATTTGTACAGAATTTTATTCCAAGAAAAATATGAATAGAAATATTGTTTTGAAATATGTGCTATCTGGCACAATGTTCCTTCATTTTAAGCATGCAGTGTTGTTTTTTTAATACTCTACATTTTTACCAAACAAACTGGCTTTCAAGCTACTGTGGTCGTGTCAGAAGGGGTTAAAAATGTGTTTTACCTGAAAATACCTGCATATACCTAGAGTTATTAGAGGAAAATCTACCCCACTCCCTCTTTTGCCTTTTTCTAGATGGACAGAAACTTTTTTGCTAAGACTAAGAGCATAAGATTCATGTTGTTTTCTCAAGATTTATTTAATTATATTTTTTCAATGCTGTTGCTAGTTAATATTTTTATATGAACAAATTAAATTTTCCCTTGCAGGTTCAACCAGTTAATTTTATTAGATCTTCAGTGGCTGGTCCTTGCCCCCTTCACTGCTATGGTTATAATACTTCTTGTCAATCACGGCTTTCCTGCTAAAGATCTTTTACCTGTCACTTTTCCATTGAAATCAAAATAGTGTTTGTCTTTTGTGTATTTATTTATACAAAATGCAAGTAATTGATTATCTTCCATATCGTATTTAATTTAGTAATAAAATGTGAAATATAGAAACTTTTAAAAAAGTTATTTTCAAGGTGATGTAACTTCCATCTTTTTTGTCCATTGTATTATATGCATAGTTTTGTATTCTTTCAACCTCCATTTGATACAAAAGTGGCTTTCCTAAACAACACTCTTTTTTTGGAAACCTCTTTTAAAGCATTACATTTACATTATGAGTACAATCATCCATTCCTTGTAAATAATATTCACATTATTTATGTAATTCCATTTCATGCTATCATTAAGAAATAAATTAGCTCACACTTTGATTGTTTGATGTATTTTACAAGTTTGTATTTGATGTAATAAATAGTAGCAAAGAAATGTGTCATATGATGTAAAAGGTTGTATGAAAAGTAATGGTTGGTCAGACATGTTTTAACCACATTATTAACTATATGCCAAGCCAAATAAAAAGATGTTACTTATTAGTTCAGGCTTTTCTATTAACCATACATCTTTATTTACTATTCAGGTGGGTTTTTTTTTTTATCATTGTTCTTTCCCTCAGAAGTGTTAGTCACTCACACATTGATTCTGTTTGTAGTAAAGATATGTTTACATTGAACCTTATTTTCAATGTTTTTGAAACACCTGGTCATCATAATATGGATGTTTTAACTTTTTCATTTGATAACAAATTTCTTAAAATAAAATATTCCTTATTTTATTGAAATTAGCTTGGACTTTAATTAACAGCATTAAAAAAAAAATGACCAGAATGAGAATAGTATGCTTTATTCAGAACCTTATAGTCAAACATGTATGATCCTGTTCATTTAAATATACATTCTCAAATTTTAAAGGCAATTAACTCTAAACAAATAAAAGAAACATTAAAAATAAAAAGGATTGAAAAGTATTTATTTGAAGATTTTCATACTGCATGCAGCTAATCTCCCAAAAGAAAGCAAACAAAGAAAGCATAACTTTACATATAAATGCCCAACGACTTGAGTTTTGATAATTTTTCACATGTAGATGCATTAAAAGATCATTCAAGAAGTCACATGATCTATTTAAGGACCCTATTATATAGTTTTTACAGACTAGTTGAATGATTGAAGTTTTTGATAATAAAAAGATTTTAAAGCTCAGCAGGACTAGTTCAGCAGTAAAACTAAGTTTAAATCTTTATCTGACAAAAGAAGGTTAACATACATGATTTCCAAATAACCCAGCTTCTGGGCAAAATAAAATCTATACGCTATTCAGCATTTCTCGATCAGTGCGTTGTATGCAGATCAGCAGCTCACAAGGCAGGATTGAGTTTAAAACAAACATATTTCTTACTTGGAAATTTATTTAAGAATACTGAAAATACAGAGAAAAAGAACTGTGTAAATACCACCTGTGTCAACATGCATGTATTCTGAGGTGTCAGTCACAGATCGTCCATTCTGTGATTTAATTCTATCTGAATGGTACAATTTGTCAAAAAAAATAAAACCATGACTCCATGTTGCTGATATTATGCCATATTCTCAGATTTAAAATGGATCACAAAACTGGGGAGCTGTAATTGAAACATTTTATTGTTGTAATAAGCTATTGTATTTCTATAATTATGACAGTATTAATAGGAGTAAAAAAATAACATTTTTCAATGACAATGCAGTTTGTACAATGATGTTTTTTTTTTAAAATAAATATCACAGGGCTGACTAAATAAAATCAGAGCAAGAATAAAACATCTGCCCTTTTTTCCATTAATTCAAAAAATGTAAAACAGTTTCAAATAATATTCTGACAAATACATTTTTCAAAAGGCCTCAAGAACTACATCTAAAGCAAATTAAAATATTCATTAACTACAATAATTCATGAATAACATTAAATGGTTGAAAGAACGTGTAAAATGTATCAATTTAGATGCTTATGATGATGGTATTTGGCAATCACTTGAAAAAGTAATGCAAATCAGCAGGTCTTAAAGATTTAATTTATTACAGTAATAACATTTTAGATAGGCTTTTTAAAACTTGTGTGAAAGTAAAGCTCTTTTCAGTACAACCAATAAGAAGTATAATGAGTCATCTGTGCAAGTTATAAAACAATTGGATCTCAAAGTAAGTTTGGTAAACAATATTTAAGAAGACCTATAATTTACTCAGTTTAGCATTATGATAATTTTACTATAACCAGTAACTTTCTACCAAGTTGCTAGTTGAGTTGGCAACAATGAGGATCACAACCACATGTTTAAAATACATTTATGTTCAAGCAAATAATGAGCACTAGTGAAAAATTAATCATGACAGAATAGAAGCTGATTACATCATCAAATAAAATCATTGAAAAATATTTATAACCAAAAAGTTAAACCATGTTTCCAGTTTAATGTATGTAAATAAGAATTTTTTTACTTCAAAATTTTAAAACGTAGTTAAAAATTTTCTAGACCTAGACTGACAAACCTTTTTAATACCTAGCATAAAATTTGGTTATTTTGTAGTGGCTCCGCTATTAATTCAAGATACATTTCATTTTTTAGAGTTATTCATTAATGTAATTTTAGATGGCAGAAGCTTCTTTTTTATACTGCTAGTGGATGAATTGGAAGATGCCAACTGAATAATTTTTGTAAACGTTTTTGTTTTATGAAAGCGCTCCAGATCATCATCGCCAATAGCATCTTCATCTTGATAAGTAAGCAAAGATTTAATGAATTCATCATCCTGTGGTGGACAAGGCTCCTCAGAAAGTAGGTCTAACTCTACTGTTGTAGAATTAAGTGGTAATACTTTATTGCGAATTAATGAATGCTGCTGGGGTATGTAAGAAAGTTCTTCCTCGTAGTCGGCTGTTATCTGTGTAGGCTTTGAACTTACACTTTCTAATAGATAGAAAATTCATAATTTGGTTATGCATTATGTCTCATTTTTAAAAAAAATCTCATCAAACGAATGAATTAAAATTTGTTTATACTAAGTTTGCTAGACAGTTTTCCTCAATGTGTGAGTGACTAAGAATATTCAATCACAAAGACAATGTATTATTTCCTACGTTATTTAATATGCTTATGAAATAATACAACTACAACAGATATCAGAAATAGGATTGCAGTCTATAACAACTATTTCGCATACAATTCTTTTAATAGCAGTTACGATGCTGATTAAAATGTCACCAACAGTACACTAATGTGCAGACAATTACAGAGATATATTTTTTCAAACAATTTATAATCAAAACCAACAAAATAAAAGTAAATTATAATTGAATAGGATTCAAAACTAATAAAAACCGTATTAATTTAGAAAAATTCATAAAATATGAGTCTCAATTACCTTTATTTGTGTGTAACTTAAGTAGCTTTTTCTTGCTCAGCCCTGGAGGGTTAAATCCAGCAGGTATTAGATTAGTAAGAGAAGATTTTTGTTCAACAGCTTCAACCGCCATGGGTGAATGTCGTACAGCCTCTGCCCTCATGGGTGAATGAAATGGCGTAGATTCTTGTGATTCAGCTGATATTGAAAATTGTTCTGCTATTTCCTCAGAGTGCCCGTCATTTGTTAATATTATTTCATCTTTATCACAAGTTTCTTTTTTTTCTGAAGTCATGTGTTTCTCCATAGGAGCTCGGAAATCTTCACAAGTTTTGGCAGGTTCAAATTTCTTAGCAGCTGAGTAATTAAGTGGACGCAAAAATAGATGACGTGTGTCTTTAGTCTCTGTACTGTTTAAATGAACCTTCCATAATTTCGACTGACGGATATTTGCACTAACTTTCTCTGGAGATGGCAGCTTTGCAGATTCTGGCAAATTAGGTTCAGATGTGGGAACACTTGCTAACTGGCTAACTGAACTTGATTCTAACTGTGTTTTTAAAGATTTTTTCTTGGTAATATCTAAAATTTCTTCTCTACTGGGGTGCAAGATTTTTGAAGAGGTTTCATCCATTTCGCTGTTGAAAATATTATTCCGACATAGACCATCAGAGCAATTTAATTCAGTGTTCTCTGTGCCTCGATAAAGTTTTTTAGGATAACGAGCTTCATCTTCTCTACCTCTGCCTCTATCTGTAGAAAACATTTACAAATCAGTTACACTTTGTTATGTCTGCTTCAGCAGCTTGGCCAAACTAATTTTTTTATAACAATGCTGTTAAATGATGAACAAAGTGTGCTGTATGAAAGTTCAACAAAATATCCCTAATGAGTTGAATATATACTGTCTTTAATCTTCAAAGCACCAGCTTTAATCTTTCTACTTCCTACAACAGAGTTGGTATGTTTTTGCTATAAAATACCAGCCACATATTGCCCTAAGCCGTTCATAGGCATTAAATTACAGTTACTTACCCATTTTTGATGCAGAATGCTTAGACCTGTGCCATATAGAGTCATGGGTAAAGCTAATCTCTTTGTCCTTGATATCCAAGCAATTCTCACGAAAACCTTTGCTATCATATACTGGTTCTCTCCTGTTATTTTCTACATTACATTTCACATATTTTTTAAGGTCGATGAAGCCGTAGGGAAGTAGGTGCATGTTGGCCTGAAACAAGCAACAATAATGAATAGACTGAATAATTATTAATCAGAACATTTTCTTCAAGAGTCAACTTACTCTGCATTTCTCAATTTCTCCACCCATATTATCAACATGATTCATGTATAGGTTGACTCCTGTTTTGAACTCTATCATCATTTTTCGAAGAAGAACCATCTGCAGCTTTATTAAATATCCAACATTCTTGCAGATGGCAGACAACAGTTTTTCTGGTAATGGGCGCTTCATCACTACAGCTTGATCTTTCTATGCAGAGAAGAAAAGGTGTCTTAAGATTATTTTGGGGCTGATTTATTAAAGCACAAATTTATTTTATAATGACAAACTTTAATATGATATGGTTTATTAATAATCACTAATTAAAAAACCCATTAATAAACAACTCCCTTACATAAGTCTAATCTGCAGTATTTGTTAGACAAAAAAAATTTAAAAAAAAATAAATCTAGAAAACAAACCAAAATGATATGTTACTTACTTCTCGTGCTCTCTCTCTGATTCTCATAAAATGCACCTGGTCATCTGGTAAATTCAGATGACTGACTAGACACCCAGGCAAACTCTCAACGTATCTTGGCCAATCACCACCATTACACATTCTATAAACAAATGCATTGGCTACCTAAAAAACAATAAACATCATTTTTAAGATAAATTTTATATATAACAATGAAAGGTGTTATGTAGTAAAATTACTTGAAATATAGTCATTTTAATTGTCAATTCTTACTTGAGTATCAAAAACATTGACCAAAGCAACAGCATACTGATGATACAGCATATCTGATATCCATCTGCAATCATGGATGACCTAAGAAATAAAATTGATTACACCTATTTATTAAAACCAATTTATGTATGTATATATATAGGTATGCTTGTGGGCCTTGGTAAAATCCCACATGGTGATACAAAGAGACTAGGATAGTTCTCTTACAAAATAAAACAACCAGATTAGAATGTCACTTCTTTGAAAATTTCATTTCCACTTGAATAATTTCAGTGTGGGGGTTTGGTTAATGCTAGAGCTTAACATAGGGGTCAAGTTACGGTGTGAATAAAAACAACTAGATGTCCAACAATGAATCACAATTTTTTTAAAAATATGTTCATCCCCTTCCCCCTTCAATAGTGTCAAATATCCCCACCCCATTAAATGGTATCACACAACATCCTGCCCACCCCATTAAATGATGTCACAGAACAGCCTCCCTACCCCATTATTGAGGTAGTTCTTTCCCTTTAATATAAAAATTTGTTTTGGTTGTCTGATAATAATAAATTAATTAATAAACATAATACCATTTATATAAAAGGCATAAAATATTACATTACAGTATTTTTAAGTGTCAACATAACTGATTTTTTAAAAAAAATGCCTTAAAATTGATCCTACTAAATAATTCAAAGGATAAATGCAATTAATTTTTTAACAAATTTAGGTTTATTTAATAATCACTGTACCTTCAAAATGTTTTTTGATTCAAACAGTGCACAAAGACCTTCATCAAATGCTTCATTTCCCATCCTTATAATATCAAATATAAATATATTTGCTTGAGTAGCAACCTGAAAGATATTGAATTTTATACAATATTTTATAATGAGTAGGAAAATAAAAATAGTTTATCATCTGCATTTTAAGTAATGAAATAACATTTTCAGAATAATGATTAGCAAAACCTGAATGAGAGATAATGTTCCATTTCTTCCTATGTCAACACCTTCAAAATTTACTCCAACAACTTCTTGTTCCATAATGGCAGCAATCTGAAAATAAAAGAACTTTTAACTACATTTTATTTTTACAACTAAAAGTTAACAGTAGAATTTTATAGTTTTCAAATTAAAAATTATCCACCAAAACTAAACAGGAATAGATAGTTAAAAATTATTTCTTATATGTTCAAATGTTTACGAAAAATGCAAGAAATTAATAGCTTTTTTTTTAAAACATCAAATAAAGCTCAAAAAATACTCACTGCATCATAAAACCTAGGACACATTTTGTGCAGTAGGAGGAACTCATCAGTCTCATAAAAATCATCAAATTCTTCATCGTTACCTGATTCTGCTATAATAATATTATACATACATTTTGAACAAGAATTAATAGAAAATGGTAATGGGTACATAATAATTAGTTATAGTAAAAAAAAAAATACACTTAAATTTTTTTTTTGATATTTCTGTTAAGCTCAACACACTGACCTTGATCTTCATCTTGTTTCTTAAATATACTTGACAATGCTAATTCATCAGTATCAAAATCCTTTAATTTTGACAAGTGATCCTGCGAAGCCTTTTCAAATGCAAAAGACTCTGACCTGTAAATTATTCAGTATAACTTAATAAGGATATTTTTTTAACAAATAAATTTTAAAACATTGCTTAACACAATAGCTATATATGCGTGGGGTAAGGGGTAATTGTACTGCGGGATGGGGGAAGGGGTAATGGCAGGTGGGCAATGTCTTAGATCCGTGCTATCATACATATCATGATCTCAAGCGCAAGTGCTGACACTCCAATAAAATTTCTAAAATCTTGCATGTCTTCTAGCTTTAGGTAATTCACTGTTGAATTGTAGGCAACATGGCTACACCATTTTACTTTAAAATGATAAAGTTGTGTGCCCACTATCTGCATTTTTTTTACTTTGATTATTCTTTCTTTTGATTATCTAGGCCTATATAGCACACACATCAGGTTGAAGGTCATGTTTGTTTTCTAAAATGCCCTATAACATGTTCTGTAAGTGTGAACGCTAAAGTATACATACATAATCTGAGGAGATAAATGTTTTCAGATAAAAATAACTTAAGGCTGTCATTGTCTTCTAGACATGAATGGTATACCTATTTAGGTCTAAATGTGTTGTTTGATAGCTTAATTATAGGATAGTGATGGTTGTACTATACCTGTCTTGAAATCGTTCAAGTTCTGAAAAATCACTAGTGTCACCTTCAAACTGAACTGAAAAAACAAGGAATAACTTTACATATTTTGATACAAAAGTAATTTTAATTAGAATATATGAGGGCCTAAAGCATTTATTGTAGAATAATAATGCCATTAATTACCATTAATCTTTCATAAAAAATTTGTTCGTGACTCCCCTTTTTAAAAATTACTTTTCACTTAGCAGTTAAATATGGCATATGCCATTACATAAAAAATGGTACTTACGAGATATTATGTTAGAGCTGTAGAAATGTTGTGGGCCGAGCAGTGTTACACCATCAGTGGACACTGTAGATAGAAAATAATATTTGGATAATAATATATTTGGATATCAATTGCTCATTTTAATCCAGAAAATGTATAAATAATATAAGTTCGAAACTTTCTTAAAAAATGTTGGATAAAAAAGCCTACATGTCCCCCCCCCCCCCCTCCCTGGGAAAAAATACTGTACAGATCTAAGTCAGTGTTGAGCTTTCGCCGTTAATCTATCATTTTAGGTGCGTAAAATCGGCCGAGGACGATCGTTTACCCTTTCGGCTTATCCTTGGCCGTTGGCTTACTCTTTCATACTGACTTACTCCGATACTCGGCCTTACCATTTCGTAAAATAATTTTTCCTGTCTTGTAATCAATATCATGCAAAATCCCACTAAACGTTGAGTTGTTCAATGTTGTTATTGTTGCTCTTCTAGGAGTTCCTGACATTTTGAATTCTAAGTAGATTCTAGATCTATTCTAGATCTAAACACAAAACAAATTCTAGAATCTGCTTCACCAAAATATTATATCTACCGGTTAGTTTAGTAGTTAAATCTGTACTCTAGAAATAGTGGCATTAGTGGAGTGTTTGAATGATTATGTAGAGCTAGCAGTAAAAAAGAATATGCCAGATAAAAATGTCATTGATTTTAAATTAAACTAATAATAAATAATAATTTAAAACCACCAAAAAAAACTTCGTTTGACTTGTTAGTCGTTAGATAATAGTAATAGGTGGGTCTAGACCTAGATCTATAATTTAATAATTTAGAAGTTAGAGATCTAAAATTAAAATAAATTGTTACATGTATCTAAAATCTGACCAGAATCTAGATCTAATATTTTAACTAAATACTAAAAAATAGCCTACTGGACTGGTGACGGATTACGGAAGCTTCATGTAAATATAAATGTCATGTATTACTTTAGTTTAGATTTTAGATTTAGTGTGTGTAGTCAGTGTATAGAGTCTAGTAAAATAATAGTAGTACTATAAGTTATAATTATCATAGAATGATAAAATGGACCCAGATTAATCCTATAATATACCCCATTGATAAAAGTATCAAAGTTATCATTCTAGGCCTAATAGTTTTTTTTATATGAATTTTCAAAGTTAGATCTATGTGTTTAAGTTTAACTAATAACTTGTTTTGTTATGTTTCATTGTAAACTGCATTCGAGAGGTGTGATTGGCTTTAAAATTGCATACCAATGTTGCTATTAAAGATATAATGATAAAACTTTGCACATTTGTACTCAATGATATCTAGGCTATAGAAGTCTACAAATAAAATAAAAATTAGAAAAGAGGTAGATCTAGATCTAGATCTAACTAGAAATAATGAAGTCAAATTAAGGGGTGTAGCACTGCTCTATACTCTATACATAGTGACTGCAATAAGAGGATCTCCAGACTGCACAGCTAGGTTGCTATTCCATATACCATCATGAAACTTTATCTATTAGGACTAGAGCATGTCAAAAATACAATCATGCAAGTAAAATAAATTAATAAACATAGCTAGAGGAAAACTATAAATAGTGAACTTGAATATGGTACAGCACAATTAGACTATGATGATTAACTACACTTTTTTGTTGCTACTATAAAAATAAAGATTAAACTTTACATATTGATTCTGGTGTTAGTAATAATAATGCTAGTATACATATTGTACAGGTAATGTATAGAGTTAGAACTTACAAGTCAAACACAGCACAATATGATCAAGATACTTAACGATTTGCCATAAACATTGGATTTGTGTCTGTGTAAAACATGGTAAAAATGTTATTATTAATTTAGAAAATTTTGGTTCTTGTAATGTTTCTGATGAAAAGTGTTGAGATGTGCTAAAACTCAAAGATTGACATTTCACAGTATTCTTATTTATAAAATGTTTAGTGAAGTTGACGTATCCTTTGATAAATTCTTAAATGTCATTAATTAAAGTGTTCATGTTTTCCTTCTATTATAGTTGCCTATAACTAAAATTGTAATGCACTGCAGCTTATAAAATTGGGCATTATTATTTTTAATTTAGTCCCTTTTATAGATCTAGATAGGCCTGTCAGTATTTACATTTAGGCCCAACAGTTTTATATATATATATATATATTATTACACATCTCTAGACCCATTATTTTAGTGTTTTCATTTCCATCTAGATCTAGATTCTATTTTTTTTTAAAACTGTTTACAATATAAATATAACTGTGACGACAGTTTACAGGCGACAATGAAATTAATGAAAAGAGCAAGTAAAACATGTTATTATCTCCCCTTAGTTTCAAAACTAAATTATCTGCCCCAAAAAAGCCGTCATGATTGTAAACAGCTCACCAGACTGGTGGGGGTGGTAGTGATATAGTCTGTTGAGCTTACGTCTTGGTGTCTCCCATGGTCCCAATGAAGAGAATAATATATATTGATTCTACTTTTCAGTAATTAATATTTTTAAAATTCAACACTACCAATGCTGCGACTGAAAATTTTTTGCTTTAAAACACTATCAGTAGCTCCCCCCCCCCCCCCTGTGAAAGCAACCGTCCGTGACAATAGTTTATAGATGACAATGTAAAGATCAAGCATAACTTATAATTACCTCCCCTTAGTTTAAAAACTGATTTATCTGCCCCAAATAGCCGTCACTTCTATTGTAAAAATTCGGGGTGAACCACAGTTCACCTGACAGGTGGGGATGGGGTGGTAGTGATATGCCTAGAAAGCGGGGTAGGAACGGCTAAGCTGCGTGGTGTCTTGTATGGTCCCCATGAAGAGAATTTTATATATAGATGTGTTTGATTGTTACATGTCAGACCCACCCTTAAAATTATGTAACACTTCAATCTACACCCAGTCTAAGGTTTCAATATTTACCTTTTAAAACAGCAATTTCTTTCAAAAGTATTGACCGACTTATCATTGATCAATTTTATTCAGTTAATTAAAAAAAAGTCTTTGATAGTGAGAAATAACTTTTAAATATAATTTTCAAAACTTATTTCTTAATATCAAAGTGTGATAAGATTCCCTCCCCAATCATCCCTAAATAAAAGTGTGATGTCATGTATGGATGACTCCTTACTAAGTATTTTTGTGGGTCTCTCTTGGGATAATAGAATTCTAAAATAAAATTAAATGTCTATTGAGATGGGTAATAAAAACACTTAAGTCTGTAAAAAAATTTCTTCCAAGCTCATTAACTCTTGGCAGGTCTTACTCATGTTTGTTTGTAAAATGAGTATCAGTTTCTGGAATTAACCTATTATAACTTTATTAATAACATTACAATACATTTTTTTAACAGATAGATCTATCAAGTAAAAGCACTAGGATGAATTCAGAAAATGCTAACTTCTCAATACTTTGCCAAAGTGATACTGTGGGGACACAGATTTGAGATTTTTGGGTTCAAATAAGATTACAAATGCAGATTTATTATCAAGTTATACACCTTTAGCAGAAATGCAGCCTGATGGGAACAGATATATAGAACATGAAACTACTATTTTTTCATTGAATATAACAAATCTTCCTGAGATTGTTTTAATAAATATAATGGAATACTTAACGTTAAAAGATCGTTATTACCTAAGTGTAACATGTCAATTATTTAAGGAACTATTTAACCATCCTACATTGTGGAAAGCTGCACATATAATTATCTGTATGGATGAAATTCAATGGCATCAGAGATCTGTTACAGAAAAAACAGTTACACATATAATTGACAAATATTCATATTTTTTTCAACATTTATACCTTGAAGTTTCTGGATATGTTCAACCTTTTAATGAAGCATGTCTAAGACTGTTTCAGAGTTTAAAAAAAGATTCTCGGCTAGAAAGTTTAACGATTAAAGTTGGCAAAGTAGCTTCAAGCAAACCAAATGCTCAGAGATTTGCCACTGCACACTCAGATTACAGGGATCTACCAAATGTAGTGGATTTGATAGACAAATCAAAGCATCTAAGGAGGCTAACAATCATTTCATGGCCTCTTCACATTGATTTAGGAGAGCAGAATAACTTGTTTATAGCTCTACTGAATGATAAACAAATGTTACAATTAGAGCAACTTAGTCTTTTTTACTTAGATATAAAACGAGATCTATGGGCACAGAGAATTCCTAAACTTCCAACAGTTGAAACCACACTCAAGTTGGTCTCACATTTTCGTCACTTGGTATGCTTGTCACTGCGGTCACCCATGTTAAATGATGATATTATAAAGGAATTAGCCTCAGTTCATAGAACAAAACTTCATACTTTACAGATTTTAATTATGTATTCCAGAGAACATAAAGTTGAGCTTATATCACCTTCAGCATGGACCATGCTCAACTCAGCATCTCCAATACTTAGGGTAGAGTATTTGGTAACAAATAGAATACCCTTTGAGCAACTCAGTCTCATGCTGTCACCTGAGATTCCTTTATCTTCTTTCACTGTTTTAAATTATGGGAGATGTGATGAGCAAGTGGTTGAGATGTTATACAATTATTACAATAAAACTTTAGAAAAATTTATTAGTCTCTGTGATTCATCACATTGTGATAAAGCCTTAGTCCAATTGGTTTCTTCATGTTCAAAGCTTAAGCACTTTGTTTATCATGGAGAGATTTATTGTAAAACAATCAAAGACTTGTCAGATATTATTAATTTGAGTAAAAGACGCCTATACTGTTTTGATTTTAAAGTAAAAAATATAGCCATAGAGGAGGAACCCATTAATTTGGATGAAACAGCCATTGCAAAAGATGCAAGAAGTCAAGAGTATTACCTAGTAAGTATGCATCAATGGCACCAAGATGAGGACAACAGAGCAAAACAGCTGGAACTGATGAAGATACATGTTTCTCAATCTTTTGGGTACAAGTGGAATATTTGAGATGGATTTATGTGATTTGCATGAACATTCTCATTGTAAAATAGGCATTGAAGTTCTAATCAACATAATAATTTAGTTATGATTTTTTAAATTAAAAAAATGTCTTAGAAATCTCTGTATAAGTATAAGAATCCAATCCATAGAAAAAAAATGTGATAGTCTAGTAAGATACTAAAATTCATGTCTATTTTAGCAGAATGCTTTAACTGGATAAATAATGCACTTTCACATAACAAAAACTCTTATGAAATATATATATATATATATATATAAGTCTTGTACACATTTTATTAAGTATTTAGTTTTTTTTACCTATATGCTCACTTTGGTTTAAACACAACCTACAGTAACAACACAAATTGTGAAGGTCTTTAATTTTATTTTCAACAATGATTTTCTAAAGCTGTGCTACATCTACAAAGATTGGATTTTATTTCATATTAAGATAGTTTTATTACATGCTGCGTCCAGCCAGTAACAGTAAAGTTGAAAAGTTGGTTATTAGGTCAGGTTGCCTGTGAACTATTAAAAACATGCCACCTCACTTGTAATACTTGTATGCTATAATAGGCTACTTTTTTTTTTATGGCAATGCTCAAAGGTGTAATTCTCTGTCTTTGACCAAAAAAAATTAAGATTTTGAAAACAGTCAAGGACATTTTGTAAAAATTTAAATCTTTAGGTACTAATAATACTAATAAATTGTGTAACAAAATTATATGACCATATATTATTTTCCTGTACACTATATTCATCTGTCTTTCCTTTAATGAAAAAAAAAGCCACTGTCACCATCATCAAAAATGACTCCAAACATGTCAAACCTACAAAGATGTCGGTTGTTTTTTTTTTTTTATATTTTTTTGTAAAATAGAAGAAATAAACTCAAAATAAAGTTCCATCTCTGAACATTTTAAAACTGTTTTTTTTTTTAACTCACTTGGGAATTGTTGCTTTTTCCTCTTTAAAACTTACTAATGAAATGGTATTAAACAAGTATATTTTTAACTGGATAGTTTTCAAATGAAACAGAACAACTCATCCCTCTATTTAAATCAACAAATAAACTGATTAAGAGTATAAATTTAATAAAGTGTAGTTTTTTAATACATTAATTATTTAGAATATGATTATTTTATTTACAATGACAAGTAAGTAATTTACATCATTGTAAAAGTGAATAACAATAAATCCTGAGTCCTTTGTCAATGATTTTACACAGATCATCATTAAATTTAAAAAACATACTAGTAAAAAACTTGTAATTAAAATTATTTCCCTAATCAGCACTCCTTGAACACAGAAGCCTCAATTTGGCTTAGAATTTGATTTCAAAGTTGTTTGATGAAAGATATCTACAGTTGTTTCATGACATGGCCGAAGTTCAAGATCACAGAAACCAATGGAAAATTTATCACAACTTTTATATAAATCTAGACCTCTGCCAATTTTTATTACCCATCCTGTATCAAGCCTGTAATTATTTAAATAAAAATAAATCAGCTATACATAATAGATTTTTTTTAAAGTATTTTATTTATTTTAATTGAATTATTATATTTTAATATATATTTTAAATCCTCAATCTCACTCTGTTATTATTAATAATTGATTGCATTCATTTGTCATTGATTAGTGTTTCATAACATTGCTTCATGTTGAGTAATTATTAATTTTGGAAAAAATAAAAGCACAGAGCATCCAAAACTTATTTGAAATATTGAACTAGCTGACGAAAATTCAAAAAATAAAATTGACCTGAAAATCATAAAAATACCTGATTTCCCTATCATGCAGCGTTGTGGAATAATTCACCAGCAACTGAATGCCATATGCCTGCAATGATTTTTTAATGCTCTCTATTTTTTGATTCTGCTGCTGCTGACTACTTTGATCCTAAACCATCAAATAATTTAAAAATAAGTCTAAAAAAATATTATAGATTGCTGGAACATATTTGAAAAAATAAAATACATGAAATATACCTCATCACTCCCAGTATTTAGAACAATTTTGTTGACATGTGTCTTTTTCTTTACAATCAGTTCACAAAGTCTCAAAAAATTTTGGATCTTTGGAAGATAATACTTTTCATCAAGTTTTGACATAAGATCTTTATAATTTGAATCAAGTTATCTCTTAATTCTTTAACATTCAATTCAGTCAAACTATCGAATATGTTTAAAACTGTGGATGCAATTACAACATTTGTACCTGATGATGAGATCTTATATAAGGATCATCAACTTCCACACAGGTAACAAATTTGTTAAGATATTGACCAAACAAATTTTCATATGAATGTCCAGTGGAGTTTGGTTCTATATGAATTTGTAGGTGTTGTTTTGATGCTGGAAATAAAAATGTGCATGGCTTAAAATAGTTAACAGCAAACTATATTATTTTTGTCAACTATCTTCACTTAGTAAGCAATTATCAAATAATTTTATGGGTTAGCAAGTTTTTTGACAAAGGAATTAACCAAGCATCTGTTTTTAAATAGTAATTAAAAAAAAAATGTATAAATAGTAGTTTGTTTTTCACCTTCCTTCTCTTCTTTCACAAACACTTTCAACTCTTCCCCTCTAGCCAAGTATTCTTCAATTTTTTGTCTGTACTTTTGCTTTTTTGTTACATCTGTTACAGCTGAATTACATCAATATAAATAAATATTCATATTATTTGTTTTATTCAGTAGCCCAAATGTTGCTGTTTAAAAATAATTTTAACTAGGTACTTTCAAACCAAATCATGAAATCAAATTTTATACCCAATTAATGACAATAACAAAGTCAAATATTGAAGACAAAACATAAACCTACTCTTTAAAACCTGCATCAACAGCCCTACACCTTCTTGATAACATGTCAGTGATTCCTCAAATCTGCGACTATTGTCAAGCTCGACTGCTCTTTTTAAAATAGTTCTAGCAGATAATTCTACCCCTGAAGCTTTGTCATCTGCCATTGTATGATCTTAAAGAAATTATCATTGTTAAGCAGAGTAAAAGAAATGACTTATTCATCTAAGAATTATGATCCACTTAGGTACACTTAAGAACTACTTATGACTGTATAAAATTATTTAACTGTTCTAGAATTTTTAAGAAGGTCATATATTTTTATGTGCTCAAAGTTTGCTACTGTATTTAAGGTAGGCCCTATATTAGTATTTTTATTTTATTTTTAAACAAAAAGTGAATAAAGAAAAGTTCTGAAAAGTATGTATTATTAAAGTAATATGTATATTGTCTTATGCTACACATATTGCATTTACAAAATAAGTAATTTATTATTTAACCAAACCCAAAGTTGTATTGCATTTTGTTCAAACGGTCAAAGATTAATACTGTTTAAGATTAGTAATTTTAGTAATTATATTTTCTTTAATAGTTTACTTCTTGGTTCATTTTCTTTATAACAAAGGCTGCAGATTAGAGCACATAAATTTTTTAAATGTATCTTTTCTTTGCAACAACTGAGCTCCATGACATGGGTTAAATTTGTTGATTAATAGTTAATTATGTCTTTATATGTTGATATATTAGTAACGTTTGGTAGGTATATCTTTGTTTTGTGTAGAGTTCATTTAATTTTCAATGACCATCTCTAATTTGGAATAAACTAGGCTATATTGATATTATATTGAAAGATTTTTGGTATCTTGAAAAATACATACAGTATTTTTTTCGCTGGAACAATTAATACTTAGTTTTTTTTCTGTGATTAGCATGAAGCTACAATTTCTTAGCATTTAAAACACATTTTCTTTACAAATATAAAAAATAAAAGCTTATAGTTTTATATACTTTATGATGCAAGTTTTAGATCTAATTACAAAATATCAAAAAGGTTCAAATATCCACAATTATGATACTTGAATATTTTTATCCATCTAACACTTGATGACAGAAAACTTAAGATCTTTTGTACTGTTAATAAGTGTTAGAATTTCAGTTGTATGGGTCAGTTCCAAGGGATAAAATTTCATGGAAACAAAATGACATTATTATATTATTTCACCTAAATGAGATTGCTTTTATGGTTTTGAGGATATATAACTCTGTGTATGCTACAAGCCCACCAGTTTGTTGAGGCCAAGGGCCATCAGTGGTGTAGCTGGTGGGGGGAGGGCCAGGCGGCATCATCATAATCATCATCATTCCTGTGGACCCCGTGTAGAGCATAAGGACACAACCACACCTCTCCATCATACTCAATTCTGGGTGATTCCACCGTAATGGGCGCCAAAAGGGGTAGAAATAAAAATTACACAGCTAATTTTAACTGAAATATTGATAATTATACATACTCTGAGTTAAGAAAGTAAACAGATTCAAGTCTTTAGGTACTGATTTAACTGTTTTCTATCTTGATTGTGTAAAAACATAAATAAATTTTTCCAAAATGAGGGGGAGGGTGGAATCAGAAAGAGTTACACAGGATTGGTGAGTAGATAACTATTTTAATACTTAGAAAAGAAACAGAGAAACCATTACTTTAACTTCAGAGCTATATCTAGTGACTGCTAAAAAGTAAAAACAGCTCACCAATTTTTTAGTTTTCGTTACTAGATCTAGATTTCTAGATCTAGATAAACTAATTAAAAGTAATAAAGTAGATTCTAGCTAGATCTAGACTGGATTTATGTGGAGGGGGGGGGGGGAGATACAACATACAACTAAAAATGAGTTAGAATCTTAATCAGTTAGGCCTACACAGCTTGCTAGACTAGATTGTTAAGAATCGTCGGTATTCTTAACTTCTTACTTAAGAGTTAGATTTTTAAATCATAAATCTAAAAAGGGTAATTTTTTTAGGTGCATATATGGTCAGAGGCTAGTAACGTGCGAAAAAGTTGCCTCGTTGTTAAGGCTTTAATATCTATAATATAACGCTGGTGGTAGTGTGTCAGTCATTCCATCATCGCTATAGAATTTGGGAATTTCTCACTGGAACGGCCGGAAAAACGTGTTGTTCGGCGGCAGTTTAAAGTACTCCTTGGGTTTGGGGAGGAGAGACGTCTGGGCGGATGTTCGTGAGAGCATTGGCTCTCAATTTTTTACTGTAATTAAATTATGTGAATATATACCGACACCAGCACGCAGCGTGGTGCGCTTTAAGGAATATCCGGCCTAAAGTGGGGCCCCCATCCGCGCTGAGCGCGGTAAAATGTGAAGTAATATCCATATCCCCACTTTAGCAAAGCGTGCAGCGCGGTAAACACTGAGGATAACGACATTCGCGCACAGCGTGGTGCGCTAAAAAATATCCGCCCCAATGCGGGGACCCCCATCCGCACTCAGCGTGGTAAACTCTGAGGTAATATCCATATCCACATCGTAGCGAAGCACGGGTATAAGCTACACGCATGCAGAAGGAATATTAACCCCAATGAAGGGACCCACACACTGGTATACGCGCAGCGTGGCATGCTGAAGGAATAAAATAATTCACCGTGGCACAGCACAGGTATATAGCTCGTGAGAGCGTTGGCTCTCAATTTTTTTTACCGTATTTTAATTGTCGTGAATATCCATATTCACGCCAGAGTGCTACCGTCACCCGCATGTAGCGCGGTGCGCTGAAAGAATATTTGCGCCAATGCAGGGACCACACCCGCGTGCAGCGCAGTAAACTCTGAGCGCAGCGCAGTAAACTCTGAGGTAATATCCATATCCACACCATGGGAATATCCACACCGTAGCGAAGCACGGGTATAAGCGTTTGTGTTTAGTTTTGTTCTGTTCTCAAGTTGGTACATTTAAAAAAGATTTGCCGTGGCGGGGCACAGGAAGGCAGCTAGTTGTGATATATTTGTGTCAAATATTATAGATAAGTGAATAATACACCAAAATCAAAAGCTAAATATTACTAAATATAGGTATTCTAAATGAGCCGAAAAATTTAAGCCGGTTTTAAAATTTTTTGGTCGCGTTGCGGCATCGCGCGGCGGTCCGACCCCATAACACATACGCAATTAGAAACCACTGATTTAGAAAGAAGAATGGTAGCTCTGTAAGATGGTATAACTTTACCAGCTGTATAATATAATTAAATGCTAAAAATGTTCAATTTAAAATTTTAAAATGATTTTTTTCCATTAAAAAATAATTTTACAGCCGCCAAAGTTGTATATTCCGAAAGGGCATCCAATTTGCCATAAAACTGTTACGATTTAATGAACACTCCATGTATGGGGTCGGACCGCAGTAAATGAAACCAATGTATACAAATCGCGACGACCCGCATCTAAATTTCGCCGGCTTGAGTCAAGATTGTGTTGAATTCCGGAACACCCGACCTCGGTTCAGAGCAAGATTTTGTGTTTATTCGTTGATTACAGTGGATTTAAAAACACGTGCAGGTAAGTTGAATGCACATTATATTACTAGCTATATTCTATTTATTTATGATTAACTGCTGCTTTAATACATTTGAATATTAGTGTCCGCTTATCGGTAATTGCTCCACGCTTAAAAATTTTTTTTCCAAAAAAATGACCTAGCCTCTTTTAAAAGTCAGTTGTATTTAATTTATGGTCACTGAAATAAAAAAGGAATGCACAATTAAATCAAAAAGATGTTTAAAAGGATGATAGAATTTAATTTGTTTTAGTAAATTATGTTAGTTAATAACATCGGCCGATTAAACTATCAATATTTTGTCGATATTTCAAGCCGATTGTCCGCCATGTTTTTTTTTACTTTCTCGTAGTGTTGGGTTCAACTATTATATTACCGCAGCGGTTAACAGCATACTTTCAATTTATTGTAGCATTGTTTTTTTTTTGTCTTTCCTAGTTTCATAGTTAACTATTCTATATATGTGCAGTAGTTACATTAAATTTTAGAATATTACGATCTTTTACATTTTTTATCTCTAGATTTATTGTAATGACGACTTAAAATAAAATGTAGCCCCCCTTCCATAATAGTTTAGTCCAAAGTTGTTTCTAGATTTAGTCTAGATCTACTTAGATTCACTATTGCTTTCATGTTAATATTTAGATCTAGTAGTAGAACTATCTATAGTGCTTACATTTAATATCTAAAAAGCATTGAGCAGCCTTACTTTTAATAATAATATTATTATTATTCTATTTACAGAGCAAGATATTAGCATAAAAGAAAGGGGAAACTCATTGGCCTACCAAAAATTTTGTATTGTTGTGAAAGCAACAACAGGACTCCTGAATACTTTTGAAGGAAACCATATGTCAAATGTTAGTATTGTATGCACTTTGCTTATTATTTATAATGATGTAATGTTACATGATTGATATCTAAGTTGGTATAAAGATATACAGGCCTGCTATATAAGTCAGTATATTTGAAATGCTAATTAATTGTTTTTATTCACAGACATTTTCTATACTCTGGACCAATGGAAGGATCCCTTACTAGATTCCATAATTTGATCTGTAACCTTGAAGAAGACAAACTCAACCAGGATATTGACTATTAATTACAATGCTACCCAACCTCATAGAGAACTTTCCCAATCAGAATATTGACCTGTCTTTTTGAACCTGCTCTAAGATTTCTGATAATTGTATAAGTTAGGACCTAGACATTTCCAGAAGTTGACTTTGATCAATAACTAACTAGAAGAAATAAATATACTAGTAACAAGTAAATTTATGCTAAACAAGTCATGATTAGGAACCAGAGTAACAAAACTAGATGAACATCACAACTCTATTAGGGTAATTTAAAAAGAATTTCAGTTTAACTAATTATCTTACTTCGTCAGTTTTTAAAATGCATGGAATTTCTTCTTATCATAGTATATAAGTAAAGAAGTAGTATAGTTATTTAGTTTTTTATAACAAAGTAATGCTAACATGTTTCCTACACAATTTATATTACTTTCTTAAAAGTAAGAACACTTTTTGCAAGATGTTAGGTAATGAAAATTCTTGATTTTGGGCGTTAAGGAAGGATGCCTTGTATTGTTTTGCAGAATGATTATTTTATGTCTCTGTGTTTATTATATATTAAGAACATCATGTGCTTTAAGTTGGTGTAAAATTTATTAAGATACCTTACTTAAATATTTTTTAATAATTTTTTGAAAAAGGATGAAATTTCTAATTTTTATAAACTGACCTTGCTGAATCTGGTCTCGCTAATTACTTTCTTTATTAATTCTTTACCTGTTTATTTTATATTAACATGGTTTGAATTTCCTTTCTTAGAACATTTATATTATTAATGTGACTTAATTAGTTGATTTTCTATGATTTTTTAAAAATGACTGTAAATTAACTTTTTGTCTCCCTTTTCGTACTTCGGTAAAATTGTGCTTTGGCTCATTTTTATGTGAATAAATTTTCTACTTATATCGGTCTGACAACCTTGAAAAAAATTGGGTTTGCTATTTGTATTACTGGCTGTGTGTGCAAGAAATTTGAGAGTTCTAACTTAGTTATTGTAGAAGTTAGTAGGGGTCTCAAATAGACCCTTTACTGTTCAAAAAACGAACGCATTTTTTGAGTTTTAAAAAATTCATAACTTTTTTAAAAATGGACATACATCAATAAATTTGGTGTTTCTGTTCTGATGAAAACAGTCTCTATCAGGTGGAAGTGTTAAATTTTATTTAATTTCATTATAAAAATTTCATTTTGAATACCTACTAAATAATACTAAATATATCAATGTAGGCCAGAAATTAACTTTAAACAGCAGTGTTTGCGAGCAAGATTTGCTATCAGCAATCTGTAAGTTAGAGTGGTTTCCCCTGAATCTCTAACTAAATTTTACCAAAAAAAAACTTAAATAAGATGGCTACTAACGTAAATGAGCTTGGTTGCATCTGATGAAAACATTGCTAGTCTTTTTTTTTACTGAAAAGTTTGAAAGATTTTTGGGTAATCTCACTGTATAGCGTTGGTTATTATTCTGGAATGGTACTGCAGTAAAAAAAACACAAAATCATGGTGTAGTCTGTCTCGCCATTCCGGAAACCACCGGATATACTGTAAACCATATTTTAATTGGTGCCTATTATTTTTTAATACATCATGTTCAAAATGTGCATCGATTGATTTCAGTTGCATTTTAAATACTGTTTTGCTAATTATTTTGTATTTATAATTATTTTAAGTGTATGTGCTAATTAATTATTGCAGCTGCTAAACATTGTTCTAGTTCTTCTTACAAAATTAAACTTTGGTAAATCTAATCGTCTTATTTAACTTGGCCTAGATCTAGATCTAGAATCAAGTTGTCGCAAATCGTCTGGAAGTTGTTTTTTTTCTGTGTTTATTAAATTTTAGGACTTTAAAAAAAACATGAATAACTAATTCTTGATTATTTTCTGTCAATTAAACTTTAAATTAAGTTAAAACATGAGTTTAATGCACTTGACTTGTTTTTATTTCAACGGTCAAATAAACTATGGTTTACACTCAGTATTACTATTACTGAGTTAAGGCAAGGAAACTCAACAAACATTACATTATTACACACATTACCCCAGATAATCAGATAATATTTTATATTACCTAATAATTTCCGACGGTAGATCTCTAGATCTATATAATAATGATTATAATAGATTATAGATTATACTTAGAGAGAGATCTATAAAAAAAAAATCCGTATCGTGAGATTACCGATTTTTTAAACTTTCAAAACAAAAATCCTATTTAAAATGAGAAAAAGTTATTAAAATTTGATGAGTCACCTGTTTTTCACATTACTAGACTCTAGATCTACATTAGATGATCTAGTCTCGGTCGATTTTGCGTACCTAAAACGATAGATTACCCTGCCCTATAAAGTTAATTTTCAACTTTCGCTAAAAACGAAAATAGACTAGATTCCTAGATCTAGATTCTCGATCTATTTTTTACTGCTAGATTCTAGATCTAGAAATCTAGATCTAGATTTAAAATGTAGATATTTTTTTCTATGCTAATCTAGATATGAAAAATACTTATTTTTTAGATCAATATTATTTTTCGAATTTTATTGCTATAGCTATTATTTTGTTTCGACATGTTTGTTTTTTTTATATTAAAAAAATGTGGACATTATTTAGATCTACTAGGCCGAGGCCCTAACTTCCCATGGCATGACAAAGTAAACCATTATCTGCCGAACTACTATCATGTGAGAAAGGAAGTTACAATGTTGTTGATACCTTTTTACTGAGGTTCATAGACACTAAAAATCTATAACAAACAGGGAAATGGGGTGTTGTTTTAGTTCTGACGAAGATAAAGATATCACTGTGAGTTTTAAAGCCATTGTCCAAATTAAACTCAAAGATGTTAGACTATTTATTATTATTTGCATACCACACCAATTATTTTTTTCGGTAATCTATCGTGACCGTCATCGATTTAGTTTAGTTAACTTTAACTTAGTTTAGCATTTACCTTAGATTTTAGATCTAGGACAGGTCCATAATGATTAAAAATTAAAAAGCGGCCTAGATCTAGGAGTAACGTGAAAGAATGGTGACTCGTTACATTAATACATTTTAATAGATTTTAGTAATTATTTCACATTATTAGGAGGCTTTATCAACTTTATGTTTTAAAAAGATGCCTTGAAGAAACTCTGGGTAAAACTCCATTTTAGCTATTTTATTCTCCGCTTCTCATTTACCTCCAGTTGAGCAAATTTTTAAATTTAATTTAGTTAACTACCAGTAATCTAACACCCCTTTTTTAATGAAGATTCCATTATCGGACACCAGTATAAACATTCTCCCCAGGATTTATTTATTTGTATTGTATTTTTGTTTTGACAAAGGAATAAAAACAATTAAAGAGACTGACTGAAATACTTTGTTGGTTACAAAAAATAGAAATTCTCTATTTGTAAGAATAAGCGTTCCAATTTCAACAAATTGAATAAAAGGTAAAATAATACTGCCGTAAGGTGGGGAGATGGAATTCGTGATGATGTGTGGGTGAGGGATATGTTAGAGTGTTAGAGAAAGCTTGACAACTCACGTTGGCATTTTAAAAAGTAATGTAGTTAGAAACTAAATTGACTTTTGGGGAAGGGGTTCAGGTCCATGTGGATATCCACCTGTCAAATTAACATTGATATACTTACATTTGAAAACAAACATAAAACTCATATCCTGCATGTAAAAGTAAAACAAAATGACGGTGCTCATAGTTTTAAAAAAAACAGCTTTATATCTTCATGGGGGTCATCCGTATATTTAGTGCCGTCATAATTCAAAACTATTTTTTACCTCACCTCCTACCCAACGTTACAAAAAGCGAGGACACACACCTTTAATGGCATCAACCTCAGCCTACCATCCCTGTCAAAACAGAAAAAATTTAAAATTTTTGTGGATGTCTTAAATGTATGACCCCTTACAATGATAAATATAGGAATACTACTTAAACATATAATGATTTTATTGTGAAATGTATTCTTTTTCAACCAAACCTTTTAGGGTGATCCAGGAGGTCGTGTTTTCCTTGATATATCCAAGGATGGTGAATCCCTTGGTCGCATTATTATTACTTTATACCCTGATGTTCCAAAAACTGCAAGAAACTTCAAACTCCTTTGCACAGGAGAAAAGGGTTTTGGCTATAAAGGGAGCACATTTCATCGTATAATACCAGGATTTATGTGCCAAGGTGGAGACTTTACCAATCACAATGGCACAGGTGGAAAGAGTATCTATGGCCAAAAGTTCAAAGATGAAAATTTTATTCATAAGCATACAAAGCCTGGTATCTTATCAATGGCAAATAGTGGACCAAATACCAATGGCTCTCAGTTTTTCATTTGCACAGAAAAAACACCATGGCTAGATGGAAAGCATGTTGTGTTTGGTGAAGTAGAGTCTGGAATGGATGTAGTGAGAGCTATAGAACACTGTGGTGCCTCTGACGGTGTGACTAGCAGTAGAGTGATCATTTCCGACTGTGGTGCTCTTTAACTTGATACCATTTATTATTGGGATAACACTGATAAAGAAATACTACTCACATTATTAGAATTTTACATTAAATTGTTTCCCTCAACAACCAGCTATGACTAATAAATTATATGGATATACCTATTTGCTAGTGAGTTTGATTTGTTAAAAAAAATCCCCATTCACCATTTATAAACGAAAATGTTAACGATTCTTTGTTAATATTAGGTACTATAATTAATAGATTTATATTACAATATTACAATTTACAAAAATGTCTTTAAAATAGATGATAAAATTAATTTGAAAAAAATTTAAAAAAATGACTTAACCCACCCAACAAGCTGAAAAATACTGAGTATAAGTGCAGAGTACAGTCAACATAGGCTGGAAATGTAAAACTTGATATGTTCCTCATTCCCTGCTTCTTAGGTTTTGTGTAAGAACAAGAAGTGTAAAAATGTTTTTTTATACTCTATTGTAAATTTTATTTAAATTTGTATTCCTACTAATACATTTTTAAACAAGGGGCCTAATTTATTTTAAAAGTGTATGGTGCATATAGATTAAGATAATAAATTAGTTCAGGTGATTGTTTTGTTTAAACGTAGATCAATATCTTGATAAAATATCTAACATTATAGTTGAAAAGATAAGTAATTGAAATATTTTAATAACATTTTGATGTTGTTTTTTAATGCTTAATTAAAACACTTTTGTCAGGATAATATGTTGGCATATAAATTACTGGATGCAAATGATAGTTAATAAGTACATGGTTTTGAAGTAATGAAGTAAAAAATATTTGCCAAACGTAATGTGCTGTTTTATGCTTTGCTTTCCAAATCTCATTTTTGAGTGAATTTACTTTTCAAGTTATGTTGATTTATGTTTATAATTTTCAAGCTTGAGATAATGTAAAGTTGCCATAATGTTTTCATATGCTAGTGTGCAATTGTTTATCAAATATTTTGTCAGAATTCACTATTGATTTATAGTTACTGTTATGATTGTCTGTGCTCTTTATTTTATGTTTACTTTGTTTTCAAGATTTCAAAATGTTTATATAGTCAAATCAATAATTAATTAATTAAAATGTTTATATTTTTAGGCATCTGAGAGAGCTCCATTGTTGATAGATCCTAGTGACAGAGTTCACACCCAACCTGTTCCTGGGTAAGTTTATATTAAACTGTATGATGTATATTCATACTTCATTGTGTACTGTTGTATTTTAAGCTTATTAATACTTTACTTACTTACATGTTATTATTTCACACTTTGTTTCAAAATACTTTTATGTATAAGAAAACAGTTTATTAAATGTTATTAATTTTCTAGAAGTAGGCCTGATCCGAGCTATCCTCAGACCCCTACAAATAATGAAACTTCTGAGTTCAGTCGTATTCTCAAGCAAACAGCCATGTAAGTCTATAAATAAAATATGTGGGAGTGAGTGAGCTCCATTAAACTGTCATTAATATCACATCTGGTTATTGGAGTGTTCAAATGTTAAAAGAAACTTACGTTCTGAATCTCAAACCTCTAAATAAAATTTAGTCTACCTAACTGAAATGGAACTCAAGTTTTCAGTATTTTAGTAACCAGAATAGTAACCAAAATCAATCAAAAATAAAAAGATTTGAATATAGAGAATGTAAATACATATGTATGAAATTTCATCTGCCTAGCTAAAATGTTACTCCAGTTATCATGTCCTAATAGAAATTAAGTACCACTCCTGGAAAACAGTCAATAGTTCAGAGAAACCTGCGTGTACAATTCAATTCTTACATTTGAAATTTTGTCCACCTAACTGAAACGTACTATAGTAATAATGTTTACATAAAGACATGCAGACAACGTTGCAAAACTGGGTAGATCCTACTTACTGAGGTGTAAAACATCAAAAGGATTATTTTCCCTATATTTGCTTTTTGAAAAGTAAGAAAAAGTAGGGCTTAGTGGAAAATCTCTGTTAAATTAACAATACCAAAGACAATTTAATTTTTTACAATACTTTTCAAAATACTTATTTACAATTTAAAATTTTGTTGTACTATTTTCAGCAATGTTATTGATGTGACATCAAATGAATCACAAAATATGGAGCAAGGGGAGATGCAGGATAGGGCAATACAATATAGGTAAGTATACTATTTGCTTTTCACACATTTTGCAAGCATGCAGTAATTGAAAATTCCCATAATATATAAAGATATTTATGCAGAGATTCATATATTTTTTCTAAGTATCTTTTGCCTTCAATAAAATGCAATAAACAGATTTATTTTTTCTCAACCAAGCAATCGTTTGAACATGATGCTTTCGGGGTCAGGCAAAACAAGAATATACAGGCCTAACTTGCCTAATGGTATGACATCACCACAGATGACATTGTCTGCAGCACCTGTCTCTTTGTCAGATGTGCAGTTGGTAAGATTTTTTTCTATTGGTATTATTATTCTAAAATTAATGATTTTAAAGTTGTGAGGTCATTTCAAAAGAAATGAAGTAAAATCATATTTAAAAAATAGGATCCATCCTGTGTATTTATGTATTTACAGGTGTAAGTATAATAACCCTCCAAGCATGCAACTTTTTAGGGTATTTTTTACTGCTTGAGATATATTAAATTTATTTCATATTCAAGATTTTAAAATCGTGAGTTTTAGTCATAGCAGGATTTAAATTTACCTTTTTGCAGATAACAAGCTGCAGTGAAAAGTTAGCCCTAGCCGCTAAAGATATTAAAATTCAACACAAAGAGAATTTGGTCGTCACTTTTGGTGTTCCATGATATCGCTAGGGTCTTACCAGTGTGCATGTCTTCTAACTGTACATAATACATGATTTTAAAAGGGAGTGTGAATGTGTTACATGAAGTAAGATATTTCTGTTGATTTTTTTAACCTTGCTGGGAATTTAGTTCCCTGGTTGTAGTCATGACATGTCTTTCAAATAGGTTATATATTTGTTTGAGGTCTTGTTTTCATAGTTACCTGAAAGTAATATTGTACTAGATCACCCTATTTCAATTTTTTCTTTATGGGATGTGTGCTAGGATTCCTTGAATATGGATGGCATTTCCATGGTACAATTTTTTTAAAAAGTAGCATGCTTTTTTAAGAATCATTAAGAGTTTTTGTAAATTCAATTATATTAAGGATTTTGAATATTATGTCATATTTTGCACTTCCATATTCACAGAGCAATGTGGAGGAAATGAATAAAATAATGAAACTAATCCAGGCTCGTTTCTTACTGACATAACAAGTTTCTTACTGACATAACGTGTTTAAAAAAAAGAAACATCATGCTATTAAAAACTAAATTTTATTTATTAGCTTTTATTAAAAAACAGGTTCAGTTAAGATTCTTAGGACAAAAATTAAATAAATAAAAAAAATTTAAAAACTTAGATCTACTAGTCATTCGAATTTTTAACTTAACCTAACAGATTTCTTAAAGTTCATGTGGCTAAAGAAATGATTGGTGAAACTAGGCTTAAAGTTGATTGGTGGAACTAGGCTTAAAGATAAACTTGGCTTTTAGTTTCCACCTCTCAGACGCAATACAAGATGCAGAGTTGACTCTTTCTGAATGTTGTAATCTGACAGTGTGCGACCATCCTCTAGCTGTTTGCCAGCAAAGATCAGACGCTGTTGATCTGGGGGAATGCCTTCTTTGTCTTGGATTTTGGCCTTGACATTTTCAATGGTGTCTGATGGTTCAACCTCAAGGGTGATGGTTTTGCCAGTGAGGGTCTTCACGAAGATTTGCATACCACCTCTCAGACGAAGCACCAGATGAAGGGTTGACTCTTTCTGGATGTTGTAATCTGACAGAGTGCGACCATCTTCAAGCTGTTTGCCAGCAAAGATCAGACGCTGTTGATCTGGGGGAATGCCTTCTTTGTCTTGGATTTTGGCCTTGACATTTTCAATGGTGTCTGATGGTTCAACCTCAAGGGTGATGGTTTTGCCAGTGAGGGTCTTCACGAATATTTGCATACCACCTCTCAGACGAAGCACCAGATGAAGGGTTGACTCTTTCTGAATGTTGTAATCTGACAGAGTGCGACCATCTTCAAGCTGTTTGCCAGCAAAGATCAGACGCTGTTGATCTGGGGGAATGCCTTCTTTGTCTTGGATTTTGGCTTTGACATTTTCAATGGTGTCTGATGGTTCAACCTCAAGGGTGATGGTTTTGCCAGTGAGGGTCTTCACGAAGATTTGCATACCACCTCTCAGACGAAGCACCAGATGAAGGGTTGACTCTTTCTGAATGTTGTAATCTGACAGTGTGCGACCATCTTCAAGCTGTTTGCCAGCAAAGATCAGACGCTGTTGATCTGGGGGAATGCCTTCTTTGTCTTGGATTTTGGCTTTGACATTTTCAATGGTGTCTGATGGTTCAACCTCAAGGGTGATGGTTTTGCCAGTGAGGGTCTTCACGAAGATTTGCATACCACCTCTCAGACGAAGCACCAGATGAAGGGTTGACTCTTTCTGAATGTTGTAATCTGACAGTGTGCGACCATCCTCCAGCTGTTTGCCAGCAAAGATCAGACGCTGTTGATCTGGGGGAATGCCTTCTTTGTCTTGGATTTTGGCCTTGACATTTTCAATGGTGTCTGATGGTTCAACCTCAAGGGTGATGGTTTTGCCAGTGAGGGTCTTCACGAAGATTTGCATACCACCTCTCAGACGAAGCACCAGATGAAGGGTTGACTCTTTCTGGATGTTGTAATCTGACAGAGTGCGACCATCTTCAAGCTGTTTGCCAGCAAAGATCAGACGCTGTTGATCTGGGGGAATGCCTTCTTTGTCTTGGATTTTGGCCTTGACATTTTCAATGGTGTCTGATGGTTCAACCTCAAGGGTGATGGTTTTGCCAGTGAGGGTCTTCACGAAGATTTGCATACCACCTCTCAGACGAAGCACCAGATGAAGGGTTGACTCTTTCTGAATGTTGTAATCTGACAGTGTGCGACCATCCTCTAGCTGTTTGCCAGCAAAGATCAGACGCTGTTGATCTGGGGGAATGCCTTCTTTGTCTTGGATTTTGGCCTTGACATTTTCAATGGTGTCTGATGGTTCAACCTCAAGGGTGATGGTTTTGCCAGTGAGGGTCTTCACGAAGATTTGCATACCACCTCTCAGACGAAGCACCAGATGAAGGGTTGACTCTTTCTGAATGTTGTAATCTGACAGTGTGCGACCATCTTCAAGCTGTTTGCCAGCAAAGATCAGACGCTGTTGATCTGGGGGAATGCCTTCTTTGTCTTGGATTTTGGCTTTGACATTTTCAATGGTGTCTGATGGTTCAACCTCAAGGGTGATGGTTTTGCCAGTGAGGGTCTTCACGAAGATTTGCATACCACCTCTCAGACGAAGCACCAGATGAAGGGTTGACTCTTTCTGAATGTTGTAATCTGACAGTGTGCGACCATCCTCCAGCTGTTTGCCAGCAAAGATCAGACGCTGTTGATCTGGGGGAATGCCTTCTTTGTCTTGGATTTTGGCCTTGACATTTTCAATGGTGTCTGATGGTTCAACCTCAAGGGTGATGGTTTTGCCAGTGAGGGTCTTCACGAAGATTTGCATACCACCTCTCAGACGAAGCACCAGATGAAGGGTTGACTCTTTCTGAATGTTGTAATCTGACAGTGTGCGACCATCCTCTAGCTGTTTGCCAGCAAAGATCAGACGCTGTTGATCTGGGGGAATGCCTTCTTTGTCTTGGATTTTGGCCTTGACATTTTCAATGGTGTCTGATGGTTCAACCTCAAGGGTGATGGTTTTGCCAGTGAGGGTCTTCACGAAGATTTGCATACCACCTCTCAGACGAAGCACCAGATGAAGGGTTGACTCTTTCTGGATGTTGTAATCTGACAGAGTGCGACCATCTTCAAGCTGTTTGCCAGCAAAGATCAGACGCTGTTGATCTGGGGGAATGCCTTCTTTGTCTTGGATTTTGGCCTTGACATTTTCAATGGTGTCTGATGGTTCAACCTCAAGGGTGATGGTTTTGCCAGTGAGGGTCTTCACGAATATTTGCATACCACCTCTCAGACGAAGCACCAGATGAAGGGTTGACTCTTTCTGAATGTTGTAATCTGACAGAGTGCGACCATCTTCAAGCTGTTTGCCAGCAAAGATCAGACGCTGTTGATCTGGGGGAATGCCTTCTTTGTCTTGGATTTTGGCTTTGACATTTTCAATGGTGTCTGATGGTTCAACCTCAAGGGTGATGGTTTTGCCAGTGAGGGTCTTCACGAAGATTTGCATACCACCTCTCAGACGAAGCACCAGATGAAGGGTTGACTCTTTCTGAATGTTGTAATCTGACAGTGTGCGACCATCTTCAAGCTGTTTGCCAGCAAAGATCAGACGCTGTTGATCTGGGGGAATGCCTTCTTTGTCTTGGATTTTGGCTTTGACATTTTCAATGGTGTCTGATGGTTCAACCTCAAGGGTGATGGTTTTGCCAGTGAGGGTCTTCACGAAGATTTGCATACCACCTCTCAGACGAAGCACCAGATGAAGGGTTGACTCTTTCTGAATGTTGTAATCTGACAGTGTGCGACCATCCTCCAGCTGTTTGCCAGCAAAGATCAGACGCTGTTGATCTGGGGGAATGCCTTCTTTGTCTTGGATTTTGGCCTTGACATTTTCAATGGTGTCTGATGGTTCAACCTCAAGGGTGATGGTTTTGCCAGTGAGGGTCTTCACGAAGATTTGCATACCACCTCTCAGACGAAGCACCAGATGAAGGGTTGACTCTTTCTGGATGTTGTAATCTGACAGAGTGCGACCATCTTCAAGCTGTTTGCCAGCAAAGATCAGACGCTGTTGATCTGGGGGAATGCCTTCTTTGTCTTGGATTTTGGCCTTGACATTTTCAATGGTGTCTGATGGTTCAACCTCAAGGGTGATGGTTTTGCCAGTGAGGGTCTTCACGAAGATTTGCATACCACCTCTCAGACGAAGCACCAGATGAAGGGTTGACTCTTTCTGAATGTTGTAATCTGACAGTGTGCGACCATCCTCCAGCTGTTTGCCAGCAAAGATCAGACGCTGTTGATCTGGGGGAATGCCTTCTTTGTCTTGGATTTTGGCCTTGACATTTTCAATGGTGTCTGATGGTTCAACCTCAAGGGTGATGGTTTTGCCAGTGAGGGTCTTCACGAAGATTTGCATACCACCTCTCAGACGAAGCACCAGATGAAGGGTTGACTCTTTCTGAATGTTGTAATCTGACAGTGTGCGACCATCTTCAAGCTGTTTGCCAGCAAAGATCAGACGCTGTTGATCTGGGGGAATGCCTTCTTTGTCTTGGATTTTGGCTTTGACATTTTCAATGGTGTCTGATGGTTCAACCTCAAGGGTGATGGTTTTGCCAGTGAGGGTCTTCACGAAGATTTGCATACCACCTCTCAGACGAAGCACCAGATGAAGGGTTGACTCTTTCTGAATGTTGTAATCTGACAGTGTGCGACCATCCTCCAGCTGTTTGCCAGCAAAGATCAGACGCTGTTGATCTGGGGGAATGCCTTCTTTGTCTTGGATTTTGGCCTTGACATTTTCAATGGTGTCTGATGGTTCAACCTCAAGGGTGATGGTTTTGCCAGTGAGGGTCTTCACGAAGATTTGCATACCACCTCTCAGACGAAGCACCAGATGAAGGGTTGACTCTTTCTGAATGTTGTAATCTGACAGTGTGCGACCATCCTCTAGCTGTTTGCCAGCAAAGATCAGACGCTGTTGATCTGGGGGAATGCCTTCTTTGTCTTGGATTTTGGCCTTGACATTTTCAATGGTGTCTGATGGTTCAACCTCAAGGGTGATGGTTTTGCCAGTGAGGGTCTTCACGAAGATTTGCATACCACCTCTCAGACGAAGCACCAGATGAAGGGTTGACTCTTTCTGAATGTTGTAATCTGACAGTGTGCGACCATCCTCCAGCTGTTTGCCAGCAAAGATCAGACGCTGTTGATCTGGGGGAATGCCTTCTTTGTCTTGGATTTTGGCCTTGACATTTTCAATGGTGTCTGATGGTTCAACCTCAAGGGTGATGGTTTTGCCAGTGAGGGTCTTCACGAAGATTTGCATACCACCTCTCAGACGAAGCACCAGATGAAGGGTTGATTCTTTCTGAATGTTGTAATCTGACAGAGTGCGACCATCTTCAAGCTGTTTGCCAGCAAAGATCAGACGCTGTTGATCTGGGGGAATGCCTTCTTTGTCTTGGATTTTGGCCTTGACATTTTCAATGGTGTCTGATGGTTCAACCTCAAGGGTGATGGTTTTGCCAGTGAGGGTCTTCACGAAGATTTGCATACCACCTCTCAGACGAAGCACCAGATGAAGGGTTGATTCTTTCTGAATGTTGTAATCTGACAGAGTGCGACCATCTTCAAGCTGTTTGCCAGCAAAGATCAGACGCTGTTGATCTGGGGGAATGCCTTCTTTGTCTTGGATTTTGGCCTTGACATTTTCAATGGTGTCTGATGGTTCAACCTCAAGGGTGATGGTTTTGCCAGTGAGGGTCTTCACGAATATTTGCATACCACCTCTCAGACGAAGCACCAGATGAAGGGTTGACTCTTTCTGAATGTTGTAATCTGACAGAGTGCGACCATCTTCAAGCTGTTTGCCAGCAAAGATCAGACGCTGTTGATCTGGGGGAATGCCTTCTTTGTCTTGGATTTTGGCTTTGACATTTTCAATGGTGTCTGATGGTTCAACCTCAAGGGTGATGGTTTTGCCAGTGAGGGTCTTCACGAAGATTTGCATACCACCTCTCAGACGAAGCACCAGATGAAGGGTTGACTCTTTCTGAATGTTGTAATCTGACAGTGTGCGACCATCTTCAAGCTGTTTGCCAGCAAAGATCAGACGCTGTTGATCTGGGGGAATGCCTTCTTTGTCTTGGATTTTGGCTTTGACATTTTCAATGGTGTCTGATGGTTCAACCTCAAGGGTGATGGTTTTGCCAGTGAGGGTCTTCACGAAGATTTGCATACCACCTCTCAGACGAAGCACCAGATGAAGGGTTGACTCTTTCTGAATGTTGTAATCTGACAGTGTGCGACCATCCTCCAGCTGTTTGCCAGCAAAGATCAGACGCTGTTGATCTGGGGGAATGCCTTCTTTGTCTTGGATTTTGGCCTTGACATTTTCAATGGTGTCTGATGGTTCAACCTCAAGGGTGATGGTTTTGCCAGTGAGGGTCTTCACGAAGATTTGCATACCACCTCTCAGACGAAGCACCAGATGAAGGGTTGACTCTTTCTGAATGTTGTAATCTGACAGTGTGCGACCATCCTCTAGCTGTTTGCCAGCAAAGATCAGACGCTGTTGATCTGGGGGAATGCCTTCTTTGTCTTGGATTTTGGCCTTGACATTTTCAATGGTGTCTGATGGTTCAACCTCAAGGGTGATGGTTTTGCCAGTGAGGGTCTTCACGAAGATTTGCATACCACCTCTCAGACGAAGCACCAGATGAAGGGTTGACTCTTTCTGAATGTTGTAATCTGACAGTGTGCGACCATCCTCCAGCTGTTTGCCAGCAAAGATCAGACGCTGTTGATCTGGGGGAATGCCTTCTTTGTCTTGGATTTTGGCTTTGACATTTTCAATGGTGTCTGATGGTTCAACCTCAAGGGTGATGGTTTTGCCAGTGAGGGTCTTCACGAAGATTTGCATACCACCTCTCAGACGAAGCACCAGATGAAGGGTTGACTCTTTCTGAATGTTGTAATCTGACAGAGTGCGACCATCTTCAAGCTGTTTGCCAGCAAAGATCAGACGCTGTTGATCTGGGGGAATGCCTTCTTTGTCTTGGATTTTGGCTTTGACATTTTCAATGGTGTCTGATGGTTCAACCTCAAGGGTGATGGTTTTGCCAGTGAGGGTCTTCACGAAGATTTGCATGCCTATAATTAATAAAATGTAGATGGTTTTTAGTAATTTAATTAATTGTAACCAGTTAAAAAAAATATTCTAGAATGTTGACCTGAACACAACACTAAACATCCAACTGTCAACAGGTTTAGAAAGTATCCTTAAGCTAACATTTAAGTAACATGTAAAGAAAGGTCAACTACAATTATCATAATGGTTCTTATATTGCAAACTTTGAAATAGAATAATGAATGTTAGTTCAAAAGAATCATGCTGGAAACAAAAATTACCTCCTCTAAGTCTTAAAACCAGATGAAGAGTAGATTCTTTCTGAATGTTGTAGTCTGATAGTGTGCGTCCATCTTCAAGTTGTTTGCCAGCAAAAATTAATCTCTGCTGGTCAGGAGGGATGCCTTCTTTGTCCTGTATTTTAGCCTTCACATTTTCTATTGTGTCTGATGGCTCAACCTCCAAGGTAATGGTTTTACCTGTCAGGGTTTTCACAAAGATCTGCATGATTCTGATTGAAGATCTGTTTGGATGAGAAGAAATTTTAACAACTTTTTAAATTTAATCATATAGTGCAGAGCACAGATCTTGGCTACACCAGTTATTTATTGAAATTGAGTGAGCCCCATATATTTTATTTGAATTAAGGTTATTAAGGCAGGGCCTAATTGGATAATGATTGAATTTTGACAATAGACCTACTTTTTTTTAATTAGGATAGGAATAGATATCTGGACTAGTTTAACTAGCCTAATATAACTAATGAATAAAAAAAAATTAAATTTAAAAAAAAAAAATGTGACACTGACTACCATCACTGAGAATACACTCACTAGTCAATACTAGTCTCATTACCCTCAATCAGAATTAAACACTCTGACTGCCACTACGATGGTCAGGGGTAAAACACCATTTCAGCGTATTTTACTCCCCGCATCACATTCACCTGTTTCGGTTGTGTTTATAATAAAATACGCTCAACCGGAGGTGACCGTGAAGCGGCGAAATAACACGCTAAAATGGAGTTTTACAATGGTTAGGTCTAGAACACTAGTTTTTTATGATAATAGGCCGATGCTAGCCGGAAAAAGATACGCATGCGCATTGGAGAGAAACTACGACTTGCCTTCGCGCATAGTTACGACTTGCCTTCGCGCATAGTTTACAACCGCAGAACCCTAGCCCTATCCCTGCCTAATCCTAGGCCTAACCCTAACACTAGCCATAGTTCACTACGCATGCGCAGAACTATCTTTTGCCGACTAGGTGGAGGGAGATAGGGCGAAAAATCTTCCGAGTAGTCAGTTCGTAATTATATAGGCCTAATAACCATTATAATAACCTAGTCTAGGTCAGATAAGAGTATCATAAGAGTATGATGTAAAAAAAGAGATATAGATCTAATCTAGATATAATTTCTAGTCTCTACTCTAGAGTAGAGTCTAGACTAGATCTAAACTAGATCCAGAAATCTAGATTTGATATGAAAAGTTTTAAAAGACTAAAAGAGATATTCTAGACTTTCTAGATCTAGATCTAGATCTATATCACCTATTCTAGATCTAGAGATTCTAGATCTAGATCTAGATTTTTTTCTTGATCTAGATTCTAGATCTAGACTAGATCTAGATCTCTAGAAGTCTAGATCAGATCTAGAGATCTAGATCTAGATCTAGATTTTAGATTAGATCTCGAACAGGTCTAGTCTAATAATATTCAAACTTTAACATTAGTAAGTAATTGATACTAGAATCTAGATCTAGATTCTAGATCTCACACTCTAGTATGCTTTTTAATTTTAACAACTTTGTTACCTATTGTGTCGCAAATATCAATAAGAAAATCCCTAAGAAAATTGCTCAATAACGGTAAATATTAGTAAATAATAGCTTTGGTCAGTGGAAAGTCGTTCGCTCTGCTTCTGTAATTGCTGGATTCTGCGCGCGCAACTTTGTCGTTGGCATTTTATAGGCCTAGCTGAGTTCAGTGAATCTAAACTTAAAAAGCGCTTGGGGGTCTAGGCTAGTCATTGAAAGAGGAGAACGGGTATTTCGTTTTGCAGTGCAGACCTAGAATAGTTTATTGGTGGTTTTTCAATTATAATAAATTAACCATAATCAAAATGGTATAATGAATTTAAAATATTTAAAAATGGGTATTAAATTTTGGGCTGATTGTGTAAAATAACACTAGAACCTTCATACTTTATGTCTACGGTCTACGTAATTTCTAAAAATATAAATGATTCAGCATTTCCGAGATCGTTAAAAATAAAGCTGACTATTATTACGTGGCTGAAGAACCAACTAGAACACAGGTTCCCAAACTTTTTCAAATGACGACCCCCTTTTATAATAGCTAAGTGAATATTAATAGGCATCGGGAAATTAATAATATTTACAATCGTAGAGCCGGGTCGAATTTGTGACAGCTATTAGGGGCAGATAATTTAGTTTTTAAACGATTTGACACTTCGGGAGATAATAATAATAAATTAACAAGTTCTGTTTGATCTTTTCACTATCGTCTGTATACTGTCGTCTTGGTGGGGGGGGGGGATAATCCTCCTTCACGAGCTACTGATAGTGTTTTAAAGCAAAATATTTTTAGTCGCAGCATTGGTAGTGTTGAATTCACAAATAATGAATTACCGAAAAGTAGAAAATAAAACAATTAAATAGCGGCGTACACACCGAACTAAGATTTTCATTATTTTCAAGTATAATTTTTAAAAATTATGTTTGATAACTGATTTAATGATTAATGTGATGGGTGAAATTGCATGTTATTGTTATTATTAACAAGCCTCATAATTTGCGATTGCATTTCTGTTAACGCCAAACTCATGTCAATCTCAGCATTTTTACTTTCTTGTATACAGAGTATAGAGGAAGTATTGTAATCGTGCACAAAATCACGTGAAATTTTGACAGTTTTCACCGTTTTACACCTTATAGTTGCTTCATACTGAGTATATGGGACTTATTTTAATCGGGCAAAAATTATAAATCCAGATATATAAAAATGTCGGCGTTTTATGCGCATTCGATTCGTAAAAACTGGGCTAATTTTGTCCGTGTGTCTGTGTCTGTAAACACGATAACTTGATTGTCTTGAGTACCGTTACAGCTAGGTAGATTAATTTCATATAAAAGTATTTATCAAATTTCTAGTTCTGTTTCAACTTTTCCGCGATTTCCGATGACCGGAAGTGGGACATATTTTACATTTAGTTTTTCAAAAGCCTATAGCTTGAGTACTGTTTCAGATAGATAAACGAAATTTCACATATTAGTAAAAGATCTAATTTTCTGCCTTCTGCCAAATTTTGAGTAAAAAGAAATTCTGTTTGACCGGAAGTAGTAATTTCTAAAAAAAACGCATGTAAATTTATAAAGTAATAATAATATTCCGCACTATTAAACACAGCTGGTTTGGGGCTCACTTGGTGTGCAATTCTTTTTTATACGAGATTCTATTATATTTTAGAAAGTTTAAGTAAATAAACCGGAAGTGATCTCCCCTAAACTTTCTCGAACTTTCTTGAATGAAACAACAAGGGATGGCAACTCAGGATATAGAAATGATTTTAAATCCATTTTAAATACTTAAACTTTTTAAAATAGAATAAAATCTCGTAGAAAAAAAATTGCACACCAAGTGAACGCCAAATAAAATGTGCATAATAGTGCGGATGTTATTAGTACTTTATAAATTCACATGCGTTTTTTTTTTTTTTTTTGAGAAATCGGAAATAGCGAAAATTACTACTTTCGTTCAACGGAACTACTCAAGATTTGAGAGAAGGCAGATAATTAGATCTTTTACTTACAAGTGAAATTTCATATATCTATCTTAAATAGTACTCAAGTTAAAGGCTTTTGAAAATTTCAAAGTTGAAAAATTTCCACTTCCGGTTATCGGAAATCGCTCAAAAGTTGATACGGATTTACGATTTTGATTTAATACTTATATATGACATTTCATCAACCTAGCTGTAACGGTACTCAAGTTATCGTGTTTACACACACAGACAATTTATTTATTCAATTCATTTATTAAATAAACCGGGAGTGATCTCCCCTAAACTTTCTCGAATATTCTTATATAAAACAACAGGGGATGGGAACTCGGGCTATAGACATGATTTTTAATCCATTTTAAATACTTAAAGTTTAAAAAATAGAATAAAATCTTGTAGACAAAAGAATTGCACACCAAGTGAACGCCAAATAAAAAAGTGCATAATAGTGCGCAATATTATTAGTACTTTTAAAATTTACATTAGTTTTTTGAGAAATCGGAAGTAGCGTAAATTACTACTTCCGGTCAACGGAAATTACTCAAAATTTAACAGAAGGTAGAGAATTTGATCTTTAACTTACATGTGAAATTTCATTTATCTATCTGAAATAGTACTCAAGTTATAGGCTTTTGAAAAATTCAAAGTAGAAAAAATACCACTTCCGGTTATCGGAAATCGCTCAAAAGTTGATACGAATCTACGATTTTGATTAAAAACTTATATATGAAATTTCATCAACCTAGCTGTAACGGTACTCAAGTTATCGTGTTTACACACGGACAGACAGACAGACACACAGACATACGGACAGAATTGCAAAGCCCAGTTTTTCAGACTGGATTACGCATTAAACCTCTTAATTTTGATAAATCTGGATTGATAATTTTTGCCCGATTAAAATAAGTCCTCTATACTTCGGATGTTATGAAGGACTGAGGTGTAATACGGTGAAAATTGTTAAAATTTCAAGTGATTTTTGTGCACGATTACAATACTTTCTCTATACTTCGTATATACGAGAAAGTAAAAAAACGGTTACAATTGTAGGCACACATACACACACAGACATACGGACAATATTGCAGAACTATGTTTTTCCGACTCAGGGAGCCCTAAAACTTCGAGATTTGCAAAAATCTCGATTTTGTTTTTTGCACGATTACAAGACTTTCTCTGTACTGCGTATATACGAGAAAGTAAAAATGTTCAAACTCATTTTGGGCCTGAAACAATCGTGTTTTAAAATATATCGCATTTCATGTTTACCAAAAATTGTGAAAAAAAATTCGGTATAACAATTCGATGACTATGTCATGTCAGCACCATTGGAAGACGATTGAATAAAACAATTTGGATGAATTCGGTAAATTAATCATTCTGTCTTGGAGCGGATGAATACTTAAGATGACACAACATAACAACACTTTCAACTTTCTTCCCAAAAAAAACTAATAATAAATCACTCTGTTTAATGCCCCACTGATGTAGATCCCCATGCCCCCCCCCCCCCCCCCCCAGACAAGTACAAATACGACAACTACAACAAGAAAGTCAGGACTAGCGTTCATCAGGTCACTAACTGTCTACTACAGCTATCACGCCTACACACTAAAAAAAAAAGTCTTCATTGGTCCGAATACAATAAGGTATCTCTTTACGTGTTTCCCAAATGTACATCCCATGTCAGTTCGGCGGCTAATTCGCGTCTAACTATCTCCAGTCACCTCAGTTCGAATGCGAGGCAACCGTACCCAGCATACTGTTTTTGTATCGAATTACGACCTGTCTCAGTTAAGGTGGGTGATAACTCACTAACATCAACCGTGGTCTCGGTTATAACAATCAACGTCGGCATTCGACCAATTAGTTTTTCCCAATTGAATTCAGCAAAATAAAAATTTTAATTTACAAACTAATTCAACAATGACAGAGCTAAAGTGCGGGGCCCCTTCGACCGCAAAGGGGGGGGGGGCGACCGCCCCGTTTGCCACCCCCTAACGCCGGCTCTGTATGCTACATCCCCCTAAGTAACTAATAAAGTCAAAACATATCAATTTCATGAAAAACACAGGCTTTAGATGAGGTACTACCGTTTATAACATTTTACAAAAGACAGATTTATAAAAGGAGGTACAGCATCGTTATTACAAAAGCAAGGTTATTTCTACAGTTTTGATAATAAGGGTCAATGACATTTTTTAGCGCAATCTCCATTCTGGACAATTGCGTTTATTAACCCGTCATTTCTGGATGTATGGATGGATGGATGTGTGTTCGCAGCTTTAAGTCGTATCTCCTCCTCAACGAAGCAATATCGAGGACTAGTTCCAAAAGCAAATATGTTAAGCAAGTTCCAAGGATGATTGTTGGCCTAAAATTCCCGGAATCCCTTCCTGGATTTCCCGGAAAAGCCAAAAAACCTCGAACAAATGCAGTTTTTGCTTCATATCTCGGCAACCAGACCATTTAGCGACTTGAAACATTTACCAATTGATTCCTGCCATAATTTAGAACAATATTGCCGAAGAAAGTTTTCAAAAATATCCTTTCGTTTGGTCACAAAAAATTAATTAAGAACATTTAAACTGAGCATCGTGTAGGCCTAGGATGATATTTACTACTTTTTTAACTTGAGCATCTTGTAGGCCTACTCGTTAAAATAAAACTATTTCCGTTGATATAGGTTAATATAATTGTCTTTTTTTTACTTATTAATTCAAACGTTATTTTTGTACCCTATTAAATAATAAATATTTTTTCTATTTTGTTTTGAATTATTAAAACTACTTGTGTTGCATTATTTATTTGCTGAATATATGATTTATCTCGATTTAAAATTGTTTTTTATTAGTTTGTTTAATTTTAAAATAGGGAAGTATTTTAAAACGATATAAATTATTTTTATTTTTTAAAAATGTATGTTTAAATACTCACTGAAATAAAATATTTAACAAATTTAGTGTTTTCAATAAGTCAAAACAACAATTCGTGTTGAAAAAACATTCGGGTAAACCACGCCAGTTGTTCTTTATGTGGTTACCTATCTCATTACATTTATACTTAAAGCACCATCTTTTCTATAGTGGTCAGCTATCTCATTAAATCTATAATTAACTTTGCGACTATGGTTGAGTCGATCGATACACCTGACAACAGGTGTCAGATACAGTATTTTTTAGGTACATTTATTTTATTTACATGAAAGAGTTTTTTTTTTCCAAATGGTGTCACCATTCCATTGTCATTTTCTCAGATGGGTTTATTTTAAGTGCACCCCGTGCGCTCTCGTTTACATTTAAAAATACCTGTCGCGTGTCTTGCTCACGTGGTTTCCCTAATAGAGAAACAAGTCTTTTAACTTTTCATAGATCTGTAATGAATTAGGCCTTTTTGACTATGACTTGTTGTCCAGGCGTTGACATTATATATTTTTTTTAGACACACACACACACAAACACACACACACACACACACACATACACGAAATTCATACCAGGTCGGTAAAGGCGGAGATAACTCATAGGTATACATTATCATGGTGACAACAAAAGCGACCCTTATTTTATTTACATGAAAGAGTGTTTTCCAAAAAGTGTCACCATTCCGTTGTCATTTTCGCAGCTGGGTTTATTTTAAGTGCACCCCGTGCGCTCTTGTTTACATTTTAAAATACGTGTCGCGTGTCGTCCTCACGTGTCTTCCCTAATAGAGAAACGAGAGGAAAGACAACTGTTCTAAAATTAGCACAGTCTTGTTTACAGCCACGAGTAACGTCCCTTGTGAAAAAAATTCTCGTCAGAATGCTTAACTAAACATTCAATTTCTTTAACAAGTTAAAAAATAATTTAGGAAGACAATGGTTAACAACATTAAGACGCCTCCCTTTTTGTTTTCTGTGACGACAAGGCACAATACACTTTTTTACTTTAAGTCTCAAGTAGAGGGGTGGGATATTTTTTCTTTGTAAGCGTGTTGTAAACAAAGGGTAGAGGAGGCGATTACTAAGTAAGAGGGGAGAGAACGTGGTTTGCATCGCGATATTTGAAAACATGGTGACGTTTAACTATGCTTACAGACCTTAATCAAAAAAGTCAATCTTTCTACATGAGTGCTATCGACGAAATTTGTTTTAAACATTTTTAATACGATACAATTTTTACTTTTAGTAAGGTTTTATTTATTTTGTTTTCTTTCACACTTGGTGATTTTAGTCCAAAGATTTTTTATTCTAAGTTTTTCGGTCAGAGCTATCCTCTAGGTCGGCCAAATATCTTAAAGGTCAAGGTAGACCGATAAACAAAATCAATAATTTTGATTGATATGAGTTATTTTTATCACTATTCGCCCTATCCCCTGGAAAACTTTGTCCGCAACCCCTTCCCCCTTCCCTAAGTTCATTACCAACCGATAGATAAACAGACCGTACCTCTACCCACACTATACCTATTCCATTAAAGAGACAAAGTATGTATGACAAAGTAACAAACCTACAGACAAATATTTATCTACATTCAATTAATGTCACAGCCCCCTAGACACTACTCCTACAGAGTGGGATACATAACTTGTAGACACCACTCCTCAATGAATACCCCATGCACCCTATCCACATGGAAAACTTTGTCCGCAACCCCCGTTCCATCCCTAAACACATTAGCACCCGCTAGATAAAACAGACCGTACCTCTACAAACACTATTCCTTTGGACAGACAAGGGACGTATGACAAAGTAACAGACAAGCATTTATCTGCATTCAATTACTGTCACAAGTGACAACTTTCCCGTCCAACTTTGAAATCTTTCCATATTCAAATAAAAACTTCCACAACCAACTTTGAAACCTGTCTAGGTGAAAACAAAGACCGTCCCACTCTAGTATAAATTCCACCCAACCAACTCCAAAACATGCATGGACCGAGTTTGAAACCTGTCTATGTGAAAACAAAAACCGTCCCACGGTAGTATAAACTCTGCCCCCACCAATTCCAAAACAGGCATGTACCAACTTTGAAACCTGTCTAGGTGAAAACAAAAACCGTCCCACGGTAGTATACACTCTGCCCCCGCCTATTCCAAAACATGCATGTACCAACTTTGAAACCTACTTCGGTGAAAACAAAAACCGTACCACTCTAGTATAAACTCTGCCCCAACCAATTCCAAAACATGCATGTACCAACTTTGAAACATGCATCGGTGAAACCAAAACTCCGCCGACTCTAATATAAACTCTACACCAACCAATTCAAAAATATGCATGTACCAACTTTGAAACATGCATCGGTGAAACCAAAACGCCTACGACGTATATGTAATACATAATTACAATGAAATCCTAAAAAATTTCACTAAAAATCTTTTATTTGTGTTATAAATATGCATACAACCCACGGATATATATCTAACATGTTTACATTACATTTAATTAATCGTAAGTTGAATTGCATAATTCATAAAATCATATACATCTAGATCTAAGTATCAACAAATTCCAAGCAAATATACATTTGTGACATTTTTTCCCATGACTTTTTAAATGTGTTTTTTTTTTCCTATGACTTTTTTTTTCTACAATCTAAAAATCAAGGGTTCCTGGCTGCCGCCGTAGTTTAAACCCCCTCGATCCGCCACTGCATGGGGAGGGGGGGGGGTGTGGTAACGATAGTGGGGAGGTAAAAAATTGTCAAAAAAGTCATTTAATGATGATTCCCCTACCCTACATATTAACAAATTTATATCTATAGTTCTGAGATAGGCTATCCTAGTAAAATTTAGACATATAGTTCTAGAATCTGGATCTAGTCTAGTAAACTATAGATCTAGATTCTTGATAATTTTATTAAGTTTTTGCACAACTCAGCGGTGAGCCCAGTCTTCCGGTATGAAAACAGTTCCTCCGACAAATGAGATTTCACCACGTTTAGCGTTAACGGCCCGGTGGTGTTGTGGAATCAACTAGAAAGTTAAAACTCATCCAATTTTTTTTAGTAAGTAGATCTAGAGTCTAGTCTAGATCTAGAATATAAATATAGAATCTAGGACTGTTACAAAGTAAATTTGAAACTCGTTTACTTTTTGATATTAACATATGACAGAATCTAGAACTAGATCTAGATCTAGATCTAGATTATTCAATTTCTGGTAATCTATCGTTGGTAATCTATCGTTTTATTTAGCGTAATCAATTCGGCTGCAGTAGTAATGTGCGGGGGTAATCTATCGTTTTGGGTACGTAAAATCGCCCGCGGCTATTAATGTACGAAAACGTTACCTCATTGTCAAGGCTGTAATAGAAGTATATTGTGAAATTTTTGTGTCAAATATTATAGATTAGGTTGTCTTATTACAATTTTTAAATTAAAATTTTCTGTCACTTATCATATATCATTACAAACCATATCACTTACTGGTTAATTTGAGATCAAATTTAATGGTCTAGCTTAATTAGGGGCCGAGAAAACAAACAAAAACAAAATGACCTATTAACATCTTAAAATGCGAAACTCTTTTTCGCCATCAAAAGATATCAAAAAGTTACGTTGGTTTGTGTTTTCCATTCGTAGCATGATGTCATAGCAATTACGACAACATTGGGTATTTTAGTTACCAAAAAAAACCAAAACATTTTGTTAGAAATAAAACTTTATATTCATTATGTTTATTAAGGAAATATCAGACATATTTATTATAAATTCTATGTACAATGTACAATTTAAGACATTAGGCATTCCATGATGAATTGAACAATCAATACCCATGAAGATGACAATAAAATTAATATCCAAAACTAAAAATAGATCTGACAGAAATCTAGATCTAGTCCTTCTAACTGTAACGACAATACAGTATTATTAGGTAAGATGATAAATAAACTTTTTTTTAACTTTAAAATTAAATACTCTATAATTAATATTCTCTTCTGTAGTAGCATTAGGTTAGGCGAAGTTTTTTTTTTTTGTTTTTTTTTTTACCAGCTATGCGTAGTAAATCTACAGTCCTGTAAGCTTGCGTGAACTTAAAATGACCCTAAGTTGATTTACAATTTGCTTGGTTTATGAGGGGAGGGGTGGGATTGCCCACCGACGATCTCTACCAGCAATAGTTAATGCTGTGACGTATGTATGGTAGGCCTGCTGAACTCACGGTGAACCCTCGACCGTATCAACATTTTTCTCCCGCAGACAAGAAAATGTAAGCAGTCGATCTCGCGAGCGATGCGAGCGACGATGTTTGGAAAATTTTGAATAATTATTTTATAAAATATTATTTCGTTCAAAAATTTTTTTTTTGAAAAAGAAAGAAAATAAAACCGCTCGTGGCATTTCCCATGTGAAACAATAAAATAAAGCACAACTGATTTACGTCGGATTCGAACTCGGAGATTCTAGGTCACCTACCGCACCGTTCTGTTTACTCTGCTACACACCACGATATATTGGAAAATAAAATATTAGACATTTTGTATCAAAAGATTGCTAAAACTAAAAGGAATTAATTACTACTTCATTTATTGATATCATTCTACGTAGTAACTGAGTAACTGCGTAAATTTTACACACAATACCTATATTTTTAACTAACACACAGCATTAACGAGGTTGACCAAGTCTAAAAATAAAAAGCCAGTAGGCCTAATTAGATCTAGCACAAAATAGGCTCGGAATTAGCATTGTTTAAAATACAATACTAAGGCCTAATTAAAAACTGCATATAATTTCATATAAATTATACAGTCGGGTAGGCCACGAAGTATTAATATTAACAAGGTTAATGACCGGTCACGAATTATGTTCAATGAAACTAACAGTGCAGTCGGTCTACTTGGCTTGCAGTGAAGAAAAAAATCAATATACTTATAAAATTACTAATACTTTAATACAATAATAATGCCCACAATTTCTGCACATGCTAAAACTGAATTATAATTAAATTACTAGACTTAACAGTGCATTCCGCAAAAAACAAAAATTAGTTGTTTCTATCTGACAACTAGCGTAACAATGGCGTAACGTTGCTAAAAATAGCAGCGGCATGGTATTTCTATGGGGAATTGAATTTAGGAAGAAGGGAAGCAGCATCATTGTAATTAATCATGGTAAATATCTCAAATATATATTTATCTAGGAGCTGTCGAGCGCTGATGCCCGGAGGTCGGTCGTTTTTCGTTGCAGTTCAGTTCCTAATGAGAGTGCTCCATAAGAAATGCTTGTATTAATTATTACTACATATCTCGCAAATGTTTCTGGCATTTAAGCCATAGTATCCATTTCCTTAGCATTTCGCATTAAAATAGTGATGAAATATTGCTAGATTAGCAGTTTTTTCGTTTTTTGTATATAGGACCCCCCAAAAACACTTAAAATGCGAAAACTAAAAGAGCATGACGTTTCAGGGTCAGGTTCTGACTTCCGGTTTTGGTAAGGAGATCGACTATTATAGATAAATGAATAATAAACCTAAATCAATGGCTAAATATATCAATATAGGCCAGAAATTAACTTTAAACAGCAGTGTCTGCAAGCAAGATTTCCTATATAAACAGCAGCCATTTGTAAAATAGAGTGACTTCCGCCTGAATCTTGCGCTTTAAGTCTATAAAAATAAAACTTTAACAAGATGGCTGCTATAGTAAATGAGCATGGTTGCATCTGTTGGAAACATCGCTAGTCTTCATTTATTACTGAAAAGTTTTAATTCAATTGTTTAAAAACAGGTACATAAATGAAACAAGGAAACATTTTTGTATTTTTAAAACATAAATCCTCCTCAAAATGTGAAATAATTATTAAAATGTAAGGAGTCACCTGTTTTTCACATTACTAGTCGCGGGTGATTTTACGTACCCAAAACGATAGATTACCTGTGCGGGAGAGGTAACTGATGAATATATTCGTTTAAATAAGTATAGTTAAGTCAAATTTTACAAAATATAACAGATACTTGATTAAAAATAACAAGCAGTGACCAAAACAATTTAAAATATCATGAAACTAACTTTAAACTAGGTGTTTGAGATAAATATTAGTAGATAAAAACAGCGGCCATCTTTCCAAATAAAATTTAGAGTAGTTTCCCTTGAGACAAATGTCTATTCGTATGTATATTGTGTTGACTTTGTTGTTTAATATACATAGTTGTCTTGTTTAATATAAGTAGGACAGAGGGCCATCTTCTTATCTTTAATTTCAATTGAAATTAAGGTTATGCATGTATGTAAATCCAAGATCTCAAAAACTTTTGGGAGGTCCATCATTTATTAAACCCTTTTGTACTGATGAACTTGTCAATTATTAGGTCGTCCATATTCTTCATAAATGACGTTGGACTCAAAATATGGGACGGGGTAAAATATTTTTTAAAAACATGATGAAGAATATATTCGTTTTTGTTAGAAATTGTGATTACGCCTTCGTTCGGGTATAGTAGAACTGCGATATGATATTAAATCATCATCTTGCTTTTAGTGACGATTGGGGGAAAGGGAATTCATCGGGAAAAGTATGACGTCATTTATGGCGAACCAGGCTGTCGCCTAGGGCTCTGTCCTTAGGCGGGGGGGGGGGGGGGACGGGCGCCAAAATGGGTTGGAAAAACAAATTGAAGGTTTGAGGGGGGGGGGGGTGCAAAACGTAAGCTTGTCCCCGGGTCGCTACGCCTCTGATAATACGGGGGCATGAAAAAAATTGCAGAGGGGGGGGGCGCTTTTATTAATTAAATAACCTGGCGCCGGCACTGTTTATAGGTGATCCATTTAAGCCTAGTTGTTTATTTTGTCTGTAGACATTAGTCCTAGGCCTACACTTTTTCTGAATTAAGATTATTGTGTTTATAAAAATAGTTTTAAATTTTAATTAGTTACATCTGAATACCACATGGGCTTTTTTCTTTGCCTTCTGCTTTCATAAGTTTTTTGATTTGTTCAATAGTCGATGTTTACCCATCCCCACCATCCATTATTACAAAAACAAAAAACACCCACTATGTAGTGATATCTCCCTATAGAAAAAAAAACTAGATCAACCTATAGTTCGTAGGAAAATTAGAATCTATCACTTATTCGTCTGTTAAAAAAAAGAAATACGTTATTTTTCTCAACCCCGCCGTTTCATCCCCCACTTAGCCCAACGTCACCAAGTTCGTGGCGCGCGTGACGTCATTTGTCATTAGGCTAATGTTAAAGAAAGAGATGCCGCGTAATTAAAAAATTCAAAACAGGCACTATTGCGTTGAGACTTTAGCGACGTTTAGTCCAACGAATAGATCTAAATGACTTTAGTACGGTATATTATATTGGTGTTTAATTTATTACAGTGGCATGCTGTGCTCCCTCTACTACACAAATTCGCGTGCTTTTAATTTCTGCAACCTGCTGCTCTGAGACGTTCGGCTCTAAAATGCCCGTGACAAAGCGGCTTCCGTAAATACATTTAGGCTCCCGCTCCCACCTATAAACTTTGTCTGCCGATTAAGCTCCACGCAAAACTTTTGATTGATATGTGGACATAAGCGGCGCTAGTGGTGGTGTCAACAGGGGCCTCCCTTCCCCCCCCCCCCCCCCCCCCACCCCCAAGCTCAGCTCTTAAAGGTGCTCCGCACTTCATAAAAGACAAAATTGATGTTCAGAAATTGTCGGACTCGGGCGTTTAGCCGACTGCCGTATTCCTAATGCACCGTCCACTGCTAACACTATTTCTATATTAAACTCAAGCCTATACTGAGCTCTGGCTTTTTACATTAGCTGCTGTCGTATTAAGGGTTAATCTTTTGTTATGCCCCATGTCGCGAAACTTGCTGTTTTGTCCAATTTTACCTGCAAGCAAATAATTGTCTTGGATTCTTGTCGAATATCGTTGCCAGGAGCTAGTTGCTTTGAGCCTTATTGTCAGAAGTTATTTCATTCGGAGTCAATGTAGTGCGTCCTATTTTCGTCGGTAGGCATTTAGTGGCAGGCCCTTTTTGGCGGGGATGGTGTGCTGAGGTTGTTTAACACCGCTAAGGACAACAGGCTTGCAATAGTTATGATCATTCGTTATGAGTAAAGGTATGCATGA